ACAACAACAACAACAACAACAACAACAACAACAACAACAACAACAACAACAACAACAACAACAACAACAACAACAACAACAACAACAACAACAACCACAACCCCCCGTCGCCCACCCCAACTTCACCATCTTTCCACAACATGCGGAATAACGACAACGACGATCATCAGCCGCAGCAGCCATTGCCCCCAACCCAAACCTCTCAGCCCACGCCCGCCGAACAGGCCGCCGAAAAGGCCCGCTTGGAGCGCATAGCCGACAAGGCAGCCCGCGAGCTCGCCGAGCGCGCCACCGCCCACGCCCGCAAGGCCCCGCCACAGCAGACGGCCCACCCGAGCGTCAACCACGCCCGCCACCTCGAGGGCATGACCCCGCACATCATCCTCGACGCCAAAAAGGCGACGGGCAAGGAGAGTCTCTACCTGAGTGCCATTGGACGGCGGTTGCGGGACAGGGCCGCCGCCGCCGATCGGACCGAAGCAGCCACAGGCGGGGGCGGGGGCGGCGACGGAGGCGCGGACGTGGATGGGCAACGTCTTCATCATCATTCTCATCATTCTCATCATCGTCACCAGCACCATCATCAGCACCATTCCCACCACCAGCCACAACAACATCAGCAGCGCCTGGGTAGTAGTAGTGCCGGTAGAATGGGAAGCGGTGGACATGCCGGGGAAGAGAAACACAACGCCGGCGCCGGGGGGGATTGGGACGAGCGCGTGGCCAACGCGTGGCCCGTCTTTTGCAAGTACTTTAACGGGCGGTCGGCGCTGGAGCGCATCGCGCTGCAAGAGGACATGAAGCGCAAGGATGTCTGGAACCTGCTGACAGCCATGAGTGAATACTTGATTTGCGTGCGTCACTGGTAAAACCTCTACATTAACCGTATTTGGGTAAGAGGGGCTTGATACGCATATATAAGATGCCAAAGCAGTATCCTATTACAAGTCGTCAAACCAAACCGCGCTCGATTCCTTGCGCCACAGCAGGTGATCATAAAGAAAGATGGCAAAGACACATTGAGAACGGAGAGTGAGGCTGTACAGTAGTAGTAAGCAGGAAATATATCCAAGCATATTGGTAGCTACTGTATATCCAAATCGAGGAATGCTGTGGTCGAGGTAGTATTATATGGTGGGTTAATGTACGTTGAAACAAGCCTTGGCTCCGCCTATGCGAAGCAAAACACGATGCAGAAATATACCATGGAACTCTCCAGCACAAAAAGAGACAAAGAAACGAAAATCAATGTGCCCCAACCTGTCCCATATCCTCGAGGTATCATCGTCCAGATGTGCGAGGGATTACATCAAGCAGCAAAACAAGGAAGAAACGACCAAGGTTTCCCAACCAATGTCAATGTATGCTCCACGCTGATAAGAAGCCTGCCGATCAAGCCCGAACTACGCCCTTGTGCCACGCTGCGCCTCAACTGCCATTGATATATGCTGTAACCCCTTCCGAATGTGCAGGAAATATGCAGATGCAGACCACGATACCAGATTTGAGACGGAAGCCGAAATAGAAACCGAAACCGAAAGCCTGAGCCGTAGTTGGCCTAACCCTGAAGAAGCAAAATGGAAACTGCAGGCCTTGGAACGGGAGTCCGAATGAGAGGGCCGGGACAAAGGGAGGGGCTCTACACTCAAGCCGTCATGTCCATGCCATACTCGTCTTCCTCCTTAAAGTTCATTTCCCCACTGCCGTCGTCATCGTAGTCGAGGAAATCACCGGAGTCGAGCATGTCGTGGCCGTCATCTCCTGGGCTCACAGAGGCGTGATGGTCGACCGTACTGCCATTGCCATTGCCGTTGCCGTTCAAAGGTTCACCTTTGTAGTCTGTGTGGTGGGGGACACGAAGCCCAGACCCGGCCGTGCGCGAGTAGGTGAAAGTTTTCGGCCTTCCCGTTGCCTCGTCGTTCCTTGCCATGGCTTCCATCAGCTCCGTCTGCATGCGCCGCTCGTCATCGGTAATCTCAAAGGGAAGCTGCCCGCCGCGTTCGTACAGCGCGTTTATTAGTTCCTCCTGCTGCTGGATCTTCAGATGTAGCATCCACATCAAATCCCGAGTCCAACTGACGGCACCATTGAGAATATCGCCTTTGTTAGGGCCTTTGTCTTTCTCTTCAATTGGTAGACCAGTTGTAATATTCCCTGCCGTTCCGCCAGCCGCCCGCCGAGCACCCGGGCCAGCAAGAGCTGAAGTAGCCTGTGAGGGACTGGAGATCCCAGCAAGAGTGGGCGACAATGGCGTGCCATTTTGGATGGCCTTTCTTATCTTTTCGTCCTCTAGACGATGCGCTGGCACCAGCTTGCTCAGATCCTGGATTCTTTCATTAATGTTGTCTCTCCTGCGGCGCTCGACCAGGTTGTGGGATTCTCGCCTCCGCTTCCGCCTGGCTTCCTGCGACGATGCAGCAGCCGATGCAGCGCCAAGCTTGGCCGGCATCGACGCACCACCCTTCAAGATGATGTCACTGATTTGGTTGCCCTGCATGTTGGCCTGAAGCGGCGACGAGAACCCCGATCCCGGGAACGACGACAGACTATTGGGAGTTTGAATCCATTGCCCAGAATGCGACTTCTCGTGATGCGCACCAGTTGTTCTGATCGGCTGGGAACCAAACGTGGCTTCAGCGGGCACCGACATGCCCGTCATGGTCGCCGTCTTGGGTGTTAGCGGGCTTCGGGTGCTCGAGGGCTTTCGCTGCATCGTCTGCGTCATACGTGCCGCGCGTGCTTTCGTACTGAGAAAATTTGGGTCCTGGTGTTCGTTGAGATCCGAGCTCGCAAGGGGTGATCCCGCGTACGACAGAGGCGACTGTAATGAACCTCCGAATGATTGCGGATGCTGAATCGGCCGGAATTGACCAAAGTTGTGGACGAAAGGGCTTTGTATTGGGTCACCGTCTGGAGTGCTCGAAAAGCCGTTGACTTGGTGTTGGTCAATCGGCAAGCCAGGATGAGAACCGTAAATGCCCTGAGGGTAGCTGATTCCCATGTCGTTCATGCCACCAAAGTCCTGCCCGTGACCCTGCATCCCAGATTGAGGTTCCGTCGGGCTGTTGAGTCCTTCCAGCAGTTCGTCATCGCCAAAGAGGGCCGAGCCACTCGAAAAAGCATTTGGCGCATTGTAGTTATGCTGCATTGAGGTTTGAAAGTGGCCGGGCACAGCGAGATCGTTTGGATCAATCCCACCACTGCTGTGCCCGCTCATCGAAAAACCGTGCTGTGCCATCTTCCCGAAGATGGACTTGAATGGATGAAAGGGTGGCGTGCAGATATTGCTCCAGCCGGAGACGCTAGCTTTCGAATGCCAGTGTTTAGAGGCGAGCTGACGGCACGTGTATATGGTCTAGTATATGGAGCGACGTCTACCGCAGCAAGATGTTAACCACGGCCTTTCCAAGGGCAGGTGGGCATCAAGTCTTGAGCTGGCTTCCTCAGGTCGTCGCGGTGTTTTCACTAGGAAACCCAGCGCGGCCTTTACAGGAGACCGAACCTGAAGCCTTGCAGTGCTGGGGCAGCAGCAATGTGCCAACACATACCTAGAGAAAAAGAAAAGATATATTCAGCTTTGCTGGTGGTCTATGCCGGGGAACTCCCCATCAGATTGCGAAGGCGTCCGAATTGAATATGACTCGATGAAGGGCCGCAGATCGGAGTCCTGGCACGGAAGATGGCAATACACTACCTCCCAGAAAGCGTCGCACTCAAGAATACCGAATGAATATTGCGACGTTGACTGGCCGTAGATGGGAACCAGTGCGACTTTATCACACAGTTGCAGGGCAGTTTGTGCGAATGTGAGTAGGTGGTGTAGATGATGGTGGCCTAGTGGTGAGAGAGGGTGCAGAGGTCCAAAAGTGGGTGGTGGTCGGGCTTAACAATGATGCCGCTAGCCGTGTTGGGAAGCGGACCCCTCCAAATCGACGCTGGGCGAAGGGATGGAGCAGACAAGGACCAAAGACCGGTCCGACAAAGGGTTTCGTGAATCCGAAGACCCAAACCCCTTTTTCTTGTCCTTATTCCGTCGATCCGAGCTGGGCAGAACGAGGGGTGCGTATACCGTAACCCCAAGTTAAGGATAGAACTAGAAGCCAAGAATGGGAATCGGAATTTAGCAGGAGTTGCTGCGGAGGCTTCGGTTGATGTTCTTCGGTTGCTGGAGAATGAGGGCAGTCGGAGTTGAATTCAAGCCGTCCAGGCCTGATAAAGTTGGGGGAAAGGACTGGGGTTGTTGTGGGTCCGAGTGCGGCCCAGAAGAGCGGTAAGATCCTGGTTCCGCGCGGCGACCGCAGAAAGTCTCGGTGGAGCGAAGCGCCGCCGTTGATGCCGTGGGATGTCGGAGATGGGGGTTGGAAACAAACAGCGGGCCCAACAAAGGTTTGTTCCCTCAGAAAGCGGCAAGTAGGCACTCAGGAACCGAAACCAACGGACTGGTCAAGTGTGCGCGCCGGGACAAAGAGGGTTGGGACTAAAATGGATGGATCCAAGTTCAAGCACCAACGTCGGCGAGTTGGAGAAGGGAGAAGGTGCAATATAAGGTGTCGACTGAGAGACGCGGAAACAGCGGCTGAGGCGGACTGAGTAGGTACCCAGTACTTATTTCGGAGGGATGGGCATCCGTCAGGAAACTTGAAGGTGCCTGGCCCGACCTAGGGAGGCCGGAAAACGGAGTGCGCCGCTGCAGTTCCAAGAATTCTCCCCCGCAACAAAAAGGGATACAAGGCCACAGCTCGTAATCCAGGTACACAAGCTCCAAAAAGACTCGTTGAAATTTCCTGTTAAGGCTTCCTTTGTGTTGCGTAGAACGCTCTCACGATCCAGACTAGTAGGTACAGAACGTTACTGTACATACAAGCACGGTCCTCCGAGGCTGGTTGCTTAGTGGGATTGGACTGCTGATTGGGTAGCTCCTGGCAAGAACACAGAGCGGTATCTTCCGACAGGACCCTGCCGCCTTCTTGCTCAAGTCTTTGTGTTGGTGTGGCCTCGAAAAGGCTTACACTGGTTGGATTGGCCCAGCCGTCGAGACGCGACGGGAATGGTTCCTTGACAAGGAGGGGAGGCCGATAAATCCGGTAGCAATCTAGCTGCCGGACTGGATTGGAAGCTTGACTACCTCAACGTCGCCTGCCGTCTTGGTGCTCAATCAATCCGGGCTTCCTAGCTAGGAAGCTACAGTGACGGTAGCGCACCGCGACCCTTGATCATATAAAATGACTGAATGGCACTGATGACTGTCGTTCTCGGCCGCCGTTCGCGAATCTGCATGAAAGCCAACAGGTGGTTGTATTGTACCTATGTATGGAGAAATTAAATGGTGGTAAGCAGCTCTTCCCCAAAAGTCCCGGAGGATCCGATGGAAGAGTGTTGGTGCACCAAGCTACAGCAGTCAACGCTGTTATAGCCTTGGCCGTATTGGAGAATCTTCGTCCGGCTCTGGGACGTTGTAAATGGTGCTGTACTTGGAGGGTTGCGATTGGCCAGAGTTCTCGAAATGCCCTTCGCGACACAGGGTGGCTATCTTGAGCCTCGTGAGGTATAGAACGATGGAGGACGAGGTGTGGAACAGCTCAGAGGTGAGAGAGGCTACAGCGAAAGGTAGGACTTCAAGCAGAAGGTAGCCGAAGGACTGGCAACGAGGCTGAGGCGCATGTAAAGGTAGGCAGTGGACAAACCAGCGTTTACAATATCTGGATGCGGCGGGGGGGCGTGGGGGTTTTATAGATGTTAAACCTCAGAAAGGGCATTCTCTGAGGTGCCTGGCATAGGCAAGTCGTCTGACTCCTGGGTAGCTCAAGTTGGTGTGCTGCGAAAGGAAAAAGGATCAAGAAAAGAGTATGGGAATATTCAACAGGTGCTCGAAAAAAATGACCCTGCCAGGGTTCAACACTTCCACACCTAGCTCTCGCTCGCTTCACCGAAGTTCTCCGAGCAGACGTTAGAGGCACCCAGCCATCAATGTGACTCGAAAGGTGAGACATCAAGGCACACCAAACAGAAGAGCGCAGCCACCTTCTGGCTCAGCAGGATGATGGCCACTACGTAATGTCTGTAGTTCCAAGCTGGAAGCTCGGCCAAACGGTCCCGTTGCAAGCACGGCCTATTGACAGGACCGATCGAGGCATGCCGTCGGGTTGCCGGCAATGTTGCTCCACAGGACGACGCAGGAACTGCCGCAGACTGTCCCACGCAGAGACTGCAAGAAAGGGATCGGCCCGTGTGATAGATAGAGGAGCGCCTGTTCGTCGATTGCCGGGGATGCGGCAGATGCTTGCTAGGATGGTACCATCCACCACTGCGATCTCTGCACCACGGAGGTTTTCCGAAGAGCCGCTTCACCTGCAGATGCAGATCATCCTGTCGAAGCGCTGTCATGCAGAGAGCGAGCAATGGCATCCGGGATAACCAAAGGTAGGCACCAAGCCCACAGCACCCACTAAGCGTTAGGCTTCCGTATCAGGGCAAGGCGCGCCAGGCAGGCGACGACGACTGTTCATACATACTAGTTTTAAGTTCGTAAACTCGGAGCAACTGCTACATACCTAGGTGATTATGAGCGGTTCTCAAGAATGTCATACCGAACTGTGCCACCTCCACCACCCTCCTCTTCTTGTCCGGGTGCCCTGCTTGGTGCAGAGACCAGGTGAGTCTTCACGTGTCAATGTGTTCCGTCCTCTCACGTACTACCTAGGGACCTACTGCCACGGCGATGCCAAGGTAGGTGGGTGTCGGCTAGTAAGAAGCCACCCTCCCAAGGCTGCATGTTACCCTGTTGAGGTGGTCCGTGATCAGTGCCTTTTGGGTCGAATCTGTGAGAAGAGCCAATCACATACCCCAGATTTGCAGGTGGGTGCCCTCCCGAGACCGCTGCACTCCCCGGCTGCGAGGGTAGGCAGGGATGGCACTAGCGTCCTGTCACACTTCCCGGAGCTTGCGACATCCAACTTCCTTCCTCTCGCAAGAATTCCATCCGAAAACGCCGGACGACAAGCCCCCTCCCGTCGACACAGCCCAAGACACACCACATTTTGCGACCGCGTCAGAAAGGGCTGCTACTGTACGCGTAGGCGCGGTAAAAGCGACCCGTAGGCTCGTGCGGTGTGTTGCCACCGAACGTTGAGCTCGAGCAGGGCAAACACAGCATAAAGAACGGTGCTGAGGTTTCCAGGGATTGTTCTCGTTTCTACATTATAAGCTATCTAGGATCCTAGCCTGAGGTTAGTTCTCCCGCGTGATGTCTCTAGCCTCCTACCCAAGGTATACTTCTACATACAGACCGTTTTGAATCAACGAAACTAATCATTCCGGCCCCTCCTGGCAGAACGTCTTTCTCACGGATCTTCGTCCTCCCCGTCAGCTACACTAGCTCTCAATATACCAAAACAGCTTGACTCCACCTACATTTCTTAGCTCACCTTCTCCTCGTATACAGTACAGTGTGGTCACTTGGACCCCCACAAACCTCGACCGCATCTTGCTTTTAGCCCACCCAGTTTGGGGCAACCGCAACACACCCGGCCCATCAGCCACAGACCGCCCGTTCCCGATCCTCCGACTTCCCCGGGTTTTAGACTTGCTTTATTCGGACACAGCGACTGGGCCAGATTTGGGGGACTATGGCTTCAACGTCTTTCCGGGACTCGATCAACTCGCTCGGTTGGTCGCGCCGCGATGCGGATCTCCCAGTGAACACGTCGCGACAGAGCGGCTTCTTGTCGTCTCTCAAATCCCTAAATCCCTTTGGCGACCGCGGCTATGTCCAGCTCCCGACTACTGAAGGACCAGGCGCACCTCTTCCGGCGCCCAGCCGCCGAGAGGAAGAAGAGGGGTGGTTTGCCTGTGAGTCAAGTTACTTCCCCCCGTGCCCTCACCTTCACCACCCTTTTCTGTTTTGTTTCCCCTTCCGCCAGCCTCGCTACCCCTGCAGGCAGGCGGGCACTGCAGGACATGTGCCGTTTCTACGTGCTCATGTCTCAAGATACGCCCCACGGCCGGCCATTTCTACGTGCTCTTGTCTCAAGATACGCCCCACGGCCGAGGATCGTGTATCGTCTCGTCTTGAGCAAGATCCTTGGTTTTGATCATGTACTATCTCTTCAAAGCTTCAGTTTCGGGACTAACCGGGAACGCTTCCCTTAGTGAGTCGGTGGGATCGTCTGCTGATCTTTGGTGCCTGCAACCTCGCCGCGCTTGCTTGCTTTGTCATTTGCTTCTTCCTCTTCCCAGTTATCGGCCTTGCGCAGCCGCGCAAGCTTGTGGTGCTGTAAGTATCCAGTCTGTCAAATCTTCCTGCTACGTCACCTCCTCTTTCACCCTTGCGCCGCTCCGCGTAGACACGCGCGCGGCCGCCGTTGGCCCTCTGCTTCGGTGGCTTGTTGCGAATGGCCTGGCTTGGCAGCCACGCTCCTTACCGCTACTCGGAGAGCAACATCCACCGGGTAACTTAGTACAAAACGCCTTTCCGTTGGCGTCAACATGCCGATGAAGTGTCGAAGCATCAGGCTAACTTGCGCCCTTACAAACAGATGGACGTTAGGCTCGGTCCTTTTTCTTGCGTCCTTTGCCGCGATGATGGGCCCTTGGGCTTACTTGCAACATCTCGCTTCGACACCACGGCTGCCTTTCACTGCTGCCTACTTCGGCTCCTTAGGATTGACCTTGTACTTCTCCATCGGCGTAAGTTAGCCTCTCAATGCTGAGAGCAGATAAGGATTCTAACTCTTTACAGCTACACAGCACGCTCCTTACAATTCCTGCTGGCCTTATCCAATTAGGTTGTCTAATATGGTATCTCGTGAGTTATTTCCCAATGGGCTCCAGCGGATTGCGCCTGGTCAGCACCTTTGGGGCTCGGAGGGCAGCGGCTTGGATGACTGGGTAATAGAACACACCAAGATGGACGTCTGGTCTTGTACAATAAGTATACACCAAGCTCCAGTTTCACGTCCTCTTGATTTCGCTGTTTCTCAACTTAAGGATGTGTCTGCATGCAGACCAGTCAGGACTGGTGAGGTACCTGGCCCGCCTGGATAGTACGCTTTCACAAAAGTACAGTTTGTTCCGGGCAATTCCCGATTTCGGCCAAACATCTCAAGCGCTCAGCATAGACGATATCGCTGTCGTGCAGGTCCTCTGTTCACATTGTTTGGAACTAGGTAGCTATCACGGCTGAAGATGTGGTAGCAAGTGCATTCCCTTTCCCCTCGATAAGGTCGGCTGCACGGGAGCCATTCGCGCCTTGAGAAGCGACCCCTAATTTGCGTTTCTTGTTTAGCCGGTAACATATCGCTTGGCTGGCCGTACTGCTTCACCAGCGTTTTCTGGAAGCCGGCCGGGAGTGCCCCAGTTATGCAGCGTACAAGCAAACAAGCGCCACTTGTGGATGAGGAGCAGCATAGGGGTTATTTTGGGGAGAGGATTGTGGTGTTAGCGGCGAGGGGCTCTTGCTACGCGTGAGGTCCGGTTGCGCTGAGACTATGCCGTGTTCGAGGAGCATGAAGTTGGCCCAGACGCGTGGCGGCCCGGCCCCTTTTAACCACATGCCACTGAGCGCACATCAGGAGCAGCAAGAAGTGTCGTGCCATGTAGAGGAGAGCCCAGAGAGCCCATTTTGACGAATTCTCCCATGGGAAACGGCGGGAACTGGGCCTTGGCTTGGACAGGCTAGCCTTGCTGACTTCGAGAAGCGTAAGCCAGGAAAGGGGGTTAACCGAAAGAAGGCAGTTGTGATCTCTGAGACGAGTCCCAACCAAAACACGGCAGGGAGCTTGACCCTGCCACATAAACAGAGAGGTCGAGCCTCCCTATTGCCTACCGAGGTATGTGTGCGTATAGTGCTCTGCTTCGTAAAGAAGGGTGGAATTGAACCTGGTACGAAGAAGGCAGTACTGTATGGGCAAGGAGATGATCCGCCTAACTCTACACAGTAATGTTTGCTGGTGGACGTTAGGCAACTGACGAATCACACGCCCTTAAGGCTCCTAGCACCTACCTAAGCCTCATTGGGGAACCCCGCGAGGGCCGACCCCTCCTTCCCGTCCCGGTGCACGTCTTAACATGCCTTTTCTAAATCTCTTTGTCACAGTCCGATACAACGGTCATTAGAGAATCATTACACTGCCATCACGATGACGGGTGATAAAGCATGCGTATCAAAGAATGGCAATTGCAAACATCTCAGCAATACTGTGTACTGTGTCTCCGTACGGTATTGCATGGAAATTGTCTGACCCCACTTATCGTGGTAATTACAGTAACTACCTATGGCAGTCTTGCTTTCTCTGTAACTTATGTGCAGAGGACATCGAACCAAATGTGTTTAGGTAGTGTAGACAGGAAGCGCAAGATGGGGCACACAACCGGCCTCCACTTCTGCTTTCGGGTAACGTAGTTCAATGAGGAGTCGTTCGATTCTCCTCCGTGGCGGAAACGACCGGATATCTCAGGTACCCTATGTATGTCCCTAGGTGCAGTACAGATACATACATACATACAAGTACAAACAAACTTCCTTCGGTTGCCAAGTGGCACAGAAACCTCCCCGCAATGAGAGAGGGGCTCTTAGTAGAGTACCTAGGGTGCTGTAATACGCTTCGTACAAAACAGCGAACAGTGCTGGTGGTGACCTGCGATCTGTGGCCACTTAGCCCATCGTGCGTCCTGCAAAAGAAAGTTCAGTCTAGAGCTTAAGCCGTCTGAAGAGCACGGTCGATGCTTGCTTTGGATATCCAAGTAACGATGATAAGGTGCTACCTACTAACGGTGTCTAAGTCGAAACTGGACGAGAGCGCCGGGAGTCGGGGTTTGAAGGAGTACAGTACTGTACATATTGACTTCGTACACCAGCAGCCTCAGGGTCTGACTCCACAAAACCCGACGTTACTTGGTGTTGCTGCAGGGCAGTTAGGGAGTCAGGGTACCTACCATAAGGGTACCTTAGGTGAGTGAGTGTATTGTAGCCGAGCATAGCCAGGCCACGGCCGTCCAGGTTCCCCTCACACGACCGTCTTCATCCATGATTTTGCCAGCAAAATGCTACCAAACGGAAATTGATCAACTTGTACCCCTTGCACGGTAGTAGACACAAGGCCACCGTGATACCCTGCAACAAGAAGAGCTGAAATGGCTGGTGTATGAGCGGGGAAGTCGATCGATGCTTAAGAACCATGTCCTTGCGAAACACGACTCAGTTGGCTACATGAATGTTGTCTGGTTAGGCAGGTACTCTTCTGAATCAGAGTCTCGATAAGACGGCTGCCCTCTCCGGGAATTGTCTGCCGCCCGTGCTCCGTGCTTTTTAGCGGCTTCCGGGCCTGTGAGTGGATTAGACTCGGAGTCTAGAGCCCGAGATTGAGGTTGCCAGCTTTTTATGGCCTTGGAGTTAAACAAGGCCGTTTGCCGGGTGGATGGAACATACACGACTCTTGTCTATTTCTCCTTCTTTTCAAGATGGAAAGTCCAGTTATTGCTAGGCTCGCCTGCCCAGTGTCCACAACGGACGGGGAAGGAAGCGGCGTGCCAGCCCAACAAGAGCGAAAGCCTGACGAGCGTGGCTTTTGGTACATAGAATTCTCTTTCAATTTGTAACCACCTACGGTATCTAGCGATAATTACATACAACCGATTTATATTCGCGCAAACCCCACTGTTTCCAGGTCCTTCCCTTTCACCCTGATGAGCAGCACGGGAGCGCTGACCGGAGCGAACCACAATGTTAATTGTTTAGGTGCTTGGGTCTGTTAACTCCACCAACGTTTTCAGCGGCGCCTAGGACCAAAGAATTTTTTTTTATTCCCACACACACAAATCCAAGTTCACTTTTTCGCCTGGTGAAGCATTTCTGCGTTTCCACACCCCGGCACATTTTCTTTTCCTTCTTCTTTCTCTCCAACCCATCCTTCACTCCCAAGGGCCGCCTGTTCGGTCTCCTGCACCCAAAGACACTCTTTCCAGAGGTTGGTCGCTAGGGCTTTCTCATCCGTCTGTGGGTCAACTGGAGGCTTCGGACTGGCCGCAGAACGTTTGGCTGCCATTGCCTGTCGACAACAGTGTCGAGCCGACGTCTGACCGTGCCGTTTGCCTGTCTCGCCTTTTCCCGACAGTCCCGGCTCACGTCGCTCGATCATCTTGCGTTCTTCGAGACATCGGTTTGGACCTCACTGGGAAAAGTGCGTGCTCGCAAAATCTTGCTGCCTTGCGACCGAACCCATCAGTTTCCGCTCTCGTTAGAGACCGCGCCTGTTTGCTAGGTCCTGGCACGTTGAGTCGAATTCCCTGTCAATCAAGATCGCGGCCTGCTTTCTCCTTCACGGATTCCAGTGCTACCGGCGATCTTGCGTGCGGGGAGGTTGTGACGGCCTCTCCGGACATCGCCTGACTCGGGCAGTCGTTTTGAGCCAGCTTGGCAGAAGCTCTTGAGCTACTGCTGTAAAATCCTGACCGATCGGGGCTCCTGCTCGCGCGCGATCAGGTGCATTCATCCCCATTGTGCGCCGATTCTCGCCGCACCGTTGGTAATTTCGACCACAACCGCCAGAATGTCCACCACAACATTCTCCTACGCGCAAGCCGCGAGAGGCCGGGCCGTGTCCCAGCCGAGTTCGCAACAGGCATCAAGCCCTGCTCCATCGACTACGGGCTCGCAGACCAGAGACGAGCCTTTGAGCAGTAACACATCGGCCACTGCACCCTCGGTTACCTCAAATAGCACCGACAATCGTGACACAGATCACGCGATTCGTGCAGGTGCCGATGATCCAACGCCAAAGCAGGATTCTGAGGCTGTCTCTGGTGTTCCTGCCTCTTCTGCGAGCTCCGCCACAGAGCAAAGTGGCAAGACCACCAGGGAGGGCAGCACGACACCGGCCGATGTTCAGAGCCATGCTGATGAAAAGGGATCTCGTTCAGCCAGCCGGACCTCACGGCTTAATGATGGTGTCGACGGTAGAAAAGGCCGGAAGGGCAAGAAGGGTCGGGCTACCGAGAAGGATGCCCGGACCGAGCAGCACGATGAAGCATCCGAGAAGGAGAAAGAGCCTGCGAAACCAGTAGTTCTCACAGAGGCAGTACCGCCTGCTGTGAATCCTTGGACCAAGAGGATTGAAGCTCAGAAAGCAGCAGTCAAAGCTAAGCTTGCGTCTGCCTCGCCGGATAGTCCCACTGCGGGCAATGAGCCGAAACAGCAGCCATCACAGGAGGAAACCGGCGCTTATACCACGACATTCAACGGCATCAATGCGGACAAATCTTCGCAAACAAAACCGACTGAGACATCTCGTCCTGCTGATTTGACACCCCGCAGAAGCGCTCCTCGTGGCAGCAGAGCCACCGACAAGGACGACAAGAGCCCAGTCTCGCTGCCCCCAGCTGCTGATCCTTCGTCCTGGCCGGATCCGAAGTCGGCCGCTGCACTAGAACAGCCAACTCGCAAAACCCAAGAAAAGACTGAGGCTGGTGAAAAGGATGGCCAAGATGAAACAGGCTCGACCCGTAAGAGGACTTGGGAGAAACTCGAGATTGTGCCCTCGGTGCGTTTTGAGACGCAGTTCCCCATTCGTGGCTCAAAGCCCCGCGGTGGTGCGCGAGGAGGCCGTGAAGGAGGCTCAATGCGGGGAAGCCATCCTGGTGCTGCCAGTACTAACGGTGCTCCTGCATCCGGGTCCGTGAATGACAAGGGCACACCCGTCGGGGGATCTACAGGCCCCAGAACCACCACGAATCGCCCCCGCGAGGGAAGCATTCCTGCACGCACGCCATCTCAAGCGCAGCCGCCTCACCCATCCAAGCGTGCCTCAGTCGACGGAGCTCCCAGAGACCAGCGCAAGCCATCCGTCTCGGGAAATACAGACCAAGTCCGCGATCCAAATCCTGACACCTCATCTGTAAGTTTAGTCGATGGCCCAACAGCCGCGTCTCCGACAATGCGCATGCCTGCTCGCAATCATAATCTAACGCCAATCCAGTTCTCGAAGAGGGGTAGCGCAACACGAGATATCCGGCTTGAGAATGGGTCGCTGGGTTCAGATGCTGGGCAGAGCTCTGCGCGGACCTTTGCGCAGGAGCGAGCGAACAGCTTCCAGGGCAAGGGTGACTATACCAAGGACGGGGCGCACGGCGCTGTCAATGGGCAGCAGTATCCAGCGCGCGACGGCCGCCAGGAGCGGGGTCGCGGCGGCGGGTACCGTGCTCGAGGTGGTCATAATGGGGCGCATTCTGCGTCAGGTGCCTATGGCGCCAACGGCCATTATCCCGTTCCATCTGGCTTCTCGACGCGCCAGAATCCCAATCCACACAGCCCTCCTCCGTTCCCCGGCCAATTCCCTGCATCCTTTGGCCATCCGCCGAGAGGCAGGGGGCACAAATGGGCTGGTTCTGGACAGTCGTCTAGCCGCAATAACCCCGCCGCGACCGGTTTCGTCCCGAAATTGACACCGGTGAACGATTATGGAGTTGCCCCATATTCCCCTTACCTGTACTCACCGGTCTTCGATCCGTCAATTCCCATTCTGAAGGCTCAGATTGAGTACTATTTCTCGGTCGAAAATCTCTGCAAGGACCATTATCTTCGACAGAATATGGATGGGCAAGGCTTCGTTCATTTGTCAACCATTGCCGGATTCAAACGCATGAAGGCTATCACCGAAGACATTGAAATGATCCGCTTTGCCTGCTCCCTCTCTGACCAAATCGAGTTTGGTATTGGCGGTGACGGAATTGAGAGGCTGCGGAGCCGAGAAAACTGGAAACTCTTTGTCCTGCCGGTCAACGACCGGCTTGAGGCTTACCGCAATGACGGCCCGCTCAATTGGACTTCCTATGAGGTACAAGACCCCCAGTACGCTGCCTTCCCGGCTCCTTTCGTTCCTCAAGCGTATCCTACATCGGCCGGTGCCTACACTGCCTTTCCCCAGGAGCAGATGTTCCAGCCTCCCTATGTTAACGGGACCCACTACGAGCCTGTTGTCAATGGCGGAATGAACGGCCATCGCTATGGTCAGGATTCTCGGTTGTCAGCCGGTGTTCCGGAGTACGCGCCACCGGAAGCTCCTGTCACTCTGGAAAGCATGACAAACTTTTCAGACTCGCAGGTGGAGAATTTGATGATGATCCTGAGCTATGAGGAGAGGGATGATGCAGGCTCGGCTGGTGCCGCCGGTGTAGCAGGCTATGTTTCGGATCGCCACCGCGTTCCGGGCAATGACGCCCTCAGCGGCTCTCAAGCTCAAAAGTAACATTCCCAATGGCTCGTCGTTTCCCAATCCCAGTTTCGTGATGCTGACCCGTCTACAGTGTCAATGGGGATACGGCAAATGAGCTTGCTGAGCACGACCGGTCCGAGCACAGCATCGTCTGGGTCGACGCACAAAGGGTTGGTTCCAGCAAGGAGCAAAGGGATCGTCAGCCTTACACCGAGATTCGCAGGATGGCACTTGAGCAGCGCCAAAAGGCAGCGCCTGGCGAGACCCCCCGGGAGATGGAGAAGCTGTACAAGTTCTGGTCCCGGATGCTGCTCAATGACTTCAATGCTAAGGTGTACGAGGAGTTCAGAACGCTCGCTCTTGAAGATGCCTCACGCGAAGCTCCTCTTAGGTGCGGGCTGAAGTATCTGCTTGAGTTCTACGACAGACTTCTGCTGAAAAGCAACGCTCGCAAGCCGTGGCCGAGCGACCGGGCTGTGCCCGAGATTTTCACGACTCATTACAACGAGGCTGCGGAGCTTGACCGAAAATGCGACAGCCAGGACGTCGCGGCAAACTGACTCCGGTCTTTTACCCGCTGACTGGTCGCCAATGAGATGGCCAGGTACTAGCGCACGTCATCAGTGCTACCTTGGGTTTGAGGTCATGGAAACATTTCGGGGAATCTACCGTCATTTGAACGATCACGAGCAGATTTATGGCCATATGTCTCGTGTTATTGTTCTGCTTGCAGCGGTCTCGTTCATTCAGCTTTCTTCAGATACAGGCGATACACTTGGGGCATCTCTGGGGTCATCGAGGAGAACCGGTTTTCCATCTCTTGTCTGGGATTTGGTGGAATTGCTCGTCACTGTCACCGGAACCATCGCACAGAGTCTCATTTCCGGAAGAATTACGATGCGAGACCGATGCGAGACCGATGCGGATGGCTCTGCCTGACAAAGGATTCTTAAGGAAGCTCATTCGTCTAAGCGACCTATGAGACAGACTTGGGCAGTTCTCGAGACATCACGTCTTTTGGTCGGTTTCGCAGCTTATGAGCCCTATGGGCTTCCCGCCTTTACTACTGATGGCGGGTATCTTCTCTTTCGCCTTGATTGTCTTCCTTTCCAAGCCTCGATTCTGGAGGCATACGCATTCCGGAGGTGGGCGTTCATGGGCAGCAGCACGGCCTGGGGAAAGGGAGGGCAGGGAGGAACGACTATTTCGACACCAGTCAGGGGCCTGCATGACCAGTTTGGGGGCAGTAATTTTGTTTGGTTTCTCTTTTCTCTTTCCTTCTTCTGCCCCTCCTGGCCATTTGTCGCCGATCTTCACTCTCATAGCGTCGAAGCGCTTCCCTGCAAAATACGGGGGCGTCTTTCTCGTAAACCCCCCATCTTCTTGGCCGTCAACTCGGTCTCTGCAGGGGAGCAAGATGCTCTTGCTGGCACAGTGGGCGAAATGCGTGAAGGACGATAGGCAGGAACAGTGAGGTGGGGTTTTCTGGTCATGATGGAGATTCTGACCCCGGGACGTCCCACTCTGCCTCGCTCGAGCGGGAGAGTCATAGCGGATTGCGAGCAACAGCAAGCTACTGTTGTTGCATCGGCTGCTAAGTGGCCAGAGAAGGATGGGGGCTACTTAGCTTTTAACGAAATGATGGTGTCTAAGGAAAAAAAGTTGGGAAGGGGTGGGCGGTTATTGACGATGTGTTAGACTTTTTGACACCCTGCTCTTGGTGCTGTCGGCCCAGTGGCGGTGATAAATTCACAAATCTCTCTGCGGAAGACAAAAGCAATCCTGGCTTGTAGGTAAACTGTACGAATAGAAATCAACAAAAAGGAAAAAGAAAAACGAAAAACGAAAACGAAAACGGTGCTGCTCTGCGCCGTTTGTGTGTGTATCTGGGTGGAAGATTGGGGACACTGGTCCTTGTGGGCTTGCCATCGTAACGGTGAAAGCAGTCGGCTAGATCTGGAAGCCCTTGTGCAGATGAATGTTTGATAGGTAAGGCATGCTTGGTCGGTCAGTCAGGCGAGTCAAGGTCGGGCATTCGAGGTTGGGTGCACTAACGTTAATCATAAGGGCAGGCGCCACCTGCCAGGCGGCGCATTTAGCAGTTCTCTTGGTCAAAGCTCGGTTCCAATCGGGCAGGGGGTAAGTGTTCCTTCCCGCTGCGATTCTTTCAGAGTCCCGAGGGCCCGTTCCCTTTGGAACTTCTCCACACAAAGCCATTTCTTTTCCACGGCATCATACATAGAGCAAAGCAACGCCTGACTCGTCCTTCGTTACTCGCTCCCCGCCTTCCTTTCCATGCCTTGGCATCGACATGATTGAGATTCTGTGACAGAATTTCAAGCCGCAATCGGGCGGATCCGCACCATGCATCAGACTCACAATCACATGCCGATACCAGTCCGCGGTTTAGACGGCCGTTTCAAACCGTGTCCGTACCGCCGATTTTTGTCAGTGGTCGGTGTGCATCTCCATTTGGCATAGAATATTCTCTCCGTCCTGAGAGCGGCGTTTTCAATCCAACCAGTCTTCAAAGCCGTCCTGCGCATATACACGTGGTACCAGACGCTCTGGGCTTGTTCCGGCGGGCGCGTGATGGCAGCACCTTCTCAGCAGGCCCCACCGCCAGGCCCAGGCCTGGAGGAAGGGGATAGGCCGCGCCCGCTGACCGAAGCAGAGAAGAAGGCGAACCACATTGCCTCAGGTTAGTACGAGTGCCCCGCCCGGCTCCGAAACCAGCCCCCGCCTCTTGCTGAGACGGAGAGCAGAACAGAAGCGCCGACAGGCGATCCGCGAAGGGTTTGACCGGCTCTCCGAGATCGTGCCCGGTCTTAAAGGCCAAGCGCGCTCTGAAGCCCTGGTGCTCAAGAAGACGCTGGACTTTGCGAGGCAGCTGATGCAGGAAAGGAAAGCGCTGATTGAGGAGCTTGATGCGCTGGGCGAGCACGTGGATTCGGAGATCAGACTGTGAGTTCTTCTCTCCCAGGCAGCATCTGTTGCCAGGACCGAGCCGTCTACGACCGCGTACCTCGCTACTTCAGTTGCTTACTCTAATCTAGATCTCTTGAGATGCTGCCTCCGGGGTGGCTCGAGGCAGGCTCCGGGGACAATGCGGCGCGGTCGACCAAGAGCGCAAGCTTGGAAGAGTCGAGCGAGGTCGGTGGTTCGGACCAGGCGAATGGGGCCGGCAGCCGGAGCCAAGCTGGGGGGAACGAGGCTGGGACGGCGCCTCTGGCTGGGGCATGACTGTCATGCCATTGTAGCCGACGGTATACGGCGAGAGCTCACGGCTACGTAGACTCGATGTTACCAAAGCCGGCTCAAGGTTAGGGCTAGCTTGGAAGCATCCCGATGGTCGAGGGAGTGTATCTCGTTCTACGAGTTTCCGACTTATTCGCAGCGCATGAGCCAAGCGAAGGCGCAGTATATCAAGAGCAACTTGATAGAACAGCCTTGGCTAGTACAGCAGTTAGGTGTTACAGGCATGCCAATACTTAGAATCAAATCATTGCTGACCTGATAACTGCTGTGCCTAGGTCCAATGTAGGAAAGAACTCTCAGAAACTACCTGTAGAGGCTAATGCCATGACATCATAGGCTGGGCTGGGGTTCCTTGAGCCTAACCGAGCTCACCTAACGGTGCCGGGAACCCATACGAAGGTTTCGGGTTGGGCATCCCGTCCATGATTAACACTAAACTTCGAGTCTCAATACACTGCCGGTAGCCTCGGCTCCCCAATCAGCCTACCAAGGTTAGCATTGTGCATGTATTACCTATAGAGCTAGCGTGCAGTAACGGAGTATGCAGACTAATTGCGTGCGGCAGACGCGGGTGCGTCATTTCGGGTGGCTGTTGCTGTGGCGCAGGGTCGACGCCATATGCCCTGGATTTGAGCTGCTAGTGGGTGGGTCACGCCTGTTCCATGCCAAGGAGGCAGCCAACTGAAGCGAGCAGGACGTGGTCCTCCCATGACTGTCAGGTATCGACGATGAGAAGAATCATGCTGTCGAATCTGGTACGTGCATGCGAACAGGGCCGTCATGATGTGGAGCCCAACCGTCTGACAGGACTGTTGTGAGGGCGACGACTGCGAGTTTGTTTGGTAGTTATGTATGTTGTCGTACGGTCCAAGTGCTTCGCGATGTACAGTACATACAGAACTGTAATATGAATACGGAGGAGTAAGAAGGGCTTTCACTAAAAAAGCCTTCGAGCCTCGAACGCTACATTCGACTTGGTTGGGCTGCGCTCGTTTTAAAGACAAAGCACAGTATTCTCTCTGCACAGCCATAGTTGGGGCAAATGGTTCAAATTGGGATGGGACGAACTCAGATGTCATTATGTATCTCAAAACGCAAGTGCCCAAACCATGGGGCCGCCCGGTGTCTCAACCTGTCATCCATGGAAACCAGCAGCCTTGTCTGGTTCGCACTTGCGGCCAACAAGTAGACTAATGTCGTGTCAGCCAGGCCTCCCGCTCTCTGTCCTGCGCACTTTCTTCTTCTTCCGTCCCTCTATTACTCGAGACCCAAGTCCTCCATTGTACACGAGCAATCTTGGACAAACCCGATGCACTATTCGTACATCGCACCATACTGTGTTTCACTGTTTCTGAAGGCATTCTGAGAGTCGATCGAAGCGTGGATCACTGACTGCGCCCAACAGAAACTACCCACCAGCAATAAAAGGCAGGTACCGTACCGTACATACAGTACTGTATATACAATACTACAGTGAACCCTGGGCACAACTCCTCACCCCTCCTTCTATCGTTGAGCACAGGTATTTATTGCTTCGCCCCGCTCTCGCTCCTTCATCCTTGCAATCCCCAGGCAACCTTCCAAATCTCTCATCACTCTGCTGTGGCTGCTCTTCCTCCCTTTTTGCAATTTTCCTGACTCGTTTTGGCAGAACAAACTCCGCGAACAAAAGATCAAGAGGCAGAAAACTGTTCTGGGAGCCTTGGTTGGGCTGTGCTGATCGCAAAGCCACCCCGCTGATGGCTTCGTACGATCCCTACGAGCCCCCGGTTCGGGAGCGCACGACACGACGCTACTACCGTGAGGAGCGCCGCGACGATCGCGATCCACGAGTCTTTGAAGCTCGCGAAACGCACCTTGGTGTCCAGTCGTCGCGCGACCTAGTGTACCGCCCGCGCGAGGACAGTGACCTCTCCGTCGAAGAGATTCGCCGCGATTTTCCGCCGCCAGGCTATTCGTCCAGAGACCTGCGCCGTTCGAATTCCGCCGAGCCTAGGTACTACGACGAGTACGATGATCGTCGCTCCCACTACAGCCGTGACCGTGACTACGACCGCGGTGACGAGTACGATCGCCGGCGGGGTAAGAAGACCGACATGGCCTACTATGAAGAGGAGCAAAAGAAGAAGGTGCGCATGCTGTCTAAGCAGGAGCAAATCATTGCTGCTGTAACCGGTGCCGCCCTTGCCATTGGGGGGAAGGAGCTCTACGACCGCCGCGAGGCCAAACAGCATGATACTGAGGTCCAGCGAAACCTCCTAGCCTCGGCCGCTTTGGGTGCTGCCGGCGCTTTTGCCGGCTACCAGGGCACTGAGCTCTACAACAAGCATAAGGAGAAAGAACAGCGGAAGAGGGGAGGTTACTACTCGGACGACGAAGAGACCGCCAAGGAGAAAAAAGGTCACAAGAACTTCCTGGAGAGCGCTCTTGCTGCTGCCGGCCTAGGAGGTGCTGTCAAGGCCTTGACAGGGGGTAGCAGCAAGGATGATAAGTCGGACACCAGGAGCCGCCGCGGCAGCCGCTCCCGTTCCCGCTCCCGTTCCCGCTCCCGTTCCCGCTCCCGCTCGCGGTCTCATGGCAGGGGCTCAGAAAAGGGTGGGGGAGCGAATAAGATTCAAAAAGCGGCCATGGCCTCTCTTATCGCCGGCGCCACCGAGGCGTTTCGCATTTCCAAGCAGCCAGGGTCATGGAAGGGCGAAAAAGCCAAGCGCATCCTTACTGCTGCTGCAGGCGCTGCCACTATCGACGCAGCCCAGAGCTCAGAGAAGGCCGGTAGCAAGCTTGGTCTTACCGAGGCAGTTGTTGGCGGCCTCCTTGGCAACCGCGTCATCAACGGGTCAAAGAAGGATATTGAGATGGATGAGCGGACTGGCCGGTCCCGGTCCCGGTCCCGGGCACGCTCGAAGGATGGTGGCGGCGGTGGCGTGAGCGGACTTGCTGCTCTCGCGACTGCTGGCCTCGGCGCCTTTGGCGCCAAGAAGCTCATGGATAACCACGAACGGTCCAGATCCCGGCGCCGGAGCGTAGACTCCGAGGACAGCCGCGATGGTTCTCCACACCGTCGTCGGCGCAGCCGCAGTCGGAGCGTCGTCGACTCTGCCCGCCGAGGCATGGCCAAACTGGGGATTGGCAACGGCCCGGATGATGACGACCGAGATCGCCGCGATCGCAGCCGCGATCGTAGACGTGACTATAGCGATTATGAAGACTCGGGCCGCTCGCGCCGGCGCCGTGATAGCTACGACGACGATTACGACAGGGACCGCGACCGGAGCAGACGCCGGGGTTCGGGACGTGACGACTACGACGATGACCGTTCCTACCGCGGTGGTGGACGGGACCGTTCTCGACAGAGGAGACGGGGTTCTGTGACGTCTGATGATTTAGGCGACTCAGAGGACGACGAGAAGCGAGCAAGGAAATTGAAAGGTAAGCAAATTCTAACTAGCGGTTTCGCCGCTGTGGCGACCATCCACGCGGCCCACACTGTCTACCAGAGTATGGAGAAGCGCAACATGAGACGCAAGGCGGTGAATGCGGGAGTAATGAGCGAAGAGGAGGCCAAGAAGCTGAAAAAGAGGGCAATATGGCAAGACGCCGCCGCCGTCGGCATTGCGGCGCTGGGCATCAAGAGCGCCGTCTCCGAGATCAAGGAGGCTCGCGAGTTGCGACACGAAATGCACCAGTGGAAGCTGGAGAAGGCGGAGAGACACAGGCGACGTCTCGAAAGGCAGATGCGCTTGGCGAACGGTGACGGCGTTGACGGCACCAACAGCTACGACCAGCTCGGTAGACGCAGGGCTGACAACTGGTCTTCGGCAGCTCCACCAATGGCCAGCCGATATGACGATGGACCCCGTTATATTGACGGGAATCCCTATGCCGCTATACCTCCTTCTTCTGCCCCGCCTTCGGATAGGAGGTAATCGGGGGAGGACACCGGATCCGTGGTGGACAACCCGTGTCTCAAAATTGTCACCGTCCAACCCTTCACTCCGTACCAAGTGGAGCCATAATACAGCGTTTACGATTGAGATATCCTGTTTTGTCTTGTCTCCATACACACTTTCTCGATCTGTGCCACACGCTCGCGCGCAAATCGCTGCATAACCGGCCTCGCCTTTCATTGCATCACCGACCCGGCTTATGCCCGCCCACCTCGAACACCGCGGGCCCTTGCCGAACCAATTCATTGGACAGAGGCAACAATATCAGATGTCATCCGGCCCCTCCGGCGCTGCCCTCCCCAGGCTCCCTCTGGCTAGCACGGACCACAGATGGTGGTCGCCCGCGAGCCATCCGCGTCTTGTCTCCCCCTTCCCTAATGCTCCGGCTCCGGCACTGGTGCTGCATGGCTCCTTTCCCATTTCATTTCTCCGTCTATACGAATGATTTAGTGACTGACAACGCCTAATTGAATAAATGAACAGACGAACGCCGCCGCCATTAGCCAGTCGAGCTACGTGAGGCCCGCGGTTCCTCTCCCTGGCTTTGATCGGGCTTGCCAAGGGGGGGGGGGATAATGACGCCGACAAAGTGGACAGCTTGCCGTCAACGAGCGCGGCGAAGTGACCGAGTTACACTGGGAGGACGAAGGGCTGACATTGGCGGTTTGAGCTACTCCAGTTGGATATATCACTTTACCCTTGTTCACGTTCGTGTTCATTCCTGTTTCGATTCCTTCCCTCTGCCCCTTTCCGAACCCCTGGTGGATTGCCTCGCCCCCTCTTGTACTCTCCGTCTTTCTCCGATTTCATGTCTTCAGTCTAGTCTGGTGCATGACTTGCGGTTTCTCCAAACAGAGATTGCGTTGGGGTATGTACATACATGTCTGCCCTGGCCCCAGTTTCTTGCCTGATATTTGGCGAATTGGTCCATCGAGGAACTTGTTTGGGGGTGGATATACTGTCTGGCGGGAGGGTGCTGTGGAATACGCATAGTTGCTTACGGTGTGGAAAGACGGGACGTGGGTGATATATGGTTTCTGTTCTTCTTTTCCTTTTTCTTTGCTTCCTCTTCTGATTCGGATGAAGATTTATGACATCGATATGAAAGGACCGAGTCTATGACATGATGAAATTATCTAGCTACAATGAATGACTGGCGTTTCGTTTTGATTATTCTTCATGCACCGTAATAGCCTGGAAGTGGTGTTCATCGCAGCGGCCCAAGACCAGTCACTACCTAAGGTAATGCTGCAATGCGATTGGTGAGTCTAGTCCAATGCTTTGATTTGAACCTGGAGTATACAATAGCCAGACAATAGCCAGATGATTGCCACTATCTAAATCTTGAGCTGACTAACAATTCCAAAACCCTCGCTATCGTACAACGAAGGTTTCGCCAGCCCATCCCATCCACCAAGCGGGACACCCTTTTGGCGGCCAGACTACCGCCACTGCAAAACGCTTTCTCAACCGGCCCCAGTAATGCTCCCTCCAGTCTGTTTCCAGGCGTTGGCCATAGCAAGCAAGTTGGACAGGTTCTTGGTCTGCTGGTCGTCGGCCGGGAAGATGTAGTCGATGTACTCCTCCCAGGTATCGCCGTCCAGCCTGCGCTTTTTCTTGGTCTCGCGCGGCATCTGCTTCTGGATCTTGCTGATGTCCTCGGGCGAGCCATGAGCCTTTTCAAACTCGAGCCACGCCTGCAGCAGGGCCACGCGCTCGGCCTTGAGCTCGCGGTCCTTCATGCGCTTGTGGGCTCGCTCAAAGATGTTGCGGGCCCGCGCCTTGGCCTCCTCGCTGACGGGGCGCTCCTCTGCTTCCTCCTCCGCCTGCTCCTCACCGCCCTCGTCGGGCTCTGGGACGTTGATCTCGAACTGCGCATAGCTGATCCAAACCTTGGGGTGGTCGGCCTTCTGAAGCAGGCGCTCGTACAGCTCGCGCGTCCGCTCGTACTCGCCCTCTTCTTCCTCGAAGTCAATATATGCCTTCCAAACCACTTCGGGCATGTCCAACACGGGCTGGCTGATGGCGAGCTCGAAGATGGCACGGGTACGGTCGAGATCATCCAGGCCGCGCTCGAGCTCGGCCCATTTGATCCACGTCTGGCAGTTTGCTGGGTTGTACAGGGCATGTTTCTCGTACAGCGTCCGACACCTATCGAACTCGTAGAGCCGCTGCTCCAACGAGATGTACTCCTTGAAGAGCTTGTCTTTTGGGCACATTCCAATCGCCCGCCCCAGCGTCTTCCGCGCGGCCGTCAGCTGTCCCTGACGGATTTCAAAATGCGCCTTTGCTACCCATAACTTGGCAAAAGTGAACTTCTTGTGCGGTATCAAGCCCAAGCAGGCGTCGAGGATTTGTCTGGCGCGTTCAATGTCCTTCGCCTCTCGCTCCTCCCATATAGCGTAGAAGAGGAAGAGAAATATATATCTCCTCCAATGCCGCTTTTCCTGTGTTGGCGGTATTTGAGCAATGGCACGTTCATAGACCTCCCGAACGCGGTCTGCGTCCCCCCCACTCTCTTCCAGCCGCGCAAAGTCAAACCAAACGTCGTAATTCTTGGGGTTCTCCTTGACCTGCTCCTCGTAGAGCCTCCTTCGCTTGGTCAGAATGACATCCTCGACGCCTTCTCGGTCGCCAAATTGCTTCTCAAACATGGTGTACTGCGCATGCAGCGCCATTGACCGCGACCGAGGGAGGTTGTCGAGGCCGAATTTGTATATAGCACGAGCCCGCTCGTACTCCTTCTGGCGCGCTTCAAACCTGGCAAAGGCAATGAATAGCCTTTCGTCCACGGCATCATCACCTAACGTCTCGGCGATGGTCTGAATGGCAGTCTGGAAGACTTCCCTGACCATATCGCTGGTTCCGTATTCCTCTTCAAACTTGGCCCACTTCAGCCAGGTCCTCGGTTCGGGATGGACGGCGGTGAACGCGGCAAAGATCTGCCTCGCTCTGTCGAACTCGCCGTAGCGCTTCTCCAGCTTGATGTACGAGTTCCAGGCATCTTCGTCAGGCTCCCACTTCATCCAGCGGTCGAACACTTGGCGGGTGCCGGGGATGTCGCCCAGCATCTCCATGACCCATAGGTACTTGTACCAGAGCTTTGAGACTCGTGGCAGCCGGGTGACGGCGCGATCCAGAAGGTTGCGGGCATGGTTGATGTTGCGGTTCTTGATCTCGGCCTCGATGTACCTGACCCAAAGCTCTGTATACGCAGGTTGTCAGCGAGGCTGCGTAGGGCATGCATATAAGGGGGAATCTTACGGGTATTGTTGGGATGGACATCCAGGGCGCGCTCAAAGACGGAGCGAGCACGGGCAAACTCCTTCTGCTCGAGCTCCCACTGGGCGTACTGAAACCAGTTGGCGAGGCGGATGCGGTTGCGGCGTACATAGTCCTCAAACTCGCGGCGCTTCCGGCCCTGGTACTCCTTCAGCTCCTCGAGGTCGGCGAAGCGCTGTTCGGGCTTGTGGAGCGCAGTTTCCTGCCTGTCGACGGCTTCGCGAAGAAGCTGTTCGGCCGAGATCTGCACAGGCGCTGCCGCCTTGTTCTTGACCCGCGGCGGGCCACGGGAGGACTCCATCGTGACTGACCCCAGTGTCGCCGTTTCAGAAAGGGAGGAGTTGCAGATTGAAACCGGGGATCGACTTGTAATCGGGGTAAAATCCTAGATTCTCTTCTTCAGTGGGATCTTGGTCCAGTGGCTAGTGGTCGGAGTGTTGTAGTTACAGTGGGTCGGTTAGTGGTACTATACTGTACGGGAATCGAACTGCATTGGCTGCAAGCCTGCAAGCAGAAACATACATACATAGCGCGAACTGGTCCGTGCACAGCACCACCCAAACGCGCTTGCCCAGCCAAAACTCTAAGGAAACTTGCCGCAACCTCAAGTCGACAGTTCGTCATCAACTTCCTCAAGACTGCTTTGCCGTTCCTCCCTTCCCTTCCCCGCCTCCCTCAACCTCCGCATCGTGACATATCACAAGCAGAAAGACAACACCAGACGAGACCCGCAGTTTAACGACAATTTTCTGCAAAAAATGTCGACGCTCGCGGACGAACTCCTGCAAGACTTTGAAGGCTCCGGGTCAGAAGCCGGGGGCGATGAGCACGACGATGGTTTGTTCGGTGAGGCTGGCCTTTCTATCGGCACGTTAGGAAATGGGGATACAGCCATGGAGGAGGTTCAGGATGGCGAGGACGAAGAGGACGACGATGCCGACGCAATGGAAGGGCTAGACGGCAACGCGGCTTCCTCCACCGACGATGCCGCCGATGCCAAAGCGAAAATCGAAAAGATGCAGCTTGGGAGCGTCCGCGACGTGCGCATCGTCGCAGGTCTCATGAAGACGCTGACACCTGTTCTCGAGGTTAGTCTACCATCCCCTCTTTGACCTGACAATGCCAACTGCCGTGGAAAAGCGTTTACATCTGGTTTCCTGAGCAATAGCCCTGACAGTTTGCCTCGAACGTTGCAGAAAATCGCACACTACCAGTCGCAACCCGCCCAGTCCACAGACACCGTCGGCAACGTGGAGGACCACCCGGAATACCACCTCCTGACCCAGTCGAACAGCTTGTCGACCCAGATCGATAACGAGATAGTCCTCGTTCACAAGTTCATCAGAGACCACTACTCGGTGCGGTTCCCCGAGCTCGAGACGCTCATCACCAACCCCCTGGAATATGCTAAGGTGGTTGCTATCTTGGGCAATGGGCCGATGGATGCCGAAAGCATCAAGGCTCTCCAAGTGTCAACCGACAATCCGCTGGGCGTAACACTCAAATCGGTGCTGGACGGCCCGTCCTTGATGATTGTCACCGTCGAGGCCACTACGTCCAAGGGTCAGGCCATGCCGCCGGAAGAGCTCCAACGAGTCATACAAGCATGCGAGATGGTGATTGCGCTGGACAAGGCCAAGAAGACATTGACCGAATACGTCCAGTCACGTATGAACGTCTTTGCGCCAAATCTAACAGCCCTCATTGGCTCTCTAACGGCAGCCCAATTGCTAAACCAGGCTGGCGGTCTCACCGGCCTCTCTAAGACTCCAGCTTGCAATCTGCCGGCATGGGGATCAAATAAGCAAGCCGGTGCCGCGCTGGCTACCAACGTCGGTATTCGACAGCAGGGGTTTATCTACCAATCACCCATAATCCGGGGTATTCCGAGCGATCTAAAGAAGCAGGCAATGAAAATGTTCGCCAATAAGATCGTCATGTGCGCCCGCACCGACTGTTTCCACCAGTTCCGTGATGGTTCAGAAGGCGAGCGCTTAAAAGACGAGTGCCTGGACCGCTTGGACAAGCTACAACAGAAGCCTCTAAGCAAGGGAGCCCGCGCCCTGCCCGCCCCCGACGACAAACCGAGCAGAAAGCGCGGTGGTCGGCGCGCGCGCAAAGCCAAGGAAGCAACGGCAATGACCGAGTTGCGTAAGGCTCAAAACCGCATGGCCTTTGGAAAGGAGGAGAAGGAAGTCGGCTACGGCACGGGCGACCACACGGCGGGCTTGGGCATGATCGGCCAGCGCGACGACGGCCGCCTGCGCGTGGCCCAGATAGACCAACGGACACGTGCCAAACTCAGCGCCAAAAGCAAAGGTTGGGGCGGCGCGAGCTCGCTCACCGGCGGCAGCGCCTCGTCTCTCAGGGGTCTCTCCAGCGGCGGCGCGGGCAGCCTCAGCCTAGCCAGCAGCAAGGGTCTGCGGACGTCTGGGGTGGGGACTACGCTCGGCGGGGCTGCGGGCACCGTCTCGTCATTAAATTTCACGGCAACCCAGGGTCTTGAACTCGTAGACCCAAAGGTCCAAGCAGAGCTGAGCCGAAAGCGCAAGGCAGAGGAGGACCGATGGTTCAAGGGCGGCGTCTTTACACAGATTGGCAACGGCGGTAGGGAAGGCAGCGATGGATTCAAGAAGCCACCTCTACCACCGAGCAAGCGGGTTGATACAGGGGCAACCAAATCACAGTCATAAATGGGTCGGACGGAATTAAGCAGTCACAGAGACAGGATGGACAGTGCAGGGAGAATTGAGGCGGGCGGGGTTGTACAGGCATAGGCTACCTACACGGCGTTAAGGAGGGGGGTATCCCGAGAGGGAGTTTACAGTATTGTGGCCTAAGAACCCGAGGACCGAACACGCACACTTTGTGCGCTTCTGTGTATGCTTTTTCGAGCTGAACCGGACGAGCATCAGGTTGGCATCAGACGTGCATTCCTTTTTGTCCAGCACTTTCTGGGATTGTCACCCGATCGCGCGGTGGTAAGTGGCAAGTCCTAGCCTTTGATCTTCTACTCCCAGACCGGTCTCGCCGGTGTACTGTACTCTTTGACTCTGCGTTTTTCCCCAAGCCACCTTTTAGATGGTTTTGCAAAAGGACCGAGTGCGTGCCACAACAGCCGAGAGACCCTGTCAAAAGAAAAAGATCGTCGGTGTTGGGCTCCAATTTCTTTCGAGGGACGACCCTTACACCACCTTTGAGCAACTTTAGCCCCGCACCTGCCCATGGCATTCTTGGAAAATGCCATGTTCCACAGAGAAATGCCATGGTGCTCCCCAAAGCCTATCAGCTCTGTCAAAGGCACGTGTAGTGTATGTACTGTATGTGCATACGCCAACAACCTTTCACATTCGAGGCTTCCTTTCCAGCGAGTATCCATTCGAATCGCAAGAGAGAACTGACGCACCTAATTGGCAGGCCCCGGTTTTCTTCTGCTTATCATGCCCCTTTTGAGACCAAGATTGGGCCGAGTCACAAAGCCGTGCCGGGCGCGCTTTCTTTGGTGGTCATGTCTGAGAAGAGAGATGCGGAGAGGGCTTTTTCTTTCCTTTGGGCGGCTTGCTGCATTCCTGTTTACCTTCCTTGCGGGGTGTAGTTGAATTATATGAGCCGCTTTTCCCGGCCTGCGATAGGTCGCCGCTGGGGGAAGGGGGTTTCCCATCAGGCGATGGGATGTGGGTTTGTCGGCATCGGTGAAATGCCGGAATCCTGCTTCTCTCTGGGCGCCGCCCTCCCTCCCCTCGTCCCCCCTCTTTCCCCTTTATTCGTTGACACGTCTCATCAGTCGAAACAGAAGGAATGTTTGGGGCAACCGTGCTCAGCGAAATATCACCAGGGTAGGGAATACTATTGCGTGGCTTTGAACTAAATTGTCGCACTGGCATTTGTTATTCGTAATTTGTTCCTCGAAGAAAGGCGGGGGGCGCCCAAACCATCCTTGACATGACGTGAGGGTTAGTATAGGTTATCAGGACGGAAAGCTGCTGCATCGGATCCACGGCTCAGCCAAAGATTGCCGTTCCTGTTATTGCGGGGGAAGGTAGGAAAGCAACAAACGTGGTGCTTTGACACAGAAAATTGTGAGCGGGTGCCCGTCGCTGCTGCCGTCGCAAATTTTTGTCCATGTCCCGAGACTCTGATGCCAGTATATGTCGAATAACACGGCTCTCTGTAACATTTTCAAACGCTTCAACGTTAACATCTGCTGCTGATCCAAGTGCGTGTCTCTGTTCATGGCTCCGTGTGGATGGCGCGGATGGGCTGATTAAAGGTTATGGTCGCAGTGCCAACTTTCGGCAGCGTCGTCCGATCTAGCAATCCGTACTGTGTCGTGAAGATCGAAGGGCTCCGGACCTAACTCTCCGGAGAAGCCTTCTTACCCCTCCCCGTGTCTGCAGGCCGGGATCGGGATCCCTGAAGGACCCATGCTGCCTGATGTCATCATTGTGAGGAATTTCTGCGGCTGCATCCTCCCGATATTTGGACCCTCACCTTGGAGCTCTCTGGGCGGGCTTGGCGACAAGGGTCAGCGTTGAGCCTTCTCTTCACCATTATCTCTGTGCTATCAGCGACAAGTCGACAACCATTCCCTTAGGGCGCACCACACCACACTACGCATAGTAGAAGCATTATATGTAAGGACAGTACATTATGGCCTATATATCAAGTACTGTTTATACGGAGTAAGTACAATCGCTAGGCAGTTACCTAGGGTTAAACGTGGATTAATCAAAGAGCAGTCAATGGGATTTTATTTCCGCCAGAGCGAACTGAGTGACGACTGACGAGGCTGCGCCGTCTCGATCAAAAGCACCAAACCCGATCTCGCGTAGGGAAAGACTGGGGTCCCCATAATAAGGGTCAGATGGATGACCTGAATGCAATGCTATTGGCCTCCGGTTATCTCTACCGGAAACCCTTGATTTGGAGCCCGGCATCCCAATTCTTTTTCTGCCAAGGCAGGTCGAAGCACGGGAGATTGCACTTCTTAGCGCTTCCCATTATTATTGTGAGCTCTTGGACCTCAACGGCCAAGTCATTTTCCACCATCCGTGTGTACACTGCAACGTACGGAGGTACTCTGTAGGATAAAGTATACGGATACTGACTCTTCCCGGTACCATGCCGACGAGGAAGAGCCGCCAGGTAGGTGCTGGGAACCTATTGGTTCTCCCGCATCCGGGAGCTTTTTGGCCTCAAGTCTCTGGGCTGGTCAGCGCTTCCGGTTGTCAGAAGAGGGACGGACGACACGGGTATAAGCAGTGCATCGTGTAGGCCAGGGGTCCAGCGGTCCGCATTTAGCATGGCCTTACCGATCCCCACCTAAAGTCCACTAATTAGTGGTCATGTAACTTGGTGTCCGGCACGGAGTATGTATGGTTCTGTATGGCGTGTTGAAAGGTTGGAAAACGCTGCGCGGTGAATAGAATCCGTGCTTGTCTGCCCAACCCTAATGGTTGCAGGACTATGGCAAGTTAACCAACTAGTGTACTCGCGTACTTCCCCATCATATCCAGTGAATTGTGCAGGACATTGGACTGGGGAATGATATGAACCAACCTTCTCACTCCCGCTAAGTAGGTGATGGCCCTGACGGGATTCCCTACCCTACTCGACAACGGGGCTATACACTACTGTGTACAAGTGGCTTGCATCCCGTCCTCCGCGGGTGTGCGCACCACATGTATGTATGTACATACAGTACACTAGTGTAGCTACCTAGATACCTAGTCGAGCTAGGTACATAGTGAACATGCAGACACTTCTGGAGCTTGGCCGGGCGTTGCACCGCGTGGTGCGAAATACCCCGGATGCCAATCTCGGACTGTAGAAACTGTAAGAAGCTTCTGGTATGTGTAAGACGGGCCCCATTATGGATCCACCAACACATACAGCACACTTTACATTGTGCTCGTCAAGGGTTCAGGCACCCGCTGTCAGCCTGCCAGGCAAGTGTCCCGACCTTCGGCACGATACCTTCGACTGCCGATTGGGTTACCGCGACTTGTCGTCTAGATGACTTACCATATGGCAATACCGCGATGAACTGACCTTACAGTAACATTAGCCTAGTGCCTGCTGCCACTGACGTCATATCGCAATATGTTTTTGCTAGGATACCGGCCAAGATCAGCATGAGTGTTTACGGGCTTTTGGGTTTTGACGAGCAGAATCCGCTCACAGACGGAGTATCCTAGCAGACGGTGGATGCGGCCTGGAGTTAAAAGGCATAGACACATCGGGATATGATGGCGTGGGAATTGTGCTTGAGACAGGTTTCTGTCAGCTTGGACCCCAATAAGGGACCTAAGCTCATATTGTTCACAGTAATGTAGTACCACAGTGGGTTCGGGGGGTGAGTGCCCCAGAACAGGGTTCAAAGGATTTCCAGCCGAACTGCCCTCGGCCCATGTCGGATGGTTTCCTGTTCCTGATCTGCCCTGCCGGGCCCCAACAAGGGACACGAGAGATGTGCCAACCAGCGACGCTTCGCTTCGCAACCAAAGGGTTCCATTTCGAGGTGATCGTCGCCTTGCGGCTTTGACTTGCATTGGGGGAAAGATGGCAAAATCGACGACGCTAGCAATTGACTCGTTTCACTCAACCGGATTCAAGTTATCTGGGCAGTAACGTTGTACGTCTGTTGGACACTGAACCTTTGTTCGTCATGGTGAGTAAAATAGCATGGAAGATGTGCATGAAGGCGGCAAACCCTGACAGGGAAGTCGACTGCAACTGGGACAACGGTCACGGCTGTGGATGTGGCTGGAAGGCGAAAGCACTGCGGATTTCGTCATTGAGCCCACTGTTACTCCGTACAAGAGCTCTCATGTACCAAGTACTTCGTGTACTGTCGTACAATACAACTTCAGGGTTTGACTCGACAGTTCCCACACAACTCGAACTGAATCCATCAGTACATATGGAGAAGGGCCGCACACTGTGTATAAGCACCCATTGTGTCTTCATACTGAAGTTGCGGTAGCCTTGCAACATTCACAGGAAAAAACAAACTATGGTAAGCGGATCCGTGACATCCGGCGGCTGCACAGCAAAGCCAGAGGTATCGATTTAGCTAGACAACATTACGAATATGTGACTAGCTACTTTCCTACTACTTGATGGGAAGGTGGCCGTGCGACATGCTACAGTGCAGAGTGTCGCACAATTGATGGAAGCAGCTTCGCTCCCTTCACGAATTGGCCCATGCGCTCAGGGATCAGCATGCTCGAGCTACGCACACGCCCCATCTCCCCGCCCTCCAGACCAGGGGCGTGTGCTGCGTCCCATGTCGTGGCGGTCATGGTTGCTTGCCGGGGCCCTGTGATTGCCATGCAGCACCGCAAAAGGGCGAAAACTGAGGTTTCCAAGGATGGAGTTTCATGCATTTCCCAGTGTCTGCTGCCACGGTACCTGCTCCGTTGCTGTTGTTGCTTTTCTTAATATTTAGTGAACAGTCGCCCTCCTCCTTCCTCTTGATCCGTTTGCATTCCTGACGCTTCACACCTTCTCCCTCTTCTCGTCTCCTCCATTGTTGGATTACGGGGTTGCTAGGCAAGTTCGACCGAAGCTTTCGTCTTTGTTTAACATATCCAAAAGAAGAAAAGGGGTGTCGAAGAAAGTCGTCATTTGGATGCAAACGTTGCCGCACCAAACACCCAAAGCTTAGCTGCCCGCCTGCCTGCCACTACTTCTCCGTCCACTCCGCCTCACCTCAGTCGACTACTACTACCGCACAAGAGCCGTCCTCCTCTGGCCTCGCACCCGGCTTCTGTCTTGCCAAGGGACTTGATTACTATAATTCCATTGTAAAGCCCTTTACGCCGACAAGATCAATTGGCTGTTTTCTACCTACCGCCCACGCATCTAGATATCTGTCAGATTGCAGCTCTGCTAGCCAACGGCCATCAAACCTTCCGCCATGCATGTCCGCGATGCCTCCGGGCGTCGAGTGTCGCTTTTGAACGACGACGATACCTCCGTCACCAGCAAATATCAGCCTTCGTATCATGTTAACAGCGGATATGCCTCCTCATCCTACTATTCCCAGGCCCCACGGAGCGCCTCATCGACACCAAACACTCCCGAGATGCTTCGGTCTGACTCGTATGACTCCCAGATGAGTGCCGAGCCAATATCCCCACTCACGCCCCTCTACGAGCCCGCGCGGTATGCCCCCAGGGTGGCCGAAGCCCGCTCCCCTTACGAGGACTATCACGTAGATAGCCAGGTCTACGCCGGCCAAAAACGCCCAGTTTCGCTCATCGACAGCCGGTCGGCGTCGTACGAGGACGATGCGACTGACAACGCGACTTCGAGCGAGAGGCCCGGGAAGCGGTTCCCCTGTCGCTACCGGGACAGCCACGGCTGCGAAAAGACCTTCACCACCTCGGGCCATGCCTCCCGGCATTCAAAGATCCACACGGCGGAGAAGGCGGTGCCCTGTGCCTTCAAGGGATGTACCAAAAAGTTCACACGCGCCGACAACATGAAGCAGCACCTCGAAACCCACTACAAGGACAAGTCTCGTCCTTCATTGTCGCGCCCTTCTCTGTCCTCAAGTGAGCGCAGATTGTCGGCGTCGGGAAAGTCATCATCAAGTCGCACCAAAGCGCCAACAGAGGCGCCCTCGATTAAAACTACCGGTATCAGCGCCAGCTTGGCAGCCTCCTCGCCACTACCCTCCCCCGGAGGCGTCTGGGACCTGCGCGACCTGAACCTTCCGCTTCTCAGCCGGCCCAGCGCTGTACACTCCCCAAGAAGCGGGCTTGACGCTCTCGCCTTGGCAGTTGCGTGCCAGGAAGGATCATGAAAGATATTTGCCCTATTTTCTCCGGGCTCCGTCACAGCCTGTTCTTCACCTAAATAGTAATCATAGTTGGGGCGCTTACGCTTTCTCTTCCGACGCGGAATGCTCCTCTCTCTCTATCTCTTTCCTCTTGGCGCGGCCATAACCGGGAAGGCAACCTCGGTCTGCGTGCAAATGACGGGCAAAGTGTCACTTTCAAAAAGGTGGCGCGTATACGACCTGACACCTCTTCTTTCCCTTCTTCTCTTCTCCTTCTTGGGCCGATACACAAATAGCATTTTTAGGTTGGCAACACGGACACTGCATTTCCCGGGAGGCGTTTTTCTGCGGCGCGGCTCTCTGATCTTCTCTTCACCTTTTAAAACTATATCCCCTTCCCGGAAAGCGATGCGCCGGCAAAGGGTCTCTACTGGATGGACAGGCGTCAGATTACCGACATGCCTGTCCTATTGCTCATTGGCACCCTGTTAATTGGTGGTCTCGTTCGCGATGTCGCGGCTGGCCGGAACACGAGAGAAACACGACGATTTCCTGCCGTTGTGCTCTGGGGTGCGGGCACAACGAGTAGTTGGGGCGGTGACACTGGGTGGGGGGAGAGGGGCTTAGAATAAGCAGGTATCGGTTGCCCTCATGGTCGAGGGACTTTCCGAATATCGGCAGGAATGGCCGTCCCTTACAAATTACGTTCCAGGGGCCTATCGTCTCTTCTGTGAGAAGAAGAGAAGAGCAGGGTCGTCAAATCTGCTAGTCCTCGGGCTAGCTGGGAATCCCCCTTACATCCCATGTATGTACGTATCTCGAGTTGCCTAGTTGGCAGCGCATTGATACCAGCGTAGCAATAGCAGCATCCTGACAGAAACGGGCAGATAGGAAATGAACCGATTGAACTTCAAGTACCTACCAGACTTGTGACTTTCCTTTTGGTGACGGGCTCTGTGAATATGCCATCGAGGTATTGCGAAGTAGTTCCGCAGTCCCCCTCGAGAGGCTTGAGCCGGAGAAACCAACTAAGTCTAACCCAAGTCATCCACGATCAGGCCCTAGTGCAAGACGATGATTCTTGTGTTGTAAAAACGAGGTGACACTCGAACTCGTGGAAGGCGAGGCTCAAGTGCACTATTAGCGTAGATAAACAAATCCGACCATGACCGGGTGCAGTGCCCGAGACAAAACCGTCGTCCCCCGGATCTTCTATGCTGATAGAAATACAGACCCGCCATCAGCTCCCAACCCTTTGCCCTGTTTTCGGCCACAGTTCCTCTCAATTCCTATGACCAGAACTGCTCCTCCTCGGCGCACATCCTCGCCATTTCGAACTGCTCGTCCGTCTGGCATACCAACAACCTCGGAACCACGCCAGGCTTGCCAACGTCCCAAACAACCCCACCGTCACCCCCTTCCCCTTCACCTTCACCTCCCGACTTCTGACTTTGGTTCTGGTTCTGCCCGTTACCTTCATTGGCGGCCGCGTCGAGCTGAAAACCGAGGCAGGCGAGCTGGTCGGCCACGGCGGCGCGCAAGCGGGCGCTCTTCTCGCCGATGCCCCCCGCAAAGACGAGCGCGTCGATGTTGCCGCGCAGCGTGACGTAGTAGGAGCCCACAAAGGCACAGACGCGGTCGACAAACAGGTCAAAGGCCAGGCGGCGGGCCGGGTGGTCCCGCCAGGTGTCGGCGTCGGCGATGAGGCCGAAGTTGGTGGTGCCCGTCAGCGCCTTCCACCCGGCCTCTTTGTTGAGAATCTCCTCGGCCCGCGAGATGTGCAGTTCTTTTGTCGATGCAGGTGACAGTTTGCCTACGTCGCTTGCGTAGTGGAAGACGAGGCTATTGTGTATGGGCGGGAAAAGGGGGGCGCGTGGGTTAGTTGAACCTTACAGAAGGAGGTGGAAGGAGAAGTGGGGGCTAACCTAGGGTCTACACTTCCGCTCCGCGTCGCACCGGGGAGCCCAGCCAGCGGGGTGAGCCCCATGCTCGTGTCCCAGCTCTTGCCAGCCTTGATGGCGCACGCGCTGGCGCCGGATCCGAGGTGCAGCGCGATCAGGTTCACCTCGTCTACGGGCTTGCCCAGAAATCCGGCGGCGGCGCGCGTGATGAAGGCGTAGCTGATGCCGTGGAAGCCGTACTTGCGGAGGCGGTTTTTGCTCGCGATGTCCTGGCTGATGGGGTAGGTGCGGACGTGGTCGGGGATGGTGGAGTGGAACTGGCTGTCGAAGCAGGCTACGTTGCGGGCGCCGGGCAACGAGTCGATGCAGAGCCTCACGATGCCGAGGCTGTTGGCGTTGTGGAGCGGCGCCAGGTCGTTGAGGTTCTCGAGGTGGTGGTAGGTGCCGTCTGCCACCAGCTGCGGCTTGGCGTAGTCGCCGCCGTGGACGATGCGGTGGCAGACAATGGCCACGTCCTCCCTACTTTCGATTTCAGGGAGGTCGTGGTCGTTGATTAGTGTGTCCAGAAGGAGGTTAAAAGCGTCTTGCTGCCCATTGACCTTCTCATCCACGTCGCCATCTTTTGTGACGACCTGGCCGCGTCTCACGTACTTGAGCTTTGCGGGTGGCGCCGTCAAGCCGCTCACTTGGGACTCTGCGATCTGCACAGGTGACTGTCCAAACCCAGCGGTGTACACCGAGACCTTGACCGACGAGGACCCGGCGTTGACGGCCAGAATGACCTTCTTCATCTTGGTCCAAACCTCACCAAAAAACTGAAGTACCACCGAATCACCAAGGTTCTGTGCCGCTGCCGTCAACGGTGAAAGAAACCGGAATCAGACGGGAAACGAGCGAAAATAAGGGCCGCCCAGCGACTTATAGCATGGCGCGGTCCTGGCTGTCAGTCCACACTATTGGGAGAGATGCCTATTCTCTCCTCGTTATTTTGGGATTCCGTATAGCACTCAGGCGTGTCCCTCTCTTGATATCAGGTGAGAATAGGGTCGTGGGCCGTGGGCCATGATGCTGCGAGTGACCTCTAGAGTTGAGAAGTGGGCTGAGGCCGTGGGCTTAGGCCGTGGGCTGCCTATGACGTAGTACGGGCTGAAGCTCGGAGCAGATGAGGAGCTTGCCGGTAAGCATTCGCTTGGCGTCAACCCCACCTAGCGGGGCCGTCCAATGGTCTGGGCCACACGGCCACAGGGCCACAGGCTCTCGTCTGAACTTCACACGAGGGGAAAGGACTGAACCATGGGGAATATCTGCCCCGATAGGTCAAAGTGCTTCTGCAACCTGCACAGAACAGGTGATCGAAGTGACACACGCTGGCATTGGATAGCTTGCGCAAGCAGTCAAACTTTTCTTTTCGTTAACCAAGAAGCCGTGGATTGAATCCGGCTTACCAGCGCCAGCCGTCAGGATATAAGACACATTCCGCATGGGCATATCAACGTAAATTGGGTATATGCTGCAAGACATGGCAAATAACGCCGCCGTGATTTCCCGTCCCGTGAGATATAACGTTAGTAGATGGAGAGCTGCCGTTCTCAACAGAAAACTCATTTCATAGCGTTTCATCAGAATCCGGGCCGTCGCCGGGTTCGGCCACCGAAGGAAGACGCCCCGTCATCCCGGGCGACTCTAGCTCAGCTAACTCTTCGAGATGGCGTCCTGGGATACCGTTGATGTAAGGAGACGGCAACTCGATATGGTTTGGTGGAAACGTCGCGTCGAACTCGGCATCCGCGACGTGTGCTGAATCCCAGTGATGGAGAAACCTTCTATAATCTTGACATGGGTCAGCCTCGACCCAGGGTCATAGTATGCCGCTGCAAGGGCGGGTGCATGCGTGCTCACCGTCAGTTCCGGACTGTATGTTGTTGTTCCTGGAGAACTGGATACCGAGGTAGCGAATATCGCCTGTACTCTGCGGTGGGTTGCCGTTGGGGAGAGGTGTACTAGGTCTATGGCGGAAGATGGATAAGCGCCGCTCGCGGCCGTGGCCGTGACCTTGACTGCTTTCAGGCGCGCTGCCCCTCCTGGCTCCGCGTACACCCAGCTGAAGCTGCCGACGGGCGTCGTCCCGCCGGCGGGGCTCTCTGTCAAAGTCATCGAGCAGGTACTCCTTCCAGCGCCGGCGGTGGTTAGCGTAGAATGTCAGGTAGTGAAAGGTGGAGTATCTGTCCCGCCAGAGCTTCATCCTCTGAATTGTGCCTAAGCCCCGTACATTGCCGTACGGGTCTTGCCTCCGGTGCTGGTCTGACCAAATAACGTCGACGTCGAACCAATCAATGAGGTCTCTGCCCCTGAGGTCACCCTGCAGCTGGATCGAACTCTCGATCGTGGTGAACTCGTACTTTACTTCGACGTAGTCGTCGTGCAAAACGCCGTCGGCAGTGGTGTACCGGATCCGGTGAGGCTCAAGGAATGTGAGGTAGAGCTCCATTTCCCGCGGGTCGCCGAACCGGCGATGCTGGGCATGGCGAGTAAGCGGGAAGATCTCGGCCGCATTGTCGGACGGGACTTTACCTGCGGGTCAGCGACTCGAATGCCGACGAGAGGGGATGGGGGCAAATTGGAGGGGGGCGATGGGAAAACGGGAACGCACGGAAGTGCTCGAGTACCTCGCCGGCATAACTGCATTGCCACACCAAGCGCCGTGGGCTGGCGCCAACAATCTCCCACGGGCCCAGGTAGATGGTCGTTTCGCTCGGCGTCCGCTCATATAGCTTTCTAGAGAGCCCGGGTCGTCAGAAGAGAGAAAACGCAGCGGCAGGCGGGGCTAGGAAGGACAGGCAACGGCGTCTATTACATTGTCGCGTGATAGCCCGGGGGGCCGAGATCGAGAGGCGCGGGGGGCGTCTGCGGGGCCGACGACTGGGCAGTCAGGGCGGAAATTGCACCCGAAACGGGCGTAAAGGTTGTGTCGGCCGGGCTGGCAAGTTGACCATAGGCCGGCCGGCCGCTCAGCGACGACGAGTTGAACGACGAAGACGAGCTGGACCGCCAGGATGGTGCTGCCATGGTCGGGTTGCACTGGGTTGCACCTCTTGAAGCACGGTGTAACACGGCCGTTGTCTGGGAATGGCGACAGAACCGGGGTCGCAGAGAGCCGCACTAGGCTTCCAACAAGATCCCATGGGGCGGCTGATCATCTCCAGCAGGAGCGGATCCTTGGGCTGGTGAAGGCGGAAAGCGTCCGACTCGCAGACGAGAATGGACAATGAAAAGGATCGGCAGATTTGGAGGACATACGACAGGCAGCCCAGAGCATGATGACTACCTCTTGTCCTTGCTGTGGTGCTCCTCTCAAGAGGCGGACGACGATGACGGCAGCGACGCCGATGGGCGGCAATGGCGTACGAGGCGTGTTTTCCTGCGACGTCAGCTGGCTCGGGCTACAGCGAAAAGAATGGAAGCACCGGAGCCTGGCAAGAAGCGTGTTGTGGCAACTGTCGGGAACACGCTGGACACGGGAATCTGGGCCGAAACCAGCATGCAACGCACCCAAGCGGGCAGCGTGGATCCGACCAACCCAGGCGGGGCGGAGAGCGAGGGAAGGGGGGGGGGGGTTCCGGTTTTGGGGTTTGGAACCCGGGGACCGAAAGTTTTGTTGGTTCCCAGATCTGTGCCGGTTTGTGTGCGCCTCTTCTTGGGGAGATATGTGGGGGAAGGGGCGGCTGCGCTGGTGGCTGCCAGCTGAACAAACCGCCGCACTGGATCGAGGCACGAGCTGGAAAGGCGCCCGGCCATTTGCACAATGCGCCATGTGTTAGCGGGCTGCGGGCATGCAGGGTCTGCCTCGGGCTGTCTTGGCTCAGCCCCCCACTTCCCGCTGTGTGTGCCTCCTGCCATTGCCAAAACTGCCAAAGTGGGGGAGGACAGTGGGGGGACCATAATGGGGCTCGCCGGTCTGGCTTGCCAGGCTTGGCACCAGAAGCGGCTTGATGCGGAAGAGTCTTTCCTCACGTTTGGGAGCTCGTGACCGTTTGTCGTATGCATTGTGAGAAAGCCCCGAGAGTTGTGTACGGGCCGAGCCACTGGACGCAGCCGAGTCGGAAGGCAAACATATTCGGTTTCGGTTCACATTGCTGTAGTGTACGGACGGAGTATTACATAACGCTAAGTTGATTTTGAGCAATGACCCTAACCCTGGAGCGGATGGTGGGAGTCGTGGGACATTTAGGTTGCAACTTGCACTGCGTGACGGTGTCTTTCCCAATCAACCGCGCGAAACCCCCGCCGAGCCTGGACAAGCTCCCACGGCCCTTTGCTATCCACAACAACGCACCGACTTCCCAAACAAGACGTCCAACAGGCGAGAGCAGCGACGCGGAAAGTGGGCTAGGCACAGGCTTCAAACTACCAGCCATGACGGGGAAGCAGTTGAACGAGCTTCAGCGGACCATCCTGGGGAGGCTGTTCCAGCTTGCGAAGCTGAAAGACTCGGAGCTTGCCTGGGTCATGGGCGTTGGTGAGAGGACGATTCGTCGGCGGAGGTACGAGTATGCCGAAACGGGCCAGCTCAGAAAGCATAAAGACGTCAGTCAGAATGCGGCAAAGTTGAAGCCACATCATCTCGAGGTACATGTTCCCACCGTCTGGTACCGTTCTTATTATCCCTTGCTGAAGGTCTGGACACGGCATTACAGAAGCTACTGGAGTTCCACAAAAACCATCCAGATGCTATGCTCAAGGATCTGCAGTCTTTTCTCCGAGAGACGTTCGATGTTGAGGTTAGCGTTTCATCCATCAGTCGGCACGTGAGTAAGGCGCACGGCGACGACCGGAAGGACCCAAAAGCACGACCGAAGAAGCCGAGAGGGATAAGAAGACGTGCTATCGCCCCCGAAATCCAGCAAGGCGTCGGCGGCAACGGCGGCAACGGCGGCAACGGCGTCAATGTCAGCAACACTACTCAAACAGCTGCCGCCCACTTGTATCAGGATCAGTACCAGCTGGCTCCGCTGCAGCATCTGGTGGCTCAACACGAGACACCCCGCCAGGAACTGGGGTTACAAGGACCCATGTATCATGCTCATGCTGCCGTCGGGCGGCAGTAGGTATTGACGGGTTATACGTGCAATATCTCTAGTCAGTTGGATGGCAAGGCGCCAGGCGTTTTCGGCGTACCTAAAAGGAGGCGTTTCTTTTCAACTGTGCATCCGAACTGCACTACAAGTGTGATTGGAATCTCGTTAGGAAATAGGATCGGATTTATCGGCAATCGGTTGCATCATAATTAAGAATCGAGCACTCTCCGGTTTCTCGAGATGGGAGATAATAAGATGCCCATCACAATCTCAAAAAGATACTAATTAAGCCACACTTGGGAGTTGGGAACAGTGAGTGGGTCGTTGGATTGAGGTTTTGAAATCGAAGCTGACCCTAACCCTACCGACAACCCAGTGGGAGCCAGGAGCCAATAGAATGTTTTGATTAGGCTGGAGGTTCAGTCGACCTGTCTGATTGGCCGTGACGTTGATAGGAAGGCTCGCCAGGCATGCACAGGACACATCCGATGGCGTGCTGAGGCATACACTAGAAGCGGCCAGGCTCCCACCTAACTCCACCAAGCCGGGCTGCCGGGTACGCACAATTGCAGTGGTTAAAATGATCGGATGCAGTTGAGGGCACACAGGAGCAACAATAATCATGCATTACAAGCCCTACTGAGTGATATTAGGCCCAGAGCTCTGGGCCTATTAAGGAGTACTGGACTGCTCGTTTCTAATGCAGTCATTATCTTCTCTATCTTCACAGTCCCAGTCTTTCGACTCCGTAAAGTCAACACCCATTCAGGTCAACTTTCATCCTGTGTTCCTTCTGAAAACGTTGAGTTCGAACCCTTGCTCAGTGCCAAGCACACCCCGCTTAATGATCTCCTTGGCTGGAAACCGGCGAAGGAAACCAATTAGGAGATAGAACCGCCTAGACTGGCCGGCCTTGCCTTCTGAAATTCCGTCTGTCACACGAACCCCACTAACCTGCGGTCCCTACGCTGTATGGATGTATTCCCCTCCTGAGTCGGGGATATTGGCCGAGGTGCCTGATGAAGCTGTGTTTGGGTTTGTGCGACAAACTTGTATAATTGCTTACCCTGCACCTTTGTCCGTTGCGGCAACCCTGTGCGGCGCGGCCCAAAGCTGCGCGCCCAGTGGTGCCATGTGTGTGAGAGATGTGAGAGAGGGGAGTGCTTGCTTCAAGACTTTAGGGATCAAGTCGGTTAACTAATTACCTTACCAACTAACGAATCCCCAAAGTTAGTCTGATAACCCCCCCGACTTCGCGCCTCGGCGCTGAGGCTGGTGGCTCTTGGGGCTTCTGGGCAGAGCCAGATGCTGAGCTTTTCTCTAGCCATGACAAGACTCTCTTGCATTGCCCAAATGTTAGACGCAGCAAAACAGCTCGGCTCACTCACAACCTTTTGATTGACTGTGGCCCATTTGACACGAACTAACAATCTTGGCCGGCCATAAGGTTGTCTGCCTCCTTCACCGTTCCGCCTCTCAGCGTTTCAACCTCCCCCCATTTTGACTTCGCCCATTCTCAGGCGAGCGCCCACGCCCTCTTTTCCCTTTCCCCCCTTCTCCCAACCAGTAGCTACACGCAGACCGGAACTCGCGACATGTAGAAACGTCTTCAACGCGGTCAACCCACCTTGTACCTAACGCCCTATGGCGGACATCATGTATCCCGGTCCTGAACGGAGAATAAACCGCGGCTATTTGGGATACGACAGCTCGGAGTTGCCAGCCCGAGACAGCCAGGCATGGGCACCCACTTCTTTTTCCCCCAGTCACCAGTGTACCGGGTCTCCGTCTCCACGGAGTCTATTCTATGTGCATCACTGCATTCCTGTTTCCTGTATTGCACATGCATCGACACGCGCTTTACTGACTGGCCACGGCCAATTCTAGGACCGCCAACAACTCCGCTATGAGCTCGACCTCAATTCCTGGAATCTGAGAATTTGGGGCGTGGCCGCCTCTGGTTTCCTGACAGACTCGTGCGTCGCTCAATCAACCCTCTCCTGCACCATCTACACTCATGTTGACCCAACGTCGCCAACTAGATACAACCTGTTTGCAACCAATGTGATCCTCGCTACCCTTTCGTTTGTCTATTTTCCCCACGAAAAGTGGTACGGTCTAATCATCAACTTCTTTACCCTTCTCGGGTACGTTGCTCTCTATCTCTCTCTTATCCTGCTGTTGACTGGCCCAAGTTAACAAGCATCTTTTTGAAAACAAGGTCCGTGTGCGGTCAACTGCTCTTTGGCTACCTCGCCGACAAATATGGCCGGACTCGCCTTTATGGCATTGAGCTCGTCCTCGTCATCGTCTCCACTCTGGGCGTCGCTACGACCAGCACCGGCTATGGCGACATGTCTTTTCTTGCCCTGTTTACTTGGGTGCGTGTTCCCCTCTATCGAAGCACTGTTGTGTCTGTTGTGCCTGACCATGTTTGTCCTTCCATCAGTGGCGTTTTGTTATGGGAATCGGTGAGCATGGCCCTCGGCATTGTGCGCCCTACTACCGCGGACTCAACCCCTGACAGTGACCCCCTAGGAATCGGAGCCGAATACCCCTTATCTGCAGTAATCACGTCAGAATGGGCAAGCACCTCGTCAAGGGCAACCATGATTTCGTCCGTATTCATGATGCAGCCCGTGGGTCAAGCCCTCGCACAGATCGTCGGCCTTTTGGTCCTGCTGGGCCAGGACGCTGCCTTTGGTTTGCATGACAAGAAATGCGGCATCGATGCGCTGCATGAAGAGGAGTGCAAGAAGATCATTGACGGGATATGGCGCTGGGTCATTGGCTCGGGCGCCGTTCCCGCCGTCTTGGCCATCATCTTCCGCTTCTTCCTCTACGACTGCGGCCTCTACACGCTCGAGGTCAAAAACAAACCTGGCAACGCCTTCCAGGACACGCAGCGAGTGTACGGAGCCCCAGCACCTGCCAATGGCATACCGTTGGCGCCCCACGTCAGCTCCAGTCTATACTCTCCGCGCACAATGCCGGTGCAGTTTTCGCTCAAGGACCTGCACGCCTTTCTCATCAGGGACAAGAACTGGTATTACCTCCTCGGCACTTCCATGACATGGTTCTTTTTGGACGTATCATTCTATGGCTTTTCGTTGGATAACCGGGGCACTCTTGCCGATTTATGGGCTACTACAGACTCCGTGGAGCTCAATAGCTCGCTCCCGTGCTGGAATTCCACGCTGCCCGGAGGGAGATCGCTGGTTCCTGGTTGGGTGGAGACGGGCCTGCCAACCTGGCAGACGGATGACACGCTGCTCTGCAACACCATCTACGAGGTGCTCATCGAGCAAACCAAACAGTACCTGCTCACCGTGTCCATCGCCTCCATCGCAGGAAGCGCCTGCTTCATCTACTTCGCAAACAAAATCCCTCGGCGGAGGTGGCTGACTACCTCCTTTATCGTTCTGACTGTCCTATTCCTAGTCACCGGCGGCGTCTATTACGCCGTAGCTCACACCTCCCGCTACCCTGCAACGGTGCTGTTCGTGGCCATCTGTCATTTCATGTTCAACTTTGGTGAGCACAGCCCCAACACCATGCGCTGTTACCCCCTTTTCGACTACATCGAGCACATCCCAGGGCTGACACACATCACAAGGCGCCAATACGCTCACCTTCATCATCCCCGCCGAGATTTTCCCGACTTGCTATCGATGCACCTGCCACGGCATCTCGGCTGCTGCAGGAAAGCTCGGCAGCATCCTTGCAGTCCTGGTCGTCTACGGCATCAACTCGGGCTATTCGCATTCCAAGCGCCAGGGGCTCATCTTTTTGCTCTTTGCCACCTTCATGGCCCTCGGCGCCATCTACTCGTGGGCCTACATCCCCGACATCCAGCGCGTCGTCTACGACGGCGAGGGCGGCAAGAAGCGGCTCGAGACCAAGAACCTCGAGGAGCTGGGCGAGGGTTACATGCGCGCCCGCCAGGAGGGTCAATTGCTCAACTTCAAGGAGAAGTCGGCCGATTTGCGGATGAGGCTAGCAGAAAAGATGAGACCAAGGCGCCGCCTCGGTAGCCAGGTCGAGGAGAGCACCGCCGCTAATGGCGGTATGACCAATGGTGGCCCTGTTGTATGACAAATGGAGAGAAAAGGGGAGGGAGACGGACGGGCACACCTGCCAAGGATGTGTTTTGCCTTGCTGAGCCGCTGCCCGACGCCTACGGTTCCGTTTCCCTTCGGCCTGCAACCAAACATATGTTGGTATTGGTCTGGGCTGTGCTACACTTTTCAAGTGCGGGGTGGACGGGTTGAGGGGGGCAGTGCTGCGCAGCGGTGCAGAGCGAGGGGTAAACTCTTGTCTCGGCAACCATCTATCTACATCTACCTTCGGTACAGGGGAGGAAAAAACCAGGCCTGATTTGTGTATCACGGATTGTAACCGGTAGCGGGCATCCTAGGACATCTCTTTCATTTGATGCACTATATATCTTTTCTAATACCACCTTCTAGTACATAGACATACCCATCAAGGAGGTGTGTGAGAGTTTCAGAAGTTGACGTCGAATGCATTGTTATGATGGTCTTCCAATGCTTTCATATGTATGGTGTATGTATTCTACAACACAACGGTCAAGATATGAGTGGGAATTTGGCCCTATATCCAAGAGAGGCCAGCCAATCATACATAAGCCTGTACAGAGAGAAACGATCAAAAAAATCATGGATATCAGATGGGGTCATAACATGTTGCCGAGCTCCAGTTCCCTTCTCCTCCCGTCATTCCCCAGACCCTTATCCCATCCCCGTTACCAACTAGGTAGGCAACAAGGTAAAGGAGTGGGGATCAGAGGGAAAAAAAAGAAGGAGATACATCGCCAAGCCCTCTCAAACGCCCCTGAACAGAAGAGATATCACACCACGAATATAGAAATAAAAGACGAGCGCTAGCGGCATCCTATCATTGCCATTGCTACCCACCAGGAAAGCACAATGGATGGGGGCCTAGGCATTCGGATCCCACCCTAGGTCCATCGTCTCTATGGGTCCGAGCATGATGGACCGCATGACGCCCTCCCCAACGGGGGTCATGCCCGATTGGGACGCCATTTCGGGCCATCCGGGGGGCATGGACGAGAAGTCGCCGCCGCCGCCGGAGTGGGAGTGGTGGCCGCCGGCGGCGCCCGGGGTATCGGGCATGGCGAAGCGCTGGCCGGGAGGAGTCAGACCGGAGGCGACGCCCGAGGGGATGCTGAAGGGGGAAGGGTCGCCGTAGAAGCCGCCGCGATCCACCTCGCCTTGGTTCGCTGCGGCGGCGGGCGACAAGTTGAGGGTCTGATGCGGAACTACGGGGCTTGTCTCGAAGGAGCTCCCGCCCGTGCGGTGGTTCATGTGCACGCCGGGCGTCAGGTTCTGCCGGTTTTCGGACGCCGTGCTTGACGTGGGCGTCGGCCGGTTGGATTGACCGTTGTCTGGAGACGCGCCGGACATGTCGTTAGTGCTCGCCGAGTCCATGTCGGGCAAGCCGTAGCTCGGGAAGGAAGGCGGAACGAGGCCGTGCGTGGGTAGGTATGGCGAGGTACGGATGGGCTCGCGCGTGGGCAAGGCGGTGGTGGTGGGTTGCTCGGCTGTCGAGAAGGCCTGCGCGACGGGATTGCCCGAGTCCACGTCAACGATGTCTGGTGCGTTGGCAGGGTTACCGTCGTCGCCTTTGGCTTTCATGAAGTGGCATTCGTTGGAATAACCAAGAATGCCCATTCCCCTCTTCGGTTGCCCGTTGCTCTCCTTGCGGGCGCGCTCCACGAGAGCATGGGGCAATTGCCCTGGTGAGCTCGGCTAATTTTTCCCAGTCAGTGATGGTGTTCGGACACTAGATGGACAGAGAAATAAGAACCATGGACTCACGCTGTCGCTGCTACGCGGGAAGGCAGTCTTCAGCTTGGGGATACGGACGCCCAGTGCTTCGAGATCCACATCCAGCTGGACTAGGAAGGACTCGGTGAGGGGATTCCTTCTCTTGAGCGCATTCATCGCGGCTAAGAGAAACCGCAGCGAATCGGCGGTTTGGCTGTCGTCCGGCCGGCTTTTCAGGTACTGTACAAATACACGAGCCGATACGTAGAGGCAGAAAGAGATAAAGGGGTTCATCTGCGCTAATCAGCATTGGTTTCCCGAGGCCGCCATGTTGAGGCATTGCATATACATACCACAGAGAGATCTAGATGAGAAATCATCCTCATGATGCTCGCAATCTCATTTGCCGCGGTGATACACCGTACCTTGCTTTCTGAGCTGACCGAAGCAGGTAACCTATTCTTGTCGGCTTTAAAAATAGCCGCTTGATGCAGGCATATGGTTGACGTGTGTATACACATGTTTGTAAACACGATGCTCGGGTTCTGCAGTCCGGCAGGCAACTTTAGTTCGGGAGGTAGACAGAGGGATGTGTTGAGGAGGATGTTGTCCATCTGACGATGCCTCTTCCAGAACTCGCCGTTCAGATCGTGATCTCGATCATCCACATCCGGTCGGTGCAGGTGGACGAGATTGCGTCCAAACAGGCAGGCCATTAGGACAATGCCTCCGAATGGCGATAGCTTCCCGGCGCCGGCAGGGCACATGGCGTCCTGCAGGCTGGGTGCCTGCTCGGGGCGGCTCAACTCGAAGGCGTCGTCGGATGCGGGCAGGTTGGTTAGAATGTCTTTTTCGTCAATGGCCATGGGCCAGCCGGTGCCAATGCTCGCGAATCGGTCAAGGCTGAAAGCCATCCAGAAGGTCCTCCTCCTCTCTTCTCTCTCTGTCCAGTCCCGAGGTGGTGGCAAGCACTGCTTCACATCTAGACCCGCCCCGTCGAGGCGGTGGAGACCGACCCTGGAAACATGAGCCAAGTGACTTCGGCTGTAATCAGGGGAATGAAAGACTTACATCTGACACAACCGAATTCCCGACCCGGTACTCATCCATGCCCGTGGGAAATACATCCATTTGAACTCGTACGACGCCAGGAGGATGTGCGTCTGAGCATGGGCAACGGAAATCATGTGTTCCCCGTAACCCTTGATGTAATCCGACTCAAGGTATTTCCTTGCGCGCTGGTAGAACAGGTCCTTTAGGGTGTGGAACTTATCCGTGACTGAGCATGCCAGTGTCCACATGGCATACCGCAGACAGACGGGTGGACGCTGGGACGGAGCGCTGTTACACATGGTCAGCGAACAGACGAGACCTTGGCAGGACGGATTCGCCGGGCAAACTTACAGGTTCATGGCAGCCAAATATCGATATTTGTGTATCATGGGCACTGAAGGGTGAATTTTCTCAAAGTAGATCTGATGTCTGCGCAAGTGATAGAAGGGTTAGCTATCGGTTCCTATCCCCAAACACGGCTTGCTTCAACTTACAACTCATCAATCGTCTCCTGGGCCGGTAAGGGCTCCTCCAGGCCCAGGCCTATCATCTCCCATGTGAAATTGTTGTCAACACCGCCCATGCCCATGCCCATGCCGCTGCTGAAGTTGTTGAAGTCGTCGATCGGGCCGTTCGGAGACTCGGCGTTGAAGTGCCAGCGATCCATGTCGCGGCCGCTTGCAATTCCAATCGACGGGTCCGTGACATTGAAGTTCGCTGCCGCGGCTGCCCGCTGGTTCAGAGGCTGCTTCGCGGGGCCGTCAACGGATATGGGCACCCCCTTGCTTCCCTCGGAGCTCGACGAGATCTCCTGCGTCTTCAACAAAGTCTCAACTTGCTCTGCACACCGCCGTTAGTTAGTGAGTTGTTGAAGCAAGACCAGGATTCAGTCTTGGGGCGGGGGATACGCACTCAGCCGCTCCTCAAGCGCCTTCACGTAACCTCTCTTGGGCCCGCTCTTCCTCCTGACCTCATCGTAGGCGCACGTGTGGCCTAGGCGCGAACAGGTGCTGCAGCTGGGCTTGTTGCCGTCGCATTTCAATTTCCTCTTTCGGCAAATCATGCAGGCCAGGCGTTTGGGCTTGGGCACGCTCGAGTTGCCTCCTGCCGGAGCTTCCACCGTGAAGCGGTCTCCATCCGATAGCTGCCTGTCGGCGGCTGGGTCCGATACCATTATGGTATCGGGCGGCGTGGAGGACGAGGACGACATGGCGGTCGCTGCTTATTGCGTAGCACTCACGGCGTCCCTTTCCCGCAGCATCCGTCGAGCAGATGCCGATGCTTCTAGAAGCCTTCCCTGCAAGACGCGGGCGCGATTGAGCCTGTGCGACCGAGTAGCGTTCCCACAGAACGAAGCGGGGGAGCCGGTCTCGAGACTCAGGGAAGCCTTTCCAGTCCGGTTCCGTATGATCGGGTTCGATATTGCGGAGGCAAAGGTCTCGGGACTGGTGAATAGTGGAGGCTAAGGTGATTTTCAGCTGCGAGTGGGTGAGACGTGCGATTCTTCTAAGTTCTGGAGGATCGCTAACGGTAATTGGCGGTTACGCAGGCCTGCTTGCCTTGTCGACATGCCAAGTCCCACCGTCACACATCCAAATACTCAACGTACACACAGACAACCCGGTAGGTGCTTGACTGTATGGCGGAGGTGGCCTTCAGGAATCAGGATTGTGTATGCACTGCAGGCGAAATCTGGGGACAAGGCCGTATACAAATGCCTGTCGCTGTGCGGCCCTACGAGGCTTTGAACGCTCCAAGAGATGACAATAACACCCTAAGGTACTGTACAGTACATACATACAGGTAACAGTACAGTACCACCTGAGGAGGTTGCATCAGGGTAGTGTCAAAGTGCTATACATTCCTGGTTCGCCCAATGTATGCACACCACAACCACGACCGCATCCCGACACCCCGGCAAAGCGAAAACAAGCGGGCCAGCGACGGTAACGTTGAGCCCATCATCTACATACATACGCTAGCAACGGCATGCGTTAAGGGCGTTAAGGAAGGGCCGTTGATGGCGTTGGGAGGCTTATGAGGCTTGAAAATGCCCCATGTCAACCCCGCAAGCCGTGCCCCTGTCTTCCCCTGACCAGTGGCCATGTTCATCTTATTATCGTTCTTGGCTTGAGACCGTTTTAGCAACCGTATGGACCGTTTCTTGATTAGTAAACTGGAGCTGAAAGGGTCAAGAAGTCTGTCACTCTGTGCGTGTGTGTCCCACGCGTCTATCAGAACAGAGTCAATGAAACCTGACCCTGCTTGACGGTAAGTTAAGGGTTATCAGATGCAGGCCCCTTTATTCTTCTTGTCTGCATGTGTATGTATTTACTGTATACATGGAGTGAGTTGCATGGTAATACTGTACAGTACAGGTTCAGTACGGGGTACAGTACAAAAGTGTAGGCTACGGTGGACACGCACGCCAACCGTCAGGGTCGCAGCCGATGTGGTGCACTGCTTGTTTGCATCTTGGGATCCCCAGCGATTGGCTCAGATTTCCGTCGCTAGCGTGCATTATTAATAGCAGTACCCGCACATCCACCCTTGTCTCCACACCCAAACTTACTCCGTACACTACACTAACATGGACTATCGAGTAAACCTTCATCAAACTCGCATCATGATAGCTGGAGACAAACGGCTGCAGGGTCGAAACAGACAGGGCAGAGAGATGGAGTTCGTCCCTGAGTCACCATGAAGTTCACTACTCAAGGGTAGGTCTTCAGAAATAACTATGAACTTTTGTGGATCTTGTGCTCATTCAATCTGGTCTCTCAGACTTGTACTACCTGCTTCCAGCACACACATCGTATACAACAATTGCTTCTAGAACTCCCTTTCCACGTGGTTTTGCGGCGACAAATATTTCCATCCTCTTGGAATCTCTACAGGCTAACCGCACAGCCCCATCAAGTTGATGATCTTTGGCAGATTCTTCTGCAAGATGGAGGGGCACGAATGGCCGGTCGGGGGGAAGTTTGTCCGTGCTGATAGCCCTTCTGGACCTTGCAACGGCCACTCCCGACCAAGGCTCGATGTGTCTATCGACAGCCTTGGTCTCAGCCGGGGGCGTAAGGTTGCTGCAAGGGGCCTGGTCTCGATGCCAATCCCAACGACAACCGGTCACAACCGGTCCGCGGCATCTTGGAACTGCTGCCAGCCACCCCGATACTCCCGTGCCAAGTGTGGTGTGCATCTCGACTAGCAGCCACCCTTGCCATGGACTTTCGGTGTTCGCTTCGCGCGAAGACCGGTTGAAATCACAGCTGGCACTCATTTCCGGTCCGCGTCAAGGCCGACAATGCGCAGCACTCCTAAATCACTGTAAGCGAGACAATATCTCGAGGGAGCCCAAGCAACCGCTTCGCAAGGCCCCGCCGACTTGAACGTGTAGACGTGCTCCCCAGTCTCGGTATGCGTGACCTCCAAGCCAGAGCCTAGTTGAAATGGGCAGGTCAACATCCCGCGCTTGTTTCAGACAGAAAGCCCTGGGTAGACAGGCTCTTCTTACCTTCTTCGCACCCGCCGACGACATAACTGCCATCGAATGTAAAGCCTAAAAATAAATTATTAGCATCAAGGTTTCGCTTCAGCTCGCCGTGGCGCCGTACTTATGCTGCGAACTGGACCGACCATGCGGGAGACGGTGCGCTGACATATCCAGTCCTTGGTATCAAAGAGAGCTATGATAGAATCTGCTCCGCCAGTGGCGAGGTACTTCCCGGTCGGCGAGAGTTCCACCGTCAAACACGAGGCGGTATGCCCCTTCAACATGAACTCTGTAGATTCTCCTGGCTGAACCGCATGGTTGACGTGAAGAACCGGTTCCAGCTCGGGATATGACAGGATACGTATCTTACCGTCCTTGGTCGGCAAAAAGACTTTTTCTCCGCTCCAACAGAAGGCCATTTGATTCGTCTCGGTCGGCTGCTGAGAGGACGAGACTATGGCTGACTTGACGGGCGATATCTGGAAAAGCTCACCACTCTAGAGGCAGTATATCAGGGGGAATCAGTATGTATTGTACAGTACCATCGCGGGAGACCCCTAAACAACCGTGGCTGGGTCACCCACCTTGTTTCCTACGAGGAGCGAAGAGCCGTCAGGGGCCCAGGCAAGGGTGTGGGCACTGCCGAGACCCTTCACCTCGTTCACGCACGCCTTTGTCCTCACGTCCCAGAGCTTGACAACGCCGTCGCTGCTGACGCTGCAAAGCTCTGCATCCTTGACGGGGTTGAAGGCTATTTTCTCGATTCCCGCTGAGTGACCTTTAAGCTCAGTGGAAAAACGGACATTAGGCTTTTCAGGGTTCCCTGCAGAGAACGCCCAATCAGTATTCTATGCGGCGCGTTGCTTGGGCACGCGTCGTGAGAGCAAGAGAAGAGAACAGGGGCTAACTCACAGACACGTAACGTCTTGTCAGCGGCGCCCGTGGCGACCAGACTACCAAGAGGGTTCCATGCAATGGATCGAAGACTAAAAGGCAGCGTAATGAGCAAGGAGCGTCGCGTTTTTCCTTTGGGATACAACCGTGATTACCTGTGATGAGACCCAACGCCGCCCCTGGCAGTCGATTCGTTGTACGGCTGGCTTTTGAGAGGGCCGAAATAGGCTGCGAACTTGTCTTTGGGAATGCGGCCATATCTGGGCCGGATGACCGGCGCCATGGTGAGCTGAATGGGGCGATGCTAACGATGTTGCTGTCGAGGATGGCCTTGGCTTTAAAGGGATCCGGGTCTGGATTCCTCGGAACACAAAGAGTACAGCTAACCGACGGTTTGAAAACACAATCTGAAATTCTGGTAGAGAAGAGACAATCTGCAAGACACTGTTATGACACCGCGATCTTCAATCTGAAGATCACTTGGGAGTCAGATTCCAACCATTGCTAGTACGTATGAGGATACCTGGTTTGGAGTCAGTGTGATGGAACTCTGATGTCTCATGGACCAAGAACAAGAACAGGTCTGCGCTGAAAGAGCCAATATTCGATTGCTGAGGTTGAGGTAATTACGGATACAATCCGTACACCTAGGGGACTTTGATTACCTTACCGACGTAAGAAATTACCCAGTGTCACGTTACCGCTAGAAGTGTTCCCCAGGCCGCTTACAATACCGGCACGCTACGTCCTCTACAGTACAATACGGTAACAATCAATACAAGCGCCTCGTACGGGCTTTCCCGCTGCCTTCCGCTCTCGCAAGGGGAGGATCCACTGGCGCACCACAACGTCGTAGCTTTGACTCGCGCATCATCAACGTCTACCAAGTGCCGTATTCGTCGCCAGACACCGTCCGTTTGCCATTGATCCCGCGGGATACTCCAGCCGAGGCTCACTGGGAACCGACTGCAATTCGACATGAATTGACGCCAATCCGATCGATTCGAGGCCCGCCGATGCGCATGAAGCCGCCTTGAAGGTACTGTACCGGCTTCAGAGGCTTTATCAGAGGAGTCATGTACTGGCCGCTTGGGACACCACGGATCTATGCGACAAGCAGCACGCGCCAACCGAGCTCCCGCCAGCTAGTTTCTTACGATGGCCTCACCCCTCCAGCCGGCGGCCCCAACCACCCCCTCCTGTCCCCGACTTCTGCCGTTTCCCCGGACGAGCCTACCTCGCTCGTCCCGCCGCTAACACCGGCAACTCCTCTGACTCCTGGAATCAAGCCCGTCGAGTACAGCTATCCCGAAGATGCGACCCTCGAGCCTTCCTCCGGGCCTATTCCACCGAGCTTCGCCCTCAACGACCCCATCCTTGCGCTCCGCGTGGCCCGTGCTGGCCAAATATTCGCTGTTATAACAGCAACCTCCATAACCGTTTGGCAGACAAAGGTGCGAGAACCAGGGCCCTTCCGTGTCCAGCTTTTACCTGACTTCTCCGCCAGCCCACTGTTGTTCTCGCCGTCGTCGTTCGCTCCGAAGCCTCCCTCAAATCATACGGCAACAATATCAACCTGCTGCTACGGCCAGATGCGGCCATCCTTGTCGTGCATACGAGCTTGGGTTATCTTATAACATACACTCTCGCCACCGATGCCGAGTCCCGCGTGTACCGACCACACTTCGCCAACCATACCAACGTCCAGAGGAGACGGCAGAGCCATGTTGGAGATCCCGGTCACGCCGCTCCTGACCAGATCCTCTGGGGCCCCGGTGAAGGGGGCGGAGTGAGGGATGTCAGCGTTCGCTTCCGAATGGTGATCAAGGTGGATGCGGGGATTGAATGCGCCTTGGCTCTGGACGACGAATTGGTCGTAGCGACACGGAAACCCGCTGCTGTCCAATGCATCCGTTGGTCCCCCGACAGGTCTGGGAGCCAGACAAGCACCGAGCTGCTAAGCCGGATGAATTGGCTGGAGAAGAAGGTGACGGTCAAGGAAATGACGCACGACAGGCCAATGAGTCTATCAACATGGATCACGAGCGACGGGAGAGCCTACGCGGTGCAGCGACTGGGCCCTGGTCAACAAGAGCCCGACGCCGGCTCCAGCGAGCCACCTGATCCCAGAAAGCTATTCAAGGGCTACTGCTTCCATGTTCCTCAACACAACCAAGATCATGCTGTTCGCTGTGTGATCAACGCCCGTTTCTCTCTGATCGCAGTTGGCTGCGCCAATGGCAGCATCCACGTCTATTCGGCACGGGACTATTCGGGCAACATTCCTGCCTCCCACAGCCACAACTTAGCGGTATCATCAGCCGTCTCGGGAAAACTCACGTCGCTCAGCTACTCCCCAGACGGCTACTGCCTCTTTGCTGGGTTTGAGAAGGGCTGGGCAATGTGGAGTGTCTATGGGAAGCCACTGAGCAACTCGTTCCATGCCGATCATGCAATTGCCGCTGCAAACGGGGAGCAATGGCTGTCGGGCGTGCTCGACGCCGCTTGGATCGCAGGGGCTTGCGACCTGCTGCTCATCAGCAGAGCCCACGAGGCGGTGTGGCTTTTGGAGATGGCCCGGAGCGCGGTAACTGGGTGTTACAACCCGGCCAATCTGTTTCGAACCGTGCTCCAGACCACTTCGAGCGTCATGGTGTATAGGGGTTACGACTTGCCTGATCTGACGTCGATATCGGCTGAGCCCTCTGTCTGGCACACAACTAGAGTTCCCGCCGTGTACCTTCTCAACCAGTGGCCGATAAGATGTACGACTGTTTCGCCAGATGGCAGATATGTCGCTGTGGCCGGCAGAAGGGGTTTGGCGCACTACAGCATCAATAGCGGCAGATGGAAGACGTTCGCCAACGAAGCAGCGGAGAACGAGTTTCAGGTGAAGGGGGGCATGTGCTGGTACCAGAATATCCTAGTGGCCGCGGTTGAGGCCAATAGATCCTTTGAACTCCGCTTATACTCCCGCGAGGCCTCCCTCGACAGCGGCACGATGGCATACTCACATCAGATAGCAGCACCCATAGTCTTGATCACTTCGACCGGGGAAGACTCGCTGCTCGTTTACACCTACGACAATCTCCTCTACCATTTCATCTTTGCGCCCGTCTCCGGTTCTATCAGGCTAATTGAAGCGGGTCACATTGCCTTTCACGGTATTGTAAGGTCTCCTGCAAGAGTAAGGGGCCTGAGCTGGATCCTGCCGGACCACCAGCTGCTCGAAGGGGATCCCTCGCAGGATGTGGCCCATGCCTCGGTCCTGTTCCTGGTCGATGGGAAGCTGGTCCTTCTCCGGCCTTCGGTCAGCGACAATAATCTCAAATACGATATGCGCGTCATTGTTCACAACGTCGAGTACTTCATCAGCATGAGAGATCAGGTTCTCCCAACCGAATCCACACAACAGCTGCTGGACTCTCCAACCCAGGGTAATGCTAGCGAAAGCCTGCAAGACTCCCTATGGATATTCGACGGCAGTGAGCTGAAAGCTTGGACTGATGCGGAACCGGTTCTGAAGGCGATATCTGGCGAGTCATCGCGAGAGTTGCCCCCAATGGTCTCCATACCCGTTGACTTCTATCCACTTTCGACCCTTCTTCAAAAGGCAGTCGTGCTCGGCGTCGAGTCAGATCTCATCCAGCGCCGTGACATTAGCTTCTCCTTTTTCCGCTTCTCGATTAGGGTAAGGGTCCCAGGCCGATTACCCTTTGCTTGTTTGGGTATGCTGAAACGTATCTGCAGACACACCTATTTTTACCCAATATCTTGCGATCTTACCTGATCGCAAACAAGTCTGCTGAAGCCTTGCGGCTGGCCCAGCAGCACGAGCACCTCGAGTACTTTGCTCATGCACTCGAAGTCCTTCTGCACCATGTTTTAGATGAGGAAGTGGATGCTAACCCCGCCCCTGCGCCCGAGCACGCAATTCTCCCGCGGGTGCTCTCTCTCCTCTCATCGTTCAGGCAATACTTGGACATTGTGGTGCAATGTACTCGCAAGACAGAAGTGCGTTGTTGGCGCACCCTGTTTGCCTATCTCCCTCCGCCACAAGAACTCTTTGAAGAGAGCCTCCAGCGTGGCAGTCTCAAGACGGCGGGCGGTTACCTTTTGATTCTGCACACGTTCGACGAGTTGGTGACGGCGAGCGAGCAAAGCATACGGTTGTTGGGTCGGGCCATGGAGGAGGAGGACTGGCACTTGTGCAAGGAATTGGCGCGGTTCCTCGCGGCGCTTGACGAGACTGGGGATACTCTCCGAGAAGCAATGGATATGGTCAACGTGCGAACACACCGAGGACGTGAAATTGATGAGGGATCCGTCGGTAATGGATTTCCGGCGAGACTCGAAATACCATCCGGGGGTGTTTACGGCAACTATTCCGACGGCGGCACTCCGGAAGCCAACGCAAGCCAGACGACAGGAAGCGTCTCGGACTAGATGGTGCATCGGCCACCATGCAGTACTTTCACCAATCGACAATTAAGGACGGCTATATGCAACGCGGACAGTCTGGATAGACCGAGATTAGACGGCGGTTTGGCGTTGGATATTGGGTTACCGTCTTGCGAGCCAGCAAGCTGGGCCAGGGTTGTTAGGGGCAAAACCTCGCTCATGAACCGGACGATCTGGAAGCTAGGTGAAGATACGTGGTAGTAATCACCCCATACACCCGGACCCGGTCCGCGGGAGGCATATCAACTCCCCTTTTCATCATCACTTCCGCCCTGGTTCCTGCATTCAAACCCATGCACCGCTTTTCTTTCCTGACCAAGAGCTACCCTACCCGCGCGGCCTTTATTCCAACCTCCTTAAGGCACAGGCCCGCTGTCCACAGTTGCCCGCCTGCTGGCATGTGCACCACTAACACCAAAGACGAGCCGCGGAGGAGTGATGGATAACTGATGAGAGCAGCAGGCAAACCATAAGGGGAAGGCATCTGGTGGCAATATTCGTTATTCGTAGTTTGAATCAGGAGGAAATATCTCGATACCTCATTTACCTGATAATTTTTCAAACGAGGATTGGGCGACCTTTCTGTTTCGGCGGTTGTTCACGTATGTGTAGCTTGATATTGGCTAGGCGGCCCAGGGACCTGGTCTACGTATCCGTAGTGGGGCACGGTCCTGGCGTATTTGGCCATGCGCGGGGCAGCAGGCGTTCCCCTCCAGTGGCTGGGCTGCAAGGATCCACCCAACCACAAAAGGAGCACACTTCGTGCGCGGCGCCAAACAACTCGGACCAAATCGAACCGCCACAACACTAACCGCTGTCCATATTCGCCCACTACCTTAGCTACGATTCCGCCACTATCCGACTCGGGCGATTCGACCGTCACCGCGGTAAGCGCTTTTGAGTGTCTGTCTAAGCCATCGGCCCGGCACCGAGGGCCCAGCGCACAGCACACATCCTAAACACCCGGACGGGAGCGCAACCATGGACGACTACGGGACCGAATCCGATAGCGACTACACGAGCTACTGGAGGGACTGGGTTTGTCACCCCGCCTCCCCTGTGACGTCTGTGGTCCTTCTTTTCCTGTTAACTAACCTCAAAGCGCTCCTGCACCAGTTCATCTCGTCTCGCGGCAACGAATACTTTTGCGAGATCGACGAAGAATACCTGACGGACCGCTTCAACCTGACGGGGCTGAACACCGAGGTTCCCTACTACCAGTATGCTCTGGACCTGGTCACGGACGTGTTCGATCTCGACTGCGACGATGAGATGCGGGAGACGATTGAAAAGTCGGCAAGGCATCTTTACGGTCTCGTCCATGCCCGCTATATTGTAACGACTAGGGGTTTGACGAAGATGGTTTGTTTCGCCCAGGCCTTATATCTCCCACCTACCTCTTGATTTTCTCCGCCCAACCCTAGCCAGAGCCATAAGTCCACCCGATTCACTAACGCGCCAACCCCGTGAATACCAGCTCGAGAAATACAAAAAAGCCGACTTTGGCAAGTGCCCGCGGGTGATGTGCAACTCGCATCCGCTGTTGCCCATGGGGCTGTCCGACATACCCAACCTCAAACCCGTCAAACTGTACTGCGCGCGGTGCGAGGACCTGTACAACCCGAAATCCTCGCGGCACGCGTCCATCGACGGCGCCTACTTTGGCACCTCGTTCCACAACATCCTGTTCCAGGTCTACCCGGGGCTGATCCCGCCAAAATCGAGCGAGCGCTACGTGCCGCGCGTCTACGGCTTCAAGGTGCACGCCGCCGCGGCGCTGGTGCGCTGGCAAAACGGCCAGCGCGACGACCTCCGCCGCCGCCTCCGCAAGATGGAGGTCGAGAGCGGCTTCAAGGACGGCGAAGACGACGAGCTCGAGGGCGAGGATGATGATGATGATTTCGATGATGATGATGATAATGGCGGCCTCCAGATGCAAACCCATCAACACCACCAGCAGCAGAATATGGCTGAGTATGGCAGGGGAGGAGACGGCACGGTGCCGCCGTCTGGGTTTTCCGGAGAGGCGCAGATGGGAAGCGTTGCCTGATCCAGCCGGGGTTGGGTCGGTTGGTCTCTCTCTGGGTAGGCGCCAGATGGTATCCTCAGTGTCATACTGCTGTTGAAAGGGGGCGCTACGCAGTTGCGCTGTTGTGTTGTTCTGTCATGTTCTGTCCATGTTGGCCTTCACACGATATCAGGGTCAGAAAAAATCACTTGCAGGTTGGGGCGTTTGCACTTTTCCTCGTTTTGGGTTGGCGTTTATCAAGGCGAAAGGGGGTCGGAAAGGGGGCGGGATGGAGGTATGGTGCCGGACGGGGTGGTAGGGGGTTCCCAAACCAACGGTGGCCTCGGCCCCGTGCTTCGAGCGCTGTCATTGTTGGTCTATTTCTTGTATGGGAGAACTATGACATGCACAGTGGTGGTGATACCATTACATAGGTAACAAAAAGACCCGTAACTGAATCCACGTCAAAAAGTTGCATCGCCCAAGTAACTTGACAGCCAGCTTTCTTGATTGCCTAGGGTACGTTAGCTCTAAGCAGAACTACAGACAGACCACTGAGGTGACGAGCGAAGCCAGAAGTGAACTCCGATGACGCCTTGTGGGCAGTCAATTTCCGTTTCATTTTTGGACTGCGTAGTAAAAAAGAGGAATGCAAATCTATGGGGGTACGCAACTGTCAACCCTCCTCCTATGACGAACCGTGATGCGGTGGTCGGCATGTGTACTGCTTTGCTTTTATATACCCCTCTCTACCCCTATTTACATCAGCATGGATGCGCCAGACCGAACGCCCAATGTTCCTGTAAAATATCCGTGAGCATGCAGTAGTATACACAACCCATCACTGTCATAAAGTAAGGTCTTGCGCAACGAAATGCTCGAGACCCAATCCATGCATATGCACAAAAGGAAAAGAGAATGACGGCATAATGCACTTTTTTTAGATCCTAGGCGCTCCCAAATATGAGGTGTCCTCATCCCCGTCGTGCTGGCGTGGCCCCAACCCCTGACCCTGCCGCTGAGAGACGACAGGCGGGGGGGTGCTGCTGGTACTTAAACCGCGGCCGCGATCATAAGACTCAGAGTCAGGAGCGTCGCCAAGGGCCTCCTCTTCGTCCCCCGACCGGTACTGCCCGCGCAAATGGTCGGTAGCATAGCTAAAGCTCCCCACGCCGGCCCAGAAAGCCTTATCGTGGCTGCGAGGGCCCCACGCCCAACCGGCGCCGCTCGAGATCGGTAGATGGTAATAGCGGAAGGCGAAAACCGATGTGACGGTCCCAATCAGGTACCCGAAAATGATGTCGAAGGCATGGTGCCGGAAATCCCACCACCGCGAGCCTGCGATGAAGACAGAAGCCCCGAATGGGATGAAGGCAAGAAGCAGGAGATAGAGTGGCGGCGCCGCGGCTTGTCGCCGGACCGCGGCAACGGCTTGATTGTGTCGTGCTATACCCTTGTTTCCCAACGCAGAGTCTAGCGTCGTTGGGGTGGGCGCGGGCAGATTGCGAAGCTCATACGATTCCGGACCGGTGACTTTGGCACTAGGGAGGCGCGTGCGGGAGGGGAAAGCGGTGAAGGCGGATGCGTCGGCGAACCCGGCCGGGGCGAGGAAGGGTATCGTGATGGCGAACTTGCTTGCGATAAAGAGAGAGAGGTAGATTAAACCTATCCGATGTTAGCCTTGAGGACCGCATTTTGTTCAACGCCCCAAGGGCTGCCCAAATGCCCGACGCATACCTGCAGCCGAAGAGCTCGAATGTCCACTCGGATAGCTTCTGAAACCATCGTCAAGCACGTGCCTGTCCGTGTTCGTGCAGATTTTGGGGCTAACAAGCAGCCCATTGTTGGTTGCAGTGACCAAGCCGCCCACAATGTAGTCATTGAAATTGTCAAGATCGGGCTGACATCGGGAGAGGAGGTCGGGTCGCGGCTTCCCGAAAAGGTTCTTCATGCCATTCGTAATAAACCAAGCTGCGACTATGGACAAGGCCAGGCCCAACAGGCCCATGTGTAGCTCCCATAGTTTGCGCTGCCAAATCAAAGACTTTGGCGTTCCTGGAGGTACTGTCGCACCGGGGACGAAGACCACGCAGACGACGGCAATGATGACAATGGGAATAAGGATACCGACGATTACAAGTAGCCAGACCGGCACCGTCTCGTTGAGAGTGTAGGGGAAGCTATAGAGCGGTCAGAATCATGCTCAACTCCTGGAAAGGGTGGGAGAGCGCTGGGACGGTCAACGTACGAAATGTTGCGATCGTCGAGCGAGAATGGACGCTTGTTTGGCTCAATATCGCCCAGGACGTAGCCGACGGCCGCAAAGGCTATGAGGACGACCCAGTCTAGAACATAGGATAATGCTAGCACCCATGAAGGTTTCTCCTTCCTCCGCACGCTGCCTCCAGCGGGATCTAGGTTGCCCATAATATCGGTAGTTTGGGAAGTCGGCACAGGTGAGAAGGAACGGCCGTGAATAAGAGGTCGGATCGAGTCGTCGGGCATCGGGAAGCCCTTTGGTAAGTAAGAAAAGTATGGAATAAAAACCGCTAGTAAGCGGTTGGCGGCGAAAGGGGCCCAAACGCTATTATTCTGTGGTCTAGGCCGGCTATGTGTTGCTGCACGGTCGAGGCCGGACTCTCAAGCGCAAGCGAGTCTCGGGTTGCGGCCGGCGCCTCTTACATGAAAAAAAGGCCAGTTGGATCAGAGTAAAGTGAACAAAGTGGGCGCATTGAACGCGTCATCCGCCCACTGATTTACCAATTAGTCACTGTATTTGCTCTCTCCAAGCCTGTGAAATGCGAGAAGTCGCCAACCTCGTGGTAGCCGCTCAGTGCTCAGTGCTCTGACAGCGGGGGCTAGTCCCAATGAGGAAGGGGCGCACCTGCCCTTTGCCGCTGGGTTTGCAAGTGCTCAGCCACACAAGGGAGTAAGATGCCGAGACACCTGAATGGTTGGCCAAGGCTGATCGACAGAGAATTCCAAGTCTCAGACACACACGGGGATCGAGGAATGAAACACTTTGGATGAGTGACACCCGTAGCAAGCCATTCACTGCGAGGTATCCGAACCGCCAACGGTTGTCGCCAATAAAAGAGGATGTTAATTGTAATAATCTCTTTGTCTGCTTTTTCAGAGAATCAAACAAAAGCGCTCGTCGGTGAGAAATTCGGGGATACTGAATCAAAGAGGCGCAGGCTGAGCTGACCTTCCAGGCCCCATTCCAGCCTGTGGATACTAAGGTCGTCGGGCTGGTGGGACCCAGTTGTTACGTAAGCAAAGCCCTCGAGTACCTGTCTGTCCCTTTTCCAGCCGCAGAGGGGGGGGGGGGGCGCGGAATTTAAGCATACCGGACGGCTCTGGCGATCACCGATCAAGAGATGAAAGGTCCCATCTGTTTTACCCATTAACCCATATTCGTGAAGTGTGAAACCCTCCCTGACGATAAATAGCCTGCTATTTCGGCCGGCAACTGGACACGGCCACTGGGACACGGCCACTGGGACACGGCCGAGAGCCCGAGATGATCATGGAGAATGCTCGGAGACATGTGGCTATCAAGACGGACGGCTACCGCTGGGCGGACATCCCCTGGAGAGGAGGCGAGGCGGAACGATCTTCACCAACGTGGCTGTCCTTGTGCAGGATCGAGGCGGTCCACACGTGCCGTTGATAAATCGAACTTGCCCGTTCTGCTTCAAGTCAAACGCGTTGGATTAAGCCATTCTATACGAACTTCTTTTAGTAGGCGATCGTGGACGATTCGACGAGGCCCAAGGTTAGCTTCCGGGATTCGTTTGCCGGTCGAGGCCAAGTTGCTGGGGACTTTGGGACATTGTACCTGACTCCCGTCCTTAATGAAGTTTCAATCTCAACTTCCAAAGGTAGGAACTTTCTAGCAGTTGCGGCGGGGTCTGGTCCTTATCGTGGAGTGCATGCGTGCCCCACTAGTGTATACGTTACCTATCACATGCGCTGCATGCCGTAATATGGGGAAAGACCCCACATAGCTGGTCATGATGAATGCCGTGGAAGGCACAGCGCCGGGCCATCGGGTCCCGTCTTCCCCTCCATTAGCAGCGGAATTTCTATGTATATACGGGACTCGCTATTGTCGCCAACTTCGTCATGCATGATTCAACCACGATGAGGGCGCAGCTCGAACAGCGCCAGCAGCAGCGTTCTGGGCGTCAATCCGCTTCGGCCGCAACACGGAGCGGGACGTCATTCCCGGCGCTGCGGAACCGTGCACACGAAAGTGACAGCCCCTACGTGCGCAACCATGCCGATACTCCAGTGGCATGGCAACCGCTCGATGCGTCAACCATAGCTCGAGCCACCGTCGAGAACAAGCCGATATTCATGCATATTGGCTTCTTAGCCGACCACCGTGAGTGACTCAAGTCCTAATAGCCACCGTCCATTCATTGCCTAACCCAAGTCACCCCCCTATTACCTAGTGTGCCACCTCACGACACAAGACTCCTTCTCCAATTCCTCGGTGGCCGCGTTCCTGAACGAAGCCTTCATACCCGTCATCATCGACCGAGAAGAGCGCCCTGATCTCGACACCATCTACCAAAATTACAGCGAGGCAGTCAACGCTACCGGCGGATGGCCCTTAAATCTCTTCCTAACCCCGGACCTCTACCCCATCTTCGGCGGCACCTACTGGCCGGGCCCGGGCACCGAACACAGCGCTGCTGGCGCCGCCGTAGCCGGGGACAACACTGGCGAGGAGTCGTACAATGACTTTCTCGCCATAGCCAAGAAGATCCACAAGTTCTGGGTAGAACAGGAGGAACGATGCCGGAGGGAGGCGTTCGAGATGCTGCACAAGCTGCAGGATTTTGCACAGGAGGGCACGTTCGGTGCGACCGGGGACATCGCCGTTGCCTCGACCGCTCCCACGGCGGCGGCTGCGGACCCGGCCGACCTCGACTTGGACCAGCTAGATGAGGCCTTGGCAAGGATATCCAAGATGTTCGACCCCGTGGACTACGGGTTTGGAACGCCAAAGTTTCCGAATCCGGCCCGACTGTCCTTTCTGCTCAGGCTCGCCATTTTCCCGTCCGAAGTGCGCGATGTCATCGGGGAGAAGGAGGTTGCAAACGCTACCTCAATGGCTATCGGTACCCTGAGGCGCATCCGGGATGGCGGGCTGAGGGACCATCTCGGTGCGGGTTTCATGAGGTTCAGTGCCACTAGAGACTGGAGCATGCCTCACTTTGAGAAGATGGTCGGGGAGAACGCATTGTTGCTCGGCGCGTTTCTCGACGCCTGGCTGGGTCAGGCTCAAGGAGGGGACAAGGGACCAAGCGTGCACGACGAGTTTGCCGACGTTGTTCTGGAGTTGGCCGACTACCTGACAAGCCCCTTGATCTGCCGTCCCGGCGGTGGTTTCGTGACCAGCGAGGCAGCCGATTCATTCTACCGAAAAGGCGACCGGCATATGCGGGAGGGCGCGTATTACCTCTGGACCCGACGTGAGTTCGACCAGGTGGTCGGTGGAGGGGCGAGGGACCACGTCAGCTCGGTCGCTGCGGCCTACTGGAACGTGCTGGAAGATGGGAATGTCCCCCAGGATCAAGATCCCTTTGACGAATTCATCAATCAAAATGTCCTGTCTGTCAATAAGGATCTAACCGAGTTTTCCAAGCAGTTTGGGGTCCCTCCTGAGGAGATCAAGCGCCTGGTCTCCGCCGCTCGGGAGAAGCTGAGCACTCACCGGGACAAGGAGCGAGTTCGCCCTGCCAGGGATGAGAAGGTTGTTGTAGCAGTCAATGGCATGGTCATTTCGGCCTTATCGAGGACGGCAGCCGCTATACGCCCGCTTGATCCAGAGAGAGCTGCGAGATATTTCCAAGCTGCAAGAGCCGCAGCCACTTTTATCAAGGACAGACTTTGGGCGGGGACCGGGGGCGACGATATCAATCCACTACGTCGGTTCTTTTACGAGAAGCCAAGTCAGAGAGCTGCTTTCGCGGATGACTATGCCTTCCTGATCGACGGCCTTTTGGATTTATACACAGCGACGTTTGAAGAGGAATGGCTGACGTGGGCCAAGCAACTACAAGGTACGTCCGTTCATCTCTAAGATGGTTCGAGAGACGGAAGGCCGTGCTAACCGATCCGTCCCGCAGACGCCCAGAACCGGCTCTTCTACGATTTTCCTATTGCCAAGCCATCACAACCACCCCCTCCACCGTCCCCCAGGCACGCCTGCTCGGGCGGCTTCTACTCGACCGAGGCGGATACGCTAAGTCCCACCATCCTGCGCCTCAAGAGCGGCATGGACAAGTCACAGCCCTCGACCAACGCGGTGTCAGCGTCAAATCTGTTCCGCCTCGGCGCCCTTCTGGCCGCGGGGGAGCCAGACGCCGCCGAGGCCTATACCCTCCAGGCTAAGGCGACTCTTGCAGCGTTTGAGGCCGAGATCTTGCAGTACCCATGGCTCTTCGTCAGCCTGCTGACCAGCGTCGTGACCGCCCGCCTCGGCGTTAGGAAAGTGTGCATCAAGCGCGGCGACGAGAGAGCCCTGACGGAGTACTACACGCTGCCGCGGGCTGAGGCTAGGGCGCTTTTGCTTGTTGATGACGAGGATAAAAAGACGGCTGGACGGGAAACTGCCAGGGGGAAGGAGGTCGAGGGATTTGGGACGGCAGGGTTGCAGAGTAGAATGGAGGACCTGAAGCTTGCATCTAAACCGTGATTAGAAAATGCGGAAATGCTGGTGCTGGCATAAAGGGGGGAAAGGCCATTAGAATTATTAAGATACCAACATTTCTTATTTTCTTTTTGGAACAGACCACGTTTAAGATTCCTAGCATTTGCGACCGGTTGGCCTTGGAAGATGGTACTCTCGGAATCACACTCAATGCCTCTGCACGGAATCGGAATGTGTTAAGGCATTATTAGGAAGACGGTATTCGGTACATACAATCAAGTTAGGTACTCGAATCTCTCAGGAGAGGCATCACCACCTCCCTAGCACACCTACCGTCGCATTTTCTTGCTTCATGGCAACGATGCCGACTTGTTCTGCCAAAAGGGTATCTAGTCTACAGTATTGTTTCTCGAGTTTCCTTCGCCACTAGAAAGGAGACCTAATGCCCACCTGCGGGGCTTTAAGACTCTTCATTCAATAAATCCCTGGCTCACTTCCTCTTCGCGTGGGATTCGGTGACAACCTTATGGGATAGCTACCATCCAAAGATCTGCGACGTCAAATACAAAGGGAACCTCAAGGCTGTATCGATCTTGCTACGAGGCATTGCGCTGATCCAATGAGCGGATCCCCGTTGAGGAACTTCACGTTCGGAAGTAAGGCTTGAAGGTACTCTCGCAAGAGCGGCCCTGAGAGCTCAACTCATCTGGTCGAGGTCCCTCGTTTGTTCATTAGTTCCGTGAAGAAGGCCTGCAGATTCTCCATGGGCGGAGCAGCTTCCATGCCGCTCTCAGATCCCGTCGGGCTGGCGGGTTCGGAGGAACCATAGGCTTGCCGGTCCTGAATTTCCGGGGGAAAACGTTAAATAAGCCCGTGGTAACAGGGGGCAGGCGAGGAGGAAGGAATAAACATACCTTCAGCCGTTGCACCATGTCGTCGGCATCCACCTGGATGCCACCCATGTTGAATTGCACCGGCCCAATGTGCTCGAGGACCTTTGGTTCGGCGGCCCGGGTCGGGCTATCGCCGACGAGCTCGTCCTGCTCCAACTTCTTTACCCGCTTATGGCGCGATTCAGCTGCCTCTTCGTCCTTCTGCCTAAATGCCTCCAAGACCTTGAGCTGCTGGGCGAGGAAAACTTGGGTGTCTATCGTCTCAACCTCAAGTTCGGTGGAATGTGTGTTGCGCCCAGCTAATTGGAGCGCGTCCATGGTGGGATCCTGGACCGACTGCTCATAGAGAGCAACTGCGGATCCCTCCGGCTCCTCCCGCATCTGCTCGTTGCAACCGTCGCCGTGGCCATTCACCTCACCATTTTCTGCGCCGCCGTTCGGCTGATGTTGGACGAAGGGTTGGTTGAGGTCTATTGACCACCCACTGCTGACGCGCTCGACGTCAAAGCCCTCTCTCAGCACCCGGATCTTGCCCCACGAATCCCAGTTTGGCGGTACGACAATTCTATCTCTGTCAATGACGTTGTGTTTTAACGGCTGCTTCTTCAGAAGCGAGTGTATGCCCAGGCTTGAATGGATCAAGGTGGGCAGTTGAGAGGGAACGGAAGGAGTTGTGTATATTAATGATGCGCCATCTGGGTGGTAGGGGGTTAGCACGACAGCGGTCCTGCTGGGAAAGGAGCCATACGTTTCAGAAGCACCGTCCGCATGAATTGTAAAACGACGTCGAATTCCTCCTCCTTCCAGCTTTGTGTCTTTTCCAGATATTCCATCTTCTCGGCCTGTCGATTGTGTTAGCGGGCGACAAGAAGGGAAGGCGGCGTAGGCGCCGGTGGGTGCTCTACATTTTGGCAAACGAGACATAGGGGAAGGCCAAGGGCATCTTCCCATTCTCCTGGCCCAAGCGGGAGAGCTACCTCCCCGTCCGCTGTAGGCGCGGCCGTGGTGCCGTCGAGATTTGTCCCACCGCCTCGACCTCGGTCTCGCCACGACAGCATAACCTCTTCCATAGCATCCTTACACTCGTTGCTTAGAGAGACCAGCACCGTGCGCAGAAGGAGAATCCATTCCCGCAGCTGTCGCAGCCACTTCCATGGTTGGGACCAGTCGAGTAACACTACTATCAACGTGTTTGGTATCGATTGCGGTGTAAGCAGCGGCTGGAGGAGAGAAGCAAACGCAGGAGAGGGGCTCGTAAGGGTGTAAAGAGAAATGCGCGCTAGCGTGTCTTCCTGATCGGCGTCAAGAACATCGTAGTAGGTGTAGCCCAAGGCGAAGCTGTTTGCGACTGGTGGGATTCTCGAGGCGTTACGGTCGAGGGTGCGGCGAAGCTCGCTGTTGGAAAGCGATTCAAAAAAATCGCGCTGGGAATCGACGGTTCCGCCGAGCAGAATGATGTTCTTCTCTGGAAGCCGCTTCCCGCTGGCGACGGAGTAGAGCATAGAATTCCACAGGTCCTTCTTCTCAGTCTTGTCGCTATTCTTGGAGTCGGAGCCGGTGGAAGCGGCCGTGTAGGTTGAGTAGCGGTTCGTGTTTGCCGCCATGGCTGCGCCCGCTTATAGTTGGGCTGCAGTCTGGCGCATTTGCCGTGATGTCCCCCAGTGCCCTGTGCCGGGAAGTCGTGATTGCGCTTTCGCCTTCAGGAGGTGCGGGAAGGGAAAACGTCGGGCTGAAATCGTTTGTTGAATATCCTGTCACACTTAATCATCGCCTGTAGCCCTAGAGCATGGCCCTTTTGCTGCACGCGCTTGTTGATGACTGCTGAAAGCGAGCAAATGCTGGTCGTCGGTTCTTGGGACACGGGGCTCACTACCCCGTACTGAGGGTGCTCGGAACCTTGGATAAAGCGACGCGACTGGAGGTTCGAAATTGGACGTGTATAGTTTAGTGGATCCTTTCCTTGCATCTTGATTAAAGTAAGTTGATGCGACAAGGGTCCACAGCCGTTTGATTGCCGAACAGCGGGGCGGACCGGGCGGTGCCGTAAGCCAGTAGCTTAACCCTAACCCTTAGCATCAGACACATGATCTGTCTGCTGATCGATGTGACGCGACGAAACGAGCTCAGCTGCAAGCTCAAACCAACACCAATCTGGAAGATTCCGGAGTCAGCTGCGCGCAGCTGCTCCTCCGCCACTGCTGCCTTTGGATACAATCCCCACCTTCGCCGGGAGCCGGCGTCATCATCTAGAATCTTACATGGTATCTAATATTCCCAAGTTCAAAATCACATACACTTGCTCATTTCATTACCTCTTCTGCGGCCATCTGCATTCAACGCCAAAGTGGTTTGTGCAGCTATACTGCGAAATTGCTTGCACCAGAACACCCTAGCCATGTCAACAGCCAAGTACACACCGGCTCCGCAGGAGGACCCGGATGCGCACCTCAATTACACACAGCCGCCCCCGTCGTACCAGGCAGAGAGCAGCTCTGCTCAAGATCAAGATCGCTTGTTTGGTGCGCCGCGCAGCAGCGAGGACAACATTCCCGATGATTTCAAGGTTCGTTGGTTGTTTGCGCTGGAATCCCACCATGACCTGCGCCTCTCCATCGCCGCGCTGCCATTACCTAGGCGTTGCACAAGGATCGCTAACTTCTTCACTGTAGTTTGGCGGTTCTGTCGCCGAAGCGACCGTCGAAATTCGGAACCAATTCATCCGCAAGGTCTACACCATCCTGACGGTGCAGCTCGTCGCCACCGGCGTAGTGAGCGGCGTCAGCTTCTGGAGCGACAGCTATAGGGCATGGATCCAGACACATCCCGCTATGCTGTACCTTTCGGTGCGTCTGTCCGCTACAAAGTTATCGTTTTCTCCCATCAACAACTAACCCTGCATTCTTGCCAGCTCTTTGGTGCCATGGGTTTCATGCTCCTCACGTACTGGAAGCGCCACTCATACCCGACCAACCTACTCTTCCTTTCGGGCTTCACGCTGCTAGAGGCCTACACCATCAGCGTGGTCGTATCCTTCTTCCAGACGTCGGTCGTGCTTAACGCGGTCGTGCTCACTGCCGGCATCTTCGTCTTCCTGACGGTGTTCGCATGCCAGACAAAGTACGACTTTACGAGCTGGATGCCCTACCTGTTCGGCGCGCTGTGGGGACTGCTGCTCTTCGGCTTTATCGCCATCTTCCTCCCGTACTCGAGCACCACCGAGCTTGTCTACGGCCTGCTTACCGCGCTCATCTTCAGCGGCTACATCCTCGTCGACACCCAGCTGGTTCTGCGCAAGCACCACGTCGAAGAAGAGATTGCTGCCGCCATCAGCCTGTATCTTGACATCATCAATTTGTTCCTGGCCATTCTGCGCATTCTCAACAGCCAGCAGAATAATTAGGTGGAGTGGGAAGGGGAGCAGGAGAACGATAAGGCCTGGGGTGTACGTTGTTTCTTTATGGAAATAGGTCTTGTATGGTCTCCTGACGGAGGAATTTTGCAATTGAGCATGAGCACGGTTTCCGTTTTACAGTCTTACTGTTCTCATCAAGGACTTTACCGCGAGAGCAGGCTGGAAGCTCTTGTTCCTGAATTATCCGCAGTTGCTCAAGTCCGAGTGTTTCGTAGTTCGTTTTGTTTTGGGAGGCATGTTGGGATTTGTGCTGTAGGCTACAACGGCAATTACTTCAACTCATCGGGTCAGCTAATGCACGCAGGCAGCTTAGCCTTATCAGAAAGCAATACAGTCTACGTTTCACCATAAAGCCTGCGGGTAGAATGGTTCGGATTTGCGCAAAGGGTATATTCTCCATGGATGTAATACGCGAATCCCAAGCCGAGGTGACGATATCGTAAAACCACCAAATTCAGGGAACCAGTGCACAAGAGACAGAAAAGTCGAATTTAGTTGATATCTGCATTAGAAGTCCAATAATAGAAATATGAAAAGGGCAGACAGTCAAGTAAAAGGGCGGGTATGGAAACCGATGCTACCGGCGGACTGAACACAGAAACTCCTGGCTGGCGACCAGCATCTTGCAGGCTCTCCGGTTTGGCTTGCCCCTGGTCCAGGATTCTGCAGTCGGATGGAATAATGAAGTCCTGGATATCAGAACCACGGGGCTGCGGGCGATCGAAGCAACCAATGGTCTCCACCCCATGCCGTTCATCCCCCACACACCCATCAAACACGTCTCCAGGCCGATGCCTTCTCACATCCCATGCCGACGCTCAATGGTCCTCGGCTATCGTCACAATCATAGGTTGGTCCCGGCGAGTATCGTCTTTGTAAAAATCGCAAAAGCAGCGGGGGGAATATTTTGTCTCTAAACACAACAACCAACGCCTCAAATCAGGTTGCAATAGAAGGTCGCCTGGAAGGGGCCGTGTTCTGGCAACATCGGTAGGGCAACGATATATCAAATTCCCGGCGGACAAGGAACCGTCAAGTTCATTGACTACTCCGCGCCATTGGCCTCGCTGTGGTTAGCAGCCGCGGCTTGTTGGGCCGCAGCAGCGGCGGCGGCCTCCCGCTGCATTCGTGCTTCGATTTCGCGCAGCTGAGATTCACGAGCAAGAAGCTCCTGGCGCTTCTCGTTGATTTCGCGTTGAACCTTGACCTCAATCTCGCGAAGCTTCTCCTCCTCGCGGCGAAGTTGCTCCTCCTTGAGACGCACTGACTGCGAGGCAAGATCCTCGGGATTCATCGAGGAGTCACTGAATCGCCGAGTTAGTTCATGTCTAGACAGATACAGACGAGAAGGAGAACATACACTCCAGCGCCGCCCTCAACACTCTTGCTGAGCTTCTCGGTACGGTAGTTTTCGTAGAGAAAGTCGTGGGTGATCTCCTTCAGGTCGGCAAGATGGCTGTGCAGGAGGGCAGAGCGGATGGCCAAGAAGTCCGAATGGCGCGGGTTATCAACCTCGACCACACCCCATGGGTACTGGCGGGCGCGAACCTTGCGCCCACCAATCTCGACAACATCCTCCGAGCCGACAATAGCAAATGGCATGAGCCCTCTGAGCTCTGCATTTTCCTCGACCGTGTCCTCGTCGTCCTCCTCGATGTCGTAAGGGAAGTTGTAGACGGGAATCCGGTAGTGTTCGATATCCTCCATCACCAGCTTCTTGGATTCGGCCAGCTCAGAGGGCGTCAGAGAGTCGGCCCGCCCAATGACAGGGATAACGTTGACCCGAGGTGCCAGGCGCTTCATCAACTCAATGTCTAGCTCGCGGAGGCTGGTGACATGGTTAGTACGCTTAACCTGAGCAACGGAGAGAAGCAATTACCCATGGCCGGTCGGCGTGATGAAGTAGAGCATGGCGTGGACACGGTTGTCTCTGAAGCGGGGATTACGCTTGATACGCGATTCCTCGGCGAGAATGTCATCGTATTGCCTCTCTAGGTAGCCAACAATTTCTGAGAAGCTATGCGAATAAACCATATTAGCATGGTGCATGACCCACGGGTATAAACGGCGGCAAATTTACCTGGCCTCGTTGTCGACCTGGTCACCAAAGCCTGGTGTGTCAACGATGGTGAGGGAAATGCGCGTTCCCTCTTCGTCCAACTCAAGCTCTACTGGCAGTTAGCACTATCGAACTGGTGCTCTCCTACGGCGAGGAATACTTACCGACGGTGATGGGCTTAATCTTGACACCTTCCTCCACATGGGCGGTAGTCGCATCATCGGAGTCCTTGTGCGGGAGTACGGGCTTGCCGCAGAGCGTGTTGACGAAGGTGGTCCGGCCTAAATGGCACGAACGGCGATTAGTCCCCAGCGCAATTCCCCAACGGTGACTGCCGGTAGGCGCTATCCTCGAGAGCACACAACTCACCAGTTCCTGAGGCGCCGCAAACCATCAGGCAAAACTGGATACCCTTCTTGACGTTCTTCTTTCGACGGATCATCTTCTGTCCCACGGCGAACATTGTTAGCTCGATTACCCCAACAACACGCGGAGTGGCCGCGATTGAGCGATGATTATCGACCGATTGGGAGCGGCAACAGGAGAGCGGCGGGAAACCGGGAACGAGAAGGTCGAGATTGCAGGTATGTATTTTCATGGAACTGGGAAGACAGGGAAAGGCAGACGTACGGCCGGAGAAGACATGATGTTGGTGTGGAGTCGTCTCGTGTTTGGATGCGGGTAAAACTAGCGCCGAACTCAAAGCAACGGCAGGAAGAATATACTAAATAGAGGATTGAGCTCTATTCGGTCACCAAAAAGGTGGCAGCTGGGCCTGGGAGACTGTAGAAGGGTATCGCGGATGCGGGTTGGGAAAAGGAGAGAGGTCGGGATACACGTCGATGGAAAAGGGCAATTTCACAAATTGTTGCGGTGCTACGGCAGAAGCAGGAGCCCAGCAATCACAACACCCAGAGCTTGTCGCCCGGCGCCAGGCGCTGGAGCAATGGTCAACCCACAATTCAGGGGTCGCTGGCTGCCCAGGTCACAGGCTAGTCCAGATTTGGAAAGACACCCTTCAGATCCCCAGGTGCTAACTTTGCCGGGTCTTTCTCGGGAGCCTCTCCGCTCGCAGTCGATGCCCGGCTGGTGACAGCTGTTAGGAACAGCCTGTTCCTAACGTTAGTGTAGTAGTTCGCATCTCTGATGCGGCTTGCGCTGTTCCCAGCAAACGCCATAACATTGCCGAGCGTTCGACGGCGATATCCTTACTTAGCCTGGGATCACAGACAGACAACAAAGCATTGGGTTTTGGCTCTATTGTGAGCTGTGAGCACGGTTCCAGATTTGTCTTTAGGGCTTCCTGGGTATATTTAAACTGTTCAGCAGCCGGACCCAAAGAACTCCCCAAGCTCGACTACTCGCCCATTAGATAAGGTACCGGCTCAGTACTATACATTTAAAGTGCAAGTAAACGGCCGCTGAGATTCCACGATATCGAACGCCCAGTCAACGGCGACCACACAACATGAACCCATAATATCACTCACTTCTTACTCTATATTACCAAGACGATCGGCATCGTACGAAGTACCTGCTTCTGAATTCTTCAGCATCCCCGGTCGGGTCCAGGCCCGCAGGCAGGCACCTCAGCCTTGGTCTTTGGGCTTTCGCCGCCCCCGTTGGTTCATTTATCACTTGGGACCTCGACAAGGCGTTCAAGATGAACACTAGAACCCCTCTCGAGTCTCCCAATGCGACCGTGGTTCTTTCTATTTCGTTCAACGATGACTGTAGCTGCTTTGCTGTAGGGTTGAGCACAGGGTTCCGCAGTGAGTCTCTCCGCTCTTTGGACTTTCGGAGCGTCGCTTCAGGAATATATCTACAGCACAAAGGCAAACAACTCAATGCCCCTCACCTAGATTCGGCCTCCGCACCCTCTGTGACTAACGGGCATCTGTACAGTCTTCGATTCGGAAACATGCACCCTGCGGGCAGCACGCGGTAAGGCACCATGTGCCCCACATTATCCTGTTCGCACTAATAACACAACTGCTTCATACAGACTTCAACGCGGGAGTAGGCTTGGTCCGGATGATGGGCAAGACAAACTACGTTGGCCTCGTAGGTGGGGGCAAGCAGCCCAAATTCGCCGCAAACAAGGCAGGCAGACTTACTGTGTTCCCTGAGGTGAACGACATCTGCTAACGGTCCATGTTGTAGCTAATCATCTGGGACGAGGCCAAGAGCAAGTCGGCCCTTGATATCAGCGCCTTGACGCCGGTACGCGGTGTCCAATTATCAAAGGAACGCATCGTGGTCGTGCTGCAGAACAGCGTGCGCGTCTACAAATTCGCCAAGCCTCCGAGCCTCTTGTCGGCTTACGAAACGGCCAACAATCCGTGGGGTTTGTGTTGTCTGTCCTCGAAGAGGATTGCCTTTCCGGGCAGAACAGCCGGACATGTGCAGCTCGTCGAGATCGCGACAAGTAACGTTAGCATCATCCCCGCACATTCTTCGGCCGTGAAGGCGATACAGCTCAGCCCGGATGGTGAACTGCTGGCCACCGCGAGCGAGACGGTAGGCTCCTCGGGCATACACCTGTTACTGAGGACACTCGCTAATCTCTGGACAAGGGGACACTGATCCGTGTATTTTCAACAAGCAATTGCGCCCGGGTGGCGGAACTCAGGAGAGGGATCGACCCGGCAACCATATTCTCCCTGGCATTCAACCCCTCCGGGACCATGCTCGCATGCACGTCGGATAAGTCTACTCTGCACATATTCGACATCCCGCATCCCAAGAGGCCAGCCCGTCCGTTCCAGAGCGGCAGCAGAAGTCAAGCCGGTGGTGCAGCCGGCAGCGGTGGAGGTTCGTCAGAAGGGAGTGCTGGACGGGGCAAGTGGGGCTTCCTGTCCAAGATCCCGATGATGCCGCGAGTCTTCTCGGATGTATACTCGTTCACCTCGGCTCCTTTTGACGCCGATGACGAGAGTCCACCAGGCCAACTTCCCATGTCGGAGAGCACGACGCTGGGCACGTCGAGGCCGCCAAAGGGTGTGATTGGCTGGTTGGACGAGAATACCCTAGTGGTTATTGGAGCGGGCAAGAATGCTCGGTGGGAGAAGTTTGTCGTCCGGGAGGGCCCGGATGGGCGGCGACTTTTTAGGGAGGGCTGGAAGCGGTATGCGTAGGATATGAGCGTCGAAAGTTCAGGGCGTTTACTAGGAAATGGTACGGTTGGGGGATCTCTTTGCTGAGTCAGGCGCCAGGATGAACTTGAGTTTGTGGCCGGGCAGAGGCTGGGTTTGTAGTCAACATTAGCGGCTGGCTTTACTTTTCTTTCGGGAGCTATCTGGGGGTTATGTGGGTATCAATGTAGTGTTACAATCTAGCGACCTCGCAATGGGTTCTTTTAGTCTCCATAAGACCGTGGTGATCTGCTCCGATAACTATCCCTATCCCGACGTCGGCGATCTTCTAGATCGCGATGCCGATGTTCCCTCCGGCGGCTTGTATCTTCTGGGCTGTCGCGCCTATGATCGCCATGGCTCTTTCGGTAATAGTCGTTGCGCTCATCCCTTTGGTGGTGGCCGTCCCTTCTCCGCTGGTCTCCGTCGTGTCTGTCGTCTCGGCCTCTGTCCTCAGAAGACGAATCTCGGCGACGCCTTTCCCGTTTGTCATCATCGCTTCGGTCTCTCGACGGCGATTCATCCCTCCTACGCCGGTGATCTCGTGCGCTCTCAGGGCTGTCCCTATTCCTATACTTGTGCCTGTCCTTGTCCCGGCCCTGCCGTTCGTGAGCGCTCTCATCTCTCTTCGACCGGTGTGATCGATGGCGATGATCCCTGTCTCTGTCCTTGTCCTTCCGGCTGCGTCTTTCGGAGCGCCTGGCTTCCCTCTTTAGTGCTTCCTCCACCTCCTTTTTCTTCTCGTCAATGAGAAACTGCTTCATCGGATCTTCGTCATCATGCTCTTGTATAAGCAGCTGCAACTCTCTTTCCTCCTTAATCAGCGGCCGCGCGCGTCGCGCCTTGTCCTCGTCCGTCTCGTCGCCGCTCTCGTCCTCACTGGGCAGACCCTTTTCGGCCCGTTCACGGCGCAGCATATCCTCCCAGCCGACCCTGTACTCGTCCAAGTCGTCGTCATCTCGCGCCTTGTAGCGCGCGTGGTCGACGCGGATCAAACGGCCACCAATCTCGGCGCCGCCGAGGTTGTCAACGGCTAGGTCGGTGCTGCGCTGATCCTCGTACTTGAGCCACCCAAAGCCCTTGGACTTGCCCGTCTCCTTGTCGCGCACAAGCTTGAGAAACACGGGCTCGCCGAACTGGCTGAAGATGGTGATGATATCACCCTCTGACAGCTCGTAGGGAAGACCGCCAAAGTACACAAAGGCCGTGTCGCGGTAGTCGGTGTGCCACGACGCCTCGGGTGGGATGCCATCCTCAATCTCGCGCTTGTTGAGCGCCTGGATTGCTCGAATTTGGTTCATTGCAGCTCACGATGGGCGAGCCGAATGGAGAGAAGACGTTGTGATTTGTGAACTGCAGGGAGTCATCACTGAAAGCTGCGATTTGGCTCGGGCTGATAAGGGTTAGGGTCAAAGACTACTTTTCCGGAGTACTTTGGGCCATTTACCAACGGGTTCATCATTTCTCGATGCTCGGTCAAGATGATCAGTCAAGCATAATCTCTCGATCGCAATGCCTGTGACTATTGGACCCTAGAAGACTCCTTACCTATTTCAACCAAACAAATCGGTCAACCAAACAACCCGGAATTCATCAATGAGATAATCAACAAACTGATAAGTACTGTTGGACTACATACCACAGCTGTACCGTGACGCCCAGAACCCTGAAGAACCGTTCGCAGCCTCTAATCACACACTTCACAAGGCATGCTTGCGACAGCGTATCCCATTGGCACGGTCCGACCTAGATGCACGGCTTGCTAGTTGCTACTCTTCCTAGCAAGCTGAGGACTGATCTCGGATCGAATTGCATCTCACCCGCCCCCGCCGAGAAAGGCGGGGTTTTTCTCCAACCTCTCTGGCTACTTCGTTCGGAGTACTCTTTGTCCAAGGTACTGTATTGTACAGTACAGTACATACATACCTTGGCAGGTGTCTGGTACCTTCTTCATCTCAATCGCGGGATAATCAGTAGCTCCTGTTTGGTAGGATGGTGGTACCTATGAAGAATATAGCTTACTATTGCCTCGGTTTTGATTGGAGTCAGTATTTCAGCAACGCTAGTTTTGAGTTGGCTTTCATGCCTTTAACTGCGTTGTGGAAGTTGAGCTTGACAGAGGGGCAGGTAAGCCAGTGCACTTTCCCCTGAGGTAGCTCCATCAAAGGCCGCCTTCCCCAAACTGGCATTGGTTTGTTAAACAGTTGGGGCCGGGGCACCCATGTCGACGATTGCCAGCCCCTAACTTAACAGCTCGCTACGGTTTCTTGTCACCGCCTTTGTGTGCCCTCGATGTCCTTTCCGGCGGGGCCAGCCTCCTAAATCAACATTTGACAGGCCAGGGTCGCCCACTTCCCAGCTGTATTCGCTCGTTTTCCCTTTTGTAGGGCCCGTTGTTGTCGACTGAGCTTGTCGGTGCTTCGATTCATCCTTTTCTCGAGGCGCGTCCTTCTTTAGGTACTGTCGGGCAGCCTACGAAGCAGTAGCTGTCAATTTGACTTTCAAAACTCTGGGCCCGTCCGTCTACAGTCCGTGTTCAGCCTGCCGCCACACTCGTGCGCCTGCGCAAAACCGGCTTGCTAAACCTCTCCCGAACCGCGGCTCCCCCTCCCGTGTCAATCACGACGGTCCGGCTCACGGACAACGCCCGGCTCGATCAATTGGCATCCAGTCAGTTGATGAGGCGACCATGAACACCTCTGCGCCCCCAATCCCCAGTAATGGCGCCGACACGCAAAGGACTACGTCGAGCCGTGTGCCGCGAAGGACAGGCAAGCCCGAGCACATGAATGGGCCTCTCTACCGGCAAGCCAACAGCAATGTCGTCCTTGTTCGCCGCCCCAAGAGAAAGAACGAAGGCGCCTGGAAACAGCTGACGCGGTGGTTCGTCGACAACCAGATTGGTTGGTTAACATGTCCCTTGCTGCTCCCCTGAGATTCTAGAAGAGCTGACATGGGCGCAGGAGCCTCGTTCAACCTCCTCGCTCTGCTGTTTCTCGCTCACGGCATGCCTCGCGCTAGGGACTACACGTCCAAGTACTTCACTCTTTCCTACTACAACCCGCAATCAGGGAAATACGGATTGGGCTCCGCCGATGGCTACCTGATCCTATTCTACATCGTTCTCTTTACTGGTTTGCGCGCCGCAGCCATGGAGTACCTGCTAGCGCCCTTGGCGAAGTCCCAAGGCATTGCGAAGAGGAAGGACATCACTCGGTTCAGTGAACAAGCCTGGATGGCCATCTACTACACCATCTTCTGGCCGCTTGGGCTAGTATGTTTCTGCAATTGGCTTCCCCGTTGCTGCGACTAATGGTCTTTGCAGTATGTCTATTACCAGTCTCCGTCCTACACGCAATCTTCGTCGTACCTCAACCTCCACGAACTATGGACGGCTTGGCCTGACCGCGAAGTTTCGGGTCTGATGAAGGCCTACATGCTAGCGGAACTTGCCTTCTACCTCCAAGGAATTATCGTGATTCACATTGAGGAGCGAAGGAAGGACCATTGGCAAATGTTCATTCACCACATCGTCACGTGCACCCTCATTTATGCCTCATATAGGTATGGCCACACGCGAGTTGGTAACCTCATCTTGGTGTTAATGGATGTGTCGGACCTAATCCTTCCGGTACGTGGCATACTGTCGCGTGTGTGCCTGCTCTGTCTGCTGACACCCACTCTTCAGATTGCCAAATGTCTCAAGTATCTGCGGTACAACACTTTGTGCGACTTGATGTTTGGCCTCTTCATGATTTCATGGTTCGTGGCAAGACACGTCCTGTATCTTATGGTGTGTTACTCCGTTTGGGCACATACACCTGAAATCATGCCACACGGGTGCTTCAAAGGCGCTAAAACCAACGTGACTGGACCGTTCGAGCCTCCGACCGACCAGGGCCCGCTCTACCTCCTGGAGCCTCTCTGGGACCCCGAGGGCTTGGTCTGCTACAACGAGTCCGTCAAGTGGACGTTCCTCTCTATGCTTCTCTTTCTAGAAGCGCTCACCATCATCTGGTTCTCGATGATCATTCGTGTCGCCATTCGAGTGGTGAGTGGAGCCGGTGCAGACGACACGCGAAGCGACGATGAGGGGGATGCGGTAGAAGACGAGGATGAGTATACCTACGAGGTGGCTCAGCCACTTGAAGAGGAGGTTGGTGTCGACAAGATCGACCTGAAGAACTGGGAGCGGCGGACGGGCGTGAAGAGAACCGAGCCTACGACAACAGGTGTCAGCTTTCCCGGTCACAGTGATCGTAAAGAGCTCCTCGGGCGCATCGGTTGCGAAAAGCACGTCGACTGAATTGCGTAGTCGGCCGGTTCCCTTGTCAGGGCACATATCTCGCCGCGGTCGCGGTGGCGCTGCCATGATTCTGTCTAGGCCCAAGCTTGGGGGGTGCTGCGTCGTGGAGAGAAGGCCAGAGCAACTGGGGTTCTGGAAGTCAACTTGCAGAAGACGTGCGCGAGACATGCCATGTTGATTTCTAACCGGTGATAGACCGCTGGGGGTCTGCGGCTGCCTTGACCAAGCTGTATGGACGGATGGAATGCTTCCCCTCGGTGACCGACTCAGTCTCTTCCCGAGCTTTTACCGCGCTGGTTTTTATGGGTCCCAGAATTAGCACCGCTCTCTCGCGCAGTTGGGAAACGTGACGAAGAAGGTGCCGGCATGGGCCATGGGTTTCAGTTGCCCGGGAACTTCGTTCTATACCCTCTCTAATTTGATCTGAGATATCTGAACTGATTTCCGTATCATGGCAGTGAACTTGCTCCGTGAAATGTCCAGATGGCCTGACACAACCAGGAACCCGGGTGGCTCGGGAGGGAGCGGTTCGGAGGTTAACGTAGGGCATTAAGACTGGGGTTTCTGCCAATCCACGGGCCACATCCACTACGATAGCAAATGGGTGTGGATCGATGTTGGGGCCTCGAGATGATGGTACAGCGTCAACATGCCAGATTCGACGCGTTTATGAAATGGCTGGCGCGTGAACCAGACAGGCGTGAATCCCGGGTTTCCCCATCATTGCAAACCTGAGGCGGCAGAGTGACCGCCCCAAGGCCAGTACTCTCACACTCCTCCAAGACCTCAACTGCCCTTCAGCCCGACTTCCGTGAGGAACGCATACGCCAAACCACAACACACTGCGCCATTCGCACTTACCTGATTCGCAGCTTCCAAGTTCCAGGTTCATGAGTGGATGGAACCTTCCCGACAACATCAACGGGCCAATTAACAAGAGCAAGCGCGCTACCTATAAACCCCCAAACCCCCCCACCCCCTAACCGTCTTCTCTTCTCTCTTCCCCCTTCACCCTCCCTCAACCTTGAATCAACCTAACCCAGACAATTCAGCGCTTTCTTTACTTGACGCTCAGTCAATTCAAATACTCTGAACCGGCGTTTGTCACATCGTCACATGGTTGCTGAAACCTATACCCACTCCTGCCGTCATTTCCAGTGCTTCGCGAAGGGTCGTCGATGGGCCCTTCCGTTTCACCGTGAGCAGCGGATGTTTACACGATTTCGACTTTTTTTTGGTCGGTTTCGGCGTTCCGCAGTGGAGTAGTATAACCCGCCAAGTGTTTCTGATTTTCCTCCAATGCCAGTTTACCTAGGGTTACAGCTGATTACCAGTACAGGCTGCAACGTCCACTGGGCATATGATTGGGGGAAGTGCTTCATTCTATCCTGCCCCTCAGATCGCTCGGCTCGCTGCTCTGTCTTGTCTACGATGACGGGTCTAATATGTTTAGCCGCTAACACCTGCAATATGATCTCGTGCGGGTCCCGGAGGTAGTACTGCCGGTAATATGCCAGAGTTCCAGTGCTATAAGTACTACTTGTACTACCGTATGTAGTCTCCCAGTCTGGCTGTCTTCAAGGGACTTGCTTGGCTAAACTAAGTTGTCTGTTGATTCTGAGTCAAGTAGCTTTCAGTTCATCACGATGGTTTCTTGGTCGACACTACTGGTTGCTGGGCTCGCGACAGCCGGGGCTCGTGGCAACCCGGTTGAGCTGTCTCGTCGGGCTAATCCGACTGTCTACCTCGCCGGAGACAGCACCATGGCCAGGACAAGCAGCCCTCATATGGGTAAGTGACATATCTCAGGTTCAAACTGGTGATTGCATTTGGTAGAGTATAGGCGGGTGTCTAATCGAGTCTCTATTTAGGCTGGGGCGAATACCTCGCTAAGTACATCACAATCCCCGTGGTGAACAAGGCCATCTCGGGGCGGTCGGCGCGCAGCTACACCAACGAGGGGCGCTTCGCCGAGATTGAGAAGCTGGTCAAGGCCGACGACATTGTGGTCATTGAGTTTGGGCACAACGACGGCGGCTCGCCCAACTCGGCGTCGGACAATGGTCGCAGCGACTGCCCGGGCACCGGCGGCGAAGTGTGCAAGTCGGGCAAGACGGGCGAGACGGTGTACACGTTCAACCACTACGTCGAGACGGCGTCGCGGAGCTTCATCGCCAAGGGGGCCAAGGTGATTGTCAGCAGCCAGACGCCCAACAACCTGTGGGAGACGGGCACCTTCAACCCGAGCGCCCCGCGCTTCGTGGGCTACGCCGCGCTCGCGGCCAGGAATGTCGGCGCTCCCGGGGCCAGCTTTGTGGACCACTTCCAGGCTGTAGCGGCCATGATGCGCAAGCTCGGAAGTGCAAAGACGAACGCCCTCTTCCCCCAGGACCACACGCACACCAATCCAGCAGGGGCCGACCTGGTTGCGCAGGCGTTTGTGCAGGCGGTGAATATGAACATGAACGGGACGACACCGCTGAAGGGATATCTCAAGAGTCCTGTGCCGGTCGTGTTTTGATTTGGGTTTCAATTTTCAAACGCGGAGTTGGACCTTGGTACTTGGTTCAAACGTGGTACCGACTTCAGAGAAGCTAAGACTGATGTCAATGTTTGGACTCCGGCTTTCTGGCTACCTGACCTTAGATTCCAATCTACTTGGGTACCTTCAGATTTGATATTCTTTGCCTGCCTAGGGTACGGTGGTACCGTGATTGCTTCACCAGCGAGATGCATTTCCCAGCTCCCAGCTCTTTCCTAACTCGGAAATATCTCGTCTTACACCTGTGCAGTGCGCACATGCCGCTTAGCTACCTAGTAGGTATGATGTCATCGTCCTACATCACCCCCATCCAAAACGTTTCGGGCTCTCCCGATTCGCTACGAATACACTTGTAGGGAAAAGGTTTGAGTGGTTCCTGCTCAAGCCAGTTACGTCTGTGGTTGGCGCTAGGGAGATCTACATGCAAATCTGGTCGAGCTTAACGTTAATCCTGAGGCAACCCCTTAGACATAGCTCGCATGCAAACAGTGGTACACCCGATGACGTTCGCAGCTTCCATGGTATTCCCACGCACATAAAGGCGTAAACAATTCTTCCTCTCTCTCTTTCAGAGGCATACCACCCGACTTCGTAATCTGTTCTCAGGACACGTACCTGTATTCGATTTCAAAGTTTCAAACTCAAACTCTCTGGACACATAGCCTACGTCTCATGTCAACAAGTTCAACAACTGGCCGATCAATCAACACAACCGTCCAGTGCGTTCAGTCAACAAGCAGAATGGGCTCCATCGATCCTCCACCGATAAAGCTGCCCAGCATCAAGCTCGACACGACCCTCGCCGAGCTGTACAAGCGGGCAAGCCCCAAGACTGCTGGCCTTCGGTTGGGCCTGGCATCGTGCGGCGTCACAAGCGCCGTCGACCTCACGCCTGACTTCCAACGCAACTCCAGGTACCCGTATCAGGACCAGGCCCTCATCAAGGTGCCCCGACGGCAACTCACCCTGGACAACACCAACCTCCGCAAGTCGATCGCAAAGAAATACCTCAGCCTCATCCCGCAGCGCGATGCTTTTATCGCGGGCGCCATGCCCGTGATCCTCTTCAACCTGGGCCAGTCACCCAAACAGATCGAGCATGACCGGCGCGAGGCCGAGACCACCATCTCGGTGCTTGACTGTGCCCAGCGGCCCGATCTGATCTTTTGCCCCGGTCCGATCAAGATACCCCTGCAGCCTGAGCAGGACCATGGGCATGGTATCGACAAGCTCGACTACAAGGTCGTGCTCGACGGGTTAGAAGCCAATCAAGATCGGCTCACGCGCGACCTCGAAACGCACTGGTTCCTCAACAGCAAGGCCGCCCTGGCAAGGTCCGGCCTGCCCACGCCGCGGTCTGAGATCCTTGAGACGGAGGGCGTGCCGCCTGAAGACCCGGAATCCTGCTGTCGCGTCTGCGCTGCTGCAGCAAGTAGCAGTAGTTCCCCTGGATCGGCCGCAGAGCTGCCCTTGTTCCCGGCCAAGTGCACAGGGCCCAGGGGACGATGGCTCGCCGCGCAAAAGGACCGCATCCTCTCCGCCGCGCGGGCGCGGCCGGTGCCCTTTGTCTTCAAGACGCAGCAGGCTTTTGGGGGCGCGGGGACATGGCTTGTCCGCACGGCGGAGCAGAAATCTGCGCTGCTGGCAGAGCTTGCCGGGGACGACAGTGATAATGATGACGACGACGGGGTCCTAGGCAAGCTGCTGGCGCAGGTGACCAGCAGCAACGCGCATCTAGGCCCGGCGACGGTACTGCTCAGCGAGCTAGTGGGCGCCGACGGGGATGGGAAAACGGTGGTAGGTGACTACGGCCTGACCTTTGTTGTGACGGATCGCGACGATGAAGCCGACGGGGGAGCGGCTCATTTCCTTGCTGCTTCGGAACAAAACACGGACGGCAGCAACGCCTGGATTGGCAGCACAATCTCGTACCCCCGCCAGGAGCAGCTGAGGCGGAAGTTTGAGGGGCTCATGCGGCAAACTGCGGCGTGGCTGGCCAGGTATGGCTATATTGGTCCCGTTGGCGTGGATGTCCTGGAAGTAAAGAAGTCCGGGTCAGGCCAGGGGGAGACGGAGTTTTTCATCGTGGATTTGAACGCCAGGATATCGGGATCCATGTCGTTACCGTTGCTCAGGGGTCATTTTGTGGGTAGAGGCCTGACATGCGCGAGCAGCGTCTCGATTGTAGCCAAGGGCGGCAGGGCAGGGTTTATCCAGCGATGGAGGAAGCCCTTCGAGGAGGGCAGGATGCTCATACTGAGCTGGTATGAGGATCCCGAGGCTGGCGAGAGCATTGCGGAGGTTGTTATTGGCGGGGAGAATGAGGAGCGGTTGCAAGAGCTGGTGCAGCGGGTGAGGGAGAATATTGAAGAGGTGACACTCTAGGGGCCTATGAGGTATAATGGTCAACTACTTAGGTAGTGTTGATTTTGATATGATGGAAAGTTGACGAAAATCATGTGGTGAGCCCTGCATTTGAGACATTTCCCTAGCTTGGGTACCTACCGTGACATAGCCTAGGGCTCTCCTAGCCTACAATAGGGGGACATTACCTGGGATAATATATGTGGTCCTGTGGAATAGAGCACCCGCCCGAGATCAAACTATAGCCTATAGTGGTAGGTTAATAAGAAATACCTAGGCTCCCGCTCCGGACTCGGGAACCTGAATACTAGTGGAAATCATATGAGCCTAACAGTAATGCCGTGAGATACGACCCATTCTGTCCGGGTTCGCTCAAGATGTCTTGGCAGTTTCTGAGCGGCATGGGCTCGGATTTGTGTGGAGAGCCTCTCGGTACAGTGTACTTGAGTGTTTCCCGTGTCACGGTGGCAACCAGAACTGGCGGCTGAGATACTTAAGTACTGAGAAGTTGACTCGGAATCAAAGAACTGTTTGAGGAGGGAGCTGTTCAAAGCAGTACGAGAATGCCTTGGACCTGGTATCATTGAATCTCAAGTGATAGTACACTGTACTGAGGCAAACCCTTTTTCAGGGGCTCGAATGCTGCAGCTGCACACGTTTCGGTCTCGGCCGAGACTCGAAAGGTCGAGTATCGAAAACGCCAACTTGAATTAGCGTTTCCCGGTACTACGGCGGACCAAGTAGACAGACATACGAAGATGTACAAGGGTTGACCAGAGTCATCGCGGTGCAATGTTACCGCTCTAAGAAGGTCGTGCTACTGTGCCTGACCCTGCAGCGGGGTGTCACATACAGGGGTATATCGATGACCCTGGCCTGATTCTCATCTCGACAATCGTTGTACTTGTACAGTACGTGTGGTGTCTATAGTAGGTAGTTCAGTCTGGAGTCTCATCTGTCCAGTGGACCAGTGGCGAGTCATTCCAGGGTACGCCGACAAGTTGACAACAGACACTTCTCGCTTGCAATCCCTTCGGCACTGTGACTCTCGAGAGATCGCGAGGGAAATTGTAACGATATAAGACAGATCGGATGGCGCCGCGACCCTGACTGGAGTTAGCACAGCAGTAGAGTGGCTGGCCGAGGACACAGCATCACAGTGCACGGGTAGTTACAGATCATTGGTGACACAAGGCAGTTTCAGCATCCATGGCAATCAGTCAGTGGAAGCTTACCTCGGTGATGAGGGCGCAATGGGGTAATTTGGAAACTGACATAGGCTCCCGGGACCCGGGCCGAGGATTGCCACGTGGGATCTACATCAGGGCCAGAACACAGCGTCATGCTGGTGAGGCAAGTTAGGTAGGTACGCAGGTAGGCGGAATGAAGTCTCAGGTGCCAAGCACGGGGACCTGAATAAGGTAGAATCAGGACATATACTACTAGTCCACAGATGAGAAGGGATGGGATCAAGGGGGCGTTCGGATTGCTATCTCGCCTATGACTACGGTGTCATTGAAACTGAAAACTGTCCAACATCTCGAGAATCGACATGGAGGAGTCCATTCTGCTCATTAATCAATGCGACTTTCCGCACGGGTTGCACCATCCGCATCTGCCTCTCCTATATCAACCTACCTTAGGGAAGCGATCCAGCTCACCCTTCAGGATCCTTGACTGCTTTGATTTCACCGAGCCTATACATCATAGTGACATACTCGCCCCTGGCATCAATAACCGGTCGCCAATCCATTACAGCTAGCCTCCATGAACCAACACGTTGGTTTGCATGGCTTCCTCGAGGAGTCCTTCGGGATATCCGATTCGCGGCCTACATCCGAGCATCTGCCCGCTACGCCATCAGTCTTTTACGTGGAAGTTGCCAGTTCCACTGTGACGCCTCAGGCAATTTCCATGACCCCTCCCGGGTTCGGACACAGCCAACATGTTGAACATGCCAATGATGCCATCACTCCGACCGAGCTCTCCTGTTCCCCAGAACGGCCTCTAGTCCCTAGCTGCGCAGCGGACTGGGAGGCCAGGAAACACATCATCCAGGACCTGTACATGGACAAAAACCTCATTCTGAATGAAGTCATTGGCATCATGCTCAAGAAACACAAGTTCAAGGCGACGTACGTGTCCAACTTTGACCTCCCCCTGAATCCAACTTGAAGTGGCCGAGACGGCGGGTAACTTACATGGGCAGCCACTCAGCGCGAGGATGTACAAAGGCCAGTTTGCCAAATGGAAGTGGACAAAGTACAACAAGTCGGGCAGCGCCGTCTCCAGGAAGCCGACCAAGTCGAGGGCGGCGAAAAAGAAGGGTATTGAATTTGAACTCAGTCCACGTACTACTAGTACTACCACAACAGCAATCTCGAGGCAAACCCGGCACCTCCCGGGCGCCACGTACTCGCAACTCATCCGCTTTCTCCACTTTGACGAGACAGACCTCGAGATGCAGCTGACACTGCATGCCTACGCCGTTATGATCTCCCACTGGTGTGAGCGGGAGACGCCCTGGAGGGTCCCCTACACCACCACGGATCACAACAATGCTTCCGCACTGGCAAGGCCCCCACGACCGCAGAGAATCTCAATCCTCCAGCAGTTTCGAGCGGCCCTAGACAATTTCCGCAGTGGCCGTCCGCAGCACGGCGGGAACCTGCTCCGACAAGCCTTTCTCAACATTGAGCGCGCCGTCCTGGAGACGGCCCAGGCCGCACTAGACATGGAAGCCGTGTGGGACTGTTGTCTCGCAATCCCCCAACTGATCCTCCAGTCGACCGAGGCATGGACCGACCCTGACGGCCTCCTGCCCATCTTCGCCAACCACTTTTACCAGCTGTGCAAGCTCAAACTCGCCAATAATAACATTCACCACCCCCTGACGCGAATCGCCGAGACACTACGCAGACTTTGCCACCCCTCCCGGGCCGGGGACGACAAGATGATGATGCACCGCCCACAGCTCTGGCTGTACATCCGCCGCGCGTGGCACCTCTGGCTCGACCGCGTGACGCGCGTGCGCGGCCGGCAGGACGAGATGGCCATCCACCTCCGCAGGGGATACGTCACGCTCATGATTCCAGTCGACGCATACGGCGACAACAGTACTACTACAGGTAGTGACATGGCGCAAGCGCACAACCTGATAGGGGACTTTTGCGAGGCCGTGCAGCGCTCGCTGGCCACGCGCGGGTCCTTTGCCACCACGGCGCGCATCCTTGAGCTCGAGCGCCTTTTGTGTCGCATGTATTTACCGCTGTTTACGGACGAGTCGGCGGCGAGGGCGAATAACATGCTCGTGGGTGTTGTGGAGAGGGTGCAGGGGAAGCACAAACACGAAGATGAAGGTAATGGGGGGAGGGCGAATATGGCCGAGTGGCATTTTCTGGATAGATATCTGGTGTTTAGCGCGAATTACTTTTTGAGTTGTATTGCTGAGTATAGTGGCGAGAGGGATCTGGCGGTCGAGTACCGACGCAGGAGTCTGGACGCGCCGAGGGACTTGTTTTGGTTGCAGACGACCATGGTGTTGGAGGAGGAACTGCGTCTGATGGGATATCAGGAGGAGGCTAACGCGGTCATGGAGGAGAGGATGAAGGAGCAAGAGATGTATGTGACGACTAGTCTTGAGGGGAATCAGCTTCTGCTGCCGGGTTTGCAAGTTGGAGAGAAGAGGGAAGGAGTTTGATTGCATCATGTGTACTTCACGGGTAAGGGGCCCTGAAGGGGCACAATGTTACAGAGGGATGAGGCACCAAAATGTAAGGTAGCTAGGTAGCATTTCAGACTATATATGTTTGTATGTAGGTAGTTGGAAAAGAGAACAAGGGGGAGAAAACCAAGTTATGTTTACTATATCACCTTAGTGTACTGTACCTCGGGGCCGGTAGCCATGCGAGCCAGGGCAAGGCTGGAAGGGAGTCAAGGGACATGTTGGTTACATGCGTGATGCAACCATGATTGGATCACTGCGGATGTTATTGTACTGCCTTAGTTCTCCCAGTGTCAAGAGGGAAGCACTACTAGGGCAAGAGGCCTTGATTGCAGGTGAATAGGTGCATTGGGACTAGCTTCGTATCAGGTACTAGGATAGATATATGTACAGTACAATACATAGTACTGGATCTCGACGGCGCTCTGTTGAGAGTCAGAATGTTATGCTCATTGCTGGGACGAACTCGGATTCATCCGGCAGGTTGTCTTCCCAGAAACCCCGCCAGGGTAGTATCCCAAATAGTTTCGTCACGTTGAATTCTTTCTATGTCACAGTCGGTTTATTGTACGAGAGCTGGATGCCCGAGGGTAGAATCTCGGCCGCCAGCCTATTCATACAATCCCAAGGATATTTCAAGCCCTTACGGGCAGTTTGAGTGCTAAATTCCGCAAAAGCCGTGAAGCGGATGGCAATTGTCCGTAGCGGAATTCTACGAACTATGGCAGCCCTGGCGAGTTTTCCGTAGGTATTCCTCCTCTCGTTGCTGGATGTCGTCGAGATACGTCCCGACCTTGCCGCCGACCTCGCAAACATCATCGAAGAGCCCCTCAAATACTTGAAGACACGGGGCCAAAGGGAGGTTCGACTCGTTCCCGTCATTTCCCGTCAACCGGTAGCTCAGGCTCAAAAAGGTCAAGTGCTCGAAAGAGTTGAAGTCGAGCGTGATAGGAGCGTTGGAAAGTCCGTTCGATTCTGGGGGCCACACGTCTCCGGCCTTGCAGCCTATCCAGATGGACTCTAGCGACGAAGCGTGCAGAACCAGGCCTTCCCGCACGGTTTCCCAACTGGTAGGCCGTCGTTGGTGGCCTCCAAAGGAAAGCGAACTTGGTGAGGCTTGTAGGCCAACACATCAACGCTTGAAAGTCGCTTGAGGTTGAAAACTCGCAGACCTCGATGCAGAGTTCAGTAAATGAGCCTTGGCTTTTCGCATTCTGTTGAACGTTGATTGTCTTGGTCAGCAGTGTCTGACATCCACCACATGCATTCTTCCGTCGCATCTGACGGCGTAGGGGTATATGGATGTTACTACTAGCAGAAGTTACCCCACGTAGGTAGTACAGTACCTTCATTTCCTCTCGTTACCTTGGGGCAAACTCGGGAAAGAGCGAACACAGCGTCAGCCTCTTGGTTTTTCTCATGACTCTGTTCCCTATGATCTCGAGCGCAAACTGCACACAAAGAGTCCGCGAATCCCCAATCACATGGACCTCTTGCAAACGGGTCATATCCGTACAAGCGGCTGCCAGGCGATCCCAGTAGGAACTTGTGTGGAGGACTCCGAAGTGACCCAGAATCGTCACGCTCTTCAAGTTGGCTTGTCTTGCAAGCACAGTCATCATTTCCGCCGCTGGCTCTCGGAGGTAGCTGAAAGTATCCATAGACCAGGAAGTCTGCATGTCGAGCACCAAGTCTCTACAAAAGAGTCCGAGGCTTGGGTTGCGCTGGAATCTGCGGTGGAGCCGATCCAGTGGTTCGCCAGGCATATCGGTCAAATCACGCACTTCTTTCACACTGCTGATTGCTGTATCGGCAGTTCTGACTATGTTTTTGAGGACAACAGTAGAGTGCAGGAACGGCATGGAAAGAACGTGCAACCGGCGGCAAACGAACGCCAGAGGCCTCAGGGCCCGACGAGTAGCACAGAGGCTGTCGAAGTTCAGGCGACGTAGTTCATCTAATCGGGTAGGGGGTGTCGCCATTGATCTTTATGACTTCAGCCAGTACCTCATCAGGAAGTTTGAGGATACATGCAAGGCCTGGTTGGTTGAGACATGGAAGACATACTTCCAGGCTGTTGTGTTCGTAGTTGTGAACCGCTACCTAGTGAAGATCCCCGCTGGCCGGATACTACTACTAAGGCTCGGGAAGCACGAGTCGTTGACGGTTTGGTCGCTCTCCCGTTCGAAGCCGAGGGGAATGAAGAGTTACCGAGCCGAAGTTCCGGATTGGATGATGTATTCGACGCCATCTGCTTTGAGTACCTAGTCAGGTTTGCCTGATTCCCGAATGTGTATGCAACTACTAACGTCAGCTACGGTATCTCACTCAAGTCGAAGTACTAGTATCTGATGTTATCCCAGCGTTGCTGTGGGTATTGTCGACAACAGGCGGAATAAGTAAGCTATTGATAGGTGAACCCAGAGCTCCCCTAATAAACCAGCAAAGAGGAAAGAGGCTGTTGTTACCTGGACCAAACATTTATGAGGTGTGTACAATGTAGATATACCTGTCACTACGGCTGTTTTCCTATCCTCGCTGGCCCACACTTCCTTCTCTCTCTTTGCCTCGCTGTTTGTCAGTAGTAAGCTCTTTACATACTGGCTTTTCCACAGCGAACAACATTGAACCTATCGCCAGTTGGTCCTGTTGTGTCTATGACTTCCTTTCAATAAGGACCCTAAACCAAGACCGCACAATCAGACGGGAGTCCGCTACGATGTGATCCGCCCCCCTTTTTCTTCTGAACAAGCACAAATAACTGTAGCATGACTGGATGTTATAAGCACTTACGCGGCGTGGGAAGCGAGGGTGCTTATTCGACATTACCAGCATCATTCCCATCAACGACATGCCGTACACGCATCATAAAGTCACCTCATCCAGCGAACCAGCTTGTATGAGAAGACACGGGAAGCAAACTCGTAGGATATCCTCCTCCCTAATAGGTCATGACTCTTTGAAAGACCTAGCCAATTGCAAACTGGAAAGGCGAGCAATGAGCACAAAGACACAAGCTTCGACAGACCACCGACGTCTCTAGCGAGTCCACGCTCTTTCCAGCAAGGAGAAAGATAATGTACACGTCCATAGGCATGGCATGTAATATGTAAACACTACGAATTACCCCTGAATCTTATCCCTTGCCACATCAAGCCCACAGTGCATCCAATAGTGTGAAACACTTTCAAACCCCAACAACAGGCAACAAAAAATACCGCTTTCAACATGACCAACCTCAAATACATATCCTGCCTGTGCTAAACTCCAGTGTCCCTCTCCAGTTTATATGAAGAAGCATAAGGTGATTTGTGATGGCAACAAGGAAAAATTCGTGACATTAGTGGGCGTGTCCGTGCCATGTTCGGGCGCCATTCTAAATGGCGAACCAGTTTAAGAGGCAGTTCATGAACATTTAGCCAAAGCTTCCAAGTCAAAGATGAGATATCTACAATGACAATAGATAGGTCTAAAAGAACGAAAACCCAACGACATGCCGTCTACCACGAGAAGGTCATCAGCGCGGGGTTAAGAGCCAGTGGTAGCAGCAGGTGTGATGCGGCGACGGTGGCCATGGGAAGGATGGCGACAAAGTCTGTGATGTGCCAGCTGTACGGGATGAAGGGTGCCGTGGCCAGAATGACCATGCCGACGATGAAGACGGTGGCAAAGAGCATCGAGAATTTGAACTGCCACCAGGGTTAACTACCTGTACATTGATACCATGAGGGGAGGGGCAGGCTGCTGCAACTTACCTTTTTCAACACCTTGGGAACCTCAATGAAGAAGTTCGAGAACTCGGCCTCCTTGCTTGTAGCGCCCCAAGTCATATCAATTTCAAACATGTGGGCGAGAAGAGCCTGCGAGACGTGCAGCGACAGACCGCCGAGGAAGATGGCGAGCAGGAAGGTCCACTTGAAGTTCTCAAACAGCGCGTACAAAATGTTGCGCTCACCCACGCGGTACCGCATGAGAGCCAGCGCAATGTTGCCGAGACCGTTGAAAACAATGATAATGGAGAACCAGACCTGCCACGAGTCGACATAGTACTTGTCCAGATAGCCGTTGAACCAGCCCATCAAGAAGTAGTTGACGCTGGTCATGATCCAGGCGGCACCAATGGCGTAGTAGGTACCAATATACGAGATAACGGTGATCTTGGACGTGAACCGGATGTTGGAAAAGAGGAAGCGCCGGAACAGAGGCGTGAAAGGACCCTTCCAAAGCCACTGGCGGATAGGGTGGAAGAGCAGCTCGTTGCAGCCATACGCGTACTTTTCCCACCGCGCCAGCTCGTCGTACACGGTAAGCGACACGCCCTCCTTGAAACCCTCGCCAGCCCACGCAGCAAGGCGGATAATGTAGCCGTTGCACTGGAGACGCAGCGACATGTCGAAGTCTTCCGACACGTGGCTCTCAGACCAGAACTTTTCGTAGCCATCCTCATCCTCGTACGAGACTTGCTGAATAGCGGACCAGCGGAGGATGGCGTTGTGACCGACAAAAGGAGCAACATCTCCGTTAGAGACGGTGTACCGAATGGCGCTGTAGATCAAGTTGGTGAAGAAGGTAATGCCGTTCTCGAAATATGTGTGCACGACCTGCATGACGCCCGACGAAAACTGCATGATACCGACATCGGGTGAAAGCTCCATTTCCGACACGGCATCCAGCAGGCAGTCGGCGGGCACACGTGTATCCGAATCGATCAGAAGAATGTAGTCGCCAATGCGGATGTTGCCGTCAGCCCATGCACGGCCGTCTTCCTCGAGAACTTCCTTCAGGGCCCGCTCATATGCCTGAGCCTCGTCGTTTTGCGACCAGTCAGGGGTACGCTCGATCGCCGCAAGCTTATCTTCAACCTTGCATGAGATCATGAGAGCAAAGTTCATGTTGGAGGCCTTCTTGAACTTGCCACGGCGCTTGAAGCCGTTCTCGCCGTGTTTGGGACGGGCAACCCAGCCAATGCTATGGTCGGCGTAGAACTCGATACGGGCGCGCCGGTCCTCCTCCGAGATCAGCTGAAGACCATCGTCGTTGATGAACATGTTTGCCGACCCTCCCTGCAGTTCGTACGTCGACATGGCTTGTTTGATAGACTTGACGGTCGGCGCAATCACAGCGGCGAGACCCTCCTTGTAGACGGGACACTGGACAGTAACGTGCGGGAGAACGGCCGACTGCAGCCTGGGCGGTGGCCGCGCCGAGTAGAACTTGGAGTTGATGGTGAGCTGTCGAATCGGGCCAAAGATCTGCGCCAGACAACCGACAATAACCTGGGCGAAGAAAAGGGTGAAGAAGATCTGGACCGGCGCCAGGGCAACGAGCGCGAGACGGATGTAATTGCCGTCGACGGACACCTCGATCGCCAGCTGCCGCCATGCTGCTCCAAGAGAAACCGTCACGAGAATCAGAGTCAGGCTGACCAGGTAGGTGTTCAGCAGATGGACTGGTCTCTTTTCCGGTTTGAGCTCTCCGCTCTCCTCGTCCACTTCGGCCTCGCCTACCACGGGCGCACCCTTCTCATCCTCCTCATCCCCGCTGCCAGCCTTCCACACCAGCTCCATCAACTCCGACTCGATCGCCTTGGCTCTCTGCACCAAGTGCAGCGCATCGTCATCCCAAACAACAAGGAGACCCTCTGAGGCGACAAAGGCGGCAAACTGGTGCTTTCGCGCGCGTGGGAGGTCGTCGATGGTGGGTAGAATCTGCACCCGCAGGCCATTCATCAAAGGCACATCGACGGCATCTGGTGACCACTGTAGGAATGTCTTGATGACTCTGGAGTTGACAGTCATAGCGCACTAACAGCAGCATTAGTCATGATAGCCACACCCAGACTGCGAGCCAGAGAACACGTACCTGGACGTTGAGCGCTGCACAAGCTAGCGCAAAGGGCGAGTTGCCGAGTTGCGGCGGGCAGGCCATATACTGCCCCCTTGCCTTGCGCAGGAGGACACCCTCGATCTCACCACTGCCATCAGAAACCCATAAGTGCGAACATTGCTGCTGGTAGAGATAGTTGACCATGACCTCGTGCTTGATGTCGTCTAGGAAAACGGAGCTCCCCATCGACCTCACAGACCGGCCGGATAATGACTGCGGCCTGGAGCTAAATCTGGGCGTGGGCGGATGCAGCTCCGAGTTGGGTCGGCTTGATAGATCGAACCCTGGGGTTTCGGACACAGACGGCGGCGCATGTTGGTTCGTTTGTTTCCCTGATGCAGGGTTTGGCTTCTCCGTCGGTGACGGCTTCTGAGCCTTGAAGTAGCCCCCGATTCCCATGGCGGCGATACTTCACTTTGCCGGGCCAGATGCTCGCTGAAGGAAACAACGTAAGGGCTCCCGAAGGGCAAATGTGAAGGAACAGAATCAAGATGACGGATTTACTCCAGCATTCACCGACTCTTAGTCCCCACGTCTGTGTAGCACACTACTGTCAGCTCTCGCTACTAACACGGGGAACCGAGACGGGAAACGTCTCTGTCGGAGCCGTTGATCCACATCCTCGGATCTGCCGGCGACACCGTCCATACCTGAAAACTGATCCGTTGCACGGTGCTATATGCGGTGGAATTTCAGCTCTGGCGGAGGGCGGTCGATTTGTCACACCCACCCAAGCGAAGGTGTTTCGGGCTGAAAAGCGTGACCGCGAAAGCGAATAAGGTCGTGAAGCAAGGTAGCGAGCGGACGGCTTCCGTTGTGGTTGAAGCCAAAGGGAGGTTTGAAAAGTATCCCAAGCTTCAAGCACTGTCTGGGACCTCCCTGGAATGTTGTCGTTCTAGCAACGAAGGGCGTCACCAGGTCCTAGAAGGTTACCTCGCAGCTGTCGTCACCGGTGAGTCGGGTTGAGAGACACCAAGCTTTGAGGAAGCTTTCTCGAGATCCCGAGGACCTGAGGGCAGTTGCTGATCAAATTACCGTGGGAAGCAAGACGGGGAGCGCTCGGCAGGGAGCGGACGGGTCAAAAGAGTGGATAGCGCAGGTTGCTGGGTTGCATGGATGCTGGGGGCGTGCTGGCGATTGGTCTAGAAGCCCTCACGACCGATGAGCCCATGTTGCTTGGCGAGCTGCCCCCCCGGTCGTGTGCTTGTGGCAGGGATCAGGGGTAAAGGAGCTCGTGTAAGTGATAACTTGGGCTGGAGCCGACTGCCCGGTTTGTCCAAAATGCCCAGTCCATGCGTTCTTTTTCGTGCAGGGCAGCTGAACTGCCGGAACAGTCGAGGCAGCACAACGGACTGGCACCGCCCTTGAGGCTGGAAAGATCTCGGCGTAACTTGTCAACTCTTTTTTGATGCAATTCTCCCGCTAACTCCTCCTGGTAACTCATGTCTCTAACTAATGTTAGCCGTCAGTTACACGCTCTTCTTCGAGCTGTATCAAATCAGCTCTGGGAGATGGTCTGTATCGGCGGAAGCCGCTCTGGGCTCTGGCATGTTCGTTGGCGGTAACGGAAATTTCATGGCCGCAATGTGGCTGGCCTGTCATCAACCGAAGATTGTGACTGGGGGTTTTTCTTCACGTTATCGTTGGGACGTTTGCTGCTAGCGCCGATGGCTTGAAGACCAGGCGCGACGTGGACTCCGATCAAGCAAGACATTGTTGGTGCCTGTCATCTTCCCCTTTCCGTTGGAAAATCTGCAGGCACAGCCTTGGTTGCCCCTTGTCGAACATTGGTTTGCCCAATGCCCAACTTGACAGAAGTGGAAAGCGCACTGGGCAGGATTTTCAGCCCCACTTTTTCCGATCTGTGATCTCTCCTCTGTATCCGTACTTCGTATGCGGGTCTACGTTACGGAGTACGGATCGAAATCCTCCCAGATTCAAGCAGTTTAAAGAGGAGCAGCTCGGCAAGAGCGAGACGGGCGCTTCATAGATTATCTAAACTCTAACTACCTACCTTGGTTTTCATAGAGACGCGTGTGAGTTTGCTTTGGAAGCACAGCAGAGAAACCCCCTTTTCTTGTCCTCGGCACCTCAATGGTGAGAAGCGCCGGGGCCACCCTAAGGCTGACCCGATAAGGCTATTGGTCCCGCAGGGGGCAATTTTCCAGTTCCCTTTCACCAGATCATCGACCACTCCTAGGTTACCACTGGTATCGGCGTAGCTGAGGCTGTCTCTTCGGAAATAGTTGAAATATGATTGGATGTTCAATTTCAATACCGAACTCCGTACGGAGTAAGTACTACACTAAATACGCTTGAAGCAGAGAGGGCTTTCGAAGTAATTATTACTTCAAGAGCAATTTTGTCCCGTTCCCCTTGCGCCTTGCTCACTATTTGGGCGTTGCGTTACTGGTACTACTTCATACCATACCAGTGCTCTGACCTGCGGGGCTCCTGCAACCCCTCCTGTAGCGCATCGAATAGTTCGTGCGACAACGTGGCGTTTCCTTGCTTGGCTCTCTTCGCGAAGAAAAATTCCTACATAACAACTCACATCCTCCAGAGCGTGAGAAGAAGCCGTCCTCAAACATCAATAACTATGTACCTGGTAAGATTGGTGGTCAGTAACATAGTAAGAGCGGTATCATGGAAGGCTGAGAGTCCGTATCTTACTTCCAAGATTCCTTATCTTGCCGGCATTTTGAAGCTCTGTATTGGATCAAAGCGCGCGTTTAATATGTGACGCTGGGAATGCAAGAGGCTGAGAATACGAGAAAATGCCCTCCCAACCACACCACGGACCAAAAATAGGGCCGGGTCCGTCCTACCAGAATCAGATCGCATCTGCAGCGCAACCCAACCAGATGCACGTTATCCGTTGAGATCGGTCAAGTAGCGCTTTTCATTTCAGCAATGCTGCGCTGGCAGTCCCGGCAGCCAGTTGAACCGAGACCAGAACTTCAGATGGCGTTCAGATGACTGCGAGTCTAATGCAACCATGAGAAACGGTCGATGTCCAAGACTCGCACTCTGTGATGTGCCGGCCTTGAGCCCTTGACCCTCGGCTTGTGAGGGAAATCCTACATACATACAACCAAATATTGGCTACCTCCGTGCTGCCCGTGTAACTCAGGATGACCCGGCTTGATGCCAACCCAATGCTCCGGAAAGGGGTTGCACGGAATGCCTTCGTACAGTACAATACGAAATCCTTTTCGCGCCTGTCTGCAAACCTCAGCAGGTTTTCTTCTGATGAAGGGATCCCCTTGAAGCAAATTCGCATGAAATAGCAAAGCTTAACTATCAGGTAACGTGGACGCACCATCATCGATTATTGGAAAGCCCATCTTCTGCCTATCGACGGGTAGTGAAGCTAGCGCATGCCACTTAGCCCTGACCAACCCCACCGGCGCCCGGGATCTCGAGCAGAAAAGCAGGGTCATATGCGGTAGATATCGGCGCCGTCGACGTCGCCGGCTCTGGAGTCTGGACCGATGTTTGTTACACAAGCCCGTACCCACCGTTGTTACCCACTTGAGCCACTACGCTCAGCTGGAATGCACCTCTTGAATTCTTTTTTAGGCGGTAAGCAACCGCGCGAAACAACCACTGGCCCGAGTCCGAGCCTCTCGGAATGCGTTTCCAGGGAAAATCATTCGATCTTATGCAAAGTACCTTAAACTTGCCTGGCTGGTACGGTTCGCGAACCTCGACATTGCAGATAAGCGCAGAAAACGAGATGCCGGGTTCCCGATCCTGTGGTAGCGGCATTGTACACTAACGCTAGCGAAAGAGAAATCTTTCAGCACCTGCTTGGTCACAGTGGAGACAACGAACCATATCAATGCATGTCATAGTCAACAATTCCCAGGTTGTTTCCAAGGAAAAGCTGCAGGATTATCTACAATCCTTACACTAATAAAAAGTGGTCCGAGTCGAATACGATGAGTAATGTTCAACACGGTTGCCGCGGAGGAAGGACGGGAATCGGTTGGGCAGGACGGAGATTTGATGATACGGATGTTCCAAGGCAAGGCTCAAGGGTACGGCGTCCGAGATGCTATGAGCGAAGTCATGTTCAATTCGATCCAACAAAGCAACGCTCGCTAGTAAGAGATTGGAAAACGGACTGTCATCCAAGGGCAATGATATCCAAAGCCAGCCAGTATGGCGTTCTATAACCTAAACCACCTCCATCTCCATCCCAAGCAACGACAAACAAAAAGAAACCACAATTTAGACATTAAGCCAACCCGATAATATATACCTCATAAACACCATTCTTTCAGAACAAGACCAAATGCACGCCGCCACGCTCAGAGATCCTCGTCACCGTCGCACTGCCTCCACATCATGACCTTGCTGACCTCCATCTGCGGTGACGTCCAGGTGGGAAACCAGCTGTCCTTCGCAAGCCAGAAGTCTTTGCGGGCGTTGGGGGAACCGTTGAGCCAGGGCTTGCCGTTGGTGTTGTCCTCGAACCAACCATTAGTGCCGCCGACGGCAAGGTTCAGAATGAGGTAAAACTTCTGGTCAAAGGGCGTGTTGTAGCGGCCCGTCTTGCCCCAGATATCATCAATGCGCGTGCCGTTACTGTCCGCCACGGGGAAATTCCCGCGCGTCCACATGGGCGTGTCAAAGTTGACGTACATGACCTGCAGCAGGCGCGAGTTGACATAGGTGAAAAGGTACTTTTGCGACCACTCCAGCCCAAACGTGTTGAACCCGGCCGAATAGGTCGTGTGCAGCGCGGGCCGCTTCACGTTGGTTCGCCACCACGCGTCGTTGGCCGGGTTCGGGCCCCAGTGCAGCGCCGACGAGATGATGTTGTTGCCCCCCTGCGGGTACGTGTAGTTGTTGCCGCGCGCCTCGACAATGTCGATCTCGCCCGACTGCGGCCACGGGCCGTACGCCGAGTCGACAGGCATCATCCAGATGGCGGGCCACAGCCAGTCCCCGGCAGGGAGTTTGGCCGTCACCTCGACACGCCCGTACTTGATGGCCGCGCCTTTCCTGCTGTTGATGCGCCCGGACAAGACAGGCGGGACTATGCTGGAGTTACCGGCCGTGGTGTTGGTGGCGGCAATGCAGTATTCGGGCAGATTCGAGGTGCAAGTGCCCTCCTTGAGAAGGTCGATAGTATTGTCCTTCTGCATGAGGCTGTCATCTTGGAGCGTCGCCTTGATGATGAGCTTTCCGTCCTGAACGAAGACGTTTCCGTCCCCTGGTGTGGTCATCTCGAATTCGCCATTACTTGAAGCGGTCTCTCGTCAGTCCGCCTGTACATGTACACATCCACGCGAAGGGGCCACGGGGAGACTTACCCAAACCCGTTCACCTGGACTTCCTTTTGCCATATTGACGGGTTAATGCCGTTCGACCAGTTCTCTTCCAGCTCCAGGCAGTAGTTGTGCTTAACGACACTGCGGAGGCCGTCCCAGACCAGGAAGCCCGAGATGCCCAGGCCAATAACGATGCCCAATATGGGGAGGATGGTGACCCATTTCTCTTTCGGGTCTGCATTCTTGGTCCACGGCTTTTCTACCTCGCCCTTGCGAACACGCCGCGAGTGGAAGTACCGCTGGCCCCCATCATACCGGTTTCCCAGTGCCGACGAGGCGTCAAAGCTGCTCGCAGGGCGCGAGCCAGACGGACTTTGGAAGGGATTGCCATTGTTCCCCGACCTGTGTGACGCCTGCGACTCAACACCGTCACCGAAAGGATTGCGTCCAACGGATTCGTTTGGTGACCCAGGTCTTTGCGGAGTCGCGGCAGCAGTTGACATGCCTGACTGCAGGCCTGGGCCGCGACCAAAGTAAGAACTGTCGTTGTCCATCAGAGCTAGCCTCCTCTTTGCAAGCGCAGAGTGGACACAGAGCCAGGCGACTGCGACAAGCCGCAGATATGTTCAACTGGCGCGTTGCAACAGGGCCAGGTGTCACTGGATTCAGGACCTGGAAAAGCAGTGTCGACTCGCGAGTGACAAAAAAGGTCACAACTCGTTTGCGATTAAGTTTCGGGATAGGGAGGTAAGCGAGCGACGAGGCCAGAAGAACGAGTGATAGATAAGGGCAGAGTAGAATACTAGCAGAATCAAGATTCAAAAGCGAAGGTGCCCCTTGCTAGACAAGAGAAACAGACACGGCCCGAAACACACGCAAGCAGCCAGTTGGGAGCTCGGGTGGTGGTGGTGAGCTGGAGGGGGTTGCAGATGAGAGCTGTCGCTCAGCTGCTCACAAAGATGCACTGAAGGCTTGAGCGACTGATAGCGGGCTGAGGCCTGGCCCAGATGGCGGGCATGGCGCCAAAAGGGATTAGCGCAGTGGGCCACTATCGGCATGCTGCAAGGGTAACTCTGCATGCTGGCATCGGTGGAGCAATGGATTGAGAAGTGGAAATCTCAGCCGAAATCCTCCCGTGGCTCTGGACCGCAGAGAGCATGCCAATCCCTTTCACAATCTTCAACCCAGGTTTTGCACTTTGTGGACGTCTAGACGTACGACGCCAACCGTCATCAAGCTTATGGTAGTTATCTCTGTTGTGTCTGAAGGCTCGATCGAAGCCCGAGGTGTATTGTATTGTACGCCAAGTTCAGGTGTTACGGTAAATAATGTGATGTCTGAAAGATTCGTTTGTCGCTGGGTCTGTACGAATAGACTGAAAGGGGCTGCCTTGGCGCCGTATTTCTGAGGAGGTCCAGATCTCCCCTGGCGTCGAGTGGCTGAAAAATGTTCCCGTACCTGCATCCCACCTTGGCGGTGGCAACATGGAGATAACGTTAACTTACAAAGCTTAACGTTGCTTCTTAATACGGTTAGATTTCGAGCGTCAGTGGTTTGTGGTTAATCGCTCAAAGTCAACTCTGTTTGCGCCGTTAATTTCCACAACCGCCTCCATTGTGTCGATAGTCGCCTGTATGGCTTCAGCCGCATGCAATGTTATAAAATGACTCTAGCAGACGGGGCATTTCTTCAAGGCAAGCCCCTTGAATTCCTCCCCAAATAAATCCCCCTTGCACATAACTAGTTTACAGAGTAGCCAAGGTACTTCGTAGCTACTAACCCGATGCAAGGTGTATATGTAGTACATACTCCGTACTCCGTAGGTATTCCGGACTGGGTGCCGTCTGGGTTGCTATGTATTGTACGTTCGTAGTACCTACTCTGTTACCCCTTTTCCCCTGCTCGCTAAGAGCACGTTGTATCTACAAAACTGCGTACAGTTAGCTGTGTAAGGCTTTGTTATTGCACCTGTTTGTCTCTCTACGGATACAGTACGTAGGTAGATACATTACTTCGTACTGGTAGGGCTGTCGGAACCCGGCAACAAGGTGAGGTATGTATGTCATACACTACCGAGTACTCGGTACATCCAGCGCCAACCGGATGCTGATCAACATTTGTATGTACGTTGACTGCGAAGTCCCCACTCTCGCTTCAAGGAATATCCATTGTTGGTCTAACCTCTCAGACTGAGGCTGGTGAGAGGTCTCTCTGGACTCCGAAGCGCCACTTGCTGTCAGCCGGCCGTCCACAAAAGTGAGACAATGCTCTGCACAGTCACCGAGGGACTGGGGAGAAACGATACTCTTTCATCTAGCGAACATCCGACAAGTCAGACAACCAATCAAATCCCCTTGTGGTGTAGTTGGCTATCACGTTCGGCTGTAAAGGAATTTATCGATACCGAAAGGTCACCGGCTCGATTCCGGTCGAGGGGAACATCTTTTTGCAGTTGATATTCAGACACACACTTTTTTCGTTCTGCTCAACCTCAGCTACCTACTGTACCTTCGCTGTGCATCGTGCATCATATCTTCCAGGATATCAAGCGTCTCTAGAAAGATACACAATTTTTAGGGTTTCGGGAAGTTGAACAACAAGGCTCTCAATATGGAGCCCGTCTAGAACATAACACGGCCCCCTTGGCATCAAGTCTTGTATGTACTCTACATACGTTCATACGGGTTGAGCAACCCACATCCACAAAAACCGACCAGCAACCCGGTGTTCAAGTTCCAATCACCTGAGGGGTTGCCCCTTCCTCCTTGTACGACCTGAGATTAACGTGAACGAGCAACGTGCCTACCCCACAAGACACCTTGACCTACATAGCGAAGACACAGCTTTGATGAATTCAGAAACAATCTCTCTGCTTCTGTGCTTCATCAACGGGGGCCATAGGCCTTCGGAGTAGCCTGGGTAGGCCCAGAGGTACATACTCTACTATTCATCCATTTCACGATGCTTATCTTACGAACCGATCAACATTCGCAGTCATCATCTTCCACAGAATTGGTTCAAAACACTAGGTAGTAACCCCTCAATAATAGTCAGGCAGCCATGTCCCTAGGTGACGAGATTGCCTAGCACGAATCTCCACCAGGCTCGTACCACCGAAGATTCGAGAGACACTGAGAGACACAAAGGATTGCAAAAGGAACGTCGTTCAAAGTTGACCGATCTCGACTCGATCACCCAGGCTCGGAAGTAAATCGAGCATGAGTCTCGTCACGGTTACAGACACCGGTCACCGAACTACTAACCAACTTCATATTTTAGCTCTTGAAATTTTCCAGCTCTTCCCAGACTCCCGCCCCTTATTTAGCGACACCCATACCAGCAAAATACTCCTTGAAAGCCGATGTCTCGATAGCAAACACACCACGACCGTCAACCAGTTCCACAGGTGGCCAAAATTTGACATCGACACAGCTCACCAGACCCGGGTAGCCCGTCATGCCCTCGGGCTCGGTGACGCCCCAAGGGTGGCGGAGGATGATGTACTGCTTGCGCTCCTGCGGGGCGGCCCAGCCGAGCACCGTGTAGGCCATGTTTGCGACGAGGGTACAGCCGCGGAACTTGTCGCCCGTCGGGTGGGTGAAGGCGACGAACGGGTAGATGGTGCGCAGGTTGAAGCAGTGGGTGCGTACCAGGCCCAGCAGGTCCTGCGCGCGCCGATGCGACGTAAAAAAGTACTGCGGCTCCTTGCCCGTCAGCTGCGCCGCGCACTTGACCGGGTCGCCGTAGCATGTCTGGGTCAGGTCCGGGTGCTCAGACTCAGGCCCGGACTCCGAGTCCGAACCGCCCTTGCCCTGGATGATCCACTTGGCAAAAGCCTTCTCGTACAGGCACGGCCAGATCTCCCCGCCCGCCGCCCACCCGCGCGTCATCATCATCATGGAGCTCATGGCACCACCGGTTGGGTACATCATGGTCATGGACGACGGCCGGCAGTAGACGGGGAGCGAGCTCGAGTTGTTGGTCGGCACCTCGCAGTTGACCGTGACGGTGGACGTGGGTGCGTCGTTGTCGCCGCCCTTGCTGTGGAAACGGACCGACAGGGAACAGCGCGACTCGCGCTTCCCGCCGCGGTCGTGGTGGTGGTGGCACTGGCCTGGGATGAACTCGACGTAGCAGTCGTCGCCATCTTCATCAGAGGACGAGGACGACGACTTGGAGCGGCTGCAGTGGACAATGGCCGAGGGGTCGGACCAGGCCACGGCCATCATAGCGGCGATCAGCCAGCTGTTGCTGGTGGCACCCTGCACCGGGTTGCTGAACATGGTGGTGGTGTGCTGACGGTAGCATGATTCGCCAATGTCGGTCCAGGTGCTGTTGGGGGGCACCCATTCCTCCTTCTTGTGGATGCGGAAGGGCGTGGCGAGCTCACGCAGCGTTGTGGTCATCTCAGAGCTGCAGATCGTCTTGCCCAGCGACTGGGGCTGGAGGGTGAGGCGCAGGTTGCCGTTGGACATGAAGGCGTGCTTGACCTTGATGGCGTTGATGTCCTTCAAGCCCACATGGTCCAGGTCGCCGAGCTTCTCAACCTTTGAGAAATCGGGCGTGACCAGGTCCCGCTCGGTGAGCGTGTGCATGTCCTTGGCCGGGATCAGCTCCGCCATGTCCCCGCGGTCGTTGAGCTGGATGCCCGCATAGAGGATTGAGCGGAAGCGCATGTCGAACAGCTCCTCGTAGTCGGTCTGCAGGATGCTGGACATGATGTTCGCCGTGGCCGGGTCACGCCAGTCCAGCTTACGGCCCAGTATGGCCTCGCAGAGCGCAAACGGGTTGATGGCCCCGATGTACAGGTGCTTGGGGGGCCTGTCGGGGTCTTCGGGCTTGGAGGCGGTCATTGTGAGATAGCTGAGCATGGGGTAGGGCGCCGTGCTGGCCGATGTGGTGGCTTGAAGAGACTCGACTGGGAAACAGGAGCTAACAGCAGTACAGCAGAGAAGAGAGCCCGAATACTAGGTTGGGCCCTACCATACCACTTTATAACTGGAGTCGGAGTGGCGTGTTTACAATGCAAAACCGCAAGTAGGGCACTCCCTCCGAAAGATCATCATAGAGGAGAGGCCAGTGACCCTCTACTGCGCCCATCCTCTCCGGACCGCATCGTTGCGGTCTCGTGGACAGGGACTGCAGAGCATCAGTATGCATAGGTCCATAGTGCATTCACAGGTGTGTAGTGGTCTGAGTTGGGAATAGGCTGGGGGAAGTATACAGGATCGAGTCCGCAGCAGGACAACTTCCGACAGGAACCGAAGTCATGCAGTGTAGGCCAAACACTGATGCGGCTTCAATATGCATAAGCGCCGTGGATGCTGTCATGATTTACACATGAATAGCACTATGTATGCTTGAAATACGGGGATTAAGGGGCATCTGTCACACACACGTCAGACTGGCTGTGGTTGAAAATCAATAGCAGCTGTGATGCGCAGATGTAGTACCAGTAGTACATGCGCTCGAGATGCACTGATGCAGTAGCTGCATCGACTGGAAGTGCGTGCCTCGTGTAAGATGGTGTTACTTGACCTCATCATTGATTGGTAAGGCACTTTGCTTGTTTTTCATGTGGTTCCAGTACAGAGCGGTTGCATGTTGCCTTACAATCTTCTTGAGTCCTAGTCTTTGCTAGGTAGCTTACTGTACATACCAACCTACATGTAGCCTCAGCATACTACTACTAGTAGTTCCTACCTGTCGTTAATTCATACAAGCACTTCATCAGGTTCATAGAGCTAGTATTTGGCAAGTCGCTCTTTAAACCGGTCATCACCAGTCCCGTCGCAAGATCACCTCGGAACTTCGAAGCCACCTGTGGGTGTGAGCTGAGATATATGGCATGATGTCTAGGTGGAAGGCTTACTGGACCATATAGGTAAGTGAGGGTCTCAGGTACCACCAATAGGTAGGTCATGAAAAACCTACTACTGTGAGTTTCCCTGCAGTAGTTCAAACCTTACTGAGAGGACCATGCTGTTCCTTCAGAGCCGTAGGACCGTTCACCGAGTGTGCTGAGTGTATGCAGTGATGCATCCAAGCAACTTCAGGAACCATGGGAACTAAATTCCTTACACGAGGAAGTTGGTATAGTAGCCGTGTGATTCATGAAATGTCCTTAAGCTCCTGATGCAGTCTCTAGGATGCGGTGAGGCCTGGAGATGGCCAGGTGGTACCACCTGGGTGTCTCCTGAATGTACCGGTAGCGGAATCTCACTGCTTCCCTTGCAGCATTCTTCCAACTTGTCTAGTTCATGTTTGTAGTTTCATGCAGTTCTGTGACGTGATACACCCAGGATCGTGATTTCATCTTTTAATAGTTTCTACTTGCCGAGGTTGTGAACAGGATATCAATATCATGGATGTCAGCTGGCAGGGCACAAGCATCATAACACCCATCAGTTTCAGTCATTATGAACTTTCAAGATGACAAGCTTGCCGTTGCCGATGCATACAGCAGATCTTGAATGATACAATGTTCCAGCTCCTGCGCTGCCCCTGGTGAAGTGTTAAGGCCGTCTCTAGTTCCTGAGAGAGCTAGAGGCTCAGCTCTGTCTACATTGTCCAGATCGACTGTATCGTATAGTCCTAGTGAGATGAGCCGTGATATCTTAGTGGTCACGGCGGACACCTGCAGCCACTCTCACGATAACTTGTCCACCCCTCCTTCCCTATTCTCTTGAAAAAAATACAACCATTACTGCGGCGTATCTTTGGTCACAGGTATGTTAGCAATCTGATGTAAACCTTTGCATCCTCAAAAGCCAAATGAATTGAAAAGATAACTCACGCCGCAGACGCCATCATGATTTCACTATTCTTCGCCTCTGTGATGAGCGACATGGCAACCGAGAAGCCAACCGTCCAGACAACAATGAGAATCAGCGACTTGATTCCATCTTTGACGAAATGAAGAATTATAATGGGAGCCACCAGCAAGATAGCCGATGCTGCCGTGTTGATGGCTCTGGTTGTCTTTTGCGTCACACCCCTTGTCCCTGAAACACAACTTGTCAACCGCTGCGCATCCAGCTTTTGTAAAGCGTGTTGGGGCGCACTCCAGATGGGATACTACTAGTAGAAGTGAAGAATAGGTAAACAGCTTTGGAAGCCACATTGTTACTCACACGTCGAGATTGTGCCGCCAGTGCCCGTGTCTTCGCGCCCCTTTTTGCGCCTGACGTCAGCTAGCAACTCCCTTGACGCTTCGTGGACTTTGCAACTTAAAGATTCCCACCTACCGGTGTAAACTCGCTGACCAGTTTATCAACGGCGGCGTATACAAAGCCCCCATCTCCCGCAGGACAGATTGCGACCAGCTCTTGCGTCTTTTCGTCTCTCTTGACTTTCTCTTCGTCGGGCCGCGGGAGAAAATCCCAGTCGGCGGGAAAGAATCCAGGAGATCTTATCGATCTGTCGTTGATGTAGTGCCACAACGCTGTCAAGTGCTTTTTTTGCGGATCTTCCATCGAGCATAAGCGAGCATAGTTGCAAAGCGCCCGGTCTGTGGTTAAGCAAACACTTAGGTCAGCGGCTTCAAGGCCCATACACTAGATGGAGGCGTATCAAGCTCGCGCACTGTATTTGTCCAGAATCTCATCAAGCCGTTCCTCACTGGCTTGTAGTTTTCCGTTTTCGATCGACAAGAGAACCTTTTGAAGGGTCATGATATTCTTGACGTTGAGAGCTCTGAACCGACGGAATATCGCCCAGTCCTCGGCCCTCGCAATGAATTCAGCAACTGAGGCATCGATATCATCCATTATGATTGATCTACTTTGCTCTGGCGATGTCGAACTCATATTGGAATCAGGGGGCTACTTAGTTTTGGATTCCTTTTTGATGCAGGGTCTAGCAGGAGTTGTTGTCTGGCACTGGCACATATAATGTGGCACAACGGCGACTGGACGCCTCCAGAAGTCAAGCATCGACGTGGCTTGGCCACGGCCAATAGCGCAGAATCAAGCCATCGACTTGAGATTCTAATAGTATTCGGGAACCCCGGTGTCGGGGTAGCCATCAAGCGGAACATATTGAAGCCCAATGTATGTTCTGCTGGACAGAAACATGCCAGACCCCAAGTAAATGCCAGTACTTTCCTCCCACATATCACAGGAGCCACGCTGTGTCCCCCGACACCCATCCCTTGCGAGAAAGACCATCTTTGGCTGACAGCTCCTCATATCTCGGAGGCCGCGTGCCTACAACATCCCGGGCCATGTCCGCAACAGTTATGAATGCTGTTGATACCGATCATAGCCACCAAAACCGCTGCGCTCAAGATGAATCACTCGAGGGTCGTTGGGATGGTACTCAGCGTGGTCCCTTGGCCTCAACCCCTTTACAGCAAAACTATCAAAGCTACTTAGCGCCTGGTAAATCTTTATACGCTTATGATACCACAAGAGTCATGGGCTAATCAAGCCAGGGCGTCACACTGTCAATGTTAGCAATCCTGCTGGTCCTATCCTCTTCCCGAAACATCCCGAGATTCCCGTCGAGAATTCCAGGAGCTCCCCTACAGAAGGCGGAATCAGCCCAGGGGACCGCCGCGAAGCGATGCTTAGAAATGCGACTGAGCAATTCGGGCGACCCGCTCATGATGTCCGTCAAGGAGAAACCGCCCAAGAAGACGAGTTTGTTGGCCCTCCGCGCAAGCCGATGCGGCGGACAGCACACAGGCTCAGATATGATGATGGCGCAAGAGGGCTTGAGCCCGAAACCGGCCACGAGGCGAAGAGCAACCACCCAGAACCTCATTCCATGTTGCAGAAAGAAATCAGCGTAGCAGAGCTGCGAGAGTTCAGCAATACTATGCAAACTGCGGCCGATGCCTTGAAGTTCCTGGGCCAAGTGGCAGAGAATAAAATCATTATGGTTGAACAGAATGACAGAGGCACGTTACATAGTGCTTTTGGAGATGCGCAGCCCAAGGTTCGAGGCCCAGATTTCCAGCAAAACATGAAGCCAGCTTGGACAGTGCCGCCACAGGCACGGCCTTCTCCTGTCCAGTCTCGCTTTGACAAAGAAAACGTGGAAACGACGGCCGTGACCATTGAAATTGCATCGGCGAACAAGGAAATGCCAGAAGCTCAGACTCGCGGCCCTCAGCAAGCTTTGACATCCCCCAACCAGCTCTAACTCCCAGTGATTATTATGGGCAATTTGCCTCAGCTCGCTCAGGGTACGCTCAAGCTCCAGTGGAAAGCATCAGTGGGAGCAAGCAGAAGCAGGACTCGGAAGCCCGGGTTAGCGCTGTTCGGGAAAAGGAGTGGTACAGCAGTCGAGCAGGAGATCCATCCAAGCAACATCGCGGTCCAACAGCAGCGGATAATGCACTCGCAACCGACGACCCAGTCGAACACCTTAGACCGCCAGCAAAAGCATCACCCGACTGCACCTATATGTACACTCGACCTCCACCGGAATCGTACCATCGAAGCAAAGATGGAACTAAACTGAAAGAGAAGGACGACACGTACGCACCAGGTATCTCATCCAAGACATTCTTTGGAAAATATAAAGTGAAATATAAGAGAGTTGTCGAGATGCACGAGGTGGATTACACGGGCCCGTTCCCACAGGAAGGCGGAATTCAAATTCCGTCGAGACCAGCCTTTCCGAGTAGCGATACCGCCTCAGAAACAGAATGCGAGGAGGAGGTCAGGAATCAACCTGATGAGACCGTGGAGCGCAGTCAGGAAAGAACCAAAGGTGGCAAGCCCCCATGGCAGCAGCAGGTTCAACTGCCGAAGCAGAAGAAACCCGGGCCCGCTGCTATGGTACGGCATCGTGAACCAGCAAGCCCAGATCTTCCACATCCAGCTTTGAGGACCTATTCGTCCCAGCCCGAAGTGATCAAACCGGTACTTGCCGTGACAAGCCCCCCGGTCCCGGATCATTCCCCCCTGACCACTACCACCGAGACAGTGCAGCAATCGCCGGCTCTCGACAGTCAAACGCCGTCCTCCAATGCAATCCCTGACCAAGATGCAGGTAAATACCATCTCAGGCTGGACGTGGATAACCAGAGCGACATTCCGATGCGCCCCCTGGCGCCGAGCCCACGCCCAGCAGCAGCAATGCCGGTGCAGGCGAAAAGCGAGACTTCGGGCATAGCCGATGACAATGCCGAACATGGAGTCGTCCCGGCGGAAGCATCCGAGTCAGCAGCCTCGACCGAACTGTCCGACTCTGCCGCGTTCCCAACGGCAGTAGAACCACCGAGACCGGCCCATGCTAGTAGAAGTACACTGCCGCCAGAACGTCCCGCTAGTGGCAGCGCGATAAATTTGGACTTGCCCATTTCTTCCGAGTCTCCTTTAGCTTCAATGCTGCAACAATTGCAATTGACGCGGGCCCGGGTCCGGGGATATATGGGCGCGGTCCGCGCTGGTGAACCAACGGCCCCCTTCCGAGCCTATGATGGTGCTGGTGAACCAACAGCCCGCTTCCATGTCGATGATGGTGCTGGTGAACCAGCGGCCCACGTTCAAAATGATAGTGCTGCTGGACCTCGTCAGAAGCAGAGTGCGGCCGGTAGAAGTGGGAATTACAGACCGGCCGGGAATCCGGGCATGGCCGGGTCATCGTCGAGCGACCACCTCGGGCCGAAGCGGGGCAGGAAACCGGGCCGTTCCCTGGGCCAGCCTGGAGATCCGGGAAGCAGGAGGAATAGCAGAAGTAGAAGTCGCAGCCGTTCCCCCGCCCGCGTAGAGTTCAAGGTACGGGACGAGCAGCCGCCTCGACAGCCATCACCGACGGCTCGGGTGGCTGCTCATCTTCCGCGAAAGCCTTCCGGCGGCGGGGGCGGTAGCCATGGAAACCCTGGGGGTGGTGGGAATGGCGGCTCGAGACCCGACCAGAATAACACAGGTTCAGGTTGCTGCCGTTGCTTGTGGAAGTTGTTGCGTGGATGGTGTGGGTAACTGCCGGGGGAGGAAGAGTGCGGGTCACTGGAACCGTGACTCGTGTGTACCAAGATTGCGATAAAGACGATGCCTTTGTTCATGTTGCCGCCAGAGCAAGACCAAGTCGCTAGGTGTGGATGACTGGAAGAGAATAGGGGTCAGTTGCCTCGCCACCCTGAAGCCTGCAACATGTATGTGCAATACATTTCCTTTGAACAAGCCTCTAATATGTTAGATAATATGCCGCTCGCACGGGTCTACCACGAGAGAACGGTCCAAGTTGCTCCACTCAACAAAAACAAATCGCTCGCAACCCTCGTAACCACCTCTTACTTTACCATCTAAACCACCGCACTGTAAGCCCCGCCCTCACAACTTGACATCCCGCTTCTTCTTCTGATAGAGCTTGAACTCAACACCTTTAGTCTCAGGCCCGCCGTTCTTCAGGACCCTCCTCAGTATCTTTCCGCTCGGGCTCTTGGGGATCTGGTCGACAAAAACGATGCCGCCCATCAGCCACTTATACTTTGCCGTGCGCTTCTCAACCAGCGTCTTGAGCTGGGCCGCAAGCCTCTCCAGGTCCGCCCTCGACATGTTTTGCCTCCCCGCACGCGGCACCACAAAGGCACGGGGCCACTCGGTAGCCTCGCTCTTGTCGTAGACGCCAATGACGCCCGCGTCGGCCACCATGTCGCTGCTGCACAGCACGGCCTCGAGCTCGGCGGGGGCCACCTGGTACGCGCGCACCTTGATGAGCTCCTTAAGCCGGTCCGTGATGCGCAGCCTGCCGTCGGCGCTCAGGGCGCCCACGTCGCCCGTGCGGAACCAGCCGTCCGCCGTCAGCGCGTCCTCGGTGACCGACATGTCCGGCTTGCCGCCGCTGCCGCCCGTAAACACCCCGACGGGCAGATACGCCGACATGAGCCCCGGGGCGCGTATCAGCACCTCCCCTTCGACATCCACCGCGGCAGGCCTCGTCGTCTCCCCTTTTCTCCTCGCATACCCCCCACCCTCGGGATCGGCAATCATGAGCTCGACGCCCCAATGCGGCAGGCCCGTATCGCCCGCGCCCTCTCGCATCTCCTTCTCGCCCAGCCCCCTCTGAAGCGCGGTACTGCATGTCTCGCTGAGGCCGTACCCCAACCTCACCCGGAACCCGCACCGCTTGTACACCTCCTCAACCACCTCATGACCGAGCGGCGCACCACCAGTCACAGCCCCAACAACGGTCTTAAACCCGCCCTCCTTCGCATAGGGCTCGACAACAGCAGCTTTAGCAAGCATGACAGCGACAGGGGGCGCCATGTGCATGTAGGTGACCCTCCTATCACGAATGGCGGCGCAGACGGTTTCGAGATGGAACGAGGGCATGATGTAGGCGGTGGCGCCCGCGGCCAGGGCGAGCAAAAACACGTTGCACAGGCCAAAGACGTGGTAGAAGGGCACATAGCCGAGCCATTTCTGCGGGGTACGCAGGTAGTAGTCTGCGTCGTGCCACAGCGAGGCGCTGGCAAAGTTGAGCGCGTGGTGCGAGAGGAGCACGCCCTTGGACCGCCCAGACGTGCCCGACGACCAGAGGATTACCGCGGTGCGGCGGGCTGAGGAGGATGCCGGGAAGATGGTTGCCGGGTTTACCCGTTTGGTGCTGCCGGTCGTGAGCAGAAGGGATTTCCAGTCCTGCTCGGAAGCCGACGGGGGCTTGGGTGGTTGCGGCTCTGGATAGGTGTCTGTGGCCACGTCGACGGTGAAGATGGGGATGGAGGAGAAATACGCGCGGTCCTCCTGCTTCAGCAGCGCCTCCTTCATAGCGCCGAGGCAGGCCTTGGCCGTGATGATGACGCGCGGGCGGGCATTCTGCAGGATCCACGCGATCTCGGCGCTCGTCAGGGCCGGTGAGGCAAGAGTGGCTGTCAAGCCCGCGGCAAAGGTGCCCAGGAGGACAGGGGCAAACGGGAGGCAGTTGGGTAGTTGGATCAAGACAATTGGGGCGATTTCGGGCCCTTGCGGACAGGATGGTGTTGGCGGGAGTGTGGTGATGTCCTGGGGATTTAGGCCCAGGCGCAAGAGCCCCGCGGCAACTGCCAGCGCATCCTTGGAGGTTTGGCCAAAGGTGAGTGTCCGGTCTGCAGATTTACAGCCGTGGTTAGAATAATCTAGCAGCTCCATACACAAGTGCAAATTGCAACAATGTCATAAACATAACATCCATACCTGTCTTGTGGTCTACGAAAATCGGCCTCGTCGCCTCAATCCTCGGAACGATCTGCTCTGGCGGCGTGAAATCGTTTGTGCTATGGAACGGCTGACTGAAGGCGAATGCAAAAGCGTTATTGAGCGGGACGCTGCCCGGCGGCGAACCTGAGTAGGCCGCAGGTCTGTTGCTGTTGGAGGTCATTGTGAAAATGAGGAGACGTCGCCGCGGTTGAGGGCTGAAGGCGGGCAGAATGGACCCTTTTTCGACATGATCAAGCTGACACGCAGCGAAGAGACGGTTGGGATTAATGCTTAGTTTATTATGTATGTCCTCTCACCCTCGGTTGAGTCGGTTGCCATTGTCCGAGAGACGGCTCGCAGACTCGGGAATTACTGATGTTCCCGCCAAGATGCTCCCCGCCTGCTGTAGCTTCCGCTTTTATCTTGACAGGGGACCGGCAGTTGGGGCCCGAGGCTATTCCGGGGCGCCAAGCATGGCCAGGTCGGGGTTACAGTGGCCTAACCTTTCTAGGCATCTCTTTGCGCCTGTGTTCGGCCGGAGGGGCAGGGTAAGGTATCCCTTTGACCGTGGATTTGACACATTTAAGCGAGGGCAAGGGTTGTAGCCAATCGAAACCTAGACCCCCAGAACTTGGCGTAGCTCAGGACTTTCATCCCACCCAGATTTTCGCAGGATCGGAAGTCTTTGTGGGGCTCGCTAAAATGTGTGTCAATTCCACGGTCAAAGGGATGTACTGAAGCTCAGTGGGGGCTTAGGTAGGTACCTCCATGTTCACCACGGTGCGCCCCCACAGATGAGCTCGGGGCATATAAGCCCCCTACAGTACTCCGTAGGTTGTCCAGAGTGTAAATCGGTTTGTCTACGGGTGATAGCCTAAATCCTACAAACGTTCACTGCAGCTCCGGTTTCGCAAATGTCTGGTCTACACATTCGACTGTAAGGTATCTCAGTTGCTCAGTGCTCGTGTGTTGTTGCTGTACACACATACGCCCCTACCCAGCATGCCACAGTCTGACAGACCAAATCGGCTCCGTTCCGACAGAGCGAGACTGCGTCCATTGCTTGGGCTTGGGGCTTGTGCAACGAACGCCATAATCCGCGAATCTGGCACAGAACCTGCTTCATCACACCAGCGAACCGTTCTAACAAATTCCTGTCCTTGTTCCTCAAGTCTGTCTACTGCTTCGGGCTACGTCTCTAACAAACACAAAGCACACCAAGTACTGGCTCGATGATGGCAACATCCAACAACTCCAACACAATATTTACACCCCTCCTTTGAACATGCAATTCAGCGATGAACCCCCCCTTCGTCCACAGCAGCACGTCACCGCTCAACCCTGTGATTCGATGCGGGCAGCAACCCAAGCCGTTGGGCATCAGAGTCGTCAAGCCTTATGACGTTACCTGTCCTTCCGTCAGCAGCAAGGCCTCCGAGCTTGCTTGGATATAAACGACCACCTACCAGTCTGCTCGCGCAGCTTATCCTGGAGCTCGATGAATATCATAGTATCCACGCCGAACACGCTCCTGACCCTGCTGTTGGTATCGACGAGGAGGTGGCGCGAGACTCGAAACCCGTCCCGGTTGTTGCCTTGCACGCCCACATATGCCGCCGTCATCAAGCGCTCCAGCGCCTCTCTCGCATCCTGCAGTTTCCAGAGCATGGCGTTAAGATGGCTGTACTCGTGATCATGGGGTTGGAGGATCCTCGGTTCAACCTGGTGGCGGCTCTCGGCCCCCATGACCATCATGGACGCGGCCAGGAGTGGGCTCAGCTCCATGATCCCCTGAGCTTTTCGCCCTATCTCGGCAGTCTGGAAGCTGTCTATCTCCTTGACCAGACTCAGTGCGTTGATCAGACAGTCCGCCTCCATCACAATACCGTTCAGCGGAACCGCGGCGCCCCATATCTCGTGTCGCGCTTCTTTGACCGCCTCAAGACTCAACACCGCTCGATCCACCACGGCGGCTATCCCGTCCGCGAGTGTAACTCGGCTAGGCTGTATGCTTGGTCAGTGAACAAAGACCTTGCCCAGACCCAAAAGGGGCCGAGGGAAGAGACTGACACACCATTCTCCTGGGCGGCGGCATATGAGCTTGGGGATGAGTGTTTGATGGATAGTGACGAAAAACATCCGGAACCGCCCAAGAATGACGGCCTCTATAAAAGCTGAATGAGAGGATGCTGAGCCGAAGAAGAGTGCCTATCTTGTGGCGCCACGAGGATGCGTCGCTGTCGGGCAGCAGACGGCACCAGTGATGAAGGGCCCCGGATAGATGAGAGTCGTGGCCATACCGCCACACGTACTCCGTTTCCTCTCTCGGCCTGCGATGTGACCCCCGGGTTTTGTACCCATCCGCCCGGATAAGGCCCGCAAGGTCTTGCAGTGACTTGTCGGGCCGCTCAACGTGCATCTTCGCCATGTGCATGGGCGCGGTTAGCCGACCCCGAGAAAGGGGAGCAAACAACCCTCTGGCATGCCACCAACGAACGCCGGCGTTTAGGAGAAAGTCGTGATGGTAGGTTCTGACGTGCACTGACCCGTCACACCCCGTAGCCGGCATGTTTGTCACGGATGACGGGCCAAAAGAAATCTGGGGCGCGCCTCTTATCACGTCTGGTCTCAGATGCGATACTGCATAAACCGCGTCGAATCTGACGTGGCGCCCTCTCGCGCTTCTGGGTGGTCAACATTCCACAGCCCTGAGAGCCGCGCTAGCCCGCCAAAATTCAGATAAGGAAAGGCCATGATTTTTCGGCTGCATTTCACCATTCATTAGCCCCTATCATGCTGGCCACCAACGATCCTTCTGCTTGTCACAAACCGTTTCCTAGCCTCCCTGACTTGCCATCTTCCGTGGTCACACCCGAACCTAGCCAGCAAGCAAGATCGGGATCTATTGACGGATCGTTCTCTCGTTTCGAAGCTAGCCGACCAGATACGCATTTGAGACAGCAAGCCGGTTCTGGCGCAGATAGCGCGGGAGCCAGTGTCGTTCTGTCTCGGCGTCTTGGAAGTCCTGGCGAAGTTAGCGCTGGAACGAGTCTGTGTTGTCATCGAAACAATCAATGGCTACGATGGAGCAGGCTACAGGCGCCCTCAAAACTCTTAAGGTTTCGCCGTGAGTTCAAGCAGATTGCAACCAGGATCGAGCAATATTGTTCATCGTCTGCTGCGGATCCTCTCAACTGACATGTCCATAACCCGGGATGAGGCAGAGGATGTGAAGCGGATCTAGTTCCAAGCGGACGAGTGGGTATTGTTATATTCCACATTCATGCCAAGAGACACCCGTACTTGGGGCGTTAAGAGTTGCTCAAACGGTTTCAATGTATCTCCTCATTTCCCTGAAAAATGAAGTCAGCACAGACGCAAAGGTCAACAGGAGTTCATGGGTAGTTAAATACCAGTCGGTCACAGCCTCATCCCAAAGCCGTATCTCATGCTCCCTCGTCCCGCCATAGTGTTCGACAAATTCATCACCAAAGACTTCCCTTGCGATGCTGCCGACACGCATAAACCTATCGGTGGCCTCCCGGAGACTCTTTGCTAGCCGAACCCCCGTATCGGAAGCCCCTCCGACATCCTCACCCTTGCCAAGCGGAGGACAGGGAATCTCCAGCTTCTTCTCGACACCACGCCAGCCCAACGCTAAGACGGTTGCTAGTACGTAGTAAGGGTTCGCGTCGGCCCCTGGGACCCGAACTTCAAAGCGAGTCGCACTCGGCTTGCAGGTAGGAGGTGCGACGAGCCTGATGGAAGCCGCCCGGTGCTCCAGTCCCCATGAAACAGTAACGGGAGCCCAGAAGTTCTCGACCAAACGCTTGTAGCTGTTTATGGTGGGGGCCACCATGGGCATCGCATCCGGCAAACCCTCGAGGATGCCCGCCAGAAAATGGCGGCCCAGGTCGGATAAAAAGGCAACATCCGGGAATGGCGGATTTGGATCTTGGTCACCGCGGAACAGGATATTGTTGCCTTCCTTATCCACCAGCGAGATGTGCATGTGGCCGCTGTTTCCGGGCAGTCCTTGTCTTGGTTTTGCCATGAAACAAGGCGTAATACCGTGCTTGGTCGCCACAGACTTGACGACATACTTGAACAGGCTCGCCCGATCCGCCATCTGCCTGATCTCCCCAAACTCCAGGGCCGCCTCGTAAACACCCGGCCCGCTCTCAGTGTGCCACCCCTCGAGGTTGCACCGGAATGCCTCGCATGAATTAAAAATATCGTAGTAGTACTCCTGGTTATGGACTGGCCGGGTCAAGCTGTAGCCAAACATGCCTTCGGTCAGTGACGGGAGAGCCTGAGGCGTATTCTCCTTGAGAAAAGCGGCGGTGGACGAGGAGATCGCTGGAGAAGCCTGCGGTGTCCTAAACTGATAGAACTCGTACTCGGCTACACCGACGCTGGTCAGGATATCGCCAATGACCGGTAGAAAAGTGAGCCGATAACTCACCTCCGGCCATTGCCCCCAAGCCGGCAGCAGCAACTTTCTGGACTTGGGCGGCCAAGAGACCTCTCGGACAAGGGGAGACGGGCTTCTTCGTATCCGGGTCATAGAAGCTGACCAAGAAGAATGGGACGTTGTTTTCCCAGGGAATGCGCCTGAAGCTATTCAGATCAGGCACCGCAATAATGTCCCTATACCCGTTTTCCTTGTTGCTGACTTTCAGCTCCCGTATGTACGTCATATCATGCATGTCCCAGCCAAATATGACGGAGCAAAAACCGAACCCCTCAGTCGCTATTGACAAGAATTTCTTCTTGGAGACGAGCTTCCCGCGGAGTATGCCATCGACATCCACCCCAGCAAGCTTGACCGAGTTGTCATGCTCTAGTAATTCCGGGAGTTGCTTGGCCGAGATCTCCATTGTCACGATCGAAGCCCGCTAAAGCTGTATACAAAGAGTTTTCACAGCGAACCAAGCGCGACAACGAAGCGAAGCTGCAGCTTCTAGGTGTTGGTGAGAAGAGGGACAACTGGACTCGGGATTCAATGAGACTAGAGAGTTGCAATCGTTTGCGAATTAAAATGTTTACATAGAGTGTAAAAAGCAAGTCAGAGTGCAACCCGACGCCGAAGAGACGACAGCAGGAAAGCACGACAAAGGAGCTTGGCCGTAACGTAGCTGACAGGAACCATGATAAGCTGGAACGCCTGCAGATCCCTGCGAGCGAGTAGAGACCCACCCAGACCCAAATCGCCTTGACAGGACGCCATACCACTGAGTGGACCAATCAATGACCTGCTGGGCGTCTCCATCCTGCAGCGTCATAGGCCTGCCTGCCTACCGCTCAGAGTGGGGCTAGACCGCCGCACAGCAGCCTGGATGGCGCCCACATGGCGCAGCGGCGGGGTTTGCTAACCAACGTGGGATACCATCCATGCAAACAGTCAAGTTTGCAACTGACAACCTCCAAACGTCCAGGTTATCTATCCTCCAGAGCACTTCTATGCTCTGCCGGTACCCCTCTTGCTCATAGAGTCACGATAGAGACACGGAGCTCCAGTATCGCCCTTTCAGGCGTCGCTTCCAATGCAGTTGTCAATCTATTAACACAAATCAAGAGACATCTCCTGAAACCGGCTCCTTCAAGCGCTCCGGTTTTGCCACAATCCACGCAGTGCCCTAGGAAAGTAGGATCAAGCATCACAGAATACAATGCCGCTTATCAAACCAACATTCCGATATCAGCACCGAGCTAGGTTGCCTACCTACTATTTACGGTGCTAATCAGGACCATGAAAGATGTGGAGTCACTTGGCAAATGTGTTGGGCCGTTGTCGGATCTAGAACGGCGCGGGGCGCCGTAGGTCACAAGGGACCGGAAGGCACGAGTCTCGTCTTTCGTGCCTCTCCCTGAACCCCGTTGTCGTGGCCAGAAGCAGATTGCCTGGCTCTTGTGCCTCACCGAATCTCCGTTTCACAAAGTTGGAGTCTGTTGGACATATCCCGTACCGACTGGCTTATCCCTTCCTCTTATCTCTGCCCCGCTCCGACCCTTCAGACTTTAGACGATCAGCAACTCCAACTTCGTCTTCACCCACACAACTCGGATTTCAGTTTCCCGACAAAGAGTCTGCTACAATGGCGGCCGAGGCTCGTGGTCGCCTGGCTGGAAAAAACGCCATTGTCACCGGCGCCGCCGGGTAAGTCGCCTTCAAGTCAGCGCTGACCGCCATTATCAGCGTCGCTTGCCAACGCCCGATAACCACCATGCCCTTATACTAGGGCACCAAAACTAACAGTAGCGGCAGTGGCATTGGTCTTGAGACCAGCATTTTGTTCGCTAAAGAAGGCGCCAACGTGCTTATGGCCGATATCTCCAAGGAGGCGCTGGACCGAGCTTTGGCCAAGGTTAAGCAGTTGGTTCCCAATACCGGGCGGGTCGAGACCATAGTAAGATGTTCTTCCCCTACAGTTACATCTTCCCTAAGCTAACTGGTTTTCTTGTAGCTTTGCGATGTCTCTAAAGAAGCGGCGGTCAAAACCATGGTAGAGCACCTCGATTCGTGGGGCGGCCTGGACGTGATCTTCAACAACGCCGGCATCATGCATGCGCGCGACGACGATGCGCTCAACACGCCCGAGGAAATCTGGGACCTGACGCACAACATCAACGTCAAGGGCGTCTGGTACGGGTGCAAACACGCCGTGCTCTCGCTCCGCCGCCACGGCAAGAGAAAGGGCAGCATCATCAACACGGCCTCGGTCGTCGCCCTCGTCGGCTCGGCCACTCCACAGCTCGCCTACACCGCCAGCAAAGGCGCTGTGTTGGCCCTGACACGCGAGCTCGCCATTGTCCATGCCCGTGAGGGCTATCGCTTCAACAGCCTGTGCCCGGCGCCGCTCAACACGCCGCTGCTGCAGGACTGGTTAGGCGACGACCAGGCGAAACGCCACCGCCGCGAGATCCACTTTCCCACGGGCAGGTTCGGCGAGGCCATCGAGCAGGCGCAGGCCGTGGTGTTTTTGGCGAGCGACGAGAGCAGCTTTGTGAACGGAACAGACTTTGTGGTTGACGGTGGCATGACCAAGGCATATGTTACCCCTGAGGGCCCCGCCGCGCCAGCGCCGCTAAACAATGCGCTCAAGGATAGCTTAGAATGAGTGGGTGCGCGTTACTTAGACATGACAGCATGTCCAACAGAACCGTGTACAACAGTTCATGGTATTGATATAGTAAGAAACGCTCGTATACCCAATCAAACGCCTAACCCATGCAAGAAACATGCTACTTAGAGCCGTCCATCCATCCAGTATCTCTACATGAACCGTCCTAGAGGCTCATACAAACTGCCCCTCGGTATTCCCCTCGCCCATACTCTTGCTCCCAGAGCTTCCGCTCTGGATATGCCCCAAAACAGCGTCCACATAGCCCGCCCCGCTCCACTTCTGGTGGGTGAGCACGTCGACGCCGAGGTCCTTCTCCCGCTTCTGCACGAGCTCCACGTAGGCAGCCATGCCGTCCGTCTTGAACCGCCTGGCCAGCTCGTTGCTGACAGCCGCCGTGCTGTGCAGGCCCGCCAGGCTGACGAGCTGCAGCACGAACCCCTCCTTGGCAATGTCCCAGATGAAGCTTTTGAGCGTCTCGGGCGTGAAGCCGTGCGCCATCCAGTTGAACGACGGCGAGAGGTTGTACACCAGGGCTTTGCCCGGGTGAACCGACCGGACCGCGCGTCCCAGCCGCGTCGCGACCTCCACGTTGGGGTCGCCTGTTTCTACCCAGAGCATGTCTGCGTACGGCGCGAACGCCAGCGCGCGCTTGGTCGCGGCTTCCATGCCCGCGCGGAAATGGAAGAAGCCCTCCCGCGTGCGCGGCACGTCCCAATCCCAGTACACCGGTTTATTGGGTGTCAAGGATTCGGCCAGCTTGCGGCGCGCAGTGATGCCCATGTCGCGGTCCGCGGCGACAGCGCGGCGGTACTCGTCGATCTTGGCCTCCTCGACGCCCTCTGCGGCAAAGTGGGCCACGGCGGCCTCGTCAAAGGTGACCAGCTTGGTGCTCTTGACCCACTGCGCCTCGAAGGCGTCGATTTCGGCACCGGACGCTCCCTTAGCCTCCATGGCGGCGAGCGTTTCGGCGAGGGGCCCGACGGACGAATCGCTCACGCCGAGGATGAACTCGTGATCACGCACGTCGATTGACGAGGATAGCAGCTTGCCGCTCTCCGAGTCGGTGCGCGCGATGACGAGGTTCTCGGTGCCCATGACGTCCCACTGGAAGCGAGCCGCCTTGAGCCGGTTGATGTGCTCGCCCGTCGGCACCAGCACCTTGCCCGCCAAGTGCCCACACTTCTTGCCGCCGTGCATCTGGTCCTCGAAGTGCACCGCCGCCGCGCCGTTCTCGGCGAACAGTTTGGCCAATTTCATGACCGCCGTCAGCCCGCCGTGGCCCGTGTCGCCATCGGCAATGATGGGACGGAAGTAGTCGATGTACGGAGTCTTTGCGCGCTCCTCGGGCGTCATTTTGGACCTCAGGAACCAGTGTTTTCGGTCGTGCATGCTCTGGGCTTTGAACAGGCGCTGGACTTGGTTCGGTACCGTGTTGTAGGGGTAGTCGCCAAAGTCGGGCGACACTTCGTTGGTCGTCGTCAGCAGCGAAGAGCAGGCCCAGCCGGAGATGTAGAGCACCTCCTGGTGCGGCGCCTGCTGAGTCATTTGCACCGGGTCGATGGCGCCCAGTGTGTGGATGGGTTGGCCGGCGGCCTCGCGCTCGCGCACCAGATTCCACAGCTTGCGCGCCATGACGGAGCTGGGGTATGACTGTTGAAGGGAGCCGCGCTTGCTCACCACGTCGGCGGCCGTCCAGTCCCGCTTGATGCCCGCGTATCTCGGCGAGGCCCACCATGCCTCGACATCCTTGACTTGTTGCTGGAACAGGGCGTCTTCTGCTGCGCCTGCTTTGCTCGTCTCGGGGAGAAGTTGGTATGATTCGGACGGGAAGGCAGATGAGATTGGGGGCGTGACGGGCGGTAGAGAGGACATTCTGGCAGCTCTTGTGGTCGAGAAAAGACGGGGCGAGCTGGCCCGCGCCGAACCGCAGGACAAGGACGATAGCGGCCGGGCGGATGCGGCCCGTCGCGGGACTCGCGGGCGAATCGTTCGCAGCATCGAGAGGGGGTACAAGAGGCTATCGAATATGAGGCTTCTTGAGCGACTTCAAGGAAAAAGACTGACTGAAAAAGAGAGAATCCAGATCTACTCGTTGAGGCAATTGAGCTTAGTAACGGAGTGACCAGCACCGGACGACTGCTGAGTTAAGCCGGCGGCGCAAGTCGGAACTCGGAGAAAGGAAACAAGGCCTTTCGTGCTTGCGGCTCAAGCACCTACGGCACCTCGGGGGCACCTAAATCGGAGATGTGGGGCGAGTCAGTGGGGCGCCAAAAAGCGCAGAAAGCCGAGGGATTTGCAGCCGTCACGCCATTGGTCAATTGCTCCTTCAGAACCGTTGGCCCGGGGTCGGCATCTTCGGTGCGGGGGGAGCGGCTTTCCTCGGCTCATCACGTCACATCTCGGAGCAATTGAAAGACGGCGGGATCGCAGGTGCACTTGCGAGAAGGGTTGCAACAAAAACTCCGAGGTTATTGTGCTTTCTTGATCATTGATTGTTGCATTTTGTCGCCGAAGGCATCAACCATAACTGCAGTTTGCACTTGTCAACTGCCACTGAGCACATACGAAAAGTCTCTTCAAGTACTTCGTAGCCAAATTCCAAGAGAGAAGGGACGGAACAGGGTTTGCCCCTGAACACCCCGCACTGGCGGTCTCGGGACCCCTACCTCACATCTCCTGCGGCCTACCTACACATTCCAGTTCCTGCGCCTGAAATAATATCCAACTCCGGGCGTAGCTTGCTCAGCACTCCTAGGTATTCACAATCTTTCGTGTGTTCCAAATACTGAGATAAGCGAGAGGACAGTCCACGCAATAAACACAATGGCTATGAATCTGAGGAGTAGTCGCCGCGCTCTGGGCGGAGCCTTGCGTGTAAGTCAGACAATCTGCACAACCTAATTCGACTGGTACTGACCCCCAGCAGCCCGTTACCGTCAGAGCCGTCAGCCATGCCATCCCCTTGCGGAGGACGTACGCGACCGCCGAACCCGATCTTAAAACGACACTCAAGGAGGTAATCCCGGCCAAGCGTGAGCTGTTCAAAAGGGTCAAGGCCCATGGCTCCAAGGTCATTGGCGAGGTCAAGGTCGAGAACACAATCGGTGGCATGCGCGGCCTCAAAGCCATGGTCTGGGAAGGCTCTGTTCTCGATGCCAACGAGGGTATCCGCTTCCACGGCCGCACCATCAAAGACTGCCAGAGAGAGCTGCCCAAGGGCAAAACGGGCACCGAGATGCTGCCCGAGGCCATGTTCTGGCTGTTGCTAACGGGCAAGGTTCCCTCGGTCAATCAGGTTCGCCAGTTCTCGCGCGAGCTTGCCGAGCAGGGCCAACTGCCCGCCTTTGTCAACAAGATGCTCGACGATTTCCCCAAGGATCTGCACCCCATGACTCAGTTCGCCATCGCCGTCTCGGCGCTCAATTACACATCCAAGTTCGCAAAGGCTTACGAGCAAGGTCTGAACAAAGCCGACTACTGGGAACCCACCTTTGACGACTGCATCTCGTTGCTCGCCAAGCTGCCCACCATCGCCGCCAAGATCTACCAGAACTCGTACAAGGGAGGCGGCGCCCTCCCTGCCGAGATTGATCTTGAGCAGGATTGGTCCTACAACTTCGCTGCAATGCTGGGGAAGGGTGGCAAGGAGAACGAGGACTTCCAGGACCTGCTGAGGCTGTACCTTGCCCTGCATGGCGACCACGAGGGCGGCAACGTCTCTGCCCACACAACACACCTCGTCGGCAGCGCCCTGAGCGATCCTTTCCTCAGCTACAGTGCCGGTCTCCAGGGTCTGGCTGGCCCTCTGCATGGGTGAGTACCTTATCCTTCTCGCCCATGGCTGGAAGACCAATGAGCATAACTGACCTTTACCATCCAGTCTGGCCGCCCAAGAAGTCCTCCGGTGGATCTTGCAAATGAAGGACGCCATCCCCGCATCGTACACCGACAAAGACGTGCGCGATTACCTCTGGTCAACCCTCAACTCGGGCCGCGTGGTGCCGGGGTACGGGCACGCGGTGCTGCGCAAGCCGGACCCGCGGTTCGAGGCGCTCATGGACTACGCGGCCAGCCGCCCGGGCATTGCCCGGGATCCCGTGTTCCAGCTGGTGAAGAAGAACAGCGAGATCGCGCCCGAGGTGCTCAAGGAGCACGGCAAGACCAAGAACCCGTACCCCAACGTCGACAGCAGCTCGGGCGTGCTGTTCCACCACTACGGCTTCCACGAGACGCTGTACTACACGGCCACTTTCGGCGTGTCGCGCGGCCTCGGCCCGCTGGCACAGCTCATCTGGGACCGCGCACTCGGCCTGCCCATTGAGCGGCCCAAGAGCATCAACCTGGAGGGCATCCTTAAGCAAGTTGAGGGGCAATAAGGGGTTATCCGGTCCGTCATGAGGGATTTGTCTGATGAGTAATGTAGCAATTATGCGTTTGTTTTGTCTGTGTAGCTTACTTACGTTGGTAGGTTGCGGTAGCAAATCGATGTTTGCGATTATTAGAGACTTGAAGGGTGAGATTCTGTTCAATGCAGACTCAGGACGAGTGAGAAGGTCGGTCTGGAAGACATCAGGATAGCCAGTGTCTACAATCCCGCCCTCGTCCACTCCGCACCGCATCCGCATCTCTTTTTGGGGGGAAAGGATGTGGGGGGTTTATCTGTAGACTGGGTAACGTGCGCTTGTGGCACCTCTGGGAAGGGTACCTTAGTTCCATCCACGAGGCATGGCGTGCATGAGGTGGGCTGGCTACCGGCGCCTCGGGGCCATGTATTCTCCGTCCCTCGGAAGCTGCCTCCGGTTTGTCTGTTTACTTGGGCAACGGCAGCTTTCCTAGAAAGGGCCGCAGCCTCGGTTGAGTCGGCAAGCCCCCCGAAGGACGAAGCAGAGCAGTGCCATTAGTATTGATGTAATTATTGGTCGAGCCAGAAATAGACAAGCTAATGGGTCGACAGCAAAGGACCCAACTCAGAGCATGTCTACGGACAGCCTGGTGTCCACCGAGGGTACATCATCGCCCTGACTAGTCCCACGACAAGCCAGATCCAAAAACGCCCGCTGTCAGCGGTAGGTTGGTATTAGCTGGGCAAACTCACTGGAACCCTCTCTCTAATTCTGCCATCCAGTCCCGATACGGAGTCTTTTCTAGCCATTGATGGCACTGCAGAGAAGCAACGCAGAGTAGCAGTCTCCACCACCAAGGTTTCGTTCCGCGCGAATCCCATCACGGACAAAGTGATGACAGAGGACTGGACCAGGTTGGTCCCCAATCGACTTCATAAATTCATATTATACTGTTGCTATTCTCGTCTCAGTCAGGTAGCTATTTTCAACCAAAACAAGCCTCAGTTCATATAGTGACTCCCGATCTCGGGCTATTTATCTATTCTAGTATTGGGCGGCGACACCGCGAACAGTGATTTGTGCGCGTTTTGACAAGGGTCCTTGCTCCTTGCAGAATGCAGTGAGCAAGTAACGTGATGATGTACGGGAACACCATGATTGAATACAACCCTTAGAGACCGCATCCGTCAACGCAGGGGCGGCTTCTGTGCATGATGGCTGATGTCCCTCTTCCTCTCCCTCTCCCACCACAGCGTCGGGCGGATGCGACGGTGGGGGGCTAAACCCGAATTCCTGGCTGGAGCAACCTCAATCCGTGTGCGGGGCAGTATCCCGTCCGGGTAGGGTACCGGTATGTAGGTACCTTGCTGATGTGGCATCTGTGAGTTCACTATGTTGACACTTTGCGTGTAAGTGTAGCATTGGCTTCTGTTGCACGCATTCACCAGGTACCTGCTGAAGGACCTACTAATCGCGTTAGCTTTCTCATTATTCATCTTTCCCCATCATCATGCCTCCCCGGGAGCAGCTCATCCGAAGATCTCTTGAGAATCCATGTAACATTGTTGGCGTGTCCGGGTAAGTTGGGTCGCATCCAGCGCAGCTGGGCAGGGGCGACGGCATGGCACTCGACTCTTCACATCATCCAGGTCCGTATTTCCGGGCCAGGCTCTTTTTGCCACCTCAGCTCTCAGAGACAATCTTTCTTGGAAGACCAGAACATTCGAAGAGATGTCGGGCCAAGAAACAGACGAATTACACAGCAAATGATGAAGAGCCAGCTGCAGTGCTAAACAACATCAGTCCCAACTCTTTTGTACCGTGGTCCCAGTAGCCTTTATGCACCCGACTTATCGTGAAGTATGCGGAGGCTCTGGTTCCCAAAACCCGAGCTGTACCCGTGTGAGAACAGCTGGCATTGAGAACACAAGAGCAATGCAGAGTTGTAGACCAAACCGGACTGGGCACGGCACGGGTGCACGGCATCAGTGATTTACAGAAAAATGGGTTGTGGCGGGACCCGACTTATCAAACTTACACATTCCCAACGGATGAAGGCCCAAAACATGCCATGCGAAGGGACTCTGCTGGCATACTGGCATATTGGAAAGTGGTCCTAAACCTTCTCAGAGGCCGCGGAAGGATATGGCCAGGACCTCCCAGCGTCTAGGAAGGGACGACACAGATACTAACCTGAAGTTACCCTTAGCTTATCCAAAGGCGTCAGCTGACATGCGTGAACCATCGACAGCTGCAAGTTCATGTGTCCAGATAACATCGCATGCAGCCATGGAAACGGTTCCAGGTCCGCGATGCTGCCATCGAAGGAATGCCTAGTGGGCCCTCAATCAAGCTCAATCAACAAACCCCTGAGGCTGCAACAAAAATAGAATCCTTGACAGCCATGATGACAGACTCGGTGCGTCCGGTCCGGCGTGGTGGCATCGCGATATGGTCAGTGCCTTCTAGCACCATGGCTGGTTCAACTCCGACTCCAGTTGCCGGTGTCCTGGGTCGGGCTGGCCACTCAGGGACTGGAAAACACAATGCAGTAGTCCCTTTTGTTCTAAGGCACACCAGACGACAGTTAACGTTGCGAGTCTCCGCTTTCCTCAGGCCGTATCTGGAATCGAACTGCTGTGCGACATGGACTTCACCGTCTGTTAAACCCGAGAGCGACGGCGGCGGCCTCGATTCCATATGCAAAAAGAGGCTGGACCAGGCGAAAGTATAGAGGAGCGTTTCTATAAAAAGAATTAGGTTACCGGCATCTCCACACACAACATCGGTGTAAATGGATCTTGTCAGCGAGTGAGGATCCGAAAACGAGTGGCCTGGGTCTCGGCATGGCCCTTGTTTGGGCGATGGTACCTTTTCGAGGCGAGCCCATAAGAACTGCAGGTCCCGTCTTAATTTGCGTTTCATTTATCCTCACTTCATCCGTAAATTTGACCGCCGCGACCTTAAGGGCTGAGAATAGACGCCAGAACATCTGCCCCCGGCCGAACACGAACGAAGTCTTTGTTTACACGCCCGATGCAATCCCTGGCGGCTTCCGAGAGGAGGAGACGGTACCGAGAATGAGCCATGTTGGCGCCATGGGAGGCGGCTGCATCAATCTGGGAACCAAATTAACGAGGCAGACCATGAACGCCAAGGGAATCCTCTTGCCTCGACACGACTTAGCCTTCGCCGCCCAAGATATGCCATCGTTTGGATCTAGGAACGGGGGGGGAGGGACAAGTCCACGGCGAAAGGGGCCTGGGACCGGGAACCGGGAAACGTGAACAGACGAGTATAAGTATCGAGGGCCGCCGTCGACATGGCGATTCAGATTTCCTTCCATCAGCACAGCAATCTTCCCAGCTTTTCCCCAGGCAACTCATCTCTCGGGTCTCAATAACCTCGATTCTTCGATCTTCACTCACCAGCCAAAATGCGCGCCGCCGCTCTCGTCCTCCCCGCCCTTGTGGCCGCCAGCCCCGTCGCTCAGGTCGTGGGTAACGATGGCTGGGCCGATGCTCCGGACCCGAAGCAGATCCAGATCGTCGAAGCCAGCTTCTCCGGCAGCGGCTGCCCGCAAGGCACCGTGTCGACTAGCATCTCGCCCGACAAGACGGTAGGTGGAACACGTCCTTGATGATGAGAAACGACGAGCACGATGCTGACTCAAGGCACAGGTCATCACCTTTGGTTTCGATGCCTTCCAGACCGAAATTGGGCCCGGCACCAAGATGACCGACCGCACCAAGAATTGCCAGCTCCACTTGAACCTGAAGGTATAGCAACGAGTGCTCTGTGTTTTGTACCCGAAAGGAAACCACCAAACAGAAAACAGAAACTGACGGGAGTGATGTGAAAACCAGTACCCCGGCGGCTTCCAATTCGCCGTTGTGGAGAGCACGTACCACGGCTACGCGCAGCTGGAGACGGGCGTCACGGGCAACTTCTACAGCACCTACTACTTCAGCCAGGACGCGCAGGCGACGACGACGACACAGACGTCCATCACGGGCGGCGGCATCTGGGCCGAAGGCCAGGTGTACACCAAGGCCGACAAGATCCCCACGGCCAGCTACATCTACTCGCCGTGCGGCGCCAGCGGCATCCTCAACATCAACAACCGCATTGCCTTGACCAGCACCAACAGCAGCGCCTCGGGCTTCATCACCGACGACGACGCCACCGTCGCTTTCACCCAGCAGCTCAACATCGCCTGGCGCAGCTGCAAGAAATAAACAGCCTGACCCCGGGCCTCCTGTCTGCTGTCAGCATGGCTGTGATACTGAAGAGAGGGAGTGTGTGAAGGGAGGAAAAAAACGGGAAAAGCATGACAACGGTTTTTTGCATCCTCCATCAAACCTGTCCGACTTTGTCTTTGCTGGGGAATCCGACTGCATTGAATCAGGGGTTTAGGGCTGGCTGGTTGCTCATTTTTTTTCTTTTCTTCTCTTTTCCTTTCCCTTTCGGATGGGTTCCGACGGAGACGCACTGATGATGCGGAGCGAAGCGGATAGAAGGTCCCTGTCGGTCCGGCTCTCCATTCGATCCCCTCGGTGGACTAACCGACGGGACAAGGTCCAATTCCTCCTGCGTCGCCTGTTCCAATCTTTCCATCTTGAGTATCTTCAATCATTTTAGCCCAAGTCAATCAAGCCTTTTTTACACTCCAGAGTCCTAGGCACGCAAAGGTATCGGTGTCTGTCACGCTTCAAGTTGCTCGGTGACAATGGCATGAGCGGCAAGGCCCTAAACTGACGCATGATACACAGCCAACTGCGTACGAAGTTAGCCGAGGCGCCTTCCCGATGAGCTCGGTCCGTGAGAACGGTGAGTATGCAGATTCATGCCGGAGCATGGTTGAAGGCCCAAGACACATGGGGTAACGAACGTCCAAAGTCTGTGAGTGCGGTGATGGTGTGAACACGACAGACAAGGACCAGGGCCTGGTGCATATCTCCGCCGTGGTCTCGGCGGAGGGGCTGGACGGTTTGAGTACCCTGCGCACGTTAAACGCCATCCAAGCTTCCCGAACCGAACAAGGGTCGCCAGCGGGTGGTTGCATTCTGCCAGTTACGGCAAAAGATCAGCCGCCCTAAACGCCCGCCATCGCCGAATTGGGGTGCCAGAAAGACCACATGAGTCGAAAGCGATACGTTCCAGGCCCAGGCATCCGTCGACCAAAATCCAACGTTGATCATTGTATCACCCGCTCTCTGCCGTCACGCGACTCGAACGTGGCCGAGAGAGATGGAAGCATCAAGCAACTGAGCGCCACAGTCGGTTGCCGTGCACTGCACTGCGGTGCGTGTCTCGGCCCGTAACCTTAGACGACTGGTGTTTCTGGGTTGAAAGCCGTCCCGATCAGCAAAACTCGCTCATCAGTCAACAAGTCAGGGTCACGTTCAGCACAGCGGCTGCACGGTCAATATGTTGTGGCGCGCGGTGGCAGACTGGAGTCGCTGTGCTGCTTGCCGCTCCTCAAACAGTCTGGTGGTTTTTCTCGCTGCATTTGTCGTTTTGTCCGGCCCGAGTCCCACCAGTGCCCTGGGTCGATGTAATGTTTGAATGTCAGGCGGTATTTAACTGGTGTGAAGGGAGATAGATACCTTCGTAGGATTGAAGAAAGCCAGGAATGATCAACATCGGTGTTGTGAAGAGAGAATGGTTGATGTCGAAATAAAGTTTGTTGACCGGTTCCCAATTTCCAAACATGGAAGGTGGTGTGCTTGTCAACACCTCACTGCCGAACAACGTGATTTCCCCGCTCCCAGTACTTCGGCGATCACTGGACGTCTTGAAACTCACAATGTTCAACATCTGAGCAACGTTGGTGGATGTGGGTAACTACTCTAGGCCGTCCCGCCGCGCCTTGGGGATGGCGATGCCAGCACCCGGTTTTCAAAGGTCCTGGAGAATGTGCATCAATTCGCGTTTCCGCGACAGCACTTGGCAGAGGTGGCACGCGCCGACAGATCCTTTTCGTGCCCAATCGGCCAGCCCGCTGTGTGGAATGCAATTGAGAGCCGCTTCAACTTGCTTGCCGACTTAGTCTTGCAAGGCGCCGCAGGAGGATTGTTTGATAGATATAACTGTATGGTTTCCAGTGGCTGCCTTCAGATTGAACTGTGCTAAGAAGTCACGGTTTGCTCTTACGTCAGGTTTAGAATGACTGCTTTTCTCATAAAACGTCAGGGTGTTGAGTGGCTACTTCCTCCAAAAGATCAGTTGGCTTGCTGCCCTACAATACCTACGTCCTCGTCCAAGTTACGGATAGGTTAATGGTTGTCTCCTAGGCAATTATTTGATTAGTTATGTGGATTCCTTCTTTCTGCCTCCCCTTTCTTATTCCTTGTGTCCGCAGGTGGCGCTCTACTTCGCTTGCCTTCGCTTGCCAATCGCTTATTCATCCCCAAAATAAACCCCTTGTCGTTGCTCAGAAATCCAGAATGTGACCTCTCACATCCTCACGGCTAACTCCGTCTGTCAACTTAATGTATTCTCCAGCTGTCGATGAGATTCGTTGTTCCACAAGATCGAGATTCGGCCGCCAGGTTCCATCCAGCGACCCCTGGGCTGGACGTATCATGGGTCGTCTCGCCTTCGCCTTCCTGTCCAAGTTTCCTCGTAGGCGAGTTGACAACATCGAGTCATGGGATCTAACAAATGTTAAATGTCGATTCCTACCCTGAGTCCAAGCCACGAGGTACCTTATTAGTCGGATCGACGCTTCGCTTCGTCTCAAGCGCTAGCGATTTATTTATTACCTCGTCAGGCCACATTGAAAGCAACACATCATGATGACATGGACCTGTCACCCCCTTAACCACCTCGAGTGTGAGACGTGGGGCATCCATTGGTGAGCCTGGCATTGTCGGCGGTTGGAAGCTCCGAGGAAACTCGCAGCCAGCTGCTGCCCAGCCCCCACCCTTGGGTACGTAAGTTAGTCATCTCTCAACTCCCAAACTTGCCTTTGCGACCCGAGAGTGTGGTTCGAGTGGATCTCACGTCGCCGGTTATTACCTCTTCTCTCTCGAATTCGGCTTATACTCCGACACCTGTACATGCCGTGCCCTCACAACTGCCGTTCTGGACGCTGCAAGACGCCAAAAGAAGAAATTGGGCTCGAATTCGTGATGCTGGCAACGCTGTTCCAGGGAGTGCCTCAACGAGATCATAATAACTTCCTCACGGCCGTCAGTAGTCTCTACTGCCCCATACAAGAACGGCCGTAACTTCCTGTTCTTGCTCTCATCTTTGTCATCCTCTGATTACCAACACTGCCAGGTTACACATCGTACTCAACTCTGCCCTGCAACACTTGAGCAAACCGTCATATATTGTTTACGTGTACCGTACCCGTCGCGCATAAGAATTCACCATGTGCGACTACACCCAACGAGAACATGCCTGCGAGCACATCCGATGGATCGCAGCGCGCTGGTGTAGACAATACACCATTACGCACAAGCGATGCCCCCCTAATATAACACATTTCGAATAGTACGGACAGCCCCGGGATCTGGTCTCCCAGTTGCAGTATGCCATCGTTTGTCCAGCTGCTGACATCGCTGTACTTATGTGTAGTCGACACGAGCTCTGTGGCGACTGTAAGGCCAGGTTGAACCAGAAACCCGTCGCTTGGGAGCACTTGATCACACGCCCAAACGCTCGCCCTGGCCTCTCCCACTAGGCCACTCATATTTCGACTTCTTAAGGGATTTGATTTTGGATATCTCAGCCTGAAGCTTCTCGGCTGGTCAGGGACTGCATTAGGTGTCGGGCGCTTCAGGATGATTCAGGGGACCTGGTATTGGCTTCATTGGTTTTGGTGTTTGGATTGGATGGGGTTGCCTTTCAGGGTCACGGTTGGAAAAAAAAAACAACTACTCTTCTCCAACGTATATTAGGAGAATAGGAGAAGCGAAACGCGGTCGAGGCCCGTACATACTCACACCACCTCACTGGAGATGCAGGGTGTACTAGAGGAGCATTTTTTTCAAGTTGGGAATGAAATCAATGGATGAATCCTACTTTGTACACACACTGTTGTAGTAGGAATCAAAGAGCGGATCATCGTCACTGTCAGTCGAATTTTGAACATCGCGTAGTTCGTGTCCGTTGGTCAGGTTAGTTGGTGTACGGCCATCCTCACAACGTGACCCATTGACGGACAGCAAACTTTGAAGCTCCAGGGCAGTCTCCGTGTTAAAGTTCCTGGGCGAGCCGTGGTATCGTACCCGGACGCCTCCCCCGGACCTAAGCGTACAAACTGACCCCTAGTCACTAACAAATGATTGGCAATGCGATGGGATTCGGATTCCATCCAGTTCACATGACCGCTTGTTCATCTCGCTAACAATCTGCACAAGCATCAAAGCTGCCCCAATCATATGTGTTTGTCCACCCTCTGCCGGGGTGCCGGGCACCGTAGCCGGGCACCGTAGCCGGGGTGCGGCAGAGTGGAGGCTTACATTCACTCGTAGGGTACTCCGTACCGTTAATGATACTTACCTATGCTCCTAGTGCCGTGAGATGATGCATTCCACGCAAGCAGCAACTAGTGTAGCCCTTACGTTGAAGCTCCCGAGCCACAGACAGTCTGGTCTAGATCCGAAGTTCCAAACACCCTCAGGCCTCAATCAATCCATGACTCCATGAGTTCCCAGAAGCCCATCGGACATGGTACTGTCAAGTTCATGTAACGGTGTATGTACTAGATACAGTACAGTAAAGGTACACCTGCATACCATATTGCGTTATCCAAATCAAATAGTACTAAGTACAGCCCCTCGCGGTGACATAATTCAAATTGAAGGCAGAGGCAAATCAGGGAGCATCATGTCCTTAATGTATTGTACATGCTTGTACGACTTATGCTAGAATGATGAGACTCCTCTGCCTCTGAAACGCTGCTTCGTCTGTTCCGTAGCATGACTCGCAAAAGTCACGGTGGAAAGAGGGATGAATAGCATGGTGGAAAGCGAAACGACACGGGTCGCATAAGGGATCTTTGCTGGTTGAGACATGTTCACTGAACAGAAAGCTTCATTTTCTCTGTACTGTATGTACTGTACATACAATACAGTACGCTAGATACTCGTACCCAGTGCTCCTTCAAGTACCTAACCATCTTTTTGCTCCCTAATGTTCTCAGTCAGCAACATCACACCCCAATCACCGTCTGTTTGAACAATTGCTGCCGGGACAGTCCCATTGCATTAGCAAAATCTCTACCCCCGAGTCCCGGACATACAGTCTTCTTGTTCCAATGATGTCTGCCGAGCACTCAGCTTCGTTCGGGAAGCGTACATAGGTACTGTACATCCCTAGTAGTAAGCCCCTCGAAATGCCCAAGAAAGTTATCAACTCCATGACCTTCCTCTGATATACCATTAGTGACCTATGTTCGGATTAGATATGTCAGATAGAAGCTAGAAACTCTTTTGCGCTCGTCCACATGACCAGCCTTTCCAGCACCTCCCTGCGCTCGGCCGCGACCGCGCGCACCTCGTGCGCCTTGCTGACAATGAACTTGCAATGCGCAGCCTTCTGGTCGACCCACGACCCGTCGGGGTTCTGATACACAAGGTTCCCATCACTAGATAGGTGGCGGTAGTACCTACCCAAGACCCGGGCATAGTCCTCAGCCTCGTCCGAGTTTGGGTCGAGCTCGACCAGCCGCGCCTCACCACCATCCACGGCATCATCCTCATCGCGTCGTTGTTCTTGTTGAAACCGGCACACTACGATGTCGAGCGGACGGAGTGCCACCGACCTATGCCAGCGCCAGTCCTGCTGGGCCGAATCCCGCCTGAAATCGCAGTGCCAGCTCTGCATCACAAAATTGATGATGCCGCCGTGCAGACACACCACAATGCGCGGCGTACCCGCCCTGCCGGCCGCCACGTGCTCGAACAGGACCCTCCGCGCGCACCCGCGCAGCCATACCCGCGCCTCGCGCACCGCCCGCTCTACCGAGGCCAGATCGGGCTCCGCGGTCACGGCCGCCATGCGGGTTTCAAGCGTCTCGCTCTGGCTCTGACTCTGATTCTGCCATTGGTGTGTATCGTGCGCGCTCCTGCTCAGGTTGCTGCCTGCCCAGACCAGCCGGCTGGTGTCAACGTGCGTCTCGCCCACCACCCGACCGCAGCCACGTCCGCTGCCGCCCGCGACTCGGATGTATGAGACCGTATTCGTCGATACGGGGTTCGGCTTGGACTTGTTGGTAATGTGGCCGTCTCTTGGTGCGGTTGCCGCCGCCACTTCCGGATTCACAAGGCGCAGGGGCGGAAAGTCGTGCGGCCAAGTGGTCGCTTCCCGAAATCCCGGATGGCAGTAGATGTTTGCGGTTTCGGACAGCGTACTGCCACCGTCACCCGCTCCGGCTCCGCCATGGAAAGGCCCCACGAGGCCAAAGGCCCGACTGTTGGCCTGTAACGTCTGGTGTGCCCGTGTCAGGGGCGACGACACGAGCATGTAGACATTGTCCAGCCGGGGGACGCCGTTGTCGTCGGTGACGTCGTCGACAAAGGCGTAAGACGAGTCGAGGCCGAAGCTGGTCAGTCCGTCCGGGAGGAAGACGCCGGTGCGAAGATGGAGGTTTGGATCGCAGGTCGCCAATCTGGTTAACTCGTCTAGAGTTATATTCTCAGCGGTGATGCCCGGGGTTTCATAGTCAACAATGTTTGACACCGCTTGGCCATGGCGTTGGAAGAGGATGTGGACCCGAGAGACATCGAATGGATCTTGTGGAAGCGAGCCCATGGCTTTAAGGCCCTGCCAGGTAGATAAGAGCTACACCAGAAGGTGCTAGAAGGTAAGTATTCAGGTCTCAGCGACAGTGTGCCGGCAGTCTGCAGCAGACAAGTCTTATTCGGCCACGAGGAGACCGGACCATGGCTGCTTTTGTATGCACCGTTTCTCCGGGCCTGAACCCGGTCCTCGTCCAGCACTCCAGCGTTGTCGCCGGCGTACCGTATCACGAACATATACTGCCATATTCGCATGGAAGAGCAAATTGGCGCAAGTTGTGGCAGTCCAAGGAGGGAAATGCGACGAGGAAGCAAGTAGCCAATTGCATGGCGATATCGCAGCTCGGGGCCGGCAACCTGCGCAGATTGGACGTGCTTGTGTTGTCCTGCGTCGGTGGCGGCAGGTGCGGCAATGGTTCAAGCCGTTGCCGAGGTGCAGCCACTGCAGGCCAGTGAAACCCGGCGAGAGTCCCAATGTCGCCCTGGCAGTAGTTGGCAGCAAGAGAATGTGGGGGCACAAGAAAGAGATTGGCGGCCCTCAAGTCAAAGCCCCAAGCCCCGGGCGCATTCAGAGACAGTCTAGATGTAGGTGGATCCGGATTCGGCTTTTATGGTTGTCAACTAGCCGTCGTCGATGTAAATCTGGCAGGCCGGGTTGATGGAAGACTTCGAGGTCACCAGCCGAGGAAGCTTGCCGGTTGGAGAACCCGGCGGCGATGTCGGACAGACACTTCTATCACCTGGGACTTAGGCACTCGCCTAGTCCAACACCTTGATGGCAAATAAAACGGAACTCTTCCCCAGAGTACCCCTTGGCCGAGCGAGATAGACGGCAAGGTCAAGATTCAAGAAGGAGCAAGTCTAGGTAGCTGGTGTCTTGGCATAAGGATTCATCTCATGGCTGACTTGAAGACTTCAAAATCGTGAGAGTGCTCGCTAGTAAGAATGTATTTAATCCTGCGCTCTTTCTCTCCACTTGATGGAGCGAAATGATCAAGGTACCAACAGAGTGCCGCATGCTGCCGAAGATTGCATGCTACCGTCTGAGCTGCCACCTCATCTGAGGTTCCAGCTTGCAATATGCCCATCGATGGTCGGTCTGTTTTCTGCGGTCAGGGTATCGTCAAGAACTTTGTAACTGACATCAGCGAGTACGATCCGGTTGATGCTGGTTACCTAGGGTGAGATACTAGGTAGTGATGTTTGAAAATATTAGTTGTATATCGCCGACTTCTCGGTTCACCATGATTTTAGGTAGGAGGCGAATGGGTCGGCTCTTCCCGCTGCCAATTCAGAGCTGTCGCCTCCGTTGGAGAGCCTCGCAATGGACGTATAAAACTCAATATACACATATATAGTCCCTTGAAAGATCTTGGAATGCTCCTCTTACCAGGCGTTCGTGGTAAAGTAGTTCGGCCGAGATTACAGATCATTTTCAAGATTATAGAACCGCTTGGAACCAAGCTCCTAGAGGGTTGGGGTTGCTTATCAATCACGATAAGCTAGGAGGGCGGGGGAAATTTATTGAAATAAACCATCATCACCCCGCCATCACATCCAACTGTTGCTTGAAGTGCATCGTCGGTCTTGACTCGAATTCAAAATCCATCCTCCCCCAACTCCCATCCAGACCCGCGAAAATGTCAGCCTCAAATCCCCCCCACAACCCCGCCGAGGACGAGGATGCCGAGCTCGAGATGCTCGCCGAAGACGAGGCCGAGGAAATTCTCGATGGAGAAGATGCCGAGGGCGACGTGCCCATGGGCTCTGACGACGAGGGGGAGGAGATTCTGCTCCAAAACGACAGCATCGCCTATTTTGACGGGCACAAAGACTCGGTGTTTGCCATAGCCCAGCACCCTCTGTACCCCAACCTGGTCGCCACGGGCGGTTCTGAGGGCGACGCCGACGACGCCCCGGGCAAGGGCTACGTGATCGACACGTCGGCCGCCACGTCGCGCCCCGTTCTCCCGCCGAGCTACAGCTCGGACCCCTCTGCCGCCGCAAGTGCCGCCGGCCAGACCACCAGCCTGAGCCCCCTGTTCGCCATCGAGGGCCACACCGACAGCATCAATGCGCTCGCATTCACCCTCCCGCGTGGCGACTTCCTCGTCAGCGGCGGCATGGACGGCCGCCTACGCGTCTACGCCGTCGACATACCCAGCAACCCCACATCTGCGCCGCCGCGGTTTACATTCCTGGCCGAGTCCCAAGAAACCGAAGAGATCAACTGGCTGAGCCCGTGTCCGGCCGCCGAATACCCCAACACCATCGCGCTGGGCGCCTCAGACGGGTCCGTCTGGGTGTTGACCATCGACGCCTCAGACAAAACCAACCCAATCCAAATCACGCAGTCCTATTTCCTGCACACGGGCCCTTGCACCGCGGGTGCCTGGTCTCCCGACGGCCTGCTGCTGGCGACGGTGAGCGAGGATAGTTCGCTGCATGTATTCGACGTGTTTGGCGTCGCCGCCGCAAAGAACCTCGTCACCGACAACGGCCAGACAGTCGTGTCGCTGACCGACGCCGACCAGCGCTTCGCGGTAGAGGGCGGGCTGTATTCCGTAGCCGTCTCCCCGACGGGCGGGTTCCTTGCCGCAGGCGGAGCGGGCGGCGCGATCCGCATCGTCGGTCTCCCGCGCTTATCTCCATCTTCCTCCTCCCAACCGCAACCACAGTCCCGGGGCTCATCATCAACCCAAAAGAAAACCCAAGCAACCCAAGCGGGGACCATCCTCGCGTCACTCGCTCTACAACAAGACAGCGTCGAATTCCTCGCCTTCTCCCCCCTCCCTTCCACACCCTCCTCCAGCGCCCCATTACTGCTCGCCGCGGGCTCCGTCGACGGTTCCATAGCCGTCTTCGACACGGCCCGCTCCTTCGCGCTGCGCCGCCACCTACGAGGCGCCCACGACGGCGAGTCGGTCGTCAAAGTCGACTTTGTGCGCTCCCCCGCATCCGTACCCGCGGCGGGTTGGCTGCTGACGTCGTGTGGTCTCGACGGCGTCGTGCGCCGCTGGGACCTGCGCGGCGCCACGGCCAGCAGCCAGCAGACGAGCGCCGACAGCAACGCCGGCCTGGTCAAGGAGTGGCGCGGCCATAGGGGCGGCGGAGAGGGCGGCGGCGTGCTGGGCTTTGTGCAAGGGGAGACGGGCGAGAGGATTGTTACCGTGGGCGACGACGGGCTTGTTTTGGTTTTCGAGGCTTGATATCATGTGGCCGGCGCGTATGTATGTATGTACGATACATGCCGGTTCATTGAAGAAAAGGGATGGTATATGTAGAATGATGGCCCCAGATGTTTTGCATGCATGAAGCCGGCGTTTATTGCTGGGGAATTGAATAAAGTCATCCATATGTTCCTCATCATTGAGTGTATGGCGTCATTATTTGCCGATATTGACTACAGTGACAGAAGTACTTTAAACACGAATTCTGGCTCTGATAATCACTTCTATCCTCTAACCCCTCAATTGTTGAACTCCGATCGCTGAGGTGGCCCAGATGTGGTCTACATCTATCGTTTGTTGAAAAGGAGAAAATCTCAGATGATACTCCTGTCCCACTGTCGAAAGCCCGAAACCGATTCTGGGTATATGGGATGTTGAAACTTGTTGAAGAGACCCCTTTTTATCCTTGGGATGAATCCCGATACGCCTTGCCTCACGCCGTAACCCCAACCCGCTCAGACCTCCTGAATCGACGACATGTGTCCGCCCGTGGTGTCCTCAACCGGAGGACAGGTGCAAAAGAGGTTCAAATCACCATATGCTACAGCAAAACGTCAGCAAACCTCCAAAAAGCAGGTAACAACGGAGCTTACTATCGTCCACCCTGGCAACGCTGGGCCAGAACTTCTTCTCCTTCAGCCATGGCAACGGATACGCCGCTTTCTCGCGGCTGTAGGGCCTGTCCCATTTAGCCCCGCCCTCTCCGTCGCCAGCAATTATGTCGGCCATTGGGTGTGGTGCCATCTTCAGCACATTGCCCTGCCGTGGAGCCTTGCCCTCCTCAATCTCACGGATCTCCTGCCGGATGCTGACCAACGCCTCGACGAAGCGATCGAGCTCCTCTTTGGACTCAGACTCGGTCGGCTCAATCATGAGCGTGTTAGCCACGGGCCAACTCATGGTCGGCGCGTGGAAGCCATAGTCCTGCAATCGCTTCGCGATGTCGATCGCCTCGATGCCTGCCGTGTCGTGGAAGGGCCGAACGTCGAGGATGAACTCGTGCGCGCAACGGCCGTGCTCGTTCGTATACAGGATCTGATAATGCGGCTTGAGCTGGCTGAGGAGGTAGTTCGCGTTCAGAAGAGTAATTTTGGTTGCCTTTTTGAGACCCTCGCCACCTGATAGGTAGTGTCAGTCACCGCTCAGAGAATCGGGTAGGGAAGTTCGCTTACCCATCAACGCGTTATACGCCCAGCTAATCGGCAGAATGCTGGCACTGCCGTATGGCGCACTGCTGACTGGATGGTTCGGGTCCTCCGGGTTGACCACATCCTTGGTCGGAAGGTGCGGCACCAAGTGCTGCTTGACGCAGATAGGCCCGACTCCCGGTCCACCGCCGCCGTGCGGAATGCAGAACGTCTTGTGCAAGTTCAAATGGCAGACATCGGCACCAATCTCGCCAGGCGAGCAAAGGCCGATCTGAGCGTTCATATTCGCTCCGTCCATATACACCTGGCCACCGTGTGTATGCACAATCTCACACACCTTCTTGATATGGGGTTCGAATACGCCGAACGTGCTGGGGTACGTAATCATCATAGCGGCAATTTGGCTCGAGTACTCTTCGCACTTGGCCTCCAGGTCCGCCAGATCCAGATTGCCCGTCCTGGAATCGCACTTGACAGTTACGACACGCATGCCCGCCATGGCAGCAGAAGCCGGGTTTGTTCCGTGGGCCGAGACGGGGATCAGGCAAATGTCACGGTGGGACTCGCCATTGCTCTCGTGGAACTTGCGGATGGCGCGCAAGCCGGCGAACTCGCCCTGGGCTCCTGAGTTTGGCTGCAGGGAGACACCATCCATGGCGGTAATCTCCTTCAGCTGATCCTCCAGAGCGCTTGCGAGCTCCTGGTAACCCTGTATATCTCCCGGGAGCGCGTGGGGGTGGATTTTTGAGAAGCCGGGCTGCGTGATGAGGCTCATCTCGGTGCTGCCGTTGAGCTTCATGGTGCACGACCCCAGCGGGATCATGGAGTGCACCAGGGACAGGTCCTTGGACTGTAAGTGATGGATATAGCGGAGCAGCTCGGTCTCTGAGTGATGAGTGTTGAAGACGGGATGCGTCAGGTAGTTAGACTGTCTCCGCAATGCCTCAGGAATGTACCACAGCTGGCCGCGCTTCGTAGAAGCTGCCTTCTGCTCTCGCAGGAACTGCATAAGCAGCGCGACATACTCTTCGGGTTCGCAGGTCACGTTGGCAGCGTTTGCGAACAGCCTGATCAGCCGTATGAGATCGCCCTCATTCACAGTCTCATCGATGCTAATCACAACCTTATCGGGCCCGTCTAACCTGAGCCTCAAATAGCTTTGGATACCGGCCTGCCAGAGTGATTCGGCGTTCCCGGGCAAAGAGATTGTAACAGTGTCGAAAGCGACTGTTTGAGAACCAGAGTCGAACCCGAAGTGCCTGGCTGCAGCTTGGACAACTCGTGCTCCCAAGCTGCACCGTTCGGCGATCGACTTGAGACCTTTGGGGCCATGATACACGGCATAGAGGGAGCTCATGTTGGCGAGCAGCGCTTGAGCGGTACAGACGTTGCTCGTTGCCTTCTCCCTCCTGATGTGCTGCTCTCTTGTTTGCAGGGCAAGTCTAAGGGCCCGGCCGCCGAGTCGGTCTTTTGACACGCCAATGAGACGGCCAGGCATCTTCCTTTTATGTTTGTCCTTGACGGCGAAGAAGGCGGCATGTGGGCCTCCAAATCCCAGAGGAACGCCAAATCTCTGGGCGTTGCCAAAGGCGATGTCTGCTCCCCACTCACCAGGTGGTGTGAGGAGTGTGAGAGCCAGCAAGTCGGTAGCCACGCTAAGCAAGGCGCCTTGTTTATGCACCGCATCGGCGAGGGCTCTAAAGTCCCGGGCGTAACCATAAGTGTCGGGGTACTGGACCAAAACACCAACCAGGTCATCGCCTATGGACTCTAGCATAGAGAAGTCGAATTCGGAAAGATCGACGGCCCGAACATGGATGCCGAACCCTTCGGCACGGCTGCGCAGGACATTGATCGTCTGCGGGTGGACATTCTTATCAACAAGGTAGGTCCTGCCCGGCCGCTTAGCCCTGGACGACGAAAGCGTGTTCAGCGACACGGTCATGGCTTCGGCGGCGGCAGTGCCCTCATCCAGGAGGCTAGCGTTAGAGATGGGTAGCGCCGTGAGGTCCGAGACCATGGTCTGGAAGTTGAGCAAAGACTCGAGTCGGCCCTGGCTGATCTCGGGCTGGTACGGCGTGTAGCTAGTATACCAGGCAGGATTTTCCAGCACATTGCGCTTGATTACCTCGGGGGTGTGTGTGTCGTAGTAGCCACCGCCAATGAGATACTTTACGTTGGCAGCATTTTTTTGAGCAAAGTTTCGGGCTAGCGACTGCACTTCCCATTCCTGGACAGCTTCCTTGGTGGCGATTCTGGTAGGTAACCTGAAGCTCTTGCGAAGCCGAGGGAAAAGCTCACGAGACGAGAGGATATCTGGCGGGATAACTTGCTCGACGAACTTGTCAAGGGACTCGACCGGAGGAGAAAGAGACTCAAGCATTTGCTTGGTGCTCTCATCGTCGGGGCCGATATGGCGGTTTGCGAAGCTTTCATGAGTTGGGAACAGGCCGGGTAGGCGAATGAAGTGTACCCCTCCGCCAGGGGTCGGTCTGGTAGTTCGCGGCCTGGATACGGTGCTTTCCTGGCGAAGAGAGCTGCTGCTTAAGCAGGCCGAACAAACCCAGGGCCGGCCGGGTGACACGGCAGAGGGCCGGGGGAGGAGCACTCTGCCCCGGAATGTGTGGCCGAGGCGGCCAATTCGCTGCGAGACGGCCATTGCCGCCGAATAAGCGAAGTAGGAGAGACGGAAGTCTGCAGCCACGCAACGCAGTCAACTCGAAATTCGATAGGTCTGGTAACAAAAGCGCCAGATCAATGTTGACGGTGACCTTAAGACCCGGAGATTGAGAGCTGCCCTTCCGTCACTCCGCCGTGGTACGAAGCCGACAGAAGACTGGAAAACTGAAAAGAAACATAAATTGCAAAGAAAGCGAGAGCGGTGAGCCGTGATCAGCGCCACAGACGATAACTTAACTCTGGAATTGACGTCAGAAACCTCAAAAACTATCACCAGCCAAAAGGTTTCCGGTATTCTCACCAACCGCTCCCACCAATGTGCAGTCCTTGGCCCGGAGGGAAGGGCAGAAGAACAACCTGGAAAGTCGGCGGTGGCCCAAGTTGGTCAAGCGATAACTTGATGCAACACAGGGACAAAAGCGTAAGCCGTTATCGGTGATTCGGTTGACGGCTCTTGCTCCTTCTGGTGATAATGATATCGGGTATTCTCGGCCCGGACAGATAAGGAGGTCAGGGCCTTGCGAAGGATCCAGCAACTGCAGGACCGGGAGGCCTTTCCCTATCAGGATGGCGTCACTGGGGACGGATGGCAACCGGTCAAAAATTCCACCCCTGTCCGGTCCCCCCAATGCCGGGTGTCACCGCTGAATGACCGACTCTGTTGTGGAGACACGTGCAGACTTCAATCGATAATTCCACTGCAACGACAACATCCAAGAGACCAAGACAGCGACATCGCCAAACCCTTCAGCGTCACCGCAGCTTCGCTCAATATATCCCAAAACAATGTTCGGAGGCTGTATGTGCATATCACGCGCCCAACACATCTACCATAACCCGAAGATGAAATCTAACTGTCCCTTGCAGTCCAACCGCCACAGCCCTCCCCGGAGGAGCTCCGCGCCGCCGAGGCCGAGGCGACCTTTACCGTTCAGCGCGCCATCGCGACAGCCGCGGCGCTCTATCTCTGTACGTTAGACCTGCACTCCCCATCTATGTTTTATGCTCCCTTGACGGTGTCAATCCCGCGGTTTTCTGACAAGCGTATCATCCGCAAACACACACAGCCCCATTCGTCATCGACGCCGTCTGGAAGATCTTTTAGACAGTCACGATCTTATGACGGACGACCGCAACTGTATTACGACGTGTACAATACAAAATAAAGCCTTAAGCGACTTGAAGCCGTCTTATCACTCATAGAGAGCGCAACTCTGATTGCCTGCCACGCGGGCTATTGGGGGATACAAAGGTATCCAGTGCATCTCTGGAAAAGGCAACTGGGAAACGAGCCTAAGGGTGCCCAGCTTGACGGTATCTGGCTACGGACGGCGGATATCTACTCTCACTGTACAATACACTACTTTTTTGGGCGTTTCATTCATATAGGCGGCATAAGGTATCATCCGGCATAGACAGTCATCGCAGGTTCACATACGGAGATACAACACTCCCAGAGTTTTGAGGATCAGGTCATACCCCAAGCATGCTATTAATCAACATGCGATAATACAACCGATGCCAGCTTAACGCTCATGGTATCCAGATCCATCATCCGCTAGGCTGACCGAAGCTATGCCTGCTTCTCCCAAATGCATATGCGCTTGACTCGATGGATCCCACCAGCTCCAGAGATTGCGTCTCTCAAGCCATCCGCTGGAACTTGATGGCCAGAATCCTCCCTTCCGTGTTTCCGATTATCGCGCTCCAGAGCAGTACTTCCCAAACGACCAGCTCCATTCTATTGGGCTGCCGTTGCGGGTTTCCCCGTTGCCTGCTTAGGGGCTGGTTTGGGATTGTGCACCTTTTCCCATTCCTCAAAATCCCTCTTGGCCTCCTCAACCTGCTTCTTGAGATGCTGGAGTTGCTTGTCGTAGTCCTCGAGTATCTGCCATTGGAGCGTTAGATTTGAATGTACTGCATCGCCGAGTCTGCCGCGCGAACCGACCTTCTTAGCCTTTGCCTCAATCTCCTCGCCCAGCCCATCGTTCTCGGCAAAACCAGGCTTGTTGATCTCGTCCTTGAGGTTGTCTGCATAGCCCCTCAGAATGATAAGCCGGCTCCAGAGCTCCTCCAACCGCGCGCTCAAAGCCGGATCCTGGATGCTCTTGTCGATCTTCAGCAGCTTCTGCTTCAGCTCGTCTTCATCACCGCTCAGTGCATATCCCCTGTTTCGAAGCACCTGGACCCTTGAAGCCAGAACAAGACAGCGCTTGCTTAGCTCGGCATGCCTTCTCCGCGCGTTGAAGGCGCGCACCGTGTGCTCAAGGTCGTGGCGCGAAAGTATTGCGTCTAGGCTGGAGTTTATGGCGTGCAATTTGTTGTTGAACTCAGTGATGACCCGCCGCTGGAGCACCAGTCGCGCAATAATCGACGGGAAGCCGGCGCAGAGCACGGGGATGAAGTTGGGAGCCGGCTTGTGCTGCAGCGCTTCCTCCCACTCTTTCGGGTCCTCGTTCGGCCCAGGCCCGTACAGCGGTACTGTGTGCTCGTCGACCTTGTTGTAGAGGTAAGTCTTGAAGGCGCAGTTAGGATTTGTCGGGTCCCATTTCTCCGTGATTAGCTTAATTTGCTCGGGGATAGGCTTCTGGTCTAGCAAAGGCGGCGCAGAGCGCAAGTTAGCAGAGAGCATCGCGAGATTGGGCGACACAGGAAGGAGTCGCAATGCGGATGACAAGGTGTAAACATACAACCAGAGTGGGTTTGCGGCTGCCATAATGACCCGATCGGCTGCGGGTTGGAAGTCGCTTGCGACTGGCCGAGAGCATGTTGTTGTTGTTGTTGCTGCTGCTGTTGTTGCTGCTGCTGCTGCTGTTGCTGTTGTTGTGGCTAGATATTTGCGGTCAGAGACTCCACTCCAGTTGGCGGCGAAGCGCAGGTAGCATACATTGGTTGATTGGCCAAACAAACTGCTTCCGCCGCCGCCAAACACAGATTGACCCGCGGGGCGGGTGGTGGTTGAGAACATGACGGTTTGTTTACTACCGTGGTGGTCGCGTGGATGGGCGGAGTAGAGGCAGAGGAAGAGACCTGAAGAATCGCCAGCGCGTGGTCACGATTGGTAGTGACGGCGCGAGACCCTGCATGCGATAGTCTCCTTTGTTCGTTGATGAATGTTGCACAGGGACAGGAGCGAGGTGATGACGGCAATTACCTAGTAAGTTAGCCGTACCATCTACATGTAACTTCTGGTCGCAAAAGGTCCGTCGAGTCGTGTTGCTTGCAAGATGCAGCTTCGACAGCGTTTTGGTAGAAAATAAGGGCCCCACACTCGACGGCAGCATGGGCATGGCCCGGGCGCTACATCCCGCCAGCCAATGATGGCTGCTCTGGTGGACCCAGATGTCAAGAAGCCGAACCTCAGACGTGAAGGCATCAATTACCAACCAGCTCTAAATCCACGCACAGCTTCGCATTCCAACCAGGATTGCGAACCCCCTCTCTCAACATGGCAGCGCGGAAGCCGGTGTAAGCATTTCCTGCCGTCCAAAGGCCTTTAAAAGGCCAATTGGGTTGTATCCTCCCACTTCACTGGTAGTTTTTGCTGATGGAACCACAGCTTCAACCAGCACGTCCTCCTTGATACCACGCCGCTACCGGACACGCTTCCCAAGGTCAAGGAGATCGGCGCCAGCTCTGCCCCTCTTCTCTCAGCCTCTTTTTTCATCGGCGCACGATGCAGAGATTACAATGACGACTTTATGCAATGCAAGACACAGCACCCCGGTCAAGGTGAATTCGAGTGCTTGAAAGAGGGGCGGAGGGTGACCAGATGCGCGCGGAGTGTGTACGTACATCGCCTCCCTCTATGCGCCTCTCAGTTCTTCTCGCGGCGTCAAACTATCTGTGCTTCTTATTGGGGCAAAGATACTGATTCCTGCACTCTACAGACTCGAAGACATCAACAAGTCCTGTCTCGAGCAGTTCCGTGCCCACTGGCAATGCCTAGAGAATAATAACCAACAGCTTTGGCAATGCCGGCCAGCCGAGTGGAAGCTAAACAAGTGTGTCTACGAGAACCTGGTACGTGCTGCTGGAGTTTCTCTTGCTTTGTTTCCATACTGAACTTCCCTTCCAGAACCTAGAGAAGGTCATCCCCGATCAGCCCAAACAATCGACCCCTGTGCACTTAAGGACGAAGCAGATCTTTGCCCATAACTCCATTCCTCCTTGGGAGAAGCCATTTATTCCGGGGAAGTCTGATGCTGCGGAGGCGTCTTGAGCAATACTGCGACAGTGCACCCTGTCCAGTAGGGCGGAAACTTTGCCATCCACTACGCAATCCCCGCATCTTTACGAGTTGACAGTGCTGTATCAGATCTGTACATAGCAAACCAAGGAGAGGTAGACAGGCCCGTCCGGCTATACAGCGTCGGTTTTCGTTGCAGCTGTCAATTGCCCCATCCCTTTGTACCTTATCTTCGCTGGCGTATCGAAATCGCCATCTTTCCTCGTCCACCGAAAGCGTCGGTAGCCTTTGGCTTCTGACGGGTTGACCAGTTACTTGTCGTGGTACTGTGACAGGTTGCCGGTGACGGGGTTGACAGGCCACAGCTACCACGTCTTGAGAACGACCGTGTTAGGGAGGGATGCGAACGAAAAGCCGGCTTTGCTAGCCCGCTGGCAACAGTGGGCATGATACCTTGACGCATGTCACAAAGTTCACCTGTATGGCTGAGCTCATATGAAATATATTTCCAGGCAGAATACTACGGGAAAGAAGAGAAATGGGTGAATATAACATGAAGATCAGCTGCGGGTGCCAGTCGAAGGCCTACCCAACCTTGCGGCAAGCGGAGCTCTCTAACTTAAACGAATTCATAGCCGGATAGCAGGAGCGCCTGCTACTCGGCCACGGTAACCTCTGTGGTAAAGCTAACTTGGCATACCTCGGACGAAATCATGGCTTTATCCCTCGCCCTCCCCCTCCATGTCTGCGCTCCCTTGCCACCCCCGATCAAATGGTGTCAGTGGGGCCAGAGCTCTTTGAGTTCTTTATAGCTCTTAAGAGCTCCCACAGGCTCCCTGCAGCTCCCTACAGCTCTAAGGGCCTTACAACCCTTTGAGCTTCCTGCAGCTCTTTGCAGTTCTTTGCTCCAGTGATGGAAGCAAACAACCTCACCTCCAGGCCAGGCAAGCCTACATAGGTAGGCTTGCCTTCCAGAGCCTCTCTCTGGCCATTTCTTCTTTCCTCAGAGCAGTAGCAACAGAGCTTGTTCCACAAATGGACCTTTCGCCCCGATCCGCGTGAGTGTACCAACTCGTGGCAGCCGAGCCTACACGCCGGCCACACCTTCACCGCGAACATCGTGCTCAGCCATCCCAATTTGAAGCATGACCGTCTACCACAGCAAGTTAGTGGCCCTTGCTTCCCCTCAGGCACGATACTTGATCAGTCCACCATTTATTAGGAATTGCATTGCAGATCCCGTGGTTTCCTCTCATACGCTGACCGCCTGCTAGCATTACAGCTTCAAGTCATTCAAACGGTCACATTCACTCCGGCAATCCCCGCTACTGGCTGGGCTTGTCCCATTTTCACCAGGCAGTCGTGTGGGAGTCGACTGTTAGCAATTCCAACCCCGCAACAGCCATGGCTGACGACGATCCATCCGATGACTCCGATCCCTTTCTTTGGGATGAAAATAGAGTGGTGCAAGAATTCTGTACTACAAATAAATCTTGGACAGCGCCTTCGGCCAAGAAACTCTCAGATCCCGTCGCGCTTGAGGCCAAACTCCGTGACTGCGGGGTTGACGGACGGACACTGCTAACATATGGCGACGAATTTGGCTTCGACTCGCTCTGGCAAGCCTTAGAGGTGAAAATGTTTCCCGACCGGCTGTCCCTAAAAGCAGCCATTGCGCAATTCAGGAAGCGTAGCGCCGGCTATCATGAGTGGAAGAGGACCCAACAGCTAGCAGATAGCCCCTAGCGTCTCGCAACCGCAAGCCACGGATCAGACAGCAGGATTGCCGCTTGAGGGATGGGGCTCTTGCGAGCACACGACAACGCTAGATCTGCGCTCTTGTTCGCCTTTTTAGGCAGCATGTGTGATGTCTATTGTGCACTCTGAAGGCAGGAAAGTCGACCTATCTAGAAGGAACTCTGCAGCGAATCAGGCGATCTATTCCCTCATGGACCAAACGAGACACTCAACTCCGGATATCTCATTCGCGGTCAAGTCTTCGTGTAAGAATATCGGGTCGGTTCGTCGCATCTCAAAGGTAACACTCATCGACCTGTCATTACATGTGGGCTTCAAGACCAGAGACCAGCAATGTCGGACGAACAGGCCGTCCCGACTTCAGACGAGTCCGCTGACTGGTGTCGCTAAACTCAAATGGAGAGAGCCTCTCTGCCGGCTTTCAAACAGTTCTTGTTTAGCAAAGAGCATGAATTCAATGGCAATGGACTAGCAATGAGGCAAGCAGCGCTAGCCCAAGACCTACGGATCATTCACCTGTTAGGACGGTGGGCAGGATGGTGCTTGCGGACATTAAGCTGTTTCCTTGGTTAGGTAGATCTAGACACCTCATCGACTCACCGCAGGGACCGAAGCATTATAAGCCCTACATGCCGAGGAACTCTTGGACGAGATATTCCTCTTCAGCATAACTCATAACCACAAAGGAGGACCTCGATAATGAACAACTTATTCGCTGTGGGATATTCCCACCTTACAAACTTGACTTGAGTAGACGCAAAGGTAAGCTCGGTATTTCGTAAGGTACGAAGTCAGGAAGTCAAAAGAAGCTGGGGCCAACTTCAAAGCCCACCCGGGCCAACAAGGGTTCTTGTGATGCCAAGAGGCTCCGCTGCCAAGGCCAGATTTTCGGCTGGGAAACAATTTGAACAAGACCCCGCCAAATGTTAGTGCCGTTTCAGGATGACGCCTCGCTGCCATTGGCTATGAACTTTTGGACCTGGAGCAGGTGACACGCCATGGGGTAGAAACAGCATCCAAGTTAAAGGCAGGCAGGGCGCTTAAAGATGCTCAAGTTTCTCTCTTTACAAATACCTATGCCACCCTTAAGGATTAGAGCACTGATTCACCTTGGATATACGGAAAGACGGTGGGCGAAGGTCTGATACGGCATGGGTTGTCTGCAAACCTTCTGAGCCACCTTCCCTCTGCTCTTGTGACCTACTCTTCTAAGAAGCACACAAGACAATCGCTGTTATACTGCAGCGATAGCGATGACACTAACGAAGCGTTCTGGAAGTTCTGGGCTTAGGATTGGATGGTGGAACCTTCAAGATTTCGATTACGGAGTTGCACAGGGAGATCTTAAACCGAACTTACGGACCCTACGGTAGATCTGTTCGCCCTAAGAAATCTGGAACAAATGCATGCGGGACAAGGCCATCGCAATGTGTCGCACTTCGTACACATAGACTACCTTCACACAAAGGGAAGGTTAATCCAGACCATCCTCTTGCTGTAGGTTCCGTGTTTCCTATCCCGGCAGACCCTTTGGCTAGTTTTGGAGGCATTAACGTACTCACGAGATGTGGTGCAATCCGGATTCTGTATGTATGTACTTCCCGAGTCGTGCAAAGCTTACATGGTATTGAAGTTTACAAGAACATATGGAGTGGAAATCGATCGTCTTGCACGCAAAGATGCACTGAAATGGAAGTGGGCGAGGTGGGGTTGGTTTATGAACCCATCCCGGGCACATTGCTTTTCTGCAAGGCACAGCAACGCCATTGGACACATCGGACCCATGATGGCGCATGCACTCTCCAGGGGCCTGGGTCGCAGACAGAGATGGCATGCAAGTATCGAATCGAGAGCCGACAACAAACTCGCCTTACCCGGGTGTAGGAACTTGGGATGGATTTGTTGCTGTTCCTGCAATCTGGAGCCAATAAAACTGTTTGCGTGGTACTGCCTGAGGCGGCCGAGAAACCCCAGGCCGGAAGGTCAAGGCCAGATTAATTAGGACCACTGGCCATGACTTGCTGCTCGCCGACCAGCTGGTGCCCCAATGACTACCCACGGCGGTTGTCCAACTTGAAGTGAGGAACTAGTGCATTGCATGCACCATGAGCTCCATGATGTCTTAGCCGAGAGTCCGGAATCGAAGCATTACCTTACTATGTACAGAATTTTGTGTCTTCTCGGTCTCCTGTGACCAACGGCGGGGGGCGCGAAAATGCGCTGACGCCTCGTTGATTGCATTGCTGAGGATTCTCGCCCCCTTGCTCATTTTACGCCCTGTGCCAATTCCATTGTGGCGATTATGAGGCCAAGCATTGATGAAGGGGCTGCTTGGCCAGGAAAAGCCCAGTGTTGCTGGGATGTTAGCTCACTCTCTCTCCCTGCTTCAGATTGAGACCCACCTGCCCCGGGCTGCCAGGCAAGAACAAACTGCCTTGTTCATCGTCCCTTTCCCTTCTTTTTAACTTCACACCATCACCTCTTTTCTTGGGATTGCAGCGTCGCGGTCGACTTCTCCCAGCCTGCCCGGCTTTTCTTCGCCTCGCTTCCTTTTTGAAGTTTTTAACTTCAGTCCACTCCTTTACCATCTTACACGCCCACGTCTCTAACTTCACGGCGAAACCTGCCCCGAGTCGTAGCTTGTCCCCTTCACCCTTCCACTCCTTTAGAAATAACTCCCTCCTTTGGCATTCTTGACGCGGCGCTGTCACCTCTGTTCGGGCAACTCCTACGTTTCCTCGACGGACGTTACATCTTCGATCCCGGGTCTGGATCCCAAGCAAACAGCAGTGCTGCCTCCCAGCTGGCTCTGAATACACATCGACGCTCGACTCTAGTTTCACATTTTGAGGTACGTTGGCTAGTTTTATACAAGGGACCAAACGTGTCATGTGGTGGTCCTATATAGATCAGCTGCCCGAAGTCAAAGTCTACTTGCGGTTATACCAACAACTTGGTTTGTTCTCACTTTGCCCAAACCCATAAGATCGAGTTCAATGGATCACTCAAAATTGTCTTTGCCTTCTCCTTTGAGACTCGGAATCTGGACAATCCACAGGATTACCAGTGACATATTTCGGACTGCTGAATTACAAGTACATTTCAACTCCCCATTTAGGCAGCCACCAAGCCCTACCCACCATTCGTATCTTATACCGGCGTTAGATTCTTAAGACTGACTATGGAAGCAGATTTGAACTGCTCTCGAAAATGAAGTCGTCGGCGTTCCTCGCCGCCTGCGGCGCTGCCCTGGCCATTGCTAGCCCCATTCTCCAGGACCGACGCCTTTACGTCAAGACGGATGTTGTGGTTGAGTGGGTGACAGTCACGGTGACCGAGGGTGAGACCGCCACAGTGTTCCATCGTCCTAACCGTCGCCCGAGGCCGTCGACGACTACCTCTGAGGTTACGAGCAGCACGCCCGTAGCCCCTCCACCCCCACCTCCCGTCACCTCCACTACATCTATCCCTGAGCCCGTTGTTCAGCCCACTCCCGAGCCGACTCCCGAAACTACGGAGGTAGTTATCGAGTCAACTCCGGTTGTTGAGTCGGTGGCTCCTGTTGAGCCAACGTCCGAGGTCACCGTGCCAGTTTCCACCACGCAGCCCGAAGCTGCCCAGCCGTCAGACTACCAAAGCACGGCACTGTACTATCACAACGTTCATCGAGCCAACCACTCCGACGTCGGGCCCCTCACATGGAGCGACAAGCACGCCGAATATGCGAAGACTCTTGCTGAGAGATGTGTCTTTGCGCACGACACGTAAGTGCTCACTCCATAGACTCGAACTTAGGCAACACTGACAGTCCAAAAGGAGCATCGGCGGAGGTGGCTACGGCCAGAATCTTGCCATGTGGGGATCCACTGGGAATCCCGAGGCCGTCGGCGCCGCAAAGATGGTGGCCCAATCGGCCAGCGACATGTGGTACAACGGCGAAATCAACCTCTTCCCGGCAAGTGATTACGGCAAGGCGACCCCCGATATGAGCAACTTTCATGCTTGGGGTCATTACTCTCAGCTTGTCTGGAAGAGCACCCAGCAAGTGGGCTGCGCAACAGCCTTCTGCCCAGCGGGTACCCTGTACTCAACTATGGGGGCTTGGTACACTGTCTGCAACTACTACCCTGCTGGTATGCACCACGGCTCTCACTCATCCTTGTAGCCAATCTTGCTAACGTTGATTCAGGCAACATGGGCGGCGCATACGGGCAGAATGTTTTGCCGCCAGTGGGACAAGCGAGCATCTTCGCTGCCTGATCGCAAAACCTTAAGCCTAAGGAGCTATCATCGCTGCTAAGACGATGAAAAATGTCAGTCACAACGGCTGCCATCAAATTTCGCTTCTTGTGTGTATATACTTGTACACAGCCAGTTTTGCTCGCTGAGATCGAGTTCTGTTCGCTTCGTTTTTCCCTCTCCGTCCCGTGCGGGTAACACTTTCCACGTCATCCATGGCATCAAGGAAACAATATCAAATCTTTGTTGTCCAGCTGCTATGTCCTTGAAATTTGACAGCATTGCGGGCGGCGGCACATTCTCCTCCCGACAACAACATGAGGTTCAGGGGTTCAGCAAAAGTTACACTAGGATATCATGACGGACTACAGGACACTCAGATCACCTTCGATTCGTTGGCGCGGACAGATCCCTTGGCTCTGTCCGCGGCCCGTTTGTTGATTTACCTGAACAGCCATTACTTGTACAGATATCATTATCTTCAGATGCTCCGTCCCCCAGCTCTCAGGAGCTCGAGCAAGTTTCCATGGCGGAATCGAGCCCACCTGGCCCGTTATATCCTCGATATTTTGCTCCGAGGAAAACGCGCAAGCCTGAGAAGATCTTCATGTCTGGTTTTACAGCATACTTGGACTTGACTGTGACGAATGCAATGAAAAGGAATAAAACGATGACCAGATGAACTACTTTCAATGACGTGGTGACATGCCCATCCTAACGCCAATGGTAATGATAAGGACAATGCCAGGCCTGACCATTCTCTAGGGAGGACATGCAATGTCCCCAACCAGAAGTCTTCTTTTAATTAGTAGGAATCATCAGCCCTGTGAGGCCCGTTTTCACTGCCTTGCCTTGCTCAAGGACAATCTCACAAATGCCAAAACCGGCAGAACACTGGAAGCATTGAATACACATGTAAATCAGCAGCGCAGACGCTTGACTCTTCGGGACGACATTCCAACCTTGTCGTTGCGGAGTCTCTCACTTCAATTCCCCTTCGGATGCCATGAAGCATTACCGGCTCATTCAACAAGGGCCTCGAACCAAGGTGTTCACATATAGCTCTCGCACTATGTTCTGCTAGGACCAGACCTTTGTCCGTCAGTGTTGGACTTGGCAATTGTTAGTGCGGGGTGTGCTTTTGCAGCACGATTTGGGTACGAATGAACCTCAACCACAGTACTAAGATACCGGGCGCCAGGCCTACTCAGCGGAACCTGTTGCCCCAGAACATCAAGATTTGCTGGTCTACATAATGTACAAGACGGATTAGTCCCTTTGCCCCTAGGCCGGTATGTATTTCATCATTCTTTGGAAGCGGTGATCTTGGACCTCCGCTTGCCCATGTTCCGGACACGGGGGGTGACGACCCATTTGTTGACGTTGCTCTTCTTGCGGGTTTTGAAGCCACCCTTCGCCGGCTGACCCCAAGGGCTGACGGGATGCCGGTTACCCTTTGATTTGCCACGGCCACCACCGTGGGGATGGTCATCTAGGTACTATAGTCAGCGGCCGAGCCGACGGGCTATAAATGGGCATGGGCAGGAGTATAGAGGGAAAGTCGACGTACTCGCATTCATGGCGACACCTCTCACGGTGGGCCGGATGTTCAGCCACCGGCTTCTTCCGGCCTTGCCCAGCTGCCTGTGTTGATGCATGATATTGCTGGCGACACCAATGGTTGCACAGGCATCTTTGCTGACCTTGCGGATTTCACCGCTTTGCAACCGCACAGTGACGAATTTGCCCGTCATGACCTTGATACCGTCCTCGCGCGTCTCTTCCTCCTTGGCCACCACGGTTGCGTAGGTTCCCGCACTGCGGCAGAACACGGCAGGGCCGTCTGGCCGGGACCCGACGTTGAAGATGACGGTGCCGACGGGAATCATGTGCATCGGCAGGCAGTTGCCTCTCCAGGCCGTCCGTGCCGCCAGAATGCCGGGATCCACGACACCACCCATGCTGTCGAGCAGCTCCTGCGGGATGCCGGACCGGTAGCTCTGCACCACGTCCCCAGCCCGCATACCCTCGGGCGCCAAGATGTAGCTCTTCTTGCCCGTTGCTTGCTCCGTCACCAGGGCGATGTGGGCGCTCCGGCCAGGGTCGTACTCGATGCGCTCGACGAGGTGCGGCCCGGGCGCCCAACGGTGGAAGTCGACGGTACGGATCCTCCGCTTGGCGCCACCACCACGATGCCGGACGGTGATGCGGCCGCTGTTGTTTCTGCCGCCTTTCCCCTGGCCCTTCTTGGGGATGGTCAGCGGCAGATACGGCCTACCCTTCCACAAGTGGTCGTTGATGGGCCGTTTGAGATGCCGTGTGCCGGGCGTCCGTGGTTTGTAGGTCCGCATCATGACCTGCTCGATCTCGGTCGACGGCGCGCCGAAGATGGGGGTGTCGTCAGCGGACGGGTCTTTAGCATTGCTATTGCTTTGCACCTGCGTGGTCGCATAGCTTCTTGTAATGCCGAGGCGAGGGACACTCTGACAGAGCGAAACGGTCCCGGCGAACAGAGGCCGGAGCCGTGGTTGCAACATGGTGAAAGACGGTCCCTATAGGAGCATAAAGCTCAACTGGAACCGAGGGAAAACAAGTACCGACGAGACGTCAACACCGGGACATTGAAGCAATACTGATGTCCGGCTAACTTTTCAAGAGCATCAATCGGCCGACTGGCTGTGTTGGGCGTCGGCAGGGCTCGCGGTGGCCGTGGATCGACTGTAATTCGGTCTGTTGCCCGCCAACCTTTGGAGTTTTGCGACTCGGGAAATTTGCTCTGAACATGCCTCAAAGCCGGCTTGCTCCGTGCACCAGCAGATGTTGAGCTCCAGTACGTACCTTACAGGTGTGGCTGGTGAATTGGGGCTGGGCCTCAGAGCACGGTGCCACAATCTCGCTGAGCTCCACACCAGCGCGTGAAAAACGCGGTTGTTCTGGAGCCAGGGGTTCATGACGGCTCACCCGGCTATGCGCCAATCAAACGAGCCGTTGCCCCGCGGTTGCTACTGTTGACTGTGGGTGCCGGGATGAAGGCACGGTACGACTCGTGTGGGGCAGTCTCAGTCGCGCGTGCCTGCTCGTTCAAAGTACCTCCACCTACTTGACTGTACCTCTGACCTGCTTCAAAAACACAACCTCGACCTCCTGCCATCCACAACTCTGCTCTTCCACCACTTTAGTAAACAGAGATTGACCGATCCTGATTTCTTCCAGCACATTTCTACAGGTGCTTAAGCATTCAAGAATACTTCACGCAACACCTTCTCCAGATTGTGTTGTTGTGAACGCGCAAATTTCCCAGCAACGTTAACTCAGGTTGCTACAGCGCCTAGCACGCTAGCGTTGACTAGTACCAGGTACTTGTTGCCAGCCCAGCGCGACTGATTTTGAGACCTGGTAAGTCCCACACGTCTTCTTACTTCACTCGCGAAACCCTCGAGCTCCATCAACCTCCACCATCACTTCATAAAAACAAGAGAGCTCCCACGCACACCAGCAATCCTTTGTCCAGAGCACCACGCCCTCAAGCACAACACCGTCCCCCAGTATCGGCATCCTCAATTGTCAGCACGGGGTTGTTATCACGATCACTGGATTCTGCATGGTCAAATAACGCGTCACGGCTCGAGCCTTTAACTCCCAACAATTGACATCGTTCGGCATCAGGTCCCGAATTTCGGCATTCAATTTCAGCAGTCCCATCCGGAGAAACACGACATAGTTCGCGTCGTCTCTTAGTTCCGCGAATCATTGGTAAGCGCAGCTCGTTCATATTCCTCACCTTCCCGCCCGAGGTTCGGTTGAGGGAGATGTAATCTGGCTAAGCACCTCGATCCGTCAACCCGGTACCCAAGGCTAACGTGCTATAGTTTTGCCAAACATTCGTTTGTGCTCTTGCTACCCATTAGAGAGGTACAATGCCGGTAGGTGCCGCCGCCCAAGATATGCTTGACGCGACTTGTGGTCGGAACCTAGACGATTCTGACGCGACTTACAGAAAACAAGAGCTTTGCGTTCGGCAACGAACGAAAATGACGAGAACCTCAATGTTCCGACGCGTGTTACCCGCGCAAAGTCGGCTGCCAACCTGAATGTTGACGAGCTCGCGATGCCCTCCAAGGCTCTTCAGTCAAAAAAGACCGTTGCCAATGCCAACCCGACGCGGAGACGCGCCGCTCTTGACGATGTCAGCAATGTTACCAAAGTTGAGGCTGTAGACGGCGGCAAGAAGCCGCTCACCAAGCCTGGTCTGGTCTCCAAGGCCACCCACCCGATTCAGAAGAGAGCCACCACCCGGCAGGCCCTAACATCCAAGGAAGTCAACAAGAAAGTGGAGACGAAGCGTTCGAACCCCGGCTCTGTTGGACAGAAGCGTAAGGTCTCAGCTTCAGCTGTCACCACTTCGGTCAAAGAAGACACGCCTGAGGACGGCGAGCCCATTCGCAAGAAGGTCCACAGGCTCGGTGCCGACATCAAGCCTAAGGCCTCAGCTGAGGCCAAGGAGACCAAGGCTGACGAGCCTTCCCGCGATGAAGTTGTCCCAGCACCCGAGTTCAATTACCCTACTGAGCGTCCCCTGTCCGACAACATCAAGGCTCTGGAATCCGAAGACCTTGATGACCCCCTCATGGTTGCCGAATATGCCAATGATATCTTCGAGTATCTCCGGGACCTTGAATGCACTTCAGTGCCCAACCCTCAGTACATGTCGCACCAGGACGACCTTGAGTGGAAGACTCGGGGCATCCTGATTGATTGGCTCGTTGAGGTCCATACCCGATTCCATCTTCTTCCGGAGACGCTGTTCCTTGCTGTCAACATTGTCGATCGCTTTCTCTCTGAAAAGGTCGTTCAGCTGGATCGTCTGCAGCTCGTCGGCATCACAGCCATGTTCATCGCCTCCAAGTATGAGGAGGTTCTCTCCCCCCATATTGCAAATTTCCGTCACATTGCCGATGATGGCTTCAGCGAGGCTGAGATACTGAGTGCTGAGCGATTCATTTTGGCCACTCTAAATTACGATCTCAGCTACCCGAACCCCATGAATTTCCTCCGCCGCATCTCCAAGGCGGACAACTATGACATCCAGTCGCGTACCATGGGGAAGTACTTGATGGAGATTAGCCTCTTGGACCACCGCCTCATGGCCTACCGCCCAAGCCACGTTGCCGCCGCGGCTATGTACCTTGCGCGGATGATTCTTGGTCGCGGTGAATGGGTAAGGGAATCTTTGACCCGGTACAGCTTGTTTGACTTTGCACTAAGTCTCGATGCAGGACGAGACCCTTGAGTACTATGCTGGGTACACGGAGGAGGAGATCACCCCAGTCTTTGAGTTGATGGTTGACTACCTGGCCCGTCCCATCATCCACGAAGCCTTCTTCAAGAAGTATGCCAGCAAAAAGTTCTTGAAAGGTAAGTGCTACTCATCCTCCATCATATGGTCAGTGCCTTTTCATGCCAGACATTCTAACGGTCGCATGCAGCGTCCATCATGGCACGTCAATGGGCAAAGAAGAATGCACAGTTGTACAACATCACCGATGTTGACCTCTCCCTCGACGATATCTCATCACAATAGAGGATCCTGCACTTGTTACGACACATTACATACGGAGCGCCACACCTCTAGTCTTTGTGTCAGGATACACAGTGTGTGGTTGGATTCGCCGCCTTGACGACACCTGATGATTACCCAATAACGATGCATCCTGTCTCCATCTCGGAGACTAGGCCAAATTCTTTCTCAGCATCTTCATCTTCGACAAAGCATATCCTCTGAGGGTTAGGGAGCGTCCATGGCGTCGATACCAGGTGTCTGGGAACTGTCGGGTTTTTGTTGGTTCTTTTTCTCGTGGCTTTTCATCTTATCCCCCATTGCTTTGAGCTATCACGGCGGGCGCTAGGTGTCTACAGGCAGAGATGGGTCGGTGTTTGGGCGGATGTACTTTTCATGACCCCCCATGTTGGGCATTTCGCTTTCTCGAGGGCTTTCGCAAGCGCTCCTTCTTTGGGCTCTGATGCCGCTGTCCCGCAGCTGGGGGCGCCTTTGGGTGGGAACCGCTGCTTTGTTATTGCATTAATATGGGATGGTTTGCTGGGGGCAATTGTGGGAGGCATTGGGAAACGGGAGGGTCTGGGGGGGCGAGAGAGCAAAAACTTGTCGGAGTAGAATCTGCTATTGTGGCTGTCTGTCTGTTGGTCTGTCCTTTCCTGGGAGAGGACGGACGAAGGCGGCCTCAGCAGAGTTGTACATACTACCATTGTCGGTCTATGAGTGTCTAGCGGTATTTAGGCATCGGAATGGGAAAGCATCGCATTGTTCTGTCACGCTTTGTCCTGGCTGGCTCAGTGGATTGCAGCGTGCTTGCTCATGTACAAGCAAGCACGTGGACTGCTGACCATTGACTTGGGTATTGTTTCCCAAGGCAAAAGGATCATTCATGAAGGCTGTGGATGGAGAAATGGACATGAAGACATTCACGTCGCGATGGCAAGGTCAAGCCACTTGGGTATGGAGTTGTTAACAGACCTGTGAGTCTTTAAGCTGTTCAATTATGATCAATCTATACATACCGGGACCCCTGCGTCCTTCAGCCTCCTCCGCCATCAGTTTCTCTTGGTCCCGTCCAGAGCCAACGAGCCAGTTTTTGGCCTCATCTGCGCCCTCATGATGTTGTAGGTGATCCGTCTATAAGCATGATTCGGAGGCCCACATGTGGTGTATGTGTGTACGTGTGTAGGCGAGCAAAGACGACGAAAGGGAGGCACAAACCCAGAGGATTCCTTCCCCGGAGACGGTTGGCTTTGGTCTATATTCTGTCCTGTCTCATGGTTCCATACTTACCTGAACATTACATAGGTATCTCTGTTGTACATACAGTATTGGGGCTTGTCTTGACTTTGTTTGTTTATTATCCACTGTATGTACATGACAGCAAAATGCTGTCCTAATGCTGGTCGTGAGCCTGACTTGAGTGATCCATGGCTGGGGCGTCTTCATGTTGGGCAATTCTTTCAAATATTTACAGAGATTTTCCCCTTTACCGTTTTCCCCTCCATCACGTCCCAGACCCAGTCCTCATCGCGATACCATTCTCAACCCCTGGTAATGGAATGTTTGGCTTGGTCTGCTTCGGGCTGGACCATAGCAAGCAAACAACAAAACCATTGGGGTGATGAGTGCACGGGGTAGTCAGACTTATACAGACCTGACGTGCGTTTCTCATCCAATCAACCTCCGGATCTCGACTCCAGACTCCAAGAATCCAGCCTCCCGACTCCTTCCACGGTAGCAGCAGATCCGTTATACACGTAGCCCCCTGGCCGATCCCTTCGATGAGACAGCATGAAAGCGGAGGTATTATGAAGTAGGAAATGGTCAAACAGCCGACTGCCAATGCCAAACTTGAGTCGTATGGTGCAGGGTGTGATTATTACATGTGACGCCAGAAACATCAAATACATGAAGAAAAGGTTGTGGGCTGCTGGCAGTTATGCGCATGTGATTATTGTTGGTTCCTCCCGCCACCTCCGTCCCCTTTGTAATCCCTCAAAACCCGGCGCCAACAGCAATGCATCGTGTCGGCTGATGTTGAAATGCCCTCGTTGTTGTAGTAGTGGTACCGCCCATGACGTTGGAGGAAGAGGAGTCGACAACAAAGACATTGCCTACTGCGTCCCGGCAGGAACGCTTGATCTGGCGCATGGTCTGGCGGGCGGCCCTGGCCTTGGCGACGATGAGGTGCTTGAAGAGGAGGGCGCGGCGTAACCTTTTCCGCTGCTGCTGGATGTCGCTGGGGAAGTAGGTCGGGATGAGGGAGATGTCGGAGATGATGGACATGTCGTCGTCCATCACGGGTAGGTTGTCATGGCTCGTGTTTTTGGTATCGCTGAGATGCTGCCTCTTTGGCTGGCGCTTGGGCGCGTGCCAGAAGGGCATGTTCATGCTTTCCATCATGTCGTCGTCGCCGTCGCCGTCGGCAGCTTCCTCCTCCGCCCTGAGAGTGGCGTCGTCACTGTTGAAAGAGTGACGAACGGGCTCCGGGACGATGTATAAACGAGCGTTAAGCGGTTTGGCGACACTGGTTCTCTCGTCATGTGATGCCATCGTCGACATTTGAACTGACCGACCGACCGCGATGCACTGGGCGTCGTCAAACTTGATATTCTCAGCGTCCAGCTTATCGGTGCTGTCAAAAAAGATGTCAGAATCACCGTCAGTCAACCTAGTGCGAAATGAGCAAGGCTCTTCTCGCGGACGAGGTCCCCTGGTTCCAACCGGCGAGGACGGGCGGTTTCGCAGCGCCACCAACCCCTCCATCGTCCCCGGCTGGTATTCCTTCTCCCGCAGAATGCGGTTGGAGAGCGTGTGATTGGGTGATCCTCTTAGCAACTTGGGGAAAGATATGAAAGAGAGCATTTGTGCTGTCGAGGCGACAGTGGTGAGGGCTGTGATTCTGACCTGTTAGCTCGTTGTTGGCTTGCTGGCTCGTAGTTCCCAACAATTTCACAACCGAGTAGAAAATAGGATTCCTGAGCTGAGTGAAAGTAAAGCGAAAAAAAAGAGGTACGAGAGCTCGGCAGGTTGATGTAGGTTTGTTTGAGTTGAGGCGGCAAGAAGAAAACGGGGTGAGGTTTAAATAGGGGTCACGCCGGCGCCGAGCAAGCACGCATCGCTTTTGAGTGTTTATGCAAAACCCTCGATGACTTCCATCAAGCCTGGGTGTTCACTGGAACAGATTCGCTGCTTCGTCAAACTTTGGGACGAAAGAGTGCCAACAAAGCCCTATGTAAGTCATTCACCCAACATTGGAGAACACGGAGAAGTACTGAGCAGTAGCACAAGACCTGCTACCACAAACACAGAACAGCTAGAGAGTGCTTTGAAGGGAAACAATGGACGGTGAGATCTGGACACACCAAGGGAAATATGCTTGATCCCGCCAAGTGCCCCAGACTCACAGTCTCTCTTAGACACCTGTCCCAGCCGACCAACGTTGATAACCCCGGTAATCTCTTACCTCTCAAGAGATGGACTCTCGGCAGCCGTTTTCTCTGCTCATGTCCAAGTCGCCCCACCCCGAGCTTCTTCACCACCATCAACGCCTGCCGAGGGTCGCGGCATGGAGGTCGATGTCGCCGGGTGAGATGAGGTAGTGCCGGTGACAGGAGGCCGGAAAACTGTGGGCCGGCAACTTTGTGCTTGGCCCCATTCTCGTCGTCGTCATTGTTGGTTTCCATAATTTCTGACTGAGAGTTTGGCTGGAGATGGACAGAGGGCGGTTGAGGCAGGTGTCATGCCCCAGAGTCCTGTACGAGTAGGAGGTTACAGGGAGGAGCAAGGCGAAAGGTTGACCATGGCCGGGCTGGCCTCTTTGCTTTAAACCTTAAGAGCAGCAAAGACAAGGCCAACTCCGGCTAACAACGGGCATCGAATTGCTGTGCGTGCTAGCGGCCTGAGCTCCCGCGCTACTAACAAGCCATGTGCGTGCGTGCGTGCGTGTTTGGTCCATTTCGGTGCCCGACAGAGAACAGATGAAGATTATATCAGCATGTGCTTCTCACGTATATGCGCCGACTGAAAGTCCCTTGTTCTGTCGACCGTTGTGTCCACACAGCTGGCCATGTTGCGGCTTTGCCTGCGTCACACACGGTTATCATGTCGAATCAACAAACAGGGCTTTCAGCTTTCAAGTGACGTGGCTTGGCGAAATGGGCCACGACAATATCGACACATGTCCCTTTGTGGCAACTGGCAAGGCTGAGAGGTTGGACTGCTGGACCGTTGGACGTCGGTGCTATGATTCCGAGCCGTCGGTATGAGTGGGAGACTAAAGTCCGATTAGTCTAAATAAGTGCCGGTGCGGTGCTTTGTAAGGTATGTACGTTCAACCGACAGCTGAGGTACTCAGAGTGTGCCCAAAGGTAACACCACATACTGCAATAGCCTGTAATGTAAGGCACAAGTATGCATAACACATGCAAGTGCATACACCTCATGCAGTATCGCTGCCTCTTTGTGTATCCATGAAGGGGATGTCTTGATTAGCACGCGCCAGTCTATTCACAGCCATCAAGACCCGTGCCTCGAATTGAGCCAGAACAACTGTCTTCTTTGTGCTAGCTACATAAGGTACTGAGATATCTCAAGTTTGGGTAAAAGAGGTGTCATTACCGCATGCTTCATTGAATTTCTTGCGTTCCGAAACCCCAGACACCTCAAAGCCGGTCCCGCAAACGCCGTGTACCGAAAACCACCGGATAATAACCCTTCGCCCGCGGCCTGAATCATGACCCTGCAATCCGCCTCGGGAAGAATAAGAAGAATTAAAATGTAAAATGTTTGTTTCTTGAAGGACCCTCAACCAGGGTAGTCGACAGCCGACATCACCCATAACCCCAAGTCCAGAGTGTCGTCTCGACTTAGAGAAACGAGGTCATGCGCTCCTCAAGGCTACAAAAGGTAGCCGCGGGCCTCGGCTCCAGGATGCTGCTGTGCAGAGACAGGTCGAGGTCGTCCTCGTCGGCCGACTCCAGCCTCGTCGACTTTTGGTGACGGAGCACAATGCTGTTGATGGTGCTGATGGGCGAGCTCGTCTGCGAGTACTGCGACGCGAACGAATCCGCCCTCTCGCTGCGGCATCCGCCGCTGCTGGCCCTCGAGGATGCTGACGACGCCGAAGACGACCTCCGGAACGAGGTGCGCAGCTTCTGCGGCGAGAAGCGGGCCGTGATGGACTGGAAGCGTGGAGAGTGCATATTTGTCGTGGGTATATATGCTTGCTTGAGCGTGGATATGTCTAATATCGTATGACTAAACGAGTCTTTTCTTTATAAAGGGCGAGGCACAGCCTGAGAAGAGAAGAAGTGATTTGTGGGTTTAGGTGAACCGGTCTGAAGTGAGCGAAGGACAGGTTGACGAAGCGACAGGCTCGGTATCGTGGAAAGACAGGACGATCTGAGCCTAGCAGAGATCAAGTTGCGCTTCTATGGCGGCGTCAGCACCAGCACCGGGTTTGCAGGCCGAGCTTGAAGGCTGGGGGGAACGAACAGGAAGCCGATCAGTGGATGCCGAGACGGGTGTGAGTGCACCTTAAGTAAGCCCGGGTGCCAAAAAGCTCGCGTGTACTATCAAGGTAGTGTGTATTAAGTCGACGACGATACGAAGTAGCTTAAACGTTCAATACTGCCGAAAAGGACCCGCCAGGGGTTTTTCGCTTGTGTGTCCGCACGGCAGACAGGGGAAGGGGAGGGTTGATGAGTCGGAACCGTCTCGGACGGAAGCTGCAAGGGGATCAAAACAAGGGCACGAGCAGGCACAGCCCAGCTGTGAAAGGGTGGATGGACGGGTGAAGGAGCGATTGAACCACGGATGTGGTGCAGTGCATCCGTCATGCGTTTCCAGGATGGAAGGGGAAACGCATTGTCTTAAAGCAACCATCAACCGTCAGCAGTCGTCGCTTGCATCCGAGGAAGGAAGCCATCGCCCTGTCGGTTTGCACCGCCGTCAATGCGATCGCCAGTGCATCCCACCGCCCCAAGTCGCGCATCAATCTTGCCGAGACAAGGGATTCTCCAATACACTAGGGTAGAATGTAGCAATGTGGCTGCACTTCTCCCGTCTGGGGTAGTTGAGCAGGCCACAGCAGCAGACACCACACCACCGTCATCTGAAGTTGAAGTGTTGATGATTTGAGGTCCAATGGCAATCCCGATCCCCAAACCCGCGATGTGCCTTTCGACTGGTATCGGCCCCACAGTTTGAGAGGGCCCGGGGACAAGTCAGTCATGAAACGGCCTGGAAAACCCGCACCTCCAACCCGAGGGCTTGGCCTGAAACAGAATCCACTGACCAGAGGTTGAGATGGGATGTGCCCCATAACCCGACGTTAGGCAGATTTCTCGCAGATTCTACAGATGTACAGATCCGCTCGCTCGTAAGAGTGATTGTGTCAATGTCTTTACGATAGAGTTAGAATGCCTCCTCTGCAAATCCTGACTTTCAGTCGATCGAACTGGGCTGGCCGAACCAAGGGGACAAGTTAGGTACATAGCTCTGTCGTGATTACCTAATACAGTGAACGACCCCTGGAACATGCTGTCTGATCGTCGTTACAGGAGGGGCTTTCCAGATCAGCCCCACTAACAGAACACCCGAGTGCTGCCGGAAATCTCCCCTGTCAGAGCCCCCGGCTTTGCTTGGCTTCGGGGTTTTGTGTGCATCAGGGGAGCCTCCTCTCGTCATTTCGTCAAGAAAAGCCTGAGCACGCCTGTTTCATGCCTCTAGGCTCAAGGGATGTGTGGGCATTCTCGACAGAGCATGTCTTTGTGCTGATCTTCTGGGACCTCGACGTGCTACGGACATCCCAACTGATGAAAGTGTACGGATACCGCTAATACTCACTCGTTAGGAAGAAACGCTAGAATCGGCGCTACTGCAGACACTCCTCCAACCGTTCAACGACAGCCAACCAAAGTACGCGTTGACCCACTTTGTATCGTCGTTGTCGAATTGAAACTGAGAGAGGATCTGGGAGCCAGAGAGAGCTTGGCAGAGCAGTCGCGCAGAATCCAGAGGTCGCTAGCTATAATAGGTTAGCGTTTCTTCCTAACGAGTGAGTATTGACGGTAACAATCGTTACTCTACCCATTTAAGTTGGTTGATACACACCTCACACCTCAAACAAGACACACACACGGCGCAGAAGTCATTCGTGTCCTGGATGCTCAACATCTACTCCAACACACCCATATATACACTACTAGCGAACATATTACTTTCCATGCACGTCATGTAGGAGACTGTCCTCACAAATGACATCAGTTGAGAGTCAAAACAGACCCAAATCCCTGGTATAGGTCTAGGTATTGTACATACATTACGGAGTACAGTAGACAAAATAGGGGGTGAAAACACTACGGAGTACAAGAGGCCCGAATCGTAGTAAAACCAACCACCACTTCTCCTCCCCACCACACCCTGCTTAGACCAAACACAAACATCAAGTAACTACTTTGCTAGTATCAATGCATTGGTGCCCGTCCATGCCTTTATCCTCGCTCATGACGCCAGAAATCCAAAGTATCAAACCACCAAAAACTCCATGGATGGTTTTGCCCTGTAGCCATGAAAGTGCAAATCCCCACTCCCCAGAAGTCAAAAATCATGCCACTGCCGTAGCATAGCATAGCCTAGCAATTGTACAGTAGTACACCAAGGTGAGTGATTCAATGAAACCATGTCACTTGAAACCCCCCGGAGAGGTGCCTCCCCATCCGCTCCTGCGCATGGTCCCGCTCCTCCGCATGGTCGCGCTGCGCCTAAGGCTCTCAACCCACACCGAGTCGTCCAGCATGTCCCTGACGACAGCCGCGTCAACTGCGCTGCCGCGGCGGTCCAGCGTCGCCGTGGCCTCGTCGTCGTTGGAGGAGGCTTCCTCCGGCAGAATCGGCGGTAGCTCGAAGCTAAAGGCGCTGATATGGTGGTTGCTACGGTGCTGGCTGGGCGCGGCCGGCGAAGCCGAGGCGGAAGAGGTCCGCGGCCCCGCAAGCGGGTGGCCGTACGAAGTATCGTACGACGAGAGGTCGGCGCCGGCGCCGAGGCCGAGGCCGGACCAGCTCTTGTGGTGGGGGCGCTGCTGCGAGCGGTGTAGACTGCTCGTCGGCGAGAGCAGGCTGCTGCCAGACTCGGTGGCGACGCCCGTTGTCGATTTGGCCCTCCCGCGACCCGCCGCCCGCTCCCGTTCTCTATCTTTCTGCTGCTGCTGCTGCTCCTCGCTGTTGTCCACTAGGATCTCGGGTACGTCCAGTTGCGGAATTGCCGTCATGCGCGCGGCCCGCTTGCTTTCCATGTGGCGCTTGAACTGCCGCGAGTAGTAGAGCATGTCAAAGAAGCCCAGCACGGTCCGCCGCCGAACCTCTTCCTCGACGCGCTGCAGCCGCAGCTTGCGACGCAGGAATTCCTCGAGCCTAGAACCCAACATGTTAGCAAGCCTGTGACTCTGAGGCAAAACTGGAAAGTACATACCGTAGACTCTTGTGGTCGTTGATGATGTTGTAGTGGGCCAAAATCATCAGCACCGTCGTGAACGAGATTCCCCGCTCCGGGTCAGCGGATACCATGACCTCTTCAAAAAAGATATTGAAGCGCCGCCGGCGCTCGCGGACCTTGGCAACATCAATCCTGGACAGGCGCTGGTTCAGCTTCTTCAGGTCAATGCCCGTCTGGAACTGGCTTCTGCTGAGAATTGAGGCGTGCCGAATGCTGGCCGCGTCTCCGTCACCACCGTCGTTGCGCACGTCTTCGAGGATCGTCCGCACCGAATCGTCAGCGTCGTAGATGCGCATCTCAAACACGCCAGAGAGCTCGCCCAACAGCCGGGGAAACGCCTCTTTGCTGATGAACCCGGTCCCAGACGGATCGACGCTGCGCCACGCCTCCTTGAACCGCCGGATCTCGTCCCGGTCGACCGCAGCCAGCCCGCTCGTGCGCTGGTACACGTACGAGAAACTCTCGTAGATGAGCGAGACGAACAAGCTGACGAACAGGTACATGCTGATGATGTTCCAAGCGACGAACAGGACCCTAGCCCACGCGGTGCTGCCGCAGTCACTCTTGTAGAACGTCTCACCCTCCACGCAGAACGGGGGCTTGATCTGGGCAAAATCTTCCATGATCTCGTTCCAGCCCTCTCCGCAGCTGAACCGGAAAAGCAAGATGAGTGCGTGCGGCACGGTGCGGAAATTTATGTTGGCATCTTCTCCCTGTCCGAACCGTGTGAGACTGAACGTCTGTGTCAGCGCGATGGCGAATACCAGGAAAAAGACAAGCCAGGTTGCAAGCAAGCTGCCAATCGTCGTCAGACTGGCCGCCGCCGTCTTGAAGAGCTGATCGAGCGCGTCGTTGCGCGGAATGAGTAGGAGTACGAGCGCGACCAGAAAGTACTTGTGCAATTGAATGTATGTGTTGTTCGTCCGGTTCGTCAGAAACACGATCGACGTGACCAATGTGCCAGTGACAGCAACCAGAGAAAACAGGTCCCACGAGCTCCTCCGGAACCGCGTCCAGCCAAGGCCGACGATACGCACGGCGATGTTTGCAATGTAGATGAGGGTAAAAACGAGGAAAAGCGAGTCCTTGACATGCGTCCACCAGGCCGGCTCATTGTAGAATTCGCTGAGAAGTAGAACCAGGTGAAAGACAAGAACACTCGTGATGGCCAGGTACCACTTGCCGCGCTTCTCGATTGCCCGCTTGTGGCACCACATCTTCCACTTGTTCTTGGATTCGTCGTATGCGCTTTTGGACGGGGAGATCTGGCGAAGTAGCTTCCGAAGCTCCAGCCAGGACCGCTGCTCGGCAGTTAAAAAAGCCACCCCAGTCTGTTCCGTATAATTCCTCATGAACACGGAGATGAACAAGGTGAGCACGAAGACGGTCGCGAGGAGATTGAACACGACGAAGAAGATGGCGTTTCCTTTGGCAGCGAAAGGCGGAGCCTCCTGCGGTTGGAGGCCTTTTCCAGTGATGGCCTGTGCAGCGAATGACACATCCACCCAACCCTCCTGGCTCACGATCTGGAAGAGGATGAAGAGGGATGACCCAAAGTCGTCAAAATTAAAGAAGGGATTCGATGCGACCCTCGGAGCCAACATCGGCCAGTCGTTGTTGTAAGGGGTGCTGTTGTACTCCCCGACACAGTCACTGAGGCTCACAATGCCCGCTCCGTCATTGCACGACGTCAACTTCCCGTTGAAGAGGTTGACGCCGTAAATAGCAAAGGGGATCAGCAAAGCCATGGAAACGAAGGCAGCCTGCGGGGTAAAGGTTAGCATACTCCCCGCTCATAGGGAAAACCAAGTAGAACTGGCTTCTTACACTCAGAATCTTCCAGCCGCCAACGATCAGAAGCGAGTGGAAGGTTTCCCTGGCACTGTCGCTGACGTTGAGGAGGCGCAGTGCCCTCAACGCCTTGAAGGCGCCAACGGCTCGGGACACTTCTCCGTCGTTGGTGAAGAGGGTGATGACATTGATCCAGAGAGTAATCAGAACGATAGCATCAATGATGCCCCATGTGCTCCGGAAGTAGGCGTTTGGCGTCCAGAGGAACCCATCGGCGATAATCTTGATGAGGGCCTCAAGCGTAAAAACAATCGCGAAAGCCAAGTCGGTCCAGACGAACCAGTTGAGTGTGCTGTAGCCGTTTTTGTCATAGTACTCCTTCTGGTACAGCGGCGTAGTCACGCAGGCGAGTACGACCATGGCGACGATGGCGGCGTAGATGAGGCACGAGAAAGTGTACCAGGCGGCCTTGTTGGGCGGAACGCCATCGAAGCGTTCGGTGCCCCGACCAGGGCCTACTAGCTTCTGACAAAGACGTCGAAGGCGGTTGCGGGGTTTGAAAATGAACAGGGAAACGTTGTAGTTTGGATGGCGCATTAGGTACTCGCGTTGTGCCTTGCGGCGAGCTGCGGAAGCACTGACGGCTTGGCGGGCCAAATCCCCGGGATCCAGCGCGGCACTCTGCATACCGAACCGAACGTTGGAGTAGAAGGGGTTTGGCTCCCGACCGTAAACGAGCGAAAGCACTTTCTCCCTTGCATAGGAGAGGAGCCCGTGCTTGCCGCCACTTTTTGCACCCGACTGTGACGGCGACTGGTTGCCCGATGTGTCCTCTTGGAGAGGATCCAGCGCCTCGTCCAAGAACTCGCGTACAAACCCCTCTTTGAAGAGCATGTCTATCATTCCGGTGGTCTGATCGACCGGGTCTCCTCGATAGCGGGATCTGCCAAAGCCGAAGACTTTGGACAAGGCAAGGTTAGAGGCGCCTCCTAGCTCCCTGCGCTGCAGAAACGCCTTAACCTGCTCCAAGCGCTTCGTGTCCTCTCCCACATCGAAGTTTTCCTGAATTACGGCAATGAACATGTTGATGAGAATGAAGTAGGACAGAATAAACCAGCCGATGATAAAGACGGCGCCCATCCAGGAAGTGCCGTAATTGCTGGTGTAGGCCGTGATGTTGTAGAGAATCTCGGTCCAGTTCTCGCTCGAAAGCACTTGGTACATGCCGAGGAAGGAGTTGTAGATGGTGTTGAAGGGAATCCTGATCCACTCGCCGTCTGCGTCCTCGGGCGGTATCTGGCCTCGAAACAATTGTGAGGCGAATATCGCCATGAGGAACGTGATCAGAAAGACAAAAAGCATTAGGTTTCCGATACCGGTCACGTTTCCCAATACAAGCTGAATCAATCTCCTCGTCATGGGCACGGCAAGGACAACGCGATACGCCCGGAGGATTTGGAAGATGGTAAGCCAATTATATGCATCTCCCGAGTTGCGGATCGGTGGAAGGAGAATGATTGTGGTGATGACGGCGAGGAAAAGGTCGAACAGGTTGCGGAAGTTGCGGTGGAACACTCGAAACTCTGTCAGAAGCCGTATGGCAATTTCAATATCCAGGAGAGCCGTGACCACAATCTCGGAAGCATTGATGAAGTCTTCCCTGTTGCTCTTCATGGTGGCGCTCCGTAGGGACTGACACAAAAGCCCGAACGTAATGATGATGATCCAGAACCAATAAGTCTTGCTGGCTATCCGCTGCAACGTCGACTTGCGCCGCTGGAGCTGGTCCACTTGTGGCCCGAAGACTGAATGGTCGTCGGCTGTGAAAGCGCTGGCCTTGGATTCTTCTCGGATGACTTGGAAGGATGAGGTGATGACGGCGATCAACAAGTTGGTCATCCACAGCATCATGATTATGATACCGGCGCCGAAAAACAGCGCAGCCGGCAGAAAATCGGAGCTCACAGTGTAGTACATCAAATCGGAAAATGTATTGGCACTCATGATGACGAAAACCAGCTCGAGGGAGTGCCCAATGTCGTCAAAGTTCACAGTGCCGTTGTACGGATTGTCCTGCTGGAGGCAGATGGAGCCTCGAGGGCATATGAAGCCCTTGGCACTCGGGGCCCCGGGAATGAGGAACTCAGGGGACAGATTCTTGCTCGGCGAGGACACCCAAGGGTCTCGCTTGCCCGTGGTATCGTTTATGTGGCCTCCACAAAATGACATACTTGGCGTGTAAGCAGCAGTGAAGTTAGTAGGATCCTGTGGGTCAAGCCAGGTGCACTGGCGGCTGAGGCTCGACTTGAAACTTTGCACCCCAATGATGGCAAAGATGAGCCAGAAGAAACCCATCAGGAACGAGACTCTGACGAGGAGCGGTGCCGACTTCTTGAGACTCCTGAGGATAATCTGCCATGTCCGGTTAGCATGTTGAGTTCGTATCTAAACCAAGAGAATCCAGTTAACTTACAAGATTACCTTTTGTGAGGGCAAGCAGTCGGATAATACGGAGGCAGCTGAGCATGCGGAACACATATATGGAGTGCCTGCTCTCCCAACCGGCAAGAGAAAGGATGAAGGACAGCCAGAAGGATACAACGGCGATGAAGTCCAACCGGTTGAAGCCGTGACGCAGAAATGCCCTACGTGCAAGATGGAGCCGCTGCTGTTCCTCCAGCGTGCCTGGGCCGCCAAGGCCTTGCATCATGGTGAATGATCTCGCGAACGTGGTGGGCACAAACTGGTTTTCCTGCCGCGGTTGTCGGACCGATTTCTGTCGTTGCGGCCTAAAGATTGCGTGGTACTGCTCAGCCACCCGTTCTCTAATCCGACGCTTGCTTTGGGCTGGTGCGTAGTCCTCAGCGTTAATAATGAAGCCGGACACTATGATCCTTGCTATGATTTCAAGGGTGAACACGATAAAAAGGCCGAGGATGGCCCAGTCGATCCGAGTGCCGCCCCAGCGTTCTGGTCTCTCGTTCCCAGGGTCGAAGACATCTGGCGCGGCCTCAACAGCCAGGAGCACGGTCTGGGCAACGATGAGCAATAAAATGAAGGGCTCTGTCCAGGGGTTGACCAGGATATCGCAAAGCCATTTCCTCAATGGGCTATCTGGAGGGAATATCCCCAGAGATTTTCCCCTCAGGGGGTTCGGAAGGCGCCCAGACCGACGAGGCGTAGGAACGGGGAGCTCCGAGGGATCAGGGCCCTTCTCTGGTGGCAGCTGAGTCTGTGAAGGGTAGGAAGTGTCCACAAGCACCGGCCCGGAAAGAAGACTAGGTCGACGTCCATCGATACTAGGCGAGCGTGATCGGTCCCGGCGGACTGCTTGGTCAACGAGGTCGCCCTCTCCACTAATCATGACTACCCGTTGGGACATGGCCCTCATAATGGTGCCCGCCCGGTGCAAGGCACCGCTTGTCGATGGAGACCGGGGCCGGCGGCCGTCTGTCGGCGAGAGCGTGTCCCCGTAGCTGCGATGGCGGTCCGACAATCCCGGCTCCAAGTCAAAACCGAGCATCTGCGTATTCCGCGACTGAGAAGGCGTATTGCCTAGGTCCGAGATGGTCTGAAAACTGTTACGGGGTGTCGCCTCGCCCTCAGGCGGCTCTAGGCGGCTGATGGGCTGAGCTGCCGGTTTCAGGGGTACACTATCCGACTCCATGGAATCCGAATCAGTCCGTTCCTCGTAATCTGTTTGAGGGGCACCGTATGGATCATCGGGCGAGATCATGTACTGAGGAGCCGAGGAGGATATCGGCTGCTGGCCAATGTCTGGGGGAAGGGCGAACTGCAACGCCATGTGGTCAATGGGCGAGACGTCGCCGCTGGTGCCACCGGCATCGTTTCCGGGCAGGTACGGGTTCTCCCAGTAGGACGAGAAGCCCGGAAGGTTGGCTGACATGGCGATTGGCGATGGTGCCTCTCCGGATCCCCCATGGGCCGTCCCGCCGCTACCGAGGCCGCCTCCATGGCCCGCATTAGCAGGGTCCTCGCGTGAGCGCTGGAGTTCTTGCAGGGGAATGGACTGCGGAGAAGGCGCCGAGGTAGGAGGGGCTCGGCGGGGAGACAGCGGCTCGTTGTTATTCATGTTGGCGCGTATGGCAGCGGACACCGGCTCGAGGGCTTGTTCTTCCAGATCGCGATCGCAATGGCCGTCGTAGTCGTACTCGCACTCGCACCCGCACCCGCAGACAAACTCGACTCAGTCGGCGCGCCAACACGCCAACACATTCGAAGCGAGTGCTAGCCAAGCCGTAACCTAGGCATCATCACTGGCCCCGGAAGAGGGCAAGGCGAGAGGGCCTAGAGCATGCGTGGTCAAGAATCGGCTCCGCTCGCTGTTCGGTCTGTGGGTTTTCCTTGGTTTTGTTGAATTGGTGCTTCTATCAAAGCCCTTCGTAAGCGTGCAAGGCTGACTTAGCCTCAGAATCCGGAACAACAAAAAATGAAATAGAATAAAAAGGTAAAGATCTGATGTTTGCCTTGGAAAGGGACGACGACAGGCTACCAAGTTTGGTCAATGTGACTGCGCCGCAGATACGGATCCAGATAAGTTATTGGGAAGCTCCAGGTTACAGCGGCTTCCTTCAGCCCATCCTAATTTGGAAAGCTGAATACGGATGCAGTGCAGTGGCTCGAGTGGGTATGTATGAGGAACTGCCACTACGCACACAGTATACGGATAATGGCGCACTGTAATCCCGAACTGAAGCTTGGTAGATGGTATCAACCGGTAAATGCCTTACAAAAAGATGTTCCGCCGAATCAGAGCTGCAGCTGGCAGCTGATTCTAGGAATAGAGATTTGGTACCGGTATTGGATGTGCTTTGCGGCACTACGTGTGTTCTTCTCGTTACACTGTCATGGCGTGAGATTTGGACGATACTATTAAGGATACGAGATGTAGTGAGTCCATACCTAGGTGGGGGTTGAATCTTTAGTTCATGCTAGGTAACAGACGTTGGCTCTCTGGACCGTCGGGTGTCAACTCCAAAACGGCCTCGAGGAGAGAGGTACTACAGGTATTAGTTAAAGGCCCCACTTTCACATCTGAAACGCTTTCATCAGCAGTCTGCAGTGCAGCAGGTGCTAGTCTCGTCCATGCACACTGTTCTCCCCTTTCCCCTGAGCCATGCCGACGGCTACGCTTGTGCTTGGCTAATCGTTATCCAGCAACTCGGTACGGTATGGTGACTATTGATCAGCCCTCTACTGTAGTAAATCCCCAACTTGAGAGACCGAATGAATGCCCGGGGTTTTCCACAATCAAGTTGTCGCCTGCATGTGTATTAGCTTTACTTCGTAGTCAAAAGGTTTATACCTTGATAAGGTTTATACCTTGATATTTCATTTGCATGTATTTGGGTGACTAATGATTGGCATTAAAAGTATCAACAGTAATTGAGAACGGAGGAGATTTACAAAATTACTTAGTGTTAGATGCAAATTATGCAGGTATATAGTACTGTACCTTATCCACACTGCCTCAGTATATGAATCTATGACCCTTAGGATCACTGCTTACTTGCATTCTCAGTCACGCTGCAGGGCTGAATGGAGCACAGGCCGGTCGCGTCACTAGCCGCGCCGCGCTTTTAGCTTGACCTTTTGGAATTTTGATTGATGGACCAACACGCGCCATCTATTGCTGTCCCGTCATAAGTCCATTTCCTGTCCGACCCTTTGCAAAACCTCAAGTCAGCCAGCCTTGTCTTGCGCCTCTTCTTAATTCGCTCCATCTATACGGAATGATTACTGCTTGTGCGATGAGAGTCGGTACTACCAGCGCAATTTTGTCAATCCTCGCACCTGAAATCGCGACGTTGCACCCTTGAAATCCCCTTTGCTCGTACATCGCGAGAACAACACCAGGGTACAAAAAAGCAGCAGCCAAGATAAGATGCCCACAGCTCGCAAGCGCTCCTTGCAGGAGCTTGATCACGACAATGCTCAAAAGCCAAAACAACCATCCCTGTTGCATCGTATCAGGAATATGTGGCAATTCGCCAACCTCTACCAGTTCATCTGCCTCTTCGGGAAAGCTCTCAAGCTCGACGACAACCTGGACATCGAGGTGCCTACTACCCCTCCTCGTGCGATTCCCTTGCCAAACGAGTCGCATTTACTCACCTGCAAGTTGCAACAGGATCTGGAAGCAGAATGCCTCAAGCCGGACTCGATGGCCCTGCAGGAAATCGGCCTGGGCTTCCTGAAATTTCTCTCTTCGCACCGCGGTCTAACGTATGTGCCTGCAACTGATCGCCCGTTGGTCGCTCAGCCCGCGCCAGTCTACTGACGTTGCATAGCCACGAGTTATTCGATGAATACACACGGAGGCAGTTCCTCAGCAAAGCCCCTGAGAAGAATCCGTTTGGATCTGCGGAAACACCAGCTAGATTCGCTGATTTCGACGTTTTCACCAAGGTACTCAGCCCAATTCTGCCCACTCTCAACCGAGCACCTGGACTGACACAGTTTCGCTTGGGCAGATTCGCGTGCTCCAACAGATGACACAGCTGATCATGATGAACCCGGAACGCCTACGAGAGAAGACGGAAGAACAGAAGGATATGGACCAGACGAACTGGGTACGTTCGCTGATTCAACCAGCACCACGCTGATTCGACGGACGCTAATCCTCCATAGCGAATCGAGCCCTATGGATGGGACCGGCACGATCGCACTTACTTTGTCCTAGATGACAATCGCTTATATCGCCTGAGTGACACCCCGCCTCCTCCCTCCAAGCCGAAGAAAAGCAGCAAGAAGGCCAGGGCGGCACAACGGGCCAGCAAAAGACGGCGGGTATCCTCTGGAGCAGCCAGCGATACGGAAGATGCCGGCGATGAGGCATCCGACGTTGACGAGACGGCCGAACCAGCAGATGACGGACTTGGGGGTATGAAGTGGGAATGCCTGGCCGTTACACTGCCCGAAATTCGCCAGTTCTTGTCGACCATTGAAAAATCAAAAGACGCCAACGAGAAAATACTGCGCGACCAGATTCAAGAACACCTGGTCCCCATCCTCGAGAAGCAGGAAGAATCGAGGAAACGGAAGCAGCTCCAGCGAGAAAGAGAACTCCTCAACTTGGAGAAGATGGCGCACGCAAAGCGATCAAGTCGCATTGCCAGCAAAATAGAGCACCAGAAGTTCGAGGAGCGGGCTCGTGAAGAGGAGAAGAAACGGCGCGAGGAGGAGGAGGCTAGGAGGAAAGAGGAGTTGGAGCGGCTCAAAAAGGAGCGAGAGAGGGACCGTCGGCTGATGTCGAGAGAACAGCGCCTCAGGGAGCGAGAGATTCGCCGGCTGCGCCACGAAGAAGAACTGGCTCAGCTGTCTGAGGATAGCAGGGCGGCGAGCACCGGGTCCGCCCGCATGTCGGAGCGACGGCGACAGGCCGAGATCGAGAGGAACAAGAAGGCACTTCAAGAACTCGAAGAGGAGGAAGAGGACTGGATTTTCGACTGCGTTTGCGGTGTCTACGGTCAAGTTGACGACGGGACACACAGCGTGGCGTGTGAGAGGTGCAACACCTGGCAACATAGCAAATGCCTGGGAATCAAGGAGGAAGAAGCGGACCAGGATGATTTCCACTTCATCTGTAGCTCATGTCGCCGGCGCAAGCAGGAAGAAAGTGAAGCACGTCCGCGAATTATCAAGATCAAGGTCAACCGACGCGAGGAAACCACCTCTCCCCAGCAGCCTGGAGCCGAAAAGGACACGGTGGCACAGCCGCGATCTCGAACGCAATTGACCGTCGAACTCGAGCCAAAACCCCGCTCAGCCTTTCTCGACCATGCTTCGGACCAGTTGCGCGTTCGTCCGAACGATGGTTCTATGGCGGATGCCCTCACGAGCGCTACTCAGCAAGGCACAACCTCCGATTCTAAAGGGGAAGAAAAGGAGAGCGGCGCCGCTGGTCTTCCACCCGGTTCTTCTCCCACCCGGCCGTTGTCAGCCGGACAAGGAACCAACCCCTTCTCGTCGCCGCATCCCAGCTTGTTACCCCCAACTCAACCGCCTGTCAATCTAGGCCCGCACGGGCCCAATCCCGAGTACTCTAAGCCAGTCCCAGCTCACGATGATGACGACAAGCAGGCGGCGGCATTAGCCGACACAACGGCCACGCGAAATGGCGTTCTTTCAACGTTGGCCGCAAGCGGGAGTGGCTCTTCGCCAACAAAGCAACACCAACGCCCTCGGTCCCCTCCAACAAAGACAGACCCGTCCCTGGCCACCCCCTCGGACGAGCTGGTAGGGTCCGTTTCCCCGGGGAATATCAACAGCATGACACCTCCTGCCATCATTTCGCCACGTTTTACCCCAACTCAGCAGTCTCGCGAGGACAGATCCGGCAACAACGGTTCCCCACCGTTGCCACCTTCTAGCGGCGGCCTGTCTCCTACCAAACAATCACCGCCCGTTCCTCACCATCATCAACCTAATGGGGGTTCCACTACTTTGCCTGGGACTCACCATCCGCCGCCCGTCTTCCCGCCCGTCGCGGCCCTCTCACCCTCGCCGCGGCAACAGATACTAACGCCGCCGGTGAAACCCACAGAGCCGGTCAGAGTTCCGCCGCCTCAGCAGCAGCAGTAGCAGTAGCAGTAGCAGTAGCAGTAGCATGCCCAAGAGCAGACAAGCTACCTAAGAAGTTTAGATCTACATGCTCAGAATCGCATGAGATATCTAGTTGTACGCCTTTCCCGCTCTGAAAGCGTGAATCTCGGTAACAGATGTGGATTTGGGTCTTGCAAGAGAAGGACGTGCAGAATTGACATGCTACAAGTACTGTATGTGTGTATGTACATACATACACTAAGCTTACCTTACCTCCTGCTGTAAGGTAGCAAAACCACTGAATGGACCGCATGGGACATGAGGTGGGAACACCTGGAGTCCGCAAGCTTGAGCCTGACCGAACGGCTGGCTATCGCGCGAACCGTTGGCCTGAGCGTAATAAGAAACACGGGACCAGAAACAGATATCAAGCAAGTCCATAACATGACGTATGTATGTATTGTACAATACCTCCTGAGAAACAGGTGGCATAGATCAATAGAAGATGCGGCCGGGGGAGATCAAGCAGTAGAAGGGATTATATGATTGTGCTCTGCGCGCGGCAACAGGTTATGAAAAGGTTTAATTCTGTTTTATTAGGACCTGCAGGATAGGGCAGAAACAGCGGAAAGACAGACGGAGAGAGAGAGAGAGTGTGTGTGTGCTTGCAATCGGCTGTTCCTGTCCATGGCAAAATTGCGAGGCGCCTTGGCCGGAAGGTTGCAGACTTCAAGACATGGAACATGGAAGGGGCAGACCGCCAGAGACACGACACCACCGCTCCCAGGCAGGCAAGCAGTAGGTACCAGGTTGGTACTGTACCCTAGCGGTGTTGTGTGTCTTGGCTCTTGAGCTAGCCCAGGTGAGGGGGATCGGATATTATAAGGGGGATGGGAGGCTCAAACTGAAGTTGGGTGAACAATCAAAACTATAATCGGCAAAGGGGCCTTTGAAAAACATAGAGAGAGTTGGACAGAGGGGGGAGAGAGAGATGGTGTCTTGTTTAGTTCTATATGTAAAAGCGAGACCTGACTCCGGGGAATGTATTCCGTAGCTAAGCAAAGCAAGCAAGCAAAAGAGCAGCACGTACGTACGTACTTAGACATACGCACATCACCTCACATAGCAATCTCCAGCTGCAGGTGTCCCTAAGACTTGAATTAACACCGGGGCTGATTTCACCGGTTTGGTTTGGTTGTTTTCCCCTTCACGTCCGGAAACCGAAAACCAAACCTGTGCCCGCCATATCTGTCTGTGCCTTGTACTGTACTGTACCTGTCTCTCTTGTACGACTGATGTCCAAACAGTCGCAGACTAATGCAGCTACCCGGGTGGGAGGCTTGCAAGGTCAGCCCGCCGCCCAACCAGATGCAAGATGCGGTCTGGGCCAAGCCACCATGCCAGGGGAGGAGGAAAGGGGTCCTAGGAGTCTACGATCTACATGCCCGCTCGCCTAAGGTTTGCTTTCCTCCCCCCTGCAAAATCCTGTGTGCATCGCCCAGCTGTCATGTGTGGCACCAAGAGTAGGCCGAACGCGCAGGATGATGACTTGATTGCCCGTTGGGGAGGGGTCAGGCAAGGCGTGTGTTGGTGGTGGTGTGTGTTGTCTCTTGGCTCAAAGGAACGCAAGCCACCCGGTATGCGGCGGATCTGGTCAGTGATGTGGAGGGCGAGAGGGGGAGGGGGGGCGAGATCCGTTTCCGGGATGTACCCAATCCACATTCCAGCAACCGTCGGGTACCTCAATCAAGCAACCTCACATTGCTCACGGGGCCGTGTAACGTTGGGACAGAATTGACGAGTCCTCGCAGCCCTTCGAGAAGATCTCGTTCGGTTCTCTGCGTGAACTGGTGGAGCAGCAGCCCAACTAATTCGTGTCACACGGGGAGCCCTCAAAGGGAGTTATTAAGATGGAATGTCGTTTACCCACCCCCACGCCAGTCGAGAGGCTCAAATAATCGCCGTGAGAAGCATGGGATATCATCCCAAGAATGACGGCTTGCTGCCTTCGGCAGACGGAGGCCCATGCAGCAACTCTCATGGCCTCTGAGCCCGACCGAACACGGATGGGCCGCCAACGGCACCAAAGTGGATTCCCCCGGAGACCTGCCATCCAGAGTGCGCCTTCACACGCGGTCCCGGCCAGATTCCGAATGCGTAAGGTAGTGTGGGTTTTCCCGCAACATGACCCAGCAGCTTTGCTCAGCAGCAGTAAGGCGGTAATAAAGAGAATACAAATACAAGTCCGCCCCCCCTGCCTTTCTTCCCCAGGCCATCAAGAATTTTGGCATAGACAAAGCCCGCCCGCCACCTTCATTGACGCGGCAAGAGAAGCAGAGGCCATCGACCGACAGGTACTCTAGCGTCCAATACCCTGCCATCGAAGCAAAAAGACAAAGAAAAGCGTTCACCGCACAACATCACCCTGCGAAAAAAAGTAGCACCCATTTCCCGCAGAACTGGAACCAATTGCTAAGTGCGAAGGCTGCTGGGCCTTCCAAGAAGAGAGACATATTGCTGGGAAGAGCAAGACGGGAAGGATAGTGACCTAGAGGACACAATCCTGCGTCGCGAGAAGACAGAGCATCCCTGCTGCTAGAGTCTTAGGAACAACTTGTTCAAAAGGGTTCGTGCTGTCCATCGCATTCTGTCCATTTTGGTCAACCAAGCCAAGCCGTCCCCTGACATCGCCAAGGGCAAAAAAGCCCACGAGTAGGCATCGCCCAAATCATCCACCGGACACTGCAGAGCTGGTCTCGCCAATCTTTTCCCAATAGCAGCCGGCTCTGGGCTTGCTCCCACTTGGCAGCTCCTCCATAATCCAGCGACAGACCCTTGTATCTGGGGCACTGCGCTTCTCTTGCGCTCGCGGGAAACTGGTCCCAGTCTTAGGTCTTGGGGGGTGGCAGACGTGTTCGTTCGGCCGTGGATTTATCTTTCCTCGCCCGACACCGCGACTCATCGCTCGGTCTCTCGATCCGATCTTAGGATATCGGTGAAGGATACTCGGGGAGTGCCCCGGAGGATCAGCCGCCGCTCCCAATCGCTTTGCTCTTCAGAATCAGTGCCTCACGACCTTGGTCAAGGGAATCCGAAGAGAACGTTGCGCTACCCACTATGGACCTCACCATGCCGGCGCCGGCGCCAAAAAGAGCCCAAACGCTCCCGACAGGTTTCAATGATTTGCTGCAACATAGTGCCGTAGCGTCCTACCCTCGTGAGACAGCACCCACAGAGTCCATCCAAGCGCGCTCGCAACCGGCTTCGAGATACGGGACACCGATCCCGCAATCGCATCATTCTCAGGCGTTTGACGCGTCGATGTCATATCAACAACGGGGGATTGGGGGCCAGCTAGTAAGGGGAAAGACTCTGCCGCGGTTCGAGAGACTGACGTGTCTTGTAGCCGGGTTATCACCAGCAGCCCGTGTATCCACAACAACATGACAGCCCCTATGGTCCAATTCCAGAAGTAAGTTCGCCCAGGTTGATGATCGTGTGGATCAGGACGGCGACTGACGTAGGTTTTTGAGACCTCGCAGCCGTACAGCACACCCGCGACGTCACCGCCGACGCCATCACGGGGGTCAGACGTAAAGCTCACTCGGAGCGGCCCCGTAGGCCACAAGGATTTCGTTGCTAAGGTGCTTGCGCCCCGGGGCGGCCGTATTGAGAAGGCGGCGTCAAAAAAGAAGAAGGAGAAGGCCAAGGCCACGAAGGACATGCCAGTTCTTGACAAGCCCTTGAGCGAGTTGACAAAAGACTCATCGATAGTGATTGCCGACATTGAGCAGTATGTGCACAGGTCTTCGGAGGTCCGCCAACGGGAGGTCGAATCAGGCAAGAACCCCGGTAGAGTCAAGAGACCCATGAACGCGTTCATGCTCTACCGGAAGGCTTACCAGCAACGCGCCAAGGAATGGGCGGCTCAGCACAACCACCAAGTCGTCTCTCGGGTCTGCGGTCTCAGCTGGCCGCTTGAGGCTGAGGAGGTCCGGCAGCAGTTCAAGGCGTGGGCTGATATCGAGCGTGACAATCACCAGAGAGCCCACCCCAATTACAAGTTCGCCCCGGCTAAGCCCCACAAGCCGCAAAAGTTTGACAGCAAGTTCGAAGACGGTAGCGACGGTTCGGAATTGGAGGACTACGACTGGGGCCGCAGATCAGGGTCTCGAATGCGATCAGCCACCCATACCCCCCACGACGACAGAGAGTATATTCCGAGCCGCTCCGTGTACGCCGCAACCCACCCACACCCGCACCAGCACCAGTTCGCCCCAATCCACGGGCTGGGAATTTTGCATCAAAACAGGCCGGCGCTGAGCTTCAACCCGGGCAACGTTAAAACGCTGCTGACGGCAACGTACGAACACCGCGAGGTGCCCTGGGAGTATGACACGCACTTGCGCGCGTCGCAGCAGAGGCACTTGCACCACGGCATGGCCGGTGACCTTCTGATGGACAAGGCGCCGTCTCCCAGCACGGCGTTCCATCAACCGCATGACGGCCTGCCTTCGCACTACGACCTGGGCCAGTTCCAGGCTCAGGGGCAGGGAGGCGACCACCACTCGGCCCAGGCGCAGGCGCAAAGCCAGCAGCATCAACATCACCTCCAACAGCTCCAGCAACACCATCCCCACGCCCCCACGCACTTCGAACCTCGCATCGACCCGTCGCTGATGCCGCATGAGGATGGGCTGCTCGAGGGCAGCAACTTCCACCTGTTCGACGGCGGACTGGGCGGTGCGCATCAGACTTGGCAGTCGGGGCAGCTGACGGCAGGGAACGAGTCGGAAACCCATTTCCACGACTTTCTGGGCCTCGATGAGACACTGTCACTTGAGCACGACCAGTACCTAAGGGGCCATGATGAGTGGCACGTTCAGCCCCTTCCCGAGACAGGCCAACTTGATACGAGTTGGGCGGAAACGAAAGCAGAGCCAGGAGGCGAGAAGGCAATTATCTGAATTGCTGCAAAGGGAAACAGAATAAGAAAACAATAATAAAGGGGGCAGCAGAGGGAAGTGCAGAAATGCCGGGGCAAAGCCTCAAACAAACATAGTGCATCCATAAGGTACACTTGTATTTTAGATGCCTCATTTTGGGATCCATTGGCGGGTGATGGGACGCTGATGGTGACCAAGGGAAGGCAGGGTTGGCGTGGGCTTTGGAGTTTAGGAGATGCTGGGGCAATGGGGTTAGGTTCTGTGCATCGGAGATCATAACCCATTTCGGTTGGGATAAAGAAGGGAGAGCAGTACAATAGGATATGCATAGAAACTCATGCTTAGCTGGCCCATTTCATAGGTTGCGAATTGAACCTACGGAGGCACGACATTGTGTCTTTGTTTCTAGTTGTCTTATCAGTTTGGAGTTGGTCTCGAGGGCCGGGCACCTAAGGTAACAATGGTTTTGTGCGCGATGGGCCTTGTGAAACCGCCGCCTTTGTCTGCCATTGACGGGCTTGATAGGGATTCCAGCCGTCAAATAATAGGTCAGTTTATCAGGCGCGGAACTCAAAGTAGGGGACGACGTCGCTCTAAGAGTTGAAAGACCGGGGGCCGATCGAACGGGTTGTGTTGAATCTCGAACAATGAGCCTAGGAGACAAGAGGGACGGGAGGAGATTAGAACTTGGGAGAAGCCATTTGCAGTGGGGCCGTTCATTCTAGCAATACCTACGCTATGCGCTTATCAGAAATTAGTGTTATATGGCAAATGCATTTCATTAGGAAACTGCCAGTTAGTTATGCAACTCCAAGCTTTATTCAAATGACAAATGATCAAACTTCCCAACAAGCACGTCGTCAATCGTCATCGCGAACCCTTTTCACAGCAGACACACTTAGTGCACTACAACCTGCCTCAGCCTCATCATTGACCTGATGACGTGGATATCCAAGAGCATCACCACGCTGGGTGGTCTTTTGCTTGCCCACGCGTAAGCATTCCAACCCTTGCACTCTCTGAACGCCGGCAGCTTTAGACTAACAACAAGATTCACAGCTGCTACTCGGCGCGGGAGCATTCTGCCCTCCAATCCCTTCGAGCTGCCTCAGCCGCCTCCCTTACATCACTTCCCTCGGTGACTACCTCCCTGCCGCTGGATATCATAATCGAGACCATTGTTGCGACGTTCATCATCCTCCTCGGGCTGGTCCTTGGCACCCGACCCCTGCGCCCGATCGAATGGCGCGTCTGGGCTGGCAAGATCGAGAGGGAGGGTGAGGAGGGCTTTATCGATGGTGCCGGCGAGGTGAACAAGGATTATATGGGCAATCCGTTCAGTGCCTTGGAGTCCAGGCCTAACTTTGTGGATATCCGGAAGCAACGCAGGGAGTTCGCCGAGTGGGTGAAAAAGGGGGGCTGAAAACAGGGGTTGATAACCATGTACTAGAAGGCATGGGCGCCCAATACACAACATTTATATTTTCACGGCCGCGTACACTGCAGGCTGCGATTGTGCCATGGATACTCCGAGTCGAAATCTGCTGCTCGATTATGGACTTCAAGGGGTTGCGCCTTCCAAATGGATATGTCTCGTTAAGCTACTTCCAATCAGGTAACCCTGCCCAATGGCAACCGCAATGGATGGGCATTGCCTGCTGAGACCTGCGGCTTCAGCCGGTTTCTATTCAAAGTCATAGGTCAGGTACCTACTATCTTGGCTGCCTGGCTCCTTCCATAGTCCAGCGTCTCGTTTCCGGTCTGGGGGACTATCTCGTTCTCTTCCTTCCTCTGCCTTCTCACAGGGCCTCTCCCCCAGAAGAATATTCAGCCATTCAACTCTGGTTCAGACCTTCGAAGGGCTGTCATATATACTTGGCTGAATGTCCACGCGGCGAATTTAACATCTTCCCGACCCATACTACATGTAGTCTCATCAAACCCTCACGATGCCAGTACACAGCAGCACGCGCAGCGTGTACTCGACTGGGTCTCATCTGCCGTCTCCGCGGAGTTCGGATCGGTCCTCATCTCCAAGTCTACCGCGTTCTTCTTCGGCCGCTTCGTCAAGGTCCGGCACTCCGCTGCCTCCAACCGGCTACCGTTCTTCGTCCATATACCCTTCATCCCGGCTCTCGGACGGTTCGCCGTTCCCTTTAGGAGCTTCAAGCAATGACGGAACCAACCGCAAGAGACCAAGGAATAGCAGCGGAGACTTTACCCCCTCCAATTATCGGCAGCATCCAGATTCTCCTTTCGTGTCCTCTGAGCGAGGCAGGCGCCTTTCCAGAGACTTCGGAACAGCTTTCGCCTCTCCCAGATTTTCAAGGCCCTGCACGACAACTCGCTTGGTGAGTCCAAACGGCTCGGCATCGGCGGCAGGTTCTTCGATAGCGGTAGTTCCAAACCGCCCCGATTCACATTATGGTGCACCGCCCTTGCTCGAAGGTTTTGCGAATCTGCAGTTCAACTCGGGTATGAGTTTGGATCTGGCGGAGGACGAGAGGAGCATCAGCCATCGCCAGGACATCCTGAGCGAGATCATTATGGCCATCGACATGGACAAAGACGGAAAGGTTGGCTGCGCCTACTACAGCGTCATCGACGAAGTCCTAGTGCTTGAGGAAGACATAGCCATGGGTGGCATCGATGCTGTAGACACCCTCCTGCTGCAGGTCCAGCCCACCTCAGTCATAATCCCGAACCGGGCGCCCAGTGATTTGGTTGAGTTTCTCGAGCGAAATGCTCATCGATACGATGATGACGAGGCCTCACGCAGAGAACAGGGCTCCTACATTCTGCGTAACCTCGTCTCCGCGCAGTTTGACTATGATGCGGCCAAGGAATCTCTGGCAAAAGTTGATCTTGAGCCTCTCAAACCCGATCCTCTCCACGTTGTGTCGTCAGAAGAGGAACCCGCCCAGTGTATCGGCTCTTCTAGCCATAACAGGCTTATGCGACTAGCTGAGACGATAAATCTCGATAGTTGCGGCTCCGTTGGTTGTGCCGGTGCAGTTCTGAATGATCTCGAACGTCGAAGAGCTGTTGAGGACCCAGTGCTGGACGGAAACGCGAGCACTGCCTTCCGGGTGAGGTCAGTCAAGATGAACACGTTCACAGATACCATGATTGTGAGCGCGGATTCTCTGGTATCTCTTCAGATCTTGCAGTCGGAGTTGCACCCCAACCCCCAATCGCGGTCTTCCAACAACTCTGAACCTAAAGCCAAAGAGACCCTGTCAGTATCTGGTTTACTCCAGGCACTCGCCTGCTCCGCGCAGGGCAAGAGAAAGCTTCGGCAGATGCTGCTTCGGCCAAGCACCAACCTCAATCTAATCCAAGAACGGCAAAAGACTATCGAGGTCCTGCGACGTGCGAAGAACCATGACTGCGTGAAGACCATGCGAATGCAGCTCCGGAAACTCAAAAATACCAAAACACTACTGCTTAACGTGAGGAAAGGGGTTGATCGGATACGCGGTCAGCTATCCATCCGGACTGGCGACTGGAAGGCCTTGTTAAGGTTTGCGATGGTATCTACCCAGTTAAGGCAGGGCACCCGGTCTCTGGTGGGGGGATCAGAGGTTGCGATTTGCTCCAGGGTAAGAACAGAATCTCATTGTATCTGAACCCGGTTCCAATCTCAATAGAGCGAGCATTGACGCCAATAGATATCTAACGAAGTTGATGAACGACGCTTCTTGTTCATTGGCGAGATCATCATGCGAACCATCGACTTTCAGCTATCCAAGGAGAGCGGCCGCACCGAGATCTTTCCAGGGATAAGCCAATATCTAGACGAATTAAAAAGGGAGTACTCGGACGCGTGCCGTATGCTCCCTGACCTCAGAGACTCGGTATCCCGCGATATCCCCAGATGGGCGGCCGAACACATCCTTCACTGCACCATCATGCCACAGATAGGCTATCTCATTGCAGTCAAACTCGATCCCAACACAGGGGAAGGAGTGTATCATGGGCAAGCCCACACTGAGGATGAGTGGACCATGTGCTTTGTCAGCGGAGACGTCGTGTATTACAAGAACCGACTCATGTTAGATTTGGACTCCCAATACGGCGACCTTCCCTCTCGCATTGCAGGTAAGTCTGGGCGCTACGGGGTTTTCTGAGAAATATTCACAAGCTGACAGAAAGCAGACGAGGAGATCCAAGTCGTCATGGACCTTGCATCTGCGATCCTGCAGCACGAAGACGCCATAATCAGTGCTTCAGAGTTATTTGGAGAGCTTGACAGCTTGCTCGCACTCGCCCAGGCAGCAGACAAATATAACTGGGTGGCCCCAACCATGACGGTGTCAAACGTGATTGCCATCACAGAAGGCAGGCATCCTCTTCAAGAGCTTCTGGTTCCAGCATTCATCCCTAACGACTGCAACATGGCTGGTGGATGCGGCAGCGATGGCCCCCAGGGAGCTGAACTGCTAGTAAGCGGTGCCCGAAGAGGAGCGGATCCCTCTTTGCTGATCCTTACCGGCCCCAACAATTCGGGCAAAAGTGTATACATGAAGCAGGTCGCCCTCATTGTGTACTTGGCACATACGGGGAGCTACGTCCCCGCTACACGTGCTACGATCGGGGTAACTGATCGCATCCTAACACGGATCGCCACGCGCGAGACGGTTGTCAACGATGAGAGTGCGTTTTTGGTGGACCTGAAGCAGGCCGCCTTCTCGATGAACTTTGCAACACGAAGGAGCTTGCTTCTGATTGACGAATTCGGCAAGGGCACGACGGCAGAAAGCGGATCGGCTCTCTTTGCAGCGTACCTGACCTACTTTCTCGATCTGGGAGCCGAGAGACCCAAGGTCCTGGCCGGAACACACTTCCACGAGGTATTCGAGAACGGCTTTCTCAAAGCGGGAAAGGATGTGGGATATGCCCACATGGACACTCGTCTCGATCCACACGCCAAGGATCCCGAGGATCAAATTACTTTTCTCTACCGGCTCTTGCCTGGGAGAGGACCGTCCAGCATGGGGATCCTCTGTGCGGCAATCAATGGTGTTCCGCGTGATGTAATCAGTCGAGCCGAAACCATCGTGGCTTTGCAAAACAGGAATGAAGACCTTGTATCAGCCTGCTCGGAGTCTCAGTCCGAGGAGGACAGACAGCGGCTGGCGCAAGCAGAGCTCACGGCGAGACGGTTTCTCGAAATGCAGGTTCCAGTCCCATCTCGAGGAAAGCAGCCAGAGGGCAGGATCCGGGACATGCTGCAAGAAATTGACATTGAGCAAGGAAGAGGCGGGGCACCCGTAATGGTTTTTGTTGCCTGAGCCAGAAGATGCTGGTAATGTTTTTAAGGGTAAAGCTACTGACCCATTGCTCAGGGGCATCATTTTGTAGCATACGTGCCTCAACGTCAAAGTAATCGTAGATACGATTGTGATTCGGGCCATCCCATCTCACTCATTGTTAGGAATTCGGGGTATATCAACAACACAACAACCGCAACCAACGCCTCCCAATGCCTCGTCACGCGCCTCCCGATAAGCATCATCCCTTTCCCCCTCTGCTCATTATTTATTCATCATTAACCCTTTATACACTCCCTAATCAATACATGATATAATACAGCCAGATATCTACCCCGTCCAAGTCATCAATGCAATGATAGCCGAGACTCCAAGCCAGACTGAAGAGGCCCGGGTCCGGAAACCGGCAGAGTCAGGAGTAGCGAAGGGGTTGGTATCCCCAAAGCGAGGTCTCGACGTAGGCGAGGCACTAGGCGAAGACTCAGTGGCTTGCGCCGGGGGCGGCGAGGCCACAGTTGACGAAGCAAGACTTTCACTGGTTGTTGATGTCGGCACCGCACCATCGTCCTGGTCCACAGCAGTTGAGGTGCTGGAAGATGATGTGGTTTCTTCCGTGGTTGAGTCCGACTCTGGTTCCGACGTCGTCTCCGACGGCTTTTCGGCCGTCGAACTCGGCGTGGTCGTCGTCGGCAGTGTCGGCTTTGGGGAGTCCTTCGTCGACGTGGTGGTGGCGGGTGGTGCCTTGGCCGTCGTCGTCGGTGGCGGCGTGGTTGTGGAACGTGGCAGTTGAGAGATGTAGCTGCTCGCCAATCTCTCGGCGGCCTGGATTTTGGAGGCCGGAATTTTCATCCCCTCGTCGGCGCACCCTTCCTCAACGGGGTCCAAAAAGGCCGCCTCGTAGTTGACCAGGTCCGACTTGCAGTTGAAGTACATGCAGCTAATGACCGAGTCGAGCAGCATCTTCCTCGCGGCGCCACATACACAACGCTCGTTGCTGGGGCGGCATCTCGAGGCGGAAATGCAGTCCGAGACGCAGTCTGATGAGAAATCGAACGCTGTTGCTGGCGGTAGCAGGAAGGATAGTAGCAACAGCAGCAGCGCGCCGTGCATCCGCCTCGGGAAGAAGACCATGGCCCCTGCAGCTCCTCCGTAACTACTCCGTGGGGAGAAAGAAAAAGGTCCGGATCGTGTCCCCGGCGGAGGTGAGCAGCTCGGCTTCAACGCAACAGGTCGAGAAAAACTCGGACACCCGAGAAAGAGGAGTCAGTCCCAGAGGGGAGCTGCATGTCTAGGGGGATGGCATTAAGTTTAAATTACTGTCCCGCTTGTACCTACCGATATTTCCGGAGATAGCGTACCTAGGCTGATATCAAGTCGCCGTGTCGGCCCAATCCGCGGGCCCGCGCGGCGCGGTTGGGGAAAGGCCGCAGGATTTTGAAACATGAAAGACCGGGGTCACCACTGGTTCAAGCCACGTTCCCCAGGTCCTTAATAGGGGCTCAAAGTGCGTCGGCCAATGGGATCATAAGAATACTCTCAGACAGCGAACTTTCAGCCACAACGCCTGGACCAGGGACGAGGGACGAAGTGGGGTGGAAGCCGCGGGATAATTACTTCGTGGATGGGGGGCTTGCTCTGACTTTTGAGATGTCCCGAATTGATCTTACATGGACTGTAGGTTGAAGGCATTATACAGCGCGTTTGCTAACTAATGGAGTGAACCTAGGCAAGTAACTAGGAGAACTGTCAGAGGAGATAAAAGGTAGGCAATTGAAGTTACAGGTATCTCTTTATATCATACAAAAACTTGAGCGTCGTGCCGGTACACTACTACATAGGTACATACCATGCAAGCCAGCCGCCCACGCCTATGCCAGCGATCTACATACAACCATCTATGTAACTATATTATACACCGCATCCAGAAGTTGAGCTGCATGGCCCAGCAGATTCACGAGACCCACCGTATCATGGCGGCCCGACCTCCATGGGCAATTCTTCCTCCATTTGGTCCGTCACCGTCCGGTTCTTAGCCTTGACCGCCCCCATGATGGAATCCAGAGCCGTGACATTGGCCCGCACCTGCCGGCCACGCCTGACAAAGTAGCCCGACAAAAAGTCGATATCCGTGTCCCATCCGCGCGAGATCTGCGTGCGCATCCTGGTGTTGGCCGTCCTGTGCGCCAGGAGTTTCTTGAACACGTCCTTCCTCAGCGAGGCGTCGATTGCCGACTGCCGGAACTCCTCCGAGTCCCTCAATTCGGGAAGCGCAGCCACCACCCCTGTGAGCTCTCCCAGGAGCCGGTCCATCAGCTGCCTCGCGTACCGGTTTGTCAGCAGCTTGTCATAGGTGCAGTCCAGCAGCACCGATACAGGGTCCACAATCGACCGGAATGCCATCATCGGCAGCTTGTATCTGAAGAAGCTGGTCATGGGGTAGCCGGAGGCGTGGAGCCCGGGTATCGCCGTCAGAAGGCGGATGAGGTGCGTTGCTCGGACTGTTCGCTCCGGCGGAGGATGCCGCTTGATCCTGAAAGGCATGGCCGGTCCTGGAGCTTGCGGTGAGAAGATTGAGAGGTAAAGCCTCCCTTGCCGGACTTCGGAGACGGAGAAGGCCTCCTCGGCCGGCCCGAGATGCGCCGAGAAATGACCGAGGAGGAACACCGGACGCCTTGATTCGATAGGAAAGTAGGCTTCAATGAGCGCCTCGGCAACCCCTAGGCCATCGTTCACAAGGCATATGGTTGATCGCTGGTCAAGCCGATGCTTAATTCGCTCGAGCGCCTGAACAACTTGCCCGGCTGGTATTGTGATGATGAGATTATGGATCATGTCTTCCTCATCAACAGACTCCTCGGGAAAGCCGGAAATATCCTCGGCTTCGACACGGCTGCGCACGCTGAAATTGTGGCCTCGGTATACGGTGAGCTGCCCGTTGGCTTGGATCCACTTCCGGCACAAGCCGCGTGTGTGTAGGAGATAGCGAACAGGAGGGATCGTCTGGCAGCCCGCTAGGCTGTGAGTAATGTATCGTCCTGCCAAATCCAAGCCCAGGACGTAGATCTGGTCCGAAGGCTTGAGCGGCTGCACACCAGTCAAAACGGGAGGTGGCGCGTTGGCTCGCCGCTCTTCCGAGTCCCACAACGCAATCTTGGAGCGAATTCGCTCAGCATCTTCGTGCTTTTCCAGCCCATGACTGCCCCCTTCGTGGCCACCCTTCTCACCTGGTTCACCTTGCGGTTCCGATAACTCGGACGGCAAGTTTGCATCTGCCGCGGGCTTGGTCACGGCCGGTGCTGGCGGGACGGCGAACGGACCCGGAGTATTGCGAAGTCGGGCAGGTATTGTATTTCGAGCAGTCCGAGGAACAGACGGGCTTTGGAGCCGGGATATGTCTTCCAGAAAGTACGAATCCAGTAAGTTCTCGCGCAGTCGACCTGTTGGAGACCTTGCGAACTCCAGGTCAATCAACCGTTGGTTGGCCCCCCGGCCCGCTGCGTGGTCATTGTGAAACCATGATAGGCGTCTGTAGGGTATTTGCGGAAACCCCCGCGCTGGCGGGCGGCTGCCCCTAAAGAGATACAGGTTGCCGGTGTTCAAAGAGGGACTCGGGAGCGCATGGTAGGGGCGGTGGTCTCGCGAACTCGTCGAGGAGCCAGTCGAAGGAAGATGCCGATGTCTAGAGCATGTACTGCAGCATCGGATCGAGTCGCCGGATGGATGCACAGCGGTAGCTCCGGTTAACTTGGGCGCAGAACGCTGTTGCTTGAGGCAGGGTTCAATTCGATATAGCAGAAAGGAGGACCCGAGTGAAGGCGAAGGCGACAGCGACGTCTGCGAGCAACAAGTTCTCAAATTTTTTGGACCCAGAGCAGAAAAACACGCTAACATTCTTACGTTAGCCGTCAATTGATTGGTTCATTCAGCGATCTGCAGCCGAGGGATGGATCCAAGTTGTCGGGCTTAGGATTTCGGAATGAATTTTTTCAATTTCGAATTTCAAACCATTTCTTGGAAATGAATTTCACCCAGGCGACGGTTGAAATTTCGGAAAAGTGGGGCATCCTAGGTTACTGAGGCCAAATAGGGTTCTTACCACCCAGGATACAGTGAAAAGCAATGGTAAGTCTATAGAAATTTCCAAGTAGAGGTGGTAAAGTATGTAAGATTATATAGTTGGTAAGGAAGTAGGGTTGTATGTAATGGAATTGAAATTGGGATGGGTAAAAAACTGAGGGGAAATGCCAGCTTCAACCCTAACCAAAGGGCCTACTGCCTTCCGAAAGCGGTTAGCTGAAAAGTTTTGAAATTTCGGAATTTCGAAAGTCCAAAACCGATTTCGAAATTCCGAGCCGACCCTTGAAATCCGAAACCCTAGTCGGGCTGCATGCGGACAGACCCACTAATTAGAGCGGAGCGGTGCGAGCAAAGGCGCCCAGCCGGCGGGCAGGCACCCTCGTCCAGGGTTTCTACTCCGTACAGTAACGTTGAAACTTAACTACATAGTAAAAGCATCTCAAGTTCGCAAACTTCACCTTTATCAACAAAGAAGCAAACCATCTAGGAAGCTAACCAACGAGCTAACAGTGGAAAAGAGTGTTTATGTTGGTTAGCACAGCTGCGAAAGCTGAATAAATCCGAAACTGAATACAATCCAACTTCAAAATGGACCTCAGCGACATCACTCCCCAACTCGATCAACTCGACCAGGATTTGGACCAGGCAAAGGAAGTGCTGAAGCCCCTTCTCGGCGACCTCGGGGATCTTTCTTCCAAGCTTCCACTCCTGGACAAGGCCAAGCTATATGTCCTGGCTACCTATGCTATAGAATCCCTCCTCTTTTGTGAGTCCCGCTCCTGCGCCCTTCTTGATATCACACTGACGAGGTTCTCCAGCCACCCTACGCTTGAATGGGGTGGACACAAGGGAGCATTCCATCCTCACAGAGTTGACCCGTGTTAGGCAATACATGGAAAAGCTTCAAAAAGCCGAGGCCCCTCCTGTAGAGCGAGAGAACACTGTCAACACTGAAGCTGCAGCCCGCTTTCTCAAGTCTGATCTTGTAAGTCATTGTGCTGCCGATACTCGACCAGACGATTACGTGCTAACATGCCACAGGGTGACAATAAGGACCTTAAAGAAAAGCTGTCTGAGCTCATATCCAGGGAGCGAGCAAAGGCCGCAGCGAAAACATCAGAGAAGAAACGCCCAGCGGAGGGTACCTCCACGACGCCCAGCCAAGCTGAGGAGAGCCTTCCAAAGCGACCGAAACGCAACGGGTCGAAGAAGAAGAAATGAACACCGTTTCAGTGTCTCGTGGGCTATGACGATAGAATCGTCGGTCCAAGCTGGGTTAACAGAAGGCCAGCTGCAGTTATCTGCCAGCTTTTGTCGTGGCTAAGATGCAGCTCGAAGTAGGGTCTACAAGGCCTTCAGCAAGTCAGCAGCAGCTGGCGTGCCGGACAACACTGAAGGATTCCCAGCAAGGCAGGCGACTTGAGATTCTGTAGAATTATATCCAGGGCCTCGACGGCTGCTACTTAACGAGTGTACGCACAAGCCCACAAGCCTGGAAGACGAGCAAGCGAAGACTGGAAGAACGCTTTGGAGGGATAACCGAATAAGGAAAGCGAGGGAAAGAGAGGTAACATCACGTACATATTAGCTATGCGGGAACGAGCATACCTTGGCCCAACCTCCTTCACCGCCTAGCTCTCTTGACCGCTTCAAGTTCTGAAAGACTCTCTTTCCATCCAACAAGGACTGAATACAACAAGGAAGGCTGCATCTCTGCGCCGAGTACAAGTGAGGGTCATGCCTTTCGTTGTCTACAACCTTGAGAATGCGATTGACACTTTCTTCAAGGAGGGCGGGGCGTCATCGTCCAGAATACAGTGTGACGACTTTGTCTACCAAAGATACGGAGAAAGGAACCGGCCCACTGACATTCAAGGCTCGAACAGCTACACTGTGATTACGGGGCCGAGCGATAACAGGATCATCCAGTTCCGAGAGCAGGATGCCTTGTTGGACATGAGAATGTTGGCGTTAGCCAAAGCAGTCCACGGAGAAGTCGTGCCCGGCTGCTCTGAGCTTGGATGGGTTGGCGACCCAAACGGCTCGCAGCTGGCAGCCTCTGAAATGGACAGGCTTCCTGGAGAGAACTACATTCTCGCTCGTACCTCTTTTACGCCCGCCGAACAATTAAATATGGTGCTCAGCTTGGCAAGGTCCGTAGAAGACCCCTTATACTCTTCGCGCCAGTCAGCTAAAAGACAAACAAGTTTCTTTGCCCAATCCTGGCAATTCGGCACACCAACAAGTTCAGGATTGGCCGACATGTCTGCCATCATTACCGAATGCTACGATAGGTTTAACAATCTTGCTAATACGCTTCCGGAACGATTCCTGACAGTCGTCACCGAGATACAAGCCGCCCTACCTGCTCTTCTCGACGGTTGCTATCCGGTAGTCCTTACACATAGCGATTTGAATGAGATGAACATCCTGGTCGACACCGAGAGCGGCAAGATCACGGGCATCGTCGACTGGCCCGGAGCAACTATCCTACCATTTGGCTTCGCTCTCTACGCGCTGGAGAACGCTCTCGGCAGCATGACTTCAAATGGATGGAAATGGCTGGATGAAGCGGAAGAGTTGAGGGATGCATTTTGGAGGGCCTTGAGATCTCAAACCGGTGGCTTGTCCGAGTCTCAAGAACGGCTTGTCAAGTTGGCAGGTAAGGCCGGTATTCTCATCCGCTACGGTACGGCGAATGATAGCGGCTTCTTGGGGGTGATAGGGGCCAGGGGCCCAAACATGGGGGAGGATTTTAGATATCTCGATGCGCTGTTATTCTGAGACTATGAGTATAGAAACAGTATAGGTATAGCTCCTTACTCTTCATTACAATAGCCATTACAATAGCCATTACAATAGCCATTACAATAGCAGTTTTTAGGAGAGTCGTTTTTGAAAGATTCCGTACTTTATCTTTATGAGGACCGGCCACACTTGTACTGTACAGTACAGAGTACAGTACATACCGTTGCTGGGGTTAGGGTTGCAATGCAGCTTCGATTGGCTTCTAGTGTTACAGTGCGAATTTACACGGTCCGCACAGTACGCCGGAAAGAGGAAGCATCCTGAGTGGACAATGCTAAACTCCGATCGACCATTCCAGGGACCTCCGGCAAATATCGAGACTTCCAAAACCAACGACTCAGTCTCAAGAGTTAACTGTCCCAACACCCATCGCTCGTTGACCACCACACAACACTCGACGACAACTCCCACATTCCACACAATGCCTCGCCAGTCAAGAGGATCAACCGCTCGGGCTCCCGCCCGCCCTACCGTCCCCGCCCGCGCGCCCGCTCCTCCCACCCAGCAGCAGCAGACCCGGCCGGCAACGACATACGCCCCTCCAGCTGCCGCTGCTCCCTCGGCGGTCGCCCCTCAGGCCCCGACTGCCTCCCAGGGCCCGGGCCTTCTAGGCCAGATGGCCAGCACAGCGGCGTACGTCCCTTTTCTCCTTTCTTGTAACTGTTAAAGTTTTGGAAACCCAACAGGGACAGCAAAGATGTGGAAACTGACATGGTAAAACAGCGGCGTCGCGATCGGCTCCTCCATCGGCCACGTGGTCGGCAACGGCATCAGCAGCATCTTTGGTGGCGGCAGCAGCAGCGAGCCGGCGCAGTCGACCCAGGCGCAGGCCGCGCCCCAGACCTCCAATAACAGCACCTGGGGCAACAACTGCGCGGGCGCGACGGAGCAGTTCACCAAGTGCATGGACGAGCATGGCGGCAACATGTCCATCTGCGGTTGGTATCTGGAGCAGCTGGTATGTTCGCGTTTGCACCTACACCTTCCCCTGGTGGTGTTTTGCTAGGCCCGCTGCTGACGATGTGTACAGAAAGCCTGCCAGGCTGCGGCTAGCCACTACTGAGCCCTGACATTGACACTGTCGGAGTTTGAATGGATGGCTCGGGGAAAGGGTGACGGACTGGAGGTGTATCTACGCAGGGAAGGACAATAGACAGACACGTCAAGCATTAGCCGGGGGTTGAGGGTGGTATTTTGGCCCTGAAATAAGTGTATTGTACAAATACAACTGAGCGAGACAAGCATTCCACTCAGCTGGACTCTTGCTGGCCCTTCGCGGGAGGGGGTGAACAGCCCCGCACATCGGTAATCAAGATTACATCTACTCTTCATCACCATCATCGGGATTAGACTGGAAGTTAGTCTGTAAATGATTAGCTTGGCCTCCTGCCAGCGGCGGCAGGCCGTGAGATCATATGTGATGCTTACCGAATTTCCATTGTAGTATTGCTGCTCCCGCCGTCGCTTCTCTTCCGGGTGGACGAGTCCGGCTATCCGCGGGCCACTCCGCCGCGTAGGAGGAGCCGCATCAGCACCACCACCAGTTCGGCTCTGCGAGGTGCTAGCAACGGCAGGCTCGGATGCTGCTGCTGCTGGGGGCTGCTGCCCTGCCGTGCTGAACAAGGTTGAAAAGAAAGCAAAGACGGTGCCGAAAAAGCGTGTGATGACGGCAAGGATATAGGCAATAATCCGCTGGAACACGTTGCCCTGCGGCTCTGCTGCACCACTCGATGGATTAGAGTAAGCAGCCGTGTACTTTGGCACGGGAACGAGGATCAGTGTCGATGAAGGCGCAAGCTCCAGCGCCCGGAGGGACTGGCTCTCCTCGGTCACGTCGATCCTCTTGCTCGGCAACGGGGTTAGAAGCACCTTGAATGTGTAAGGTTGCTTGCCGTCCTTGCGTGTGCTGTCGACCCATTGCCGCACGTCCTTCAGCGTCTCGTCGCTGGAGAAGCGGCTGCGGATCGTGGAGCCGTCGAGCAGTCGCACCTGGAGGGAGCAGTGCTCGCTAAGCTTGCCTGACGACGGGAAGAGCTGGCTCGCGGGAGCAAACGGGGTGGTGTCCTGGTTCTCTGCCGCCTTTCGTTCGGCTTCCAATTCCGCTCTACGAGCTTTGCGTGCCGCCTTGTCGTCCTCGATTGCCTTGAGGATTCGTTGCCGTTCCTCGCGTGCTTCTCTCTGCTTTTTTCGCAGGGTTTCGGCATGCTGGCTCTGCGGATCGTGCTTCCTCAACCCGGCGGTCTCGGCCTCGGCTTTGGCTTTGGCCTTTTCAGCACGCTGCCGCTTGGCCTCTTCTTCGTCTTTTCTCTTCTTCTCAGAAAGCCTCGCGGCTCTCTCAGCTAAGAGTGCCTGGACACGTGACTCATCTGGGGGTGGCGGACTGGCTTGATCAGGAATGCTTGAGGAGTCACCGGACCGGGTGGTTTGATTGGAGGGACCGGCTGGGGCGGTCGCAGGCTGGGTTTGGGGCGGTACAAGTTCGGCAGGAGCAAGTGCTGCCTTCAATCTTCTCATGAACTCTTCCTTGGTCACGCCGCCAGCAATGTACTCCTTCAACTGGGCATTCCTGGGCCACTGTTCAGCTCCGGTTGGCTTCTCAAGCGGACAAGTCATATAGGGATACTCACTTGATTACCACAATGGTAGGTTTCTTAGGTATAGGATAGAGCTGTGCGAGAAAGCCTTCCTCTTGTGATCCAGCTGCCATTCGAAGTGCCACCGACTGGGACTCTAGCAGCGAGGCGATCTTGATTTCCTCGAGTCAGAAGGCACTACAACAAAGCGGCTCTTGCTTTCTGACGATCTCACCTCTTCCTCGGCGAGGAACTCATGTTCCCACAGCTTGCTCTCGTCCGCCCCGTCTATTCATTTTGTCAGCAAGTGATGCATGAGTGAAATGCCTCTGAGGACGCTCTCACCCGTGACGAAGCACACGACAGACTTGGCCTGTTGCAAGGCAGCAGCAATGCCCTCCTGTAGCGACCCTAGAAAGAACGTCATGGTGACGGTGGTAACGGATTTTCCTAAATCAGCCCAAGACACTGCTTAGGTCCTCGCTTCAGATGAATCCGCCTCGGTGTCCCTTTGAGTCCGAGGCCGCTCAAAATATGACCCAACTCTCAGCTCGGGGGTTCAACCGATTGAATATTGCTGAACACAGCAAATTATATGCTGAGCCTCGTACTTAGCAACAGCAAGTAGAGTTTATATACCGGGAACCTGGAACCGCCTGAGTGAGAAGCATGGAGATGACAGCTTAGAGCAAGGGGTAGTATCCTGTGGTGGCGCCGCTGCTGCGTGGTATGTAATTCAGAGCCGTATGCACGGTAAAGATAGGTAAGCCACTAGCGGTAACTTTTAGTGAGCCGCAGCGCCTAGCTTACAATAACATTAGCTCACGTTACCCGCCGTTACCAAGTGTAGTAGTTACCAGAATTACCTTACTCCACAACCTAAGCAAAGCCGAACTCCCGGCCCGAGCTCCCATCCAGCTTAACGTCAGTTGCCTTAGCTGTACTGTATGTAAGTTACCTTAAGACACGCGAAAACGTCAGACCTCAAATCTCGATTCTCTCTACATTCCCGTCCCCACCTACACAATCCCCAGAATCATGGCAGCCAAGGGGGTAATATGCAGCCTGGCAAAGCCTTTACGGACGCAGTCAAGGCCAATATGGAGCCCAATTCCCAAACGGACGCCCTCTACAACAGCAACAACAGCACGACGTCCCTTCTCTAGTAGCGCCCCGCGACGCCCTTTCAGCAGTGCCCCGCGCCGGGCGAGACAAGCCGCCGACGACCCAAACTTCGTCTCGCTTCTCGACAACCCGCCGCAGCTCGTTCGCGCAGGCCGCAAGCACGGCCCGGGCCTGATTATCCTCGGTACGTAATACCTAACTTACCGAGCCACACCCTCTCCCCCATCCCCTGTCTCAAGCTCAACCAGCTAACCCACCCCTGTCCAACCTCCATGGCTAGCCATCATCCCCATAACCGCCTTCATCCTCGGCACATGGCAAGTCAAGCGCCTCGCGTGGAAAACCGACCTAATCGCCAAGTGCGAGGACCGACTAGTCCGGGACCCCCTACCTCTCCCGCCGCGGGTAGACCCCGACGCCGTGGCAACCGATTTTGACTACCGGCGCGTCTATACGACCGGCCGGTTCCGGCATGACCAGGAGATGCTAGTTGGCCCCCGCATGCGCGACGGTGAGCAAGGCTATCTGGTCGTGACACCCCTCGAGCGCGGAGGGGACTCCGCCACCACGGTGCTGGTCAACAGGGGTTGGGTCTCCAAGAAGCTGGCCGATCAGCGCCGGCGGCACCCGGACAGCCTGCCCCGGGGGGAAGTGAGGGTCGAGGGCATGCTGAGGGAGCCGTGGAAGAAGAATCTATTTACGCCCGATAACAGGCCGGATAAGGGCGAGTTTTACTTTCCCGACGTGAAGCAGATGGCTGAGTTGACCGGGAGTCAACCGGTCTGGATTGAACAGACTATGGGTGAGTTTCTTTCTTTCGTTGTTCTGTCCTTAGGTTGTTGCTACGGGTCCGGGCAGAATGACTCTAGTCGGCTATGACTACTGGTGATGCTGACGCTTTGCTCCAGACCCTGATTATTTCCAGGTTCTCGACATGGAAAAAAAGGGCATCCCCATCGGGAAGCCGGCAGAGGTGAATCTGCGCAACAACCATGCCCAGTATATCTTCACCTGGTAAGGCCTCAATCATCTGTGCACAGCTCTGTGCCCCGGTGGTTTGATATACTTTCCGTATCAGACCGGCAGTCGGCTGACAGACGCAGGTATGGCCTTGCCGTAGCGACCTCCATCATGTTCTATATGGTGGTCAAGAAGCCATCGAGCGAGGTAGCTCGACGTGTTCGTATGAACAAACACTGGTGACGGCACCCGGCGGAGTCATCCCATAGCTCAGGTGACCTTTTCGTCCTCCCCACCGCCCTTCCCCCTGCGGCGCTTCTTTGGAGCGGAGGGGGGCGTCATGCGCAGCTCCTGCAGCAGCTCCCTAGGAAGGTGCCGTTGGGCGAGAGCGAATGGTGTAATATGTGAGTTGATCTGACGCTGCCTGGAAGGTGTCAGTCATGTACATCATTATACGAGATACCCAACGATAAACTGTACAATACCTCTTCATCAGGGTGAGCACATCACTCTCGTCGATCGTCTTTCGGCCTGCGTGTTTTGCGTATGCCTGCAGGTCCTCACCCACCTGCTCAAAGAACCAGTCTGACGCTTGCATAATGGCCTTCATGGCATCTGGCGTGATCTTCCCCTTTGCGCCGCTGGTCTTGGCAAATGTCTGAGCGAGCCGCTTTACCACTGCTGGCGGAAGAGAGGGATACTCGATACCGTGCTTTGAGACTTTGATGCCCCGCTTTTTCGACTCATGTCCTTCGGCCCGTCCTGTGGCTGCAGCCTCAACTTCCGTCTCCCCCCGAGGGCTCTCGTTTGTGGCTTCTAATGGCTCCTCCTCCAACACCGGCACCGGCCCGAGATCCTCACCGTCATTGTCGTCGCTGCGCTGCTCGGCCAAGGGCGCAAATTCGCCAGTATCCGGTCCATCAAGGTCAGGAGGAGGTCGATCTGGTGAGCTTTGGACTTGAGCCGCCATGACAAACGTGCTCTCGTCAATGTCATTGACTGGTATCTCAATCCCAAAATCGCTCATACGGCCAATATCGCGACGGGCAGGGTCCGAATCGAGGCTAGAGCTCGGTTAACGTGTTTCCCACAAGACGTCCAAGGCAAATAGCATTACCGTTCGGGGGACACAAGGCCTTCGGGGCCCATGGTGATATCGTCCTCCTCTAATACAGCGGTTGGCGGGAAGAAGCCCGAGTCGATCCCGACATCCTCGCTGTGCAACATGTCGTTTGTGTTGAAGTAGTCACTCATGCGCGCGCTCCCGATGGAGACGCGGCCGCCTGGCTGCTCGCTAACAGCTCGGCGCGGCATCTCGATGGACTGCATCGTAAAATTCTCGTCGTCAAAAACGACGGAGCGATGAGGCTGGAGATCGTCGCTGTCGTCCTCCTCGTCAATAGGGAGAGAGAGCCGCGGGCGCTTCGGGAGCTCGTCATCGTCATCGTCTTGAATCATGCTGAGAGTCGAGTCGTTGGCAGCACCCGAGTCTGCTTCCCTCTGCTCATCTGGCGATGACGATGATGTTGTGATGACTTCGGTGTTGCGCGCCAAGACCCGGCCCAAGGAAAGTAGGAAATCCCGCGGCGAGTCGCGCACCTCACGCAGGCTCTTTCGGCGGGCGCGATGAGGGGTGAAGGCAGCCCGGCGCGAGTCGATGGTTCGCAGGGCGGCACGCCCGTGAGGGGTTGCCGTCAAGGGCACCATCTTCCTGCCCGACGCCGAGAGACCCTGTAACCGCTCCAGCCCGCGTGCTTGACTTCCAGGAGTTTTGATAATTGACCGCCGGGCAATGGATGCCGACGGTTCGGCACTCGAGGCCCGCCGGGTAGGCGTCGCGTCTGGGCGACGACTTTCTCGAGCCATTTCGGTTGGTCTTCGAGATTCGCGCTGCTAGGATAAGAAACACATTGAAACGGTTCTGCTCCTCTAAAGAAACCGTCTCGATGATGAGTTTTGCCGTTGCGTCTGTTATACTGAAAGAACGAGTCTTTGGCAGTTCTTCAACCTGCAATTGTTGCTGGGCATGGCAGGCATGACGCGCTTCGGGAAGGCTTCCCGCACACCCCGGTTCACGGTGGGGCTGCCCGTCGATAAGCTATGCTGCTATGATAACGCTGCAAGGGCTCCCTGCATGTGCTACAAAATCCACACCAGCTTGGCCTGCCAAAACCGCACTCTGAGTCTCTGACAGTACGTACTGTACACTCTAACAGCATCAGAGACGGTTTCAAGGGGTGCTAAACAAACCTGTAGGCCATCTGTCTAACCTTATCTCCTCAGTTGGCGGGTGCTATGTGGAAGTTCTTGCCCAGCGGGCGAGAAACCTAAGAGGATTGCAGCATCTCGAGCCCACGCATCTTCATACTCTTGCCGTTAAGTTGCTCCCAGCTTTGTCCTTCCATACACTGCAGGTGGGCCCGTGTGGTCAGTAATTCATACCTGACTGTGCCCTATATGTATGAAGCATTTTGTTGACGAATACCTCATTCTTTCATCACAGCGGGACATCTGGACCACATTTTGTATATAGCAGGGTTACATGTAACCAATAGCCTCGATCACAATGCTGTCTTTCCAGTCTCTGTGGCCGCCGGACGGCTCCTGACAGATAACGCCCAAGCGTCTTGTGGACCACCAGCGGGTTTGGGAACCGGTCTGGTAGGACTGTGGTGTAGGGCTTCTGGTCGGCGGCCCCTTTACACAGACCCAACCTTAATTTGGGGCGGCACAGTCGAGGATTGTCACAGGCTCTCTTGATGGAAATGGACAAATGAGGAGAGTAGTGTTTCCGCTCTGGGCTACCCGCTTGGCCGGTCTAGGCGGCTGCGTAGAGCTTGTTACGGGCATCCATTCCCAGGAGCCTCTACGTTACAGACCTCGGCCAATGTGACAGCGGCCGATACCTTAACTTTGACTCACTGTCATCGAACAAGTCAAACCCGTCGCCCCATGCCACGATATTGGAATGGACATCAGCCCACGTTGTACGACAGTCCTCTTACCCATCCTGCCGGAATCTGGGCAGCGAAACCTGCTCTTCCTATTGTTTCGAGTGCATACTTGGGGTAACCCAGAGGTAGTTTCAGGAGCCATTGCAACCCTTTCCCAGCACCAAGATCTACGTGTCAAGGCAGCCTTTCGCAGTCTCACCGCTGTATCTTGTCGGGTTAGCTGGCTTGCTTGAAACATTTCTCTCTAAACCCTCGTTCTCCACCAAGGTAACTTTGAACTTACCTAACTCTTAGAATATTTGAACGTGACATACAGTGCAGTACCGACAAGCCGATCCCTGCCGGCCCTCATCGAATTATCACGACGCGTTCCAGTCAGAAAGAGGCTGTAGTAACGGAACTTATACGAATAGAGCCTTGGGAGAATCAATTCGACACCTAGTATACAAAGAAGGTAAGTTCCAGATTTGTTTTCATGTATCAACTACCTTACATACACCACACAACTACTATCAGGCTTTTCGGCCCTGATTGCAAGCGACAATCGAGGCGAATGGCGTTGCAAGACGGAGTCGCGCTCGAACTGGATCATCACACATCAACGAAGCCTTTGGAGCCTGCGTCTCTTCGATTGCCGGTAAACTGACCGTCATCCATTCCCTCCCAATCGTTTCAACTGTCCGAGGCGGTTGACGCCGAAAGTGTCTGAAGACAACCCCTTGCACCCAATGGTAAAGACAACCGCCAAACAGGACATTGCTGCCAAGACGATGGTGCGCCGTGCGAACAGGGCAGGTCTCCACTACGAATCCCGCTGCACGCTCGACCTCCTCAGCATGAGGCACGCCACTGGTGCTCTGAACAGCCCCAGTGGCCAGGAGCTTTGTCTGCTCCAACACAGTGCGCCTCTTTATCTCAACTTACCCGTCCCGATCTGGGGGTTGAAGAGGAGGGGGGGGCGGTAGCCACTCCAGTCCGCTCGCCTGCTTCTTCCATAAACTGCAGTCCTCTCAGTGATCCATTTCACACACCACTCAACTGCCTTCACCTACCTACCTACTTACCCTGGCCCGGCACGCAAACCTTCCGGTCCGTATCAAAGCCTTTTCTAACTTTGTCTGTGCAGCTTCGCTTCCGACTCTTCTTCCATCCCCAGCTTCAGATCATCACCAACCGAACCGCATCCAAGCCGCGGCCGGAGTTTGCAGAGCATTTCTCCCCTGACTACTTTTTGCTTCGCCTACTCCCTTGCAACCCTGCCACAACTGACCTAGTCTGCTCCTTCCCGGACCTCAACACCACCCACCGAACAGCGCCGAGTGAATCCTTATTCGACCGCTTGTTTGAGACATGACCGACAGGCCCAAGATGGCTTCAATCAAGGTTGGTTGCCAGTTTCAATGTCATTTCTCAATGCCACTAAGGCTAACCATCTGCTTCCGCTCTGATAGTGTGTTGTGACAGGTGATGGTGCTGTAGGCAAGGTAAGGACAATGTTGGATCGGCCGCTGTCCCAGAAAGGAGGTCGCCGCGCGCTGACGAACGAGCTGTAGACTTGCATGCTCATCTCGTACACAACGAATGCTTTCCCTAGCGAATACATCCCCACAGTGTATGTGAATCTCTCCCGCTATGCCGACAGCCAAACTAGGCTGCTTCAAGCTGGTCCTAACGTGTGTGCACAAGTTTCGACAACTATTCGGCTGAGGTGACCGTCGACGGCAAAGAAGTAAGCTTGGGATTGTGGGACACAGCTGGACAAGAAGACTACGACAGGCTGCGGCCGCTCTCGTACCCCCAAACCGACGTCTTTATCATCTGCTTCTCTGTGGTCAGCCCACCCTCATTTGACAACGTCCTCGCAAAGGTTAGTAGACACCACTTGGAAGATGGCAGTTGCCGTTCGTGCAGAGCCTGACTGCTGGTTTGCAGTGGTATCCAGAGATCACCCACCATGCGCCGAACGTCCCAATCGTCCTGGTCGGCACCAAGCTGGATAAACGGAATGACCCGGAGACTGTCGCGAAGCTGAAGCAGCAATTTGGCGTCGAGGGGATCTCGTGGGACATGGGGAATGATCTCAAAGATAAGATCGGGGCAGCCTACTACAATGAGTGCTCCGCTCTGACTCAAGTTGGCCTAAAGACCGTCTTCGACAACGCCATCAGGTAAAGGATTTTACTACATGCAACGTTCGTTGGACAAGGGGGCGCATCGAAGCTGACCAGCAATGCAGGGCTGTCCTTAAACCCGAAGCCAACAAAACCAAGAAGAAGTCGTCCAAGTGCACGGTTCTGTAGTTGTCCACGTCCACAAAGGTGCCGGCCGACTGGTGCGAACGACGAACGGCGAACGGCGAGCGACTTTCTCCCCATCATGCTGGCACTACATACATTCAATGGTTGGGGTGGTTTGCACGCGACAACACCGTACGCGACGACACTTTCCCGACTCACATTGGTGCGCCTGGGTATTAGGCGGCATGCCGGGCTAGTACATACCAGCTACTTTGCAACTGACAGGATCGAACTTGTTCCGGAGCTCGCTAGGGGCTATGGGAGAACAATCATATACTGGCGGGACATTCTCTTCCCAGAGCTTGCCTGTTACACCGCCTTTTCCGCGCTTTCCTGGATGAGATTTGGGCGGGCCGTGGATGCCAGTGTTCCCGCTGCATGGTTTAGTAACGCCCTCTGCTATATCCTTCACGCTGCAAGGTGACAGGTTTTCATTGTCACCGACCCAGGGAGTCTCCCCGGGCCGTTTTTCATTTCTGTTTTCTCCACTGTACCTAACTGAAGCGAATCTCCCGGGTTACAGGGACGGCAGTTGTCTCGGTGGTGGTGGACATGATGATTATACGGTTTAAATGCGAAAGCTGTTTCAGTCTTTTTGCTGCACCGACTGATGTCTGCCTGCCTTCCTCCCTACTTCTGGTGGCACGGAGCATGTGTGAAAAACAGACTGAGAGGAAAACACAGGGGTATCTCATGAGATATCAACTGCTGGATAAAGTGGGTTGACCGTATCCTCCGCGAGGTCCCCACCAGACACATCTCGATCCGCCTCGTTTAACCGACTTGCTCCCCTTGCTCGCCCCTCATTTCTGCTGCCCATATGGAACCCTGGACCGACGACTCGGGTGGATGGCCTCCTCGTCGCGCTGCTCCTGCGTCTTGCCGCCATGTGTGTCATTGCCTGCCGCCTCGCCCTTCTCCTTCTCCTTCTCCTTCTTGATCCTCTGCGCCCGCTCCTCGTTGAGCTTGGCGTTCTTCTCTTTGATCTTGTCGCGGCGTGCCGCCGTCTTGCCTCCCCCACCAGCGCTACAATGTCCATAGACCACCATCGTCAGCACGTTGTTATACAGACAGTGAGGGAGTGAATGAATAAGAAGGGAGAGCGGGGGAAAGGGAAATATACGTACGTCAACTCGACATTGATCCTGCGCGGGGGGGAGATGCCGTCGTCGAACTCAGTGTGGTGGAATTTGGCCAGGCACGTCTTCATGTGGTCGTAGCGCCCAAACTCGACGAAGGCGATGCCCCGCGACTTGGAAGGGTCGTCGCGCTGCGTCAGTAAGCGCACAGAAATCGGGGATAGCGAGGAAAAGTGGCGCTCCACCGCCGCCCGGCTGGCCGTGAATGGCAAGTTGCCCACGAAGCAGATGAACCGGGTTTGTTTACCCTCGCCGCCGGTGATAGTATCCTCATCGTCTTGGGGTGTTGATTGCTGGGTGGCGGTTTGCTTGGTTTTTTCCTTCTTCTCCTTCTTCTTCTTCTTTTTCTTCTCCTTGCTCTTGTCGTCATCTCTGCTCTTGCTGTCCGAGCGCTCGTGGGTTTCGGAGTCCTGGGCTTGGGGTCTTTCAGACGTGTCCTCGCTAGCAGCAGCGGCGGCCTCTGGAGCGGTACGGATTGCAAGGTTGGTGGTGCCTGGCTCAATTTCCGCCTCTGTGTGTTTATTTTGCTCCTTCTCACCCTTCTTCTTCTTCACTCTGTCCTTCTTTTCCTTCTTGCCTGTTTTGTCCTTCTTGTCCTTCTTCTTCTCCTTCTTCTCCGGTTTGGGTTCGGAAGCGCCGTCTGCCAGGGCTGGTTCAGAACCAGGCTCCTTCGTTTTGAATCCCTTCTTGGTAGCTTTGGCATTGCCAGCGCTGTCGAGCTTGTTCTTCTTCACAATTGGCGCCGCGTCGTGGTCATCGGCGGCATCCTCGTCCGAGGTGCGCTGTCTTTTCTTGGAGAACTTTGCCATGGCTTCTGATAATTGGTTATGATACGGGAGGAAATGGAATCAATGGTTGCAGTTTTAGAAAATGATCTAGATTTTGGCAAGAACAATGGTCAAGATGATTCTTGGAGAATATTGTTTTGAATTAGGTAGTTAGCTGGGTGCAATCTGTGGTATTTTTCTGCCAGTCTCTCCCAAAGGCGGGAGAATTACAGAGGTTGGGGCCAAAAGAAATTGACAACTTCCTCTTGCCAAGACTGCCAAGCCCATAATACAGTAAGATTCGCACAGTCTAGCCGAGCCACCTACACTGGCCACTGCAATCCACTATAGTCAAGCCCACTTACAGGGCCATTTACAGGGCCATGTCAGTGCCCACTGCAACCCGTCTTAGGTGGGATCTACGAGGGAACGCTATCCCCATAGAAAATACAGTACGTCTCTCGTCCTCTAGCTTCTCACACGTTGACAGGCTTGGCACCAGCAGGAAGCTGTCAATTACTTTTGGCCCCAACCTCCGTATTGTGGGGGTATTACTTATAAGATAAGGCTCATGCTTACCGATCTGTATGTATCGCTAATGTACTGTACGGAGCGTAACTTACGCTAGTGGAAATGCAGAATGCGGCCCATACCGCGGCCACCCACTGCAGCGGAACGAGCCGAATTGCGAAGCTCCAGCCTACGCGAGTAAGTTCCGAGTCCCGTTCTCAGTTGGTCTCCACACGGTTGTGCTTCTCGGAAGGAGTTTCGTCGCCTCGGCATGCAGGGTTAAACTACCTTACGTATGTAGGTATTGTATATGCCAAAGCTTACTCGCATGCTTACTGTGCATTTCGGTACAGCTGTTGCGAATTGCAGCTCCACGGCAATGATACTATGCATGATGCCCCATACTTGCAAGTTGCCGGGGTGAGAGGTGAGGCCGAGGTAGGTATCTTATGTGCCTATGTTCCTTAGTTACTAAGGTACAGTACATATCTGTTATACGCCTATTAGGTCGTTGACAAGTTTGGATCTTCTGACCCAACGCACGTAAAGAAAAGAACGCTGTTTCCTGACTTACTAGCGCTGAAGGAATGTGGGTATTTCCAGGGTATTCGCCTTCTCGTAGAGCAAAGGAGAAAGGAAGAAATCAGAAACCAGGAACAAACCCATCTGAGATGCTGTAAAGAGTGACAGGCACCGCCAGCAAAGAAAACCGCCCATTCCCAAAACCTTGTGCCTATCCCGAAACGCCTGCTCCAGCTGTGTTGCAATCTAGTCCATGCTGTCTGTGCCTATGCCCACTCTCCATTCTCGTACACCAGGTCCAGATTCCTCCAACCCAATCCTCAACTAGACTTCTGCAGTCTTGGCTACCTCTTCCTCCTCGTACGACGGAGGCGGGTCCTGGTGCTCCATCAAGCCTGACTTCTCCTCATCGGCCAACGCCTCCTTCTGTGGCGCTTTGTGATGAGCCCGTCCGGCGTGGTGATGGTGATGATGATGGCGATGGCCGCGACGGCGGAAGAATAGGCGCCACAGAGAAACAATCATGGTGCCGACCGCCATTCCAATCCTGGGGGTTCCGGTTAGTCGCAAAGAACAAACGACGGCGTGGAACATTGCGCGAGTCCAAACTTACAAGCTGATAGTCACGCCGGCAATGATGCCAACAAGGATCGGGAGAACGATATGCGAGCCTACGTTCTTGAACAGCTGGCCCCAGCTATGGTGACGATACTCGGCGCGCCAGTGGCCGCCGCCAGCGGAACCGTGATGGTGATGCGGGTGAGGGCGGGGGCGGGGATGGTAGCGATGGGGTCGCATGCCGCCCTTCATGTGTCCGCCGCGGCAGGGCCGGAACGTCTTCAGCTTCCCAACCTGCTCCTTGGCGGCAGCCATGAGCTTGCACAGAATTGTGTCGCACCCTTGCGGGCGCTCCGTCTCTGGTCCTAGCGGTAACGTCGACGGGGTCTTCTCGATGTGCGCGATAGCTAGGCGATTGTTGCGGTCCTTGACAAGCATAATCTTGACGTTGGGTATGCCGCTGACAAAGGTGTAGCCAACCTCGAGGATCTGCAGGTTGAGCTCGACAAGCTCAAGTCCGCCGTCGGCGTCTCTCATTGTGGTCGACGCCTGCAGGGTGTAGCCAAGCTGCTGTGGCTCGGCTTTTCTGCTGCCATCGTGATGCTCCTTCTTCGCGTCGAGAACCTGCAGGGCAACGAAACTGTGCAGAGGATCGGCTGACGGATACAGCTCGAAATTGTTGACCATAAGGCGGTCCCTCCCGCGATTATCAATGTAGAAGCCGAGTCCGAGGTGGTTCGGCCGGTGGGTCTTCACCTTGATGCTATTGCCGTGCTTGCTCTTCTCCACGACGGGGCAGCTGGGGCATTCGACGTTAACCACTTGGACATCGGACATATCAGGGCCGAAAGCCTTGTGAACTTGGATATCCACGGGCCTGACTTCGGGCGGGAGTAGGAAAGCTTGAGTCGCCGGGAGGGCCAAGAAGCCCGCCGCCAGCGTGATTGTTCGTAGCAACATAGTGCAAACAATCACCTAAGGTCGAGAGCAGTAGTGGAAAAGAATGTCAAACGTCGTCGGGTAGCAAGCCAAATCGAGGGTTTTGTCGTGTTCGCAAAGGAAGGTGAAACGAATGGAAAGAGTTGATTTTTCTGCGTTAGGTTTGCAAAATTGGAGTGGTTAATGGTCGGATCGAAGAGGTCAAGAGGTGCGAATCGTACGCCGGGAGGGCCGGACCTGCCGGAGTTATGTGTAGGAATCCTGTCTTGCTGGTTGGTCTTTGATTGACGAAGAGCTCCTCGAAGTGGGTGGCGTCAACAGGTCACAATTCCACAAACAAAAGAATGCCAAGATAACTACGGTATAACCTGCACATGAGAATACGAGACATAAGAATAACCTGGGTATAGGAATCAAAATTGGGGTTCCCGAGCCATTTTGTATGGCAAATAAGAATAACCTGGGAAACAGACTTATTCTTACAAATTTTGCTTAGTAACCCATATAAAATTCAGGTTTATTCTTATATACAAGTGGGCGAAAGTATGGTGAACCCCTGATTGGGGCTGGGGGACTGAACATTTAACCCTGAAAGTAGGCATTTTGGCCCCGATTTGGGCAACTTTTGGCCTGGGTTAGGGTATGTATGTACCTGGGAGTAAGAATAACCTGGGTATAGGAATCAAAATTGGGGTTCCGGACTTGATTCTTATGTGCAGGTTAGACTGTAGCAGGGGATCCTCAGACCCCGGCCCCAAACTACGTAATCACACACCTGACGCAAGAACAAGAGCCCCGCCTGGCCAAAGCGGGCCGCTAGCTGAGCAGAGTCAGCAGACGACGGTTTCCGAAACCAGCTGCTTCAAAAGTAAAGCGTTTGACAAGTTTCAGCCACTGGACTTTCGCTCTTGACAGAGGACCATGTCAACTTCACCAAAAGCATCCCTCCCCAGGGCAAGGCAGGTCAACTCAGGTTTCTCTCCAACAATACCCATCTCTCAACTCAAGCCCAATGAGCCATTTACAAGGACCCCACCTCTCGCCCCGCTTGATTATCTTGTAGACATTTTGGTCCCCGTTGTTTCCGGCACCCGGCCTCGGCCATGGGTCCCGTCAGGCCCGGCGCACAACCTGAACTCGTACACTCGCTCCGAGGCAAACACGCAATGCTATTCCGCTTCGTCTTTCAGGGGTAGTAGTGTAGTAGGTAGGTGCAGTATGTCAGAGCGGAGGAGAGCAGCCGGGCGGTAACATGTAATTCATAGATCTGTCACCGTCTGCCATGATATGATGGATGCCCGTTTCGCTGAGAATGACACGAGATTACAGCTTCACGTTGTTCCGCAACCAGACAGATACCATGAAAAAGACCTAGTTGGCTAACGGACAGCGCACGCGCAACATCCAAGAAGACGGGGGTGGATGTAGCTTAGGCAGGACCTCCGTAGTGGGTAAGTATATATTTCATCTATTAGGTCTCCATTTATGGTCGTGGATTGATTATATACAAAACAGGCGCCGACCCATCTGACGTCGGGGCCCGAATGTCTTTACACTGACCCGCCAGCCTCCGGCCAGTAAGCCTGCTAAGAGGCTGAGGTAACACGCCAGCTCTTGGGAGCTCGCGTGCCTGGTTGCTAGTTACAGTACAGGGGATATAACAGAAACATGGTCGGCCGCGCCATATACACGTGGATGGTCCTCCTATTTCAAAACAACTTGGGCCCTCCCAGGCCCGGGTATATTACCCATTCAACCAAATGCCAGCCCCCCCAAATGAAGGCCAGGCCTCGCGCCGAACTGCCATAACTCCATCATTATCTTCTTCTCGTCCTCTCCGACGCGTTGCGCCATCTCCACTGTGGCGCACTCGGCCTTCCCTCTCTGCCCTTCAGACATCCGCCGAGGGTGCACCGCCAAATCTGCCCCCTGAGCCGCCGAGGTCGATAGCAAAGTCGACGAGATCGACCGACCTCCCACCCCCGACCGTGACATTCCGGGCTTCCTCGACGCTCACTCCCCTGCCTGATGATGAGCCTATTGCCGAGTTTGCCGAAGTGAAGAACTTCTGCAGTGTAACCTGCGCAGCCGAGGCGTCCACGAGGCTGCTTTCCTGGAATATAAACAGCACAGCCACCCGGGCAAAGTCGAGAACTTCCTCGTTCACCGTGAACCTGACCGAAGGCGGCAAGGGCGTTGCCCCCCCTCCAGAGGACGACGTGGACGTGGGCATGGACACGGTTGTCATCACCGTGCTGGTGGCTGTCGGGGAGGGCGAGGGGGTCAATCTGTCTAGAGATAGCGTAGTGCCAAAACCCACGGCCCCGCTTGCCGTGAGGGTAGTTCTGAAACTTGTTTCTTGGGCCGGCGGCGCTGCTGCTAGCGAGAGTGGGTTGCCTATCGTAACCGTCGTGAAGCGCCCGACCATAACGGTAATCGTTGTAAACAGAACGCCATTGATCACGGCGGCATTGACCCCGGCCGCTCCGACTACTTGGGCAGCGCCTTGACGGGCTGAGCGGCCTTCAAACGTGACGAGAGCGTTCTCAGCCGAGCAGCTTAGGTTTTCCGCCTCAAGCTTCGCAAGCACTTCGCTGCTAGAAAGCGGTATGGAAAAGTTACTTTGGGCTTGTTCAACGAGGCGCGGAATGGCGTCGCCAATGGTGACGTTGTTATTGTTGGCGCCTGCAAGCGAGACCGTTGTGCAGCTTCTGTCGTCGACCACAGTGCAATCAGAACCGGTAAACCCGTTTATGCAGACACAGGAACAAGTGCCCTGGCTGACAGCATTGGTTCCGCCATTTGCGCACGTTAGCTGCTGCCGGCACTGCTGCAGCGCTCCATCCGCATCGCCGTCAGCATTTTGTCTCCGTATCACGAAAAACTCGACCGGAATCACCACTGCGGCGGCAATTATGATCAGGATCACGATCAGGAGGATGATGAACCCCCAGAGTGGGAGGCCGCAGCACCTGCGTCCGCGCTTCTGATCTGATCGTTGGGAGCCAGTTGTCGGGACCGCCTCCCTAGAGGTGCTGGGCGTGCGATTAAAATTAATAGGTAGAGGCCACGACTGGACCTGTTCTCGTATGCTGTCGCGTATGCTGCGGCGGCCTTGGGCTGCTGCCGGCTGGGCTGGAGGAGGGAAAGCGGCCAGCATGTCCGAGAGGCCCGAACGATACTTCTCGCCATCTAATCCTTGGAGCATTAGCGGTATTCTAGCAGCAGAAGGTAAGTGTTCTCCTTTGACAAACCAGTCTCACCATAATAGTCGTCCAGCGCAGAATTGTCAAGATCATCAAACCGGCTAGCTGGTCGCCTCCCTTTCTCCAGGCTCGCCGCCAGTCTCGTGGCTCGTCGGATGAGGTCTGGCAAGCTTGTCAGACTCCCCCTTGACTCGGCCTTGCGCACGGCATCGATATCTAGGCGTGGCGGTCTTCGTACTGCTGATAGCCGACTGTAAGCACGACCGCCAGCGGCGGGATTGGGCGACGGTGTCGTCCGCCTCGAAGGACTTGATGGGTCTTCCGCACTTGCAGAAGAATAGGCGTTTAGTATGCTGTCCGCCGTTACCGCTGAGCCGATGGGCAGCCGGGAAGCTGTCGGTATCGTGCTGGAAGAGCTCGAGTTCTCCACATAACCTGTTCCATTCTTGAAAGGCCCGTCCTGAATTGGAGTTGGTCCTGGCCGGCCATTACGTTCTGCGCCGTCCGCTACACGTGCTGCCGTCGCGCTGACAAGGGTAGGCTTCGCCCTCTTTCCCAAACTTGCACTTCTTACAAGCTGGCTCTCCTCAGCATCGTCATCCCCGTACACAGCCAATCCGCCCTCTTCAGCCATCGCGTCCGCAAAGACAGGTTCAGGATAATCAGGGCTGGGTCCAACAGATGGAGATCCCCAATTTTCAGGCATTGCAGCACTCGATGCGAATGACGTGTGGGATCGTGCGCGGGGGCTTTCTTCGGGAATGGGCGAGACAAAGGAGGCGTTTGAATAGAAAGACGACGCCCCCCGTCTAGCTGAAGGCGGCGGTCCGAGGTTGACACTTCTCCGCGAGGGTGCCGCTGGCGTCTGAATAGGTAGGGGAAAGTCGGGAATCGATGCGACAGACGACAGCGTGGATGGGCGTGATTGGCTCGAAGGCGTCTCTGGAATTGCCAGCAAATCCTGCCCGGATGACTCCCTCCCGGATCGGGGCCTGTACTGAAAGGACGGCGTAGGATCCTGCACCTTGGAGGCGTCCAAGATCGACGGCACCCTGCTCGGGCGCGGCGGTCGCTGTGGGGGATGCGATTTTCCGGGCGGTGGTCGATATGGCTCGCCGTCGGCTTGGACAGGTGCTATGAGAGGGCCCGGCAAAGGCCACTGAGGTACCTGAGTCGGTTTTGAGATGGCCACACCAATCTGTCCATCTCTTGTCTGCAACGGAAAGGGCGGCGGTGGTCGCTGAGTCCGAGGTTGTGCAGCGGTCGGCGGGCGCAACGCGGAAGGCCGTGCCGTTTGTGGTTCCTCGTCCATCCCGCCGGGTACTTCCCTCGGCAGACCGGCGGCAGCGCGTTCCCTCGCCCTCCTAATGGATCCAGGTAGCGGTGGCCCATCCATATTTCTCCCATTTTGAGGATTCATTTAGTTGAAGCCCCTTTGCCTCCCCGCACATTCAGATCCCGCCTCAATCCCTCCCTCTTGCCTTGCCAGAATCTGGAATATCCTCCCAGCGTCCGGCTTCAACCCGAATGACATAGGCTGGCCTCGTCCAAACCGCAAATAGGCCGATGGTTCGTTTCTATCGGAGGGGTTTCACGAGTACCGACAAGCCGTAAACCCTTTAAGTTTCGAGCCCTCCAAGAATAAAGATGTTGTGCCGCTAGAGACCGGAGCCCAGCGCAGTCCAGGGTCATAGAACGAAAGCGTGTGCACCCTTAACAAACAACAAACGAATGCAATCTATGCCGATGCAAAAAGATAGAGATATGACGCGGCGTATAACGCAGCACAGGCCAGGCACCGGGCAAACATGAAGAAAAACGAACTCGGCAGAGCTGTGAGTGGCCTTCGACCGGGCGAAGCCAGAACGACGAGGCACGTCTTTCCCCCAAAAGGACTAAATGGTCAGCGAGCGACGTTCAAGGTACGAAAGATGTCGACAGGAGAAGGAGAAAGACGACAGGGAACCGAGCTGCCCATGCAAGCAGATTCCGGAACGCCCATTTGCCAAATTTGCCTGTTCAGTAAGAACCGAACAGAGCGGGCTCCAGCGGAAGGTGGCTGCACCCGCGACCAGAGCCAAGAAAAAGGCACCCCTAAACAGCCGAGGAGCAGAAAGGGGGGGTTGGCTTGGGTTGGCATCACGTACGTTTTGAGTTTCCGACAGCTCGACAGGCACCTCTTTTCATAGTATAGTGAGCGGTCGTCGTCTGTTGTCCGTCTACCTCTCGTGCCGAGTATAAGTTAGAGACAGAGATTGTAAAAGACAAAACCACGTATCGGTTGTCCAACCTATTCGTGCGATCACCGCGCCGATAGACCGCTCCGCGGTTAGGGATATTGGACGATGGAGGAGAAAAAGAACATAAAGATGGCCAAAGTAGGTCGCAGCATGCGGTCGCGGGGCGGAGCGCACCGGCACTGGGACTCAGGGTCGGGAACGGAAAAGGGAAAGGGGGTTGGTTGGCAGGGGGGAGGTATGAGATTGGTCACGTACATACACGAGACGCTGGGATTGCGCGGACGGTTATCGTTTCAGAATTCCCGGGCAAAATAGCCTTTTCCACCAGAGTCACAGGCTCACAGCACACTGAGCACAGCCAGCAGTAACGATGTCTGGAAACCGAAGATCAAGAGAAAATCAGGCACCGTCTCGTAGGCGTTCGCAGCACGCCCCCACGGCCAAGGGCGCAGTGCAAAATGGGCAATGAGGGAACAGCGCAGCGTCCAAGGGTCAATACGCAGCACGAAGCAAGCTGTTGGTGATCCGTGGTTGGTCGATCAGCATGTTGTGCGAGAAGAAACAGACCCAGCGCAGTGGTTCAGACCCTCGACGGGGAGTGTATAACTGTGGCCGAAGAGACGATGTAGCGGTGCAAAGGTTTGGAAAAGCAAGCGAGAGGAGGGGAAATGGAGGAGGCAAGAGGCAACGATGTCGTCAACCGACCCGAAATCAAAGCTTAAAGAGCGGACGAGGGCTACACCGCCCGGAAAGTTAAAAGGCACCAGGACGGTCAGACAGCCCAAAGCAGCCAGTTATAGCAGGTAGAATAGGAAAATGGGAAAGAATGACAGCGACGTCAAGACAGGACGGCCTAAGAAAAGTTGCAGAGTCCGAGAGGTCGGTAAGGTTACGGATACCTTCCAGGTTGCACACATTACATTAGAGAAGGGCGACGCCCAAGGGGAACCTCCCGAGCCTGCAGTTCTCGGAGCGACTTCACCCACACGGGAATGATGCAGCGTCCCTGCAGAACCGAGTTCCGACCCTTGCCAGGTGAATGCAGCTTCGAGAATGTCCTGTAGCACCAGTAGAACCTATTAGGAGCTACCGGTACAACCCAAGGAAGAATAGAAACTTGCAGACGCCTCCACCAGAGACCGTGACGAAACCAGTGCAACACATGGTCGTAAAATAGGATCCTGTGCGCGGCGCGACGATATGAAGGAGAAGGTGGGATGGCGAGATGAGGCCAAAAAGGCAGTTCCCGTCTTGTCGGCAACGAGACACCATTGCGCACACTATTGAAGATGCTGTGGGGAGTGGACACTGCTGAACGACTTCTTGCGATGCCAAAAGAAGGGAGGAGCGCGGTCTGAGCTCAACGTTAGTTTTCCCTTCGCGGGCTTTTGCCGTTCACCCTTGCTTTATTAGGTCGTCCGAGACGTGGTCCCTAAATGTATCGATAAGTACGAAGTATGCTGCTGTTCGCATTCCTCTGTTGCGGCGTGGCTTTACGGCGTAGTATATGCACAACATACCTAGTCTGCAAAGCACACCACACCGTGAGAGGCTTCCCTTGAAGACAACGCCCGTCGACAAGCGACAACCGTTTTGAGCGAACGGAAAAAAATCAAGCAGCGGCTGGCGTGATTGGGGCAGATTTAGGGGTGGATTCTTGGCTGAATCGGAAACACTAGCGCAGTCTCCGCAGGGCCCCTGCCCGAGATCCACATTCCACATTCGTTCGCTCGTCCGACAGCAAGCGAACGAGAAGCGACTTGGTTATTTCGACGGTGTCTCTTGGTTATTTCGACGGTGTCTCTTGGTTATTTCGACGGTGTCTCTTGGTTATTTCGACGGTGTTTCTTGGTTATTTCGACGGTGTCACGGACCACTTAGCCATCCCACCCATACATAACCCTAACCCGGGCTTTCAGGCTCACCACACTCGTATTCGCAAGCGCAACCTCAACACCAACAACTTGTCCACAGCCAGATCACCACGACGCGCAGATCGGGCACGGGACAGGGCTTGCAGGTAAGGCAGTGGCAGCCCCTTGCTCAAGGCGTACAGGGTGGGCAGGACCGGGCAGGACCGGGCAGGGTGGGCCGGGCAGGGTGGGCGTGGTGGGCGGGCGGTCTAGCCGGGCAGTATTTCTCTCTTCGGCCTAACCTTTTTTTCGCGTTTTTGGGCGATTCAGCCCGGGGTTCGATCACCAGGCACTCGAATACCGATTCAATTGAGCGTCTGGCAGTAATTTAATTCAGGATTGTTGATGTTGGCTACTGCAAAAGATTGGTGGTGGTGACATGTCTTGCATGTGTGGGCATGAGGTGTAGGTGGTCCGTGACACCGTCGAAATAACCGGAAGACACCGTCGAAATAACCGGGTCGACGAGAAGCGAACGACGACAAGTGGAACCGATCATGATGTACGGACTACGGAGGTACTCCATGTTTTCGTATCTTCACTGTAGACGTTTGATGATGCCAGGCGTCTACCATGATATGATGGTGGCACGCCCGCCTTTTGGTCTTTTGCATGCGCTCGAATGTCGTCTTCGGGCCGTGTGGTGTACTGCACACAGTAGCGACACCGCGCGCGGCACTCTGCGGGAGATCGGCGCGCAACAGAGCAGGAAAAGAGAGCAAAAGCAGCCCGCTGCTTTTCGGACAGCTGATTTTCATTTAGGTTTCAACCGCAACGTTATCGCTCCCTCGGATTTCTAGCCGTTAACGTTAGCGCGTCACTTGTCTTATAACCAGAAGCCCTATTGACCCCATGGACTCGTCCATGGCGAACAGGATCCTGGCAAAAGACACGACCAGCGGCCTATTCATTCAAGAATCCACTCGAACCCTGTTCAATCCCCCCATATCAGATGACCGCTGACAAAACCAGCCTGGGGCAGATCGAGACCCGGAGTCAAGGGTTGACGGTCCGCTGTGCCTTGCACATCCGAAAGTCGGGTGGAGTTCTCGGCGGATTGGGCTGCACACGCAAATCCTGGGCTTCACCGAGATCGAACGTTCGACACAGTCCATCAAAACGGAGGTACAGTGCATGATGAAAGAGATCTACTACAACTTTCTACTACAACTTTCATCGTAGCCTATATAACAACTCGAAACAAGATGTCGGCACTTACCTTATGTAGTGAGAACTGAAGTTCCAACGACTAGCAGTAAGCCTCCCGCCAATGATTTGAACAAGTCCCTGTCAACCTTCAAGTGATCGTGGCTTCCAAGGTCCAGGACAACAAGTGGGTGGAACCTTCCCAACAACACCAACAAGAGCAAAGCGCGCTACCTATAAACACCACCCAACCCCCCCCCCTCCCCCACCCCGCGCCCTCTCTCTTCCCCCTTCACCCTCCCTCGACTATGAATCAACCTAGCCCAAACATTTTTCACGCTTCATTTTTCTTGACGCTCAATGGATTCAAATACTCTGAACCGGCCCTGATGATGGATATGTATCGCTCAGCTGCCCACGATGGGTACAGGATCTGAAAACACGAACAGGTGGGCAAGGTCGGTGGTCGGAGATGAATGATGTATATTGGAGTATGACAGGCAGAAAAAAAGAAGCTGGTCTATATCATCATCTCAGCTTCCGGTATGTATGTGAGACAGTCCGGGAATGCCGGGGTCGTTTCCTCTGCGCATCGTCTCGTTGTTTTTGGACGGGACAGACCTTACGTATTCGTTCTTGCACTACACCTACCTTACTCCCGGTAATCCGTCTCGGTCACGTAGGTAAGTCCACTCAACGTCCTAGACTGTGGATAGGTGAGTTCTTGCCCATGTCACGGACCTTGGGTTGTCCAAAAGGCATGACGAATCGCCATGTACATATTACGGTATCGGGGGTATAAACCCAGCCATTCGTGCCCTCCTCAGAAGAGTTGGCACTGGACATGTGATACTACTAGTAGTATTGCCTAGCTATCATATTGAAATGCGGAGTACCTGTTCTTGGGCAAGGCAACGACCGAAGATGCCCTGTATCGTTAACATTCTAGGGGTAAGTGGGGGCCATGGTGTACATGGCATTCTGGTAGCTCTCCTCGAGAGATGCATTCCCCTCCGCTAGGAAACAAGCCAGAAAGAGCAGTGTATAGAGGATAAGGAATAGACCAAGGCCATGAACAGAAAATTTATGGCTATTGCGCCTTGATTTTGCAAACATACACTGCTTCATGAATCGTGAACAGGAAGATGCCATCCAACCCCCTTTTCCTCCCGCATGGTGGTAAGTCCCGTTTCCGTGGTCAAAACAAGTGCAACCCCGTCTTGGGCAACATCACGCTTGCGCGACCATATCTTGAAGCGTGCCTGCATGGTCAAATAGAAACACCCTGGGAGCCCGATACCGACATAGTACGATGTCTAAGAACAACACGACAACAAACCGATTCAAGATGAAAAGGGGTCCCCGACCGCGCTTTCATTTCCATCGTGACATGCATGACCAATAGGTCTGTCTCCATCCAATCTTCATGCCGCAAGATGGACATGATAGGACTTTCCACCCAGGGCGTTCAAGTGTGGCATGGCCAAGAAAGCTGGGCTCAAAGGATGGCACACTTCTCCTTTCGCTTCCTCCTGCGGCGCCTTTTGGCGGCCAAATTCTCGGCTCGTTGAGCGAGAATCTCTTCGCGTGCCTCCTCCTCGCTGTCGTCCCGTCTCAACATCTGCCGGCAGAGGTCTGTAAACGCCTCGTCGACATTGGCTGGTGGGGGAAAGCCACAGGGCAGCGTTAGCATGGGCAAGAGGAGAAAACATTGCCAAAGGGCGAGTGCTGCTTGCACGCCACGGAAACTTACTCCGCGTCCTGGCGCTGGCTTCGTAGTAAGGCGCATCCCATCTCTGGGACAGGGCGAAAGCCTTTGCACGGTCGACTGCCCGCTGATCTTCGAGATCGGCCTTGTTCCCGACTATGACGATTGGGATCTTCTCGTCGTCCCTGATGCGGATAATGTCGTCGCGCAAAGTCTGAAGCTCGTCGAAAGAGGTCCTCGAGGAGATGCTAAAGACTAGCATGAAGCCATGCCCGGTCTTCATGTAGAGATCCCTCATGGCAACTAGGTAGAGCTGGCGTTAGCCGTATGATACAAACTTGGAAGGTCAGATTCTTACCAAATTGCTCTGTGCCGGCTGTGTCGAGGCTGGGGCACTCATGTCAGCAAAGACACCTCGTGCTCTAGAATGTATGCGACCCCCTTACATCTCCAGCACCACTTGCCGTCCCTAGGTGCCAGCGATGTTAGATCAATACACATCACTATGGTAGTTTGCGGTTCAGGCTCTGCGTACATCTACGGAAATCTGCGTCCTGTATGAATCCTCAATGGTGGGATCATAACTCTCGATCCACTCATTGTGTACGAACTGGGCTGTTTACATGGGTTGTCAGCGCCATAAAAAGGGGGGTTTCGAAACGTTTGGCCAGGGCGTGGGGGGCCAAGCTGCAACACATACCAGTTAGGCAACTCTTCCCAACGCCACCTTAAGTAAGCGACAGAACTACGTCAGCAGATTCGACATGTGACGGGGCGTCTTGGCAGGGTGAAGGTTTGCGATTTTTTGAGGTGCCCAAGGGAGACGCACCGGCACCCAAAACGACCACATTGAATTCCCGGCTGCATGTGCTATGTTAGCAATGCTGGGTCATGAGGTTCAACTAGCTAAAGAGTCTTGAAAAGAAACCTGGGATGGGAGAATTGGCGACCAAAATGAGGAAAAAGGGGGGGGTTTAAGAGGATGGGTAAAACACGGACAAAAATCAGGCCAAAGAGCAGGCACAACCGGACGGATAATTTGGATAGCGGTGGAAGGAAAGGAGGCTCTCTTACCATGGCTGGTAACTGTACTTGGACGGCATTGTTTCCTGGATTAGTGCCCACTCAAAATGAGCTAGATGGCGGTCCAGTGCACTTGATGCCCGTTGACAGTCCCTCTGCACCGCCTGATTCCCGTCTCGGGCCTTTACCAAGGGTCGTCTCGCAGCTCCTACTCCTCACGGGACGCCGAAAAGGCGGGTGCGACGGTCACGAGCCCAGGGGTTTCTACATGCAGAAATCAACCAGCAATGACCACGACCTTTGGGTAAGTTAAGGTTATGGGAAAAGGGGAAGGGCGGAAGATGAGGAAAATCGGAGAACGTGATTCTCTTCGCTAGGATTTTTGGGCCCCTGGCAGGGACTCGGTCAAGCAAGCGGCGCTGGACCGACAAAAATTGGGGGCTGCAAAATGCCGGTGGGGTGGTCGAGGCGCACTGCGTACAGTGCAGTACGTTATTGAGGGGCGCAAGCGTGCGGAGGGAGGGTTGGGATTCCAGCTTTCCAGGCCAGCTCCGGAGCGGCAGTTTTAGCGGGCCGTGGGCGTGGCAGGGTCACCGATGGCCGGCTGCAGCCGCGGGGCAGGGACTGAGCGTTTACTGGATCCTCCGGCTACCTTGGCCAACGGCGGGGCTAACACACCCTTGGGATGAACTTGGGTTCGAGCGGAGGCACGAGGGAGAGAAGGGTAGCCTTATAGGGGGCCCGGCATATAAAGCCGGACCGTTGGTTTGCGCGCAACCCGCCGTAGGAAAAGAACGGATATCGCACTGACCCCGGCGTCGACCCAACTAGGCGCAAGCGAGTGGACCGCACTCAAGAGCAAATGCAAACCACTGTCAAATGATGCTGAATTGGGTGGTGACGCGGCGTGCGTTGGTCCCGGCCTTTGAAGTCGGGATTGGCCCGGTCGTCGTCCCGTCTGGAAGATGGCGAACAGATACTAGGTAAGGAAGGTCCGTCTGGTCTCGTTCGTTGTTCTCCCGGGAAAAGGGGGGTAGTCCATGAAGGGCAGGGCAGGCAGTCTACTATCTTATCCCGTGGTCAGAATTGCGCGAGATCAAACTACTACCGTAAGCCAAACTTGTGTCTTGAAGCTGGAAAAGTCCATGGGCAACCCCACGTCATCGTGTGCCCAAACCTTGAGATATCGTCGATCTCGATGCTTGGACGACGTGAAGAAGCTGGAAACACGGGATGACAGGAGCGACACAGACGTGAGCTTGTACCACGGCAAGGGCTGGGCTGGACGAGAGACAGGGAGAGACAGGCCGGAGGAAGGACAGGCCGGAGGAAGGACAGGCCAGTGCGGTGTCTCGGAGGACTGCCATTCAGACGAGTGCGAGATCCGCATACCTCACATGCAAAAATGCGAGTGACGAAAGCAGCTCTTCCTTCGACGGCCAGTCATGATTGGGGAGAGCAAGGCTGACGGGCGGGCCGAAATGGGACTTTGTCAGGCTGCAAAGAGTTGCTTCCCCGGCCGTGGAGACTCATCAGTCAGGGAAAGGCCTAAGGCATGTTCTGGCGGGGGGAGGGGCACTCTGCAGGGCCTCGAGAGCGCCTATACATAAGAACAGCAGGCCCAACCAACTCTTCCCAGTCCCCACTAAGATACCTTACTCGTAGGGAACCACTCCGGGCGCACTAGCACTTTCTTACTGGCGCACTAGTACCTCATGAGGGTTAGGGTTGTTTCTGGCATCCCCCATATCTTCCTGCGCCGACCCTGGAGAACCCATCTTACTACAGTTCAATTCAACGTACTGGAACCTGTTGCAAATGGCTCAAATGGCTCAAATTGCTCAAATCGCTGAATTCGCTCAAATACACCACTTTATTGAAGGTTGCTCAATTTGCAACAGTTGGCCCGGCCTCCTTGGTCAGCCCCCCCCTCCCTGCTTTACGCCCTCTATCCTCGCCTTCATTCCGAGCCCTCATTCTAAGCCCTCGTTGCGCCGGGTTGCTCTGGGACGCCCCTCATCGCCGGTGGCCCTCTTCCTCTTCCTCCGATTCGCCTGTGCCTGCGGCCGTGAACGCTGCTGTTGAGCGGGCGGGATCTGAGGCTGACCAGCAGCAGGTCCGCCAGAAGACACATTACCCTCGGCGATATCTCTCCAAACGTATCCACGCCCAGGACTGAACTGTAGGGGACTGTCGCGTGTAATCCAACTGTCCGTCGCAGGGCGTTGCCCGGCCTCGCGGCACCGGCGGTACGGGAACCGTCGTACCCGTGTGGGCGTCGCTGGCGTTGCTCCCGGTCTCCGGCGACGGCCGGATCGGTTACTTGACGGCGACGGCCGGATCGGTTACTTGACGGCGGCGGCGGCGGCTGCTCTGGCAATGCAAGGTAGACCAGTAACGGTACCGGAAAGGCAGTCGGATTGATCGCAGTAGGATTCGCACTTGGATTCGCGGTCGGATTCGCAGTCAGATTGATCGCAGTCGGATTGATCGGAATTGAATTTAATGTGGAAGAAATGGCTGTAATTGCGTTTTCTGAGCTTACTTTGCGTGGAATTCAAAGGTAGTAAGATGGATTGTCAGGAGGTTGGGGTTGGCGCCCGGGATAACCCTAACCCTCATGGGGTACTAGTGCGCCAGTAAGAAAGTGCTAGTGCGCCCGGAGTGGTTCCCTACTTGTAACCTCCATTGCCTGCTTACGTTACCTCCTACCACCTAAACCCGCATCTTTGCCACCAACCTTGAACTGCACATCGCCTGTTTGCTGCAAGCGGACGCGAGCTTGGGCACACCGCGTTGGCCTGCAATGCAGGAACAGGTCAGGGATTGAGGAAAAACCTGCAATCCTGAATCGAGCAACGGACCTTCCGTGTGTCCAGATTCCGTCCCGAACAGTTAACTGCTCTCTTTTTCTGACATTTTCGGATGTTCGGTGCCAACTAACAGCGAAAGTGATGACAACGAGGATCCATTGAAAGCAATTGCTATCAGTTCCTTGGCGTACCAAACCCCCAAAACTCTCAATGGTCAAGGCATATATCACCTGCAGACGGACGGGCAGCCAAAACCACGTTGCTTCTCGCTCGGTTCCTCCACCCACCTGTGAGGCTCGCACAGCATTATTGGGTGTGGAAGCGAAAGCAGGACGAGTGACTGGGTTGCTGAACCTGAAAAGCACCGTCCTTGCTGCTGACTCGCAGCAGCCGAGGGAGAAATATCGACAAGCGGCAATTCGGGACCATGACTTACAGGTCAATACTTGTTTGTTTGTTAGCGCGAAACTTGCCCCGCTTTTTCTAGCCAGCCACAGCCCAGGAACCCGAGGAATTCGACCAACCAAAACACGTGCATCTGGCTCACTGACGTATTTTCTAGCTTACATAACTTCGATTTTTCCACCCTGGCATGCACCCGTGCTTCAACTTTTCCTCATTCCTCAACTCCTGGACCTGACTATTCCTTATACACTCTCAACGTTGCAAAGATTACTCCAATCGACAGGGCTTCAAAACAACTATCGCCAGGCCTTCTCCAGGGTTTCAAATCAATGTATTGGCTTGACACCCCTGCTCAGATCCACTCCATGTACCACGCTAGCAAACAAACCAGGGTGTCCTGTATCTCAGAACTCAGACTAGTGGGCGCTACGTATCGCACCCAAATTGGGCTTAGTCTTCTTACAGGGCCCCACTAGTGACATTGACTGGGCCACAACCAATCAATTGATAGATACGTACCTTATACGCGCCTACGCGGCCACTGGTCTGAGTGGTCGATTTGATATTTCCATCCACAGGTTAACACTCTTCCAACAACCTTCGTACCAGACCACGTCAAACCACCACAACGTTGTTCCTCCCTATATAATACGTACGTTGGAACTGCCTAGTTGTGAGCTCTTTACTAATACCATTATAGGGCTTGATTTGTATGTCTCTCCGAGGGAAATTGTACATCCTATAGCTTGCGCGAATGCCATCCTAACGGGCTTTCTATTTTCCTACCTCCCTACGGCCTAACGGCCCGGATCTTGCTCCTGGGGCTCAATCTGACCCAGGCGAAGCTCCCTACCACAGGTTGCCTTGCTCAGGCCTGTACAGCACGCTTTAACTGTACGCAAAGGCCAAATGAGGCTTCTTCTTTGGGCACCAGGGGCGACCATTGAACGTTGAATTCGTGGGTGGAAAAGTTGCTCCGGAGGAAGGAAAATGGTCAATCTTCAAGTGGTATTTTGTTGCAGGTCAACAGGGCTTGTGGTTGTGGATTAGCATATGGCCATCCTCCTGACAAGCATGTTAACCTCTCAAAAACCACTCCTCTAGGCCAACCTTTCCTACTTCCAATAGTCGCATTACAACAAAAATTATACCATTAGAATCCTCTTATTCTGGCCATCCTCCGCATATATGTATTATCGTGGATTGGCGTTGTGGTTGTGATCATGATGGGGGGGATATTGTCCCAGAATGGCGAAAATGTTAACCTCTCATGTATGGGGAGTCCAATCGCCAACTCAGACGGTTTTTTTGGGCGACCTGGAGAAAAAGTGGGGTATGGCCTAAGCACAGACCATTTCATCGTACTGGTCCGCACTAGGACATGAACTAAGCCAAATTTGGCTGGTGCATTGTCCTGTACCGTACAGATTACATGAAGATTACCACCCCCTGCCCTGCACCCGCCCCCGGCGACGGGGAAGCCGGGCCACCTACGCCCACAAAAAACGTCTTGAGTCTGAGATAAACCATGACTCCCATTCGCTTGTTGAGCATTGGAAAAAAAAAAACCACGGGGGTGGTGAAGTGACATGGACGCGCCAGCTGTCATTTGTTGCTTCCGCCCTTGCAGTCGTAGCGCATATGTGTGCTGCCAATATTTGTTCGTGGGGACATTTTCATGCGAAGAAAGTTGGAAAAGAAAAGAAAGTATACCCTCGCTGTCTCCCGACTTTCTCCTCGCCTGCCCTGTCCCGTCATGCAACATCGCCTAGGGGCGGTGATGACATGCGACCCGCGCTTGGGCATGAATGCCAATCTTCTCGCTGGCTAAGCAGGCAGGTTACGCCGCAGCTCGTATCTCAACGTGTTTGTTTATCTCGGCTCCGGTGAGGGTGAACAAGCGGCAGCGGTCCCGGACTCTATCGGACCTCCGTTGTGCTCTGAATGTGATGAATATGACACAGCCAGCACCTTGTGACGTAACGTTAGTAGGAAGACTGTCAGGATTTGGAGGAAATGACGGCGTTCAGAGATACTCGGGTCCTGTAACTGGCAGACCCTTATTCTGAGAATTCTTAGCCAGTGTCCGACGGCTGACTCCAATGACTCCAGTCCCATTCATTGCCATTCTTACCTGGCTAGTGAGCAGTTAGCGAATGCTTGATGATCCCTTCAACACTGCAGTTGGACTCTAAAGGGCTAGGGATCTAGCCTATCCGGTCTATTTAAACGCAATTAAGTAAAGTCTATACTGAACCTCACGTCTATCGTTGATGCCTCAACCTCACACCGTCTAGGAAAAAAAAGGGAGCATGCTCATTAGATCATCCCGCGGCATTATCTGCCCTCCTAGCCACCAGGATTCCTACACTCGATCATCCGCAATCTCTGCCAGGCTACATCCCATGCGAGGCACTTGGGAGTCTCGTAGGGAGGTAGTCCTGTCGGTGGAGGACTCCTTAGCAGCCGCGGAGGTAGTACTCGGTGTCTCGCGTGCCTTTCGCTTGGAGTGCCCGCCCTGTTCTCGGCCCTTTCTTTGGGCGAACTTGAACGGGGATCCCACTTTGTTCGTACTCACCGGCAAGATCGTCAAACGTCTTGCCGTGGGCAGCTGCGATTTTTCGAATCTTGTACGTACGCGCCAGCCAGACGAGGTGGGACAGGAATATCCCGATCTCGAGAACACAACTATATTGGACAGATGCCGGATCAGGGTTTGAGCTCTTGTCGGATCTGAACCTCCCTTCACTTACCACACAATGTAGAGCACCCCGCCCAAGATGTCAAAGGTCTCCTGTGCAACTTGGTCGTATAAGCAAACACGAACTGGACCATCCGGCACTTGGCGTACACCTACCAAGGGCCATGAGTGAGAAGAAAGCACCGAGCCAGTCCATGGAGAGGAAGATCTAGTCTGGTCAGCATCTGCGCCCATCCTGACGGGATCCTGCCGCACACAGTTGAGACTACCCAGTTGATACCAATCACTCTTCCTCTGCGCTTCCAGATCTCGCCGTATGGCGGTAGAAGGCCGGCCGCGAGCAAGACGGCAGCTACTATGCCCACGACCAATATCGGAGCCTCGTTGCCAGCCTCGTAAATGGGCTACCATTATAACATCAGCCACCCTTCTGAGCAGTAGATGATGCAGAGCACGCAACCTTCAAGGTCAGGATCAGAGCTGCCTCAACGCTCGCAAATACCGAGGCTACAATGAGGGCCGTGAACCAGACTCTCCATGTTGGCCATCTCCTGTGGCGAACAAGTCAGCGCCGCTGCCAAATATATGCGAAACCACACTTCAGGGGCTGCCTTACCTATGGTACAGCAACGTCTGTGCCCAGCTTACCAGACAGAGAGTGAGAAATATTTGCGGCTGGACTTGAAGAGGGATGTTGAAATTCTGGGCAACTGAATAGACGCCGAACGGGACACCACCTGCACGGTCGTGAGTATCGAGAAACCGAATGCTCTGGCGTTGCTCGGTCGCCTAGATAAGTACTCACTGAGAGCCCACAAAAACATCATGTTACCCGGCAGACCGTCCGTCTTCTTTGTCCGCCAGTTGGTCCATATCTGGGGGATGAGCTGCACACACCACAAGCTGTGGGCAGCCAAGGAGTTGGTAAACAGATCAAACATTAAGTTAGTGGATATACCGCACTTGGAGACTTACACTGTGACTTGTCAGTCAGGAATCGGATGTTGGCTGTGCCTATCTAGCGAACGGGGTTCCCACCTGTGCCAATAGTCTTGAGTAGAAGGCAAGATAGACAAAACGTTAGAAGCAACCACAGGGATGTGTTTGATCCAGTCTTACACCGAGAACATTGGCAGCCTTTTCAACGACACTGTTAGCTGCGCTCGGAGCATTGGGTATCATCATGTGAGGGAACACACCATCGGGGTATCCGCTTGGGGCGCCATACTTTCTCTTCTCGTTTGAGACCGAAATATACAATATACAGAAGAGTTGCCGCCTCCGGGGAAGAAGACGCGCCTTTCGATAGCTATCCACTTTCAACTGAGAATCTTAGAACATCTGCGCCCGAACGGGTATAATATGAGAGCCCAGGCGTGAAAACCCCTGTATGCAGGTATGAGGTCCAGGTGTCAAATAAGAGAGAAAAATTGGATGGGTTCCAAGGTCATCAAAAGCGATTCAGCGGGATCCATATTGACTTTGAGATCAGTGGTCTCTTGCTTTCAAGTCGTGAATCGAAGTGTTCGAGATGACACCGAAGTATTCATGGAACTTATACTCGTTGTTGCGGTGAAGGGCCGTTCCCGACCTGGAACCGCGAAAGATTGGGCCATCTCGCTGTTTACGGTTAAGTCCATGCAAGGGGGAGCAACACAGCTTCCAACCGGAGATAGGATAGAGCCCATGCAGAGCAGCTTGCCACTGTCGTAGGTTGCTTTATCTATAAAATTGTGTGGTTGGTCGAGGAACCAAACTTTGGCCACGAAAAAGAGACGGTTGAGCCTGGACAACAATCTGGGAAGTCTTCAACCAGAGGCCCTCTGAGACTAACTCAGCCGGGAGCCGCTACATCACAACACGACGTAGCGTCTCTGTTGGTGACCTGTAACTGTAAACTTGCCTATATAACGTTGGGGAGGAAATGGAATGGAACTGAAGGAAAATACAGACCAAAGGAAATCCCATCGCGATGTCAGATGGAAAGCGTGACCACTGCTGAGTGCCAATGGTGCAGGTAGCACAATTGTCTTACACTGTGCTCCCGCAGTTCTGTAGTGCACTGGGCAGCGACCCTCGTAGGCGAAGAGCATGCTAGGTGGCGGCTGAGGGCTGTTGGTGTAGGGCATCAAAATACAGTGTCTAACAGTCCGCGCACTGGCATGAGGGTCCGAATCTCGAGAATTTTCCTCTGCTAACTTGAACTTATTAAAGGCAACGACTCAGAACTTGAAGGGGAAAGCTCACAGACTTCGCAGGCCATTTTTGTTCACTGTGTAAAACCGATTCAGCATTAGTACTTCAAGTTGTCTTCAGCTTAAGTGCCAACTGCCTTACCTTCTGAAGTGGCTTCTCCGCAAGAGCCAGCTCTATACTGGCAACTTACGCACCACAACTTCCCTAGATTGGTTACTAGCCAGGTTGAGCATTGTTAGAGGAGCCGACTTGGTGCAATAAGCTGCTGTCACTGAAGCACAGCATGGCAACCGAACAACAAACACAAACAAAAAAGAGGAAACACCAAGATAACAGCGGTAGACAACGAAAGAAGCAAAAGAAGGTCCGAGATGAGGAGGGCGATCTGGACGTGGAGCTGGGCCTGAACAGGGCGTTTGAGCGGATGGACGGCCAACTTCTCGCCGACCACATCGCGCAAAAGACGAGCCGTTTCGGGACGGACCTGAGCCCGGTCGAGCTGTCGGATCTGTACATTTCCGGTGAGTATGCCTCGTTTACCGGTGCGCTGAGCATTCACCATTGACCGAACGTGATGAAGCGAACGCCATCCGAGACAGCACCTCGTGGCAGAAGCCGCGCTCTCTGGAGAACCTGCCGGCCTTCTTGGAGGCGTTTGCTGGGGAAAAGGAGAAGCTGGACGATGCGTCCAAGAAGTGCGGCGCGCCGCACACAATCATCGTCGCCGGTGCTGGCCTCCGTGCGGCCGATTTGGTCAGGTAAGTAATGCACTCTGACGCCCCAAGCAATCCGGTTAGGGTTTGACTGCGGAGAGAAACACTAATCGCATACACCCGCAGAGCTGTCAGGAAATTCCAAAAGAAAGGGATGCCCGTGGCAAAGCTGGTAAGGAGGCCGTCTCACCACATCCAAACACGAGCACAGTCTTTTGAAGCTGACGCCGGATATGCCAAGTTTGCCAAACATTTCAAGCTTGAAGAGCAAGCGTCCTTTCTCAACAAGACGCGCACTGGGATTGCAGTGGGCACGCCGCAGCGTTTGATAGACCTCATTGAGAACGGTACCTACACTCTACAGCTCCCTGGTTAGGGAGTGTCCCGCTAACTCGGAATCTAGATGCGTTATCACTTGAAGATTTGAGAAGGATAGTGGTTGATGCCTCACATATTGATCAGAAAAAGCGAGGCATCTTGGATATGAGGGAAACCATGATGCCTCTTGCCAAGCTCCTGTCTAGGGCCGAGTTCAAGGAGAGATACGCGGACCCAGACCGGCATGTCGATTTGATATTCTACTAGATACCACAATCATGGAATAATGAAACACGGCTCAAGTCACATCATCTGGAACCAGCACATGGAACCTTCTGGTCAATAAAGTTGCAAATCAATTCAAGTGTAGAGCTACGGCAAGACAAATTTAGCCCAGCTGGCATGGGTCAGAACCAGTACCCAGCCGAGCGAAGACTTTTGCCCTGACATTTGCTTTCTCCCGCGAATCGAGCACACTCGTCCTACGGAGGCAAGATGGGCCTGCAAGAGAGGTGCGTACCACACGGGATGTTGATAGCAAAATCTCTTCTGGGAGTTTCCTAGGTATCCCGTTAGCCACAGGTCCATAACCAAGCAAAACTTGTAGGATGAATCAAAACAAGAAAGGACGGTGCGTTGTCGTGAGGTTCAGAATATGTAAGAATTGACTATCATTTGTCCGCCAGATGTAGCAACCCCGGCGAAAGGGTGCCAACTGTGCGGTATCAATCGCAAATTACGCTCATCATGACGACAGCTTAAGGTGGAGGTGATGAGGGAGTCAGAGAATGAATGAACGTACCATGTAGCTCAATGGTGACGACCAATCTATGTTCGTAGCCCGAAGGGATCGAGCCCAAAGTTCCAGATGGATGAGAGCAGATAGCAGTGTGTTCACTGGTGTCCTGCCCGACTTACCTTGGATCGAGCCACCGCACAGCAGCGTGAGGTACCTAAGTGCGGAGGACATTGACATCCTCTCTCTGGCTCGGGAGGCGCTTCCGTCGCACGGGAAGTAGCCGCCTGCAACCAAACGGAGAGTGCCTCAAAATGTGTGAGAATTGAGGTTTGAGGAAAATTTCTGGCAGACGAATCTTTGCGCTGTTATAATCCGGTTGTTGAAGGATTAAGTAAGCAGCTAGCTTGGTGGGTCTGCACCGACAGCTGCTTGACAACCGATCAGTGGAGAATACGGAGGAACTGTAATCCGTACACTCACCAACAATCAAAACCTCCTAATCCGATCTCCTCAAAAGGGGACTTCTTCAGTCCTTCTCCCTTTGTGGCTTCTACGCGTATCCAGATTTCGAAGGCTCCGTGCAGCCAAGCGTTCGGCAGTCGGAAGCCATTGATAACACGCTACTACTATCGAAGGCACCGAGTACTCCGTACAAAGCAGTGCAGTTGTAACAAACAGGCTTCCATTCCATTCGGGCTTGCACTCGAGTCCGATTAACAAAGGGAGAGTCCTGATCTAAAAGCCCATATCATCCGAGTTAAGGGTGGAAAGGAGGCAAATGTGATGCGAGACTTCAAATTGGATGGCTAGGACAGCGACCCCAGTTGGGATACGGGAAAGGTGGTGCGCTGCGAGGTTGGGAGGGTTTATAATCTCGCCCCCCCTGCTCCTCCCTTCTTCACCATCCATTGGGAATGTCTCGATGCCCATCTAGCCTCGGTGCCTGATTGTGGCAAACCGAAATGAATGCGCTACCTAGGGGGAGAAGAGAAGAGAAGAGAAGAGGGGAGAAGGTGTTAACCAGTAAATGCTTGGTCCGGATCGGCGTGTTCGGAAAAGGGCCAGCACCACCAAAGTCTTCCGCATTTGAGAAGCTTTCATTTACTTCTTCTCTTCTCTCTCCCAGGGGCAGGGTCTGATTCGCGTTATGGGCTACAACTGCACGAATGCCCCGGGAAAAGGGAGCGAATGCCTCGCGAGCTCTTTGCAGGGGAAGGGAGAAGCCTGGGAAGTCACCATGCCATGCCGTATCGGTTCTTCAAACGGCTAGATCACAAACCCTGCTGTGCTATGTTGGCCATGAGAGTCGCTTCAACGTCGGTGCTGTTCGTAACAAACAATATAACTAGCCGGGCTCGAGAGGACTCGGCCGCTTTGTGTCGGATCCTCGGATCATGGCCGGCTGATCTCATGGTCAAACCGCCGTGTGTTGGGTTGGACATGATGGCACGGCCCGACGGTGATGAGCACTGACGAACGAAGGCATTGGGTGTTGTCGCCTGCTGGTGGATTCTTTGACTGTCGTCTAACTTGGCTGCAGTTACAGTTACAGTAACAGTTCCCCGTCAGGCAGATGCCGCGTACTACATATCATTGAAAACAGGCCGCAGGGGCGTCAACAGCCTCTGGCTGGCTGGTTCGGTGCAGCAGGAGTCGTCGTCGAGCAACGCCGTACGAACAGCGCAGAGAAAGGACGCCATCATCATAACGGACGAGACACACCATATTAGTAGTATTGCAGCAACACAGTGTACGCTTGAATTTACTTGAAAGTACATCACATACCAACGTTCTCGTATCCAACTCTGCTGCGGGTGGTCAGGGGCTTGAAAACCTGCCAGAGGACACCCGTGAGTCCGTGGCAACGTTTGTTCTCGTTCGAGCACCCTAGAGGCGTTTCTCCCGCTGCCCAGCAGCCACCCGACACAGATATGAAGACATGCTACACAGGGAACGAACTGGTAGTCGCTAACCTCGATTGCCGCGGCATGCTCTACAAACAGGCGTGGCCAGCAACGTAGCCAGAAGTTTGCCAGTTAAACAAATGGAACCTCTGAAAATGCCCTATTCCCGAAAATCTCCTGCTCATCAAGAGCTCAGCTGTGAGGTGTGACGGGGAGCTATATATAAGAGCCCGACTTCGGATCCAGCTGCCCAGTCAGTGAGCAAGTAAAACACAAACGGGAACTAAGTAGACAAGAGAAAGAAACCCTGTCAGACTCTATTCGGGTATCCTGCGCTATCCAGAAGATCCGTCCTGTTGCCCGTGTAATTTGTCCCTGTTTAGACTGTATCCATGCCCAAAAAGCAATTTGTTTCCCAATGGCGCGAACCAAACCCTCAAGACTCCGAATCCAAGACCGCCGTGAAAGATGCAACGCTGAGCGCAGAGCAACAAGGAAAAGAAATCCAAGAAAAAAAAAATAGTCAAGCCGCCTCGCTGGCAAAGGACATCATGTCTGCATGACCTTCTTGATCTTCACAAAGAGCTGGCCTCCACATTCCTTGCGCGTCTCGGGGTTCAAGAGGTTGATGCACCTATATCCCGGCTGGAGGCGATCAAGACGGATACAGGCCCAGGCAACCGGCTTGTCGCGGAGTTTGTTCGCACTCTGGAAAACCTTGAACCTAAACAAAAACAAATGTCAGATTGTTGGTCAACGACACGCTTCAAGGGCAACTAGAAAAGCATGGTAACTAACCTGACAAAGCTGAGCTCCTCGACAACGTCTTGAACGCAGTTGAACTTCAGGTTGGGGACATAGAAGCCCCAGTCCGGGTGCTCGGTCGAGCTGCGGGACGTCCAACGCACATACTCCTTCTCCTTGTTGTGGGCCTTTTCGACGTGCAGCTCCACCTTGACCCGCGGCCGAAACTTCTTATCCCCTCTTGCCACGACGCCGCCATTCTCCGAGTCGCTGTCCTTGTCGCCGCGGGGTAGGAACTGGCCGGCGAGCACCTTGATCTTGAGGTCCATGTTGACGCGATGGGAGCCGCCCGTGGGCTTGTCGCTGAGCAGGCCGGGCGGCTTGAGCACCCAGCCGTTAGTGCCGGCAAACATGGCGTCGTTAAGCATCATGCCCTCGTCCGTCTTCTGCCAGTTCATGGCCACCATTTGCACCCCTCTCCGCCAGTGGATGGTCGGGTCGGGGTTGCTGCTGTTGACTCGCATCGGACTCGGATATATGCGCATAAAAAAATCTCGGTTGTGCGCGAGGAGTCTTTGGAATTTGCTAGGGTACTTGGTGAGTTCTGAGAAAGACTCCTCGCTCAGACTGAAAATGTGGCTTGGCGTCTTGGAGTTGAGCGAGTCCACATCGTCGTAGTGTTCGCTGTGGGTGTAGATAGCCAGAGCCGCGAGGGATTCGCAGATTGGCGGCTTGGCGCGGATCGCGATCCCACGGCTACGTCCTCGGTCGACATCAACAGCCTCGCCCTTGACCTTGGCATCGTCCGCAACCTTGCACTTGTCCTCTAGTCTCTTCACTTTGATCAAAATCTTGTAATACAGCTCCTCCAGCCTGGGCTGTCTCTCCCGGGGATCGCAACCTTCCAAGGGTTTGTCGAGAAGCAAGTCGCCCCATTCCTCCTTCATGATCTGCACCATGAGCTCCTGCTGCTCCCGGCTCGCACCGACCTCGAGGCTGACAATGATCGGCAAGGGATTCGTCTCAAATGCCGTCTCTCGGATGACGCGGCACACATCCCGGAACTTCACGGTGGACGTCATGGTCCCGTGATGGTGCACTACCGGCTCCCCACTGAAAGTGGGCCGAGGCGACTCTTTGGACCGTTCGAGGCGGTCAGTTAGCTCCTTTGGGTCCAAGGAGGAATTGTTTTCTCGGGGATCTGGTGCTGGGAAGGACGTCTGGTGAGCGCTCGGGCTCCGGCTATGCCGGCTCGATCTGCCACTCATGAGCACGTCGAGCTTCTCTCCGACGCGCGGGATCGAGGCTGACGAGAACTGCTTCCGGTGTCCTGGCTTCGGTGACCTCGACGGGGTGCGAGAGGTGGGCCCGTCCCAAACGTCTATCTCGATGCAGCGGCATCCATTCTTCAGCGCGGCCCGATATGCTCGGGCCGAGCTGTCAGAGGTGAGCTGATTACCAGTAAGGTACGTGTTGTGGCTGCTGCTGATGAAGTAATGGCTGAGGGGCCTCGATGTGTCGACGTCGTCCTGTCGCGACCTCCCGACGGCATCCCATATCGACGGATTGCTGCTCCAGATCCAGAAGAATTCCTTCAGATTGTATTCATCTTGCGTTAACAGATCGGAGATGTCGACTCCCTGCTTCTTCTTGATATAGGCGGCGAAGTCCTCGCGTAACAGGAGAGGGTGCCTGCCTTTGGCCTGCTCGTAGAGGTGCTTGACGTGCCTCGTAACGGACTCGTGATAAGGCACGTATTTTCCTTGGAGGTCCTTTACATCACCCGTCATCGCGGCCTTGTTGGTGACGAGGCTCCGAACGTTCCCGCCGAGTGCCCCTGCGAGGAAGGCGACATTGAGCATGGCAGATCCCGCTTTGCTTGACGTGGGGAGTTTAACGTTGAACCCGGTTGTCATCCTTCGCATGAAACCCCCTTCTCGGGCCGTCTTCTTGTCTTTGCGAAACTAGGCGGGCACGCGACATCGTTAGTATCCTGCTTTGCTTATTCCCACGAATTCCCATAATTGAAAAGCACGGGTCAAATAACCCCAGAAACATACCCTTAAACAAGCCATTCTTGCGAGGGGCTGCCAATTGGCAAGCCGGCTCTGATCTGGTGTCGCAGCCTTGTGGAAGTGGGTGGGGGAGGGGGGGGACGGTTTGGCGGCCTTTCAGAGTCCCAAGCAAATGCCCGGACAGGAGGAATGCCCGCCGGGCTTTAGGACTGACGGAACTAATCAATGCCGGGTCTGCTGAGGGTCACTCAGAAGAGATGCTGTTTTTGAGTCTGGGAGGAAAAGGATGGCCCAGAGAAAGTACATGGCCCAGAGAAAATACATGGCCCAGTCAAGACATGAAATGGTTTCTAATCAAGCGTGAGATTGGCATGTCAGCAATAGGTACTGTAAACTGGAGGCTCAGCAGCCTGTCACGGAGCCTTGTCCCTTCGACAGTGGAGTGCTTTCATCCAATCGACCCCGGGAAGCCCCACCACCCCCAACGGCCCAGGCCCGTGTTTGTGGCCCAGCCCCGTGGTTCAGGAACCTGATGCTTCCTGGTTGATCCTGGGCAGATTTTCAAGAGGGAAAGAACTGCCCAACATCGACGTTGGCAAACAACGCTTGCTGCGCTGGTCAACGAAAGTGGCTGCCATGACCAACACAAGAGGTAGACCGTGGGCAAGTTTTCTGTCTTCCCTTTCTTTTCTTCTCCCAAGCCTGGCTACGAGATGTCGGGACTTGAGAAGGGCATTTGGGAGAGAGTGACAGACCTTCAAAGATCAGCACAGCTTTGCAGGGGCAGTGTTTCTGTCGATCTCGACGCAATCTGTCAGCCCTAAGTGTTCGGTATAAAGTACACCTGCCCACCCACAAAACCTGCCGAATCACGAACCACCACAACCCAGTCTCAGCCAGTATAGGACTCGGTGGTACCGAACCGGGACAGCGAACCGGCGTGGCTGTGCTACCATTTCCTGGTTTGGCACCGGTCGTCGACGACTTTCGACTTATCCGTACCTACGCTGGCGTTCTCAACTACATACATACGGTTCCTACCCACCGAGCCCACCTACGCAGTGCAGTTGGGCATTTGGACCGATGTTGCATCGACCATTCGCTGGCCCCGCTTCAAATCCCGTATTCTGTTGGTCCTCTGGAGCCGCATGGACACCGGTTTCCACTGATCGTCAAATGGGTTCGATGGGATTGCGAGGATTGATACGTTGCAACCGATGACCCCAGAGCATAGCCGCAATGGAGGGGCACAGCACCGCGCCCGTCCAGCGCCGAGTTCACTGTGAAGTTTCGGCTTTTGCACTGGCCACGGAAAGCCTGAGCCAAGCTGCGAGATGGAACGCGAACAACGGCTCCTCCGTGATCCACCGAGCTGGCCAAGAAAATCACATCACAATCGATTCTAGTTTACAGTACTGGCTGGGGTGCAGTTGGCTTGCAAAGGAGACCACGGGATTGACAAATAAGTAGAACGTTCAAACAGAGTACGTAGCGAACTGCCTATAACACTCTTCACCGTCTCTAGTAGCACGATCGAGAGCTACTAGACAAGCCGAATAGTTGACACTGTGCATCGTGCAGCCATCTATCCCGATCCCAAACCGCCATGATTCTCTGTTCTCAACATGGCCATTGTGGTCAAGGCTGAGGGGCTGTGAGGTCGTACTGCGCTGCGGCCCGGTACGGCCGGCGGCTAGCGAGATCCTCAACGTCTGCTATCTCACAGATCACCAGATCACCATAGCAGCGGATGGCTTTTGGCTTTCTTGAGTTCATCCACTACACTACAGTAATCGACAGGTTAATGTGGTCTTTTAGCCTTGCACCGTATGAGACAGTACATCCACCTTGCGAGCCTTATACACTGCTATCTCCCTTTCCAAGCGTTTACCATATCTCTGGCGCCAGTTCAATCCACTTGCAAAGACAGTCCTACAACACCAAGTAGTAAGGTAACCAGGCATCACTAACTTAACATTTTCTCTTCATGTATGTAAGCCCGCCTGCCTGCCTATCCGTCTCCTTGTCGCCGATTCCACCCCCCTGGGCCGTCTCCAGAATGACCATAACTCAGCCTCCGCGGGCGGGATTAGGAAACACCAACCATCACCCCTACTGTATCGTACAAGTACGCCTCTATTTCATTCCAAATTCGAGCAATTCTAGTGTTTCACTTCTTCTCTCATTTCAAATCCGCTATCGGCTACTTGTCCCTACGTATAATACAGAACCCAGCCATGTCAGCAACCTGGAGCCTTGAAGCCTGGATGTCTTCAGGTTTTCAGTCAAGCAGCCTCAAACCGCAGTCAACACATAGTATAATTCTTTCAGTTTGTAACTAGACAGAATCTGCCCATGTCTGTCAGTGTCACTCTTCCCTGCTCCGGTGATTCTTCCCCACCTGTAAATCCTGCGCCAGACAAAATTGACAACACAAGGCAGGATAAAAAACTAGCCCAAGTCCTGTGGTTCCTGTATGAACTGTACTTTGATCCCGAGTCTAAGTAAGAGACCCCGATTTTCTCTCTCTGAGCGGTCAAAGACGGTAAAATAATAAGGAAAACAAAAGGGATGGAACAAAAGGTCGGTAGACCCAAGCCAGGCTTAGACGATCTAGATCTGATTTGCTCATTAGATCTCAAGGAAATGAGCGCGGATAGCCGAGTTTGAATTGAAAGATTGGTGGTATATGGTAATGGTATAAAGCTGCATCGGAATGCAAAAACGCCGTTCCATGTCTGGATATCACATGCGGAAGAAACAAAATTCTCAAAAAAGGAAATGTGACAACGAGTTTCATCCCCAGATCGGGACATTGCGGTAAGCTGGTGAATTGTAGCTGTGCAGCACGCGGTACGGGGGATTCGGACCGTATGCGTATGCGTTTCGGCTCCCCATGCTGCGGTGTCGGTGGTGGCCCGCCCGCGGCCCGTACGACGGCTGCGGGTAACCACCGTTCTGGTACCACTGCCCCGCAGCGGCATCGAGCTGGCTCCGGGTCCATGTAGAGGCGACGTCGAGCTGTCCCCTCACTCGGGGATCGTGTACCGACTTGGACGGCGCAGTGTAGCCGTTGGACATGGAGGGAGGATAGCCATACCGAGGGTGCCGTTGCTGGTAATAATGGCTGTCACCGTCGTAGCTTGCACGGTGCCTTAGAGGTTGCTGAGGCGTACGGACCTGCCATCCTTGTGAGCTGCTTGGGCGCTGGATGCCGTAGCCATCAAAGCTCTGAACTGAGGAGATGGAATTGCGGCGACTGCCCCCTGAGACAAAGGGCTGGGGGGATCTATGGCTCGTCCCATGCTCGGTCCCGGTCTCCCAGTTGGGAGATTCCGCCTGTGAAGATTGCGCGGCATGAACACGACGGAAAGACATAAGTCGTCGCGGGTCCATGCTAAAACCACCGGGAGACGATTGCCCGGAATCACTTGGCATCCCGTATTGGTTGGAGGAGCGGCTGTTCATGGTATCTCTGCTGCCCTTCCCCGAGAGAGGGAGCGCTGCTGGATAACTTTGAATGCTCTCCCGGCTGACTTTGCGATGGAGACTGCTAGTAGATGATTGTGGCCGCAGCGGTGGCGGTACGCGGAGCGACACTGGTCTGTTCGGCGTCCCATTGACGGGAGAGGCCGTCATGGATTTGTTCTCAGCGGCCATCGCCTTGGCGACCGGGCTCGGGAGAGCAGGTGATGGGAAGCGCGCATCCGAATTCAAAACCGCTCCTCGCTCACCCGGCAGCGTGAGACTCATTGCCCGCCCAGTGGGGTTGCGAGACGAGCGCCCAACAGCTTGAGCATCAACCGCAGAAATTGACGAGGTGTGCGCGGCATCGATGTCTAGGGAAAGTCGTCCCTGGCCGTGGCGCCTGGACGCTCCCGGCTCCGCTTTTTGTGGCGCCTCTTCACGGGCTGGCACCGGTTTCCGGACTATCGGCTTCCTGGGAATGACATGCGCCGCAACTTTGGCAATAGAGGCTGGCGCTGACTGCAGCGCCTGTTTCCAAGGGGCTTCTTGGGGCTCGGACTGGGAGACAGGCTTGACAGCCCTTATGGAGTTTACCGCCTCAAGACTAGCCTCGATGCTACCTACACTGAAAATTGTTTTCAACGTATCTAGGCTGGAGCGCTGTTTCACGGTCAGCTTCTTCGTTGCCGCGGGAAACTGGCCAGTGTGCTCGCGAAGCTTATTTTCAACATCACGTGGGATTGCCGGGATACTGCTGTGTTCAAGAGCATGCGTTGCATGGACAGTCGGTGGCCCGGTTGTGGGTCGGCGAGATCCGGTCAGAAGTCGCTGCAACCTACTCTGCTTTTGGGTTCCGCTTCCAATACTTAACGCAGAACTTGACTTGTCTGATCTTGACGACTTGACGCTTCCCGGGGTACGGGGCATAGATCCGGGGGATGTTGAACCCCTGCCTCCGGAAGGGGGCGGAAGACTGACGATGGGGTTCGGAATATGCCTCGTCGCTTTAAGAGCATTTGCTCGTGTTAGGTCGTTGTCTTGTACTGAATCTTGGTCTAAAAAGAACTTTCTCTGCTTGACGTTGAGCTTCGGCAGACCGATGGGGGTGCTTTTGGGCGAATCCTTAGGGGGGACGGGTGGGGGTGGCGGCTCCCTCACCGGCGCTGCCGGCTGATGCGTCTCAGGTTCGCCTGGGAAGGGGGTGCCTTCTGAGTTGGTCGACCCATCTTTCTGGTTCGGCTGGGACAGCCGCTTCTCCAAGGAAGCCGTAATCTGGTTCTCGGGAAATCGGGACTTGGATTGGAATGAGCGCAAGGACACATTGGAGCTGTAACCCGAATCCGCCTTGGTCAAAGGCGCATGAGACTCTGATGTGGGGCTTGCGGCGGACATGAAGCCACTGTCAGTCCTCGCGAATGCCGTGGACATTTGACACGCGGGTTCCGGGTGCGGCTGCTTTGCACTCGGATCTAGGCGAACATCCAGGATTTCAATGGAGGAGTACTCAGTTTGCGGCTCATCCTCAAACAGCTCATCCTCCTGAGCAGTCACTTTTGAAGTGGTTTTCAATGGACTTGTAGGCTGAGACAGCTCGGAAAATAATAGCGGATCGAAGCTGATCTCGGGCAGGAGGTCTGATGCAACATCCGTCTTCTTGGGAACTGTGTCCAATTCCGGGACGTTTCCCACGGCTACTTGGTTCACGGACAGCGGATCGAGGTTGCTCGGTCGCACATCGCGCGGTTCCGCTGACTGCACAGGGCCGTACGCAATTGAGGGACCAGCGACGCTCGTTTCATGGGTATGTGTTCCGGTGAAATAGCCGTCCTGTCCACTCGCGCCACCGACAGTTTGTCCCCCACTTCCGCGGCTCTTCCCAACCTCGGGACTTGGAGGGATTGGGGAGCCGTTGGTGATGCGCAGTGACCCAAGCTTAAAGGCACCAATTGACTGGTACTGGTCCTCGCAAGGCGTCACGACTCTGGGGACAGAATCTGGATCCGGAATTCGGGGTGGCATGGACACAATACCGCTCCTGTACGACTCAAACGACTCTTGGCGGGACAGACTCGGGGTCGCAGGATGGCTGTGGCGAAAGTTCGAGTTGGGCAGGGCCGGGAGTTCTCGAGTCGAGCTCGCCCGGGTTGCCACGCCAGGCGTCTGGATTATCGACTGCCTCCGAACCGGCATATAAAGCGACACATCGGAACTTGCGCGAGTGATGGAGGCGCTTGGGGGGTTCGCTGGGTTAGAGCTCTTCCACGTGGTTTCCGTAACCGCCGTCGTCTTGTTCTCAGACATGGCGGTCGCATGGTCAAACGGTAGATCTTCTGTCAAATTCAGTAGACGCTTCGCCTCGTACGATGTCAGGTTGTAATTCCAGGACGTGGTGCGAGAGACGTGCTGGTTTGGCAGACTGCAAGGACACGGTACTGTCAGCATTGGAAGATCCAATCTTCTCACAGAGCGGGGCGCCTACTTGTCAGGGCCTGCCTGTCCATAGTATGCTACCGCAGACTCATACGTCATGGAAGACGCCCTCGTCAGCCTGTCCACGATGCTCGAACCCAGACCGCCGCTGTAATCCCGTTGCAAGGTGTCGGCGGCGGCCCGAGATGACCTGGAGCGGAACAGGCTCCTCCGCCTTGACTCCCTTGGCCGGCCGCGATGCGAGAAGATGGTGGGGGCCCCGTTGTCAAGATGCTGCTCGAAGCCAGCCGAGGCTTCCATTGCCGACGGCGTTGTGGGCGTAGGGGCAATTATCGGGGATGAAGGAGGAGGAGGAGGTTCGGGCAACGGAGCATTGGAGAGACGCCGAGGGTTATTCGAAAAAGCACCGGGACTCAACAGGCCGGCTGTCGCATGGTTCCCCGTCTTTGGCTTGGATAGCTTATGGGACGTTCTCCGGGGTGGCTCAGCCGAAGTGGAGTGGGCGTTACCCATGATGCCGGGCGTGGGCGGCGGCAGAGGATCAATATGCGGTTATTGCTGCTTCCATGCCGCAAAGCCTGCGAATCCCACGTGTGTTGGTTAAGGACGCGGTAGCACGCGGCTTCATGTATGGGATGGGCGGGAGACGGCAATAAAGTCAAGACACGGTTTGCCGGCTTGACTGACTGGAACCGGGACACGACCTCTGCAGGGAGTGAGGATCTCACAGAGCTATGGAACGAGAAAGGGACTGCGAGAGTTGAAGGCTGCGGGAGCTGCTGAGCAGCAACAGAAACAGAAACGGCAATCGGGAAAAGAGAGATGGCTCATTGGGACGTTTCTCTCAGATCTTGCTGTTTCACTGGGCCTAGAACCTGTGGAAGAACAGTCCGTGGACCGCCCAATCCGAGACGTCAAAACACACAAAAGGAGATGATGCGAGGGGGGCTGGGAGTGAGTAGGTATGTATGTATGGAGTATGTATCGTAAAGGTAAGAAGAGGGCCCAGCCGGAAGCGGTTCTCCTGTGTATACAAATCCAACAAGACGTCAGGTAAAGTTGGTTGCTTGATCGGAGGTGTTACCGTACATGAGCGACAGGAGGGCGGTATGGTACCGCTCAGTGCCATGCAACCTTCCTTCCAAAGCAACCTTGAATGAATGGAGATGCAGGACAAATCCAGGCAGGCATGGAGCTTCTGGTGGGGTCTCGCGCCAGATCTTCTTTCAATTTTCAGACCTTACCGATCTGGACATGGGCCCCACAACTCACCTTACCTCACCGAAAGAGGCTAGCGTCATGTCATCCAATAAGGCAAGTGCAGCAGCTAAGCAAAACAGCCCCAGTGCTCGAGAGTACACTGAAGAGCGAGTCAAGATTCAAGAAAAACAGTACATTCGTTTATCAATGTGTCGATGGGAATTATTCATGTCAATGTAAACAGAAGCTCTCAAGGAGGCGAGACCAATGCACACCACACACCCCTTGAATCCGGCAACTGTCTAATATCTGATCATGGGCATTCCCAATCTCCTAGCCTTCCCCTCCGGCTAGCCATGGAACGGCTCCGCCAAGGCCAATTCCAGGTTGCAAGGAAGCAAACAAGGAAAACAGTGATTATCTGCACGCAACAGTAACATTACCGGATACATTTCAAAGTTGGCTATGTACTCTCGGCAGAGGGACATACATAGCAAAAGTGTCAAAGATCCAGCAGAGTGCTGCAAACCTTCTGCACACTCACTCACTGCAAGATGTTGGATGCACAGCAAAGACGTTTCAGACGCAGAACCCCAGCGGGGAAAATGTTTATGTGTTGCAAGAAGCGCACTCCGTGGCGCCCCAAGCCGTGTCATTAGGCTCGGCTCATTCCCCTGTCCTCAGACTTGTCTTGCCTGAATTGAATTTTGCTAGGGAGTATCACAAGCCGGCCAAGCTGTAAGAAATTGCCGCCTTAATCGCGTCCAATCCGAGCGCGCCCATCGACCACCTGCAAGACGACAGGGAACATTGAACGGCCGGGCGGTCAAGGCTATGAAACCTGCATACATTAGATATGTATGTACTCCGTACCATTAGTGTAGGCCGGGCTACAGCGGAGACACCTTTGACAAAGACGAAGGCAGGCAGACGCACAGTTTTACTGCCTGCATCCTTTAACGTTAGCCATACGGGCTGTTCCGTGATTACCTTAGCTTCCAGGTTGAATCTATGCAGCTCATAATCAACGTAGTGTACTGTGGTATCTTGAAGTCAGGCCGGGCGCTGGTCAAAGATGTAACGCTGCATGGCGGAAGCCGGACGAGGACGTCATCTGCGCGTCGGGGCATTCGGCGCTGCAGCTCTCAGAGGCCTAAACACTGACGGGATCCGCCGCGCTTGCGCGTTCCGATAACAACACATGGCTGATTCCGGACGGTGACCGGATTTGGGAGGGACTCTGGGGACTCATGCTAAAGTCCAAACGCCGTGTCCAACATTCTGCTGGCGCCTTTTGAAGCTGACTGGCTGTCGGCCCAGGCCTACAAAGCAGAGCCACACAAGTCGGCCATCTCGTCGTTAGGTACTGTAATTACGCTGTTGCCGCCTTTTTGAGATTGGGGGCTGAGCGTGAAATAACACCTTGTCAGTGTGTAGTTAGATAACCGAATGATGGACGATGCGAATCACGGGCTGGAAACAAGCGTGCCTTATATCCGTATAGACTTGAGGTGAAGCTTCCAATTCTGACATACATATCGCAATCCAAGGCGTTGAAGGTTGAAACTTCTTGGTGGTCGGGCATCTCCACAACCCCATGCCCCATGCCTTGGCGTCGACCGATCGTCGGCAGTTCACCGCCATCCGGACCAGGGTTGCAGTTGCCAAGCCCGGCCAGCTCCAGGCGTGTGCGAGCTACACAAGCTCAACAACACACTAGGTGGGTAGATTCTTGCAACCTGACATCATCACGACAAATTGAAAGTTCGTTCACCAAAACAGAGGCACAGAGCCGCAGTCGTGGATTGCAACCCACCCCTCTATCGACTCCTGGAAATCGCCCCTAATAATAACCTAAGGTTGTAACTTGTGCCTGATTGGCGTCCTCGGATCGGCCGCAGCATGAAATTGCCCAGCACAGAAGGTCGAGCCGGCAGAATAGCGCTGAGACAGCCCGGGCCGGCCAAGGCGGGAGAAGCCAGCTGGCTGCACAACAGCTTTCCCTACCTTACTGACGCCCGCGACTCATACACCGCATCGTATTACCCATCATGTCTATTCATTGGTCCTTGATTTGCTGAAGATGTATTAATCCTGGAGCAACAGACCTTTAGGAGACGGTGACTGAGACTCTACATATGGCATGATGTTAGTTTCTCATGCTTGATTATGTGCGATGTTTACTTAAACTCAAGTCGTCCTTGTATGTACATACCAGTCTCCTTTTTCGCGGTTGACAACAGTGCAACTCTGAATCCTCCGACTATCCAACGCGGAGTCGGCTGTCGAAACCAGGAGCAAACACTTGAAACCTACTGGAGTCCCGCTTGCCTTGCCCCGGCTGCTGACGGCACTGGGGAAGCCATCCGTGATCTAGCTCCCCGTCCTCAAAGTTTTGAATGAGATGAATCGCCAGTTCACGGACCTGAGTGTATATAAAGCCTTTCGGCGCCAAGGATGAAACACATTGAAGGGGTCTAGCGAGCTTCTAGAATCGACGAATTCTGCCGAGTGTTTTGTTGCCACTATCTGTAATGTATGAAGTAAACACTTTGGGTATTCCTCGTGGTCCTCAAAACTGATACAGTAGCAGTAGCTATGCTCGTGTGACTTGGTAGACAAGGTAACCGCGGCAAGGCCAGGTCTTTTTGCTTTTCCTCTGGTGAATACGCAAGTCAACATACATCACTCACTTAAAGCTCATGGCAACCTAGTTCGTCCATATGTACCATATGTACTATACGTATTCCCATGTACTGTACGGAGTACAGTACATACATTACATACAATGCATACACACGGTTAGTCGACTCAAAAAGCTGGGGTGGAATGCAATGACGATTCATGTCACGGACTCTCAAAACACAACACGCCAGCAACATTATAACGACGCGCAAATGATCCTTCTCCAGTTGATCATGGCCCGCCAATGACGGCCGCAGCGCCGCGCGTCCCGGAAGATTGACGCCGACCGCATCCTCATCCTTAACTGCCCAGACCCAGACGGAAATCGAAGACTTCGTTCCGGCGCAGGAGGTGAGGTACCTTGTTGCTATGAAAGCATCAACAGGCTACCTACTCGCCAATCACATAGGTGCATCCCTCCGGGCCAGTCCAGACCTCATGGACGCGGCCGGCATCCACATCGATGCGGTCACCCACGCTGTACGTCGTCTTCTTCTTTTGTTGTTGCTGCTGCTGCTCGCTGTCGCCGTCACCGTTGTTGGCTTCCTTGTCGTCCGGGTATGCAATCGTGAGCTGCCCGCGGAGTATAAGGTGCGTAGTGAGGCCCGCGTGTGAGTGAGGAGGATAGTCTTAAGTTAGGTAAGGTATAAATATTTCTGCCGTGTCAGTGCCAGTACATGCAAAGTCTCATGAAACCGAGTTGCAAGGTATGGATGTAAACAGCAGCCTGATGAAATATGAGAAGAAAGAACAAAACGAATGATATGATAGATATGAACGTACATGAGTTGGGCCCGTCAGACCAGGTAAAAACGTGAGAGAAACCCCACGAGCGAACCTCTGCTTCAGCTTCTTTTTGTGGCTTCATTTGTTGTTCGGGATGGATCTGCCGGGTTGGGAAGAAGTAATGGATTGAATGTGCGTTCTCACAGTGAGAGTGAGAGGTGATGTGAGGATGAGATGAAAAAGACGATGTGAGATTAAGAACCAGTGGGGTTGCCTCCTAGCGTGAAACGCGACTCTTAATGTTCCCCCATGAGCTAACTGCGACCCGGCCGGCACAAGATCACAAAACTGCTTGCTCGCTTTTGTATCAAGCCATTGAGAGCCTGACTACATATGTATAAAACCCGTTCATCGAGCTAAGGCAGTCCATACAAACGTAGCCCATACTTCATTGAAGCAAGACGAGATGAGCTGTGAAGTGTGAAGCAGTGGAAGAGGCACCCGATCACCATCATGAAAAATGAAGGAATATGAGCTAGAGAGATTAATAGAAGGCCGGTGATCTATTCTAGTAGTCGAATCACCGATAGATATTACACAAATGCTCACCCGTCCTGGGCATGAGGCAGCTCCGCCCACTTGCTAGGCTCAACATTGACCGGCTCCATGGTCATTCTTCATGGCTCACAGATTCAACACGCCCACAGCTATTTTCGATGCAGTTGCCCCTAGAGTCCCTAGCTTCGAAGGAAATATTGTATGTACAGCGTTGCTAGATCATCCACCTCGGTAGCTCCACGCAGCCTGTCAACCTGCGGCGGGACGCGAGAGTCGGTCTTGCGATAAGATGAGCTTAGCGAGGATGTTGCCGTATCTGGGCGACTTCACACGTAATATGGTAGACTTGATGGAGGAGAGTTGGTGTGTTTGGGTCTCAACAGAGACCAACTATGACGGGAGAGGGGAAAGTTGCCTCGTCGGCCTGTCACGTATGCCCTGATTGCACAACCGACGAGCTGCTTGGGAGGCGGGGTGTAGATATCCAGACAAACACCCAAGAGAGACCTAAAAGGTGCGGGCCATTCAGCTCTGTGTGAGAGGGCGATCGGTATGCGGTCTATTCCGGTGACTGGCTTCAGGCGGTCAACGCCTTACCCCAAGATCCGGACATCCCAGACGGCCAGCAACTGTGAGGACAGGCCCTGCAATCAGAGTGTTAGACACACAGACAGACAGACAGGGAAACGGAAACCGTCTGAAATTGAGCGCTACACTGACACGGCATCAAGTCTTGAAAGACCTGATTCGCTCCCGCGTGAATTCCTTCCCCTGCCTTTCCCCAATCGATGATCAGTTTGCTGCTAGCCCAGACTGCCCGTTGACTGGGTTAACCGAATTACATGACGAAGCACCAGAGGGAGGTGATGGAGCCCGTATATGCGTCACGACTTGGAGTTGTCGTGGTCTGATGATGGCGGCTTCTCCTTGATGCCGAGCGTCTTGGCCACCCACTGCGCAACCTCGTCCTCGGCAGCCTGATCAGCCTGGCCGGCATGGGCGTGGATTGAGCGGCGCGTAAGCCGCTTGAGATCGTCAATGGACGATATGTCAAAGGCCCAGGAGATGCCGCCGGCCATCATGATGGCGAAGCTGGCGGTGTTGAGGGTGGCCAGGCTCAGCGCCTGCAGAGCCATAAGGGGGTCTTTCTCGGGAGGGCCGTTATGGGTGCGGCCATTGCCGTTGTTTGGCTGGAAGAACTTGAGTTGGGAGGCTAGTTGGTATCTCCTGACTGCGCGTCGCGTGACGATGATGGAGAAGACCAGGAAGCCGGTGCCGCCAAAATAGAGGCCTAGTTGTTTCAGGGACCGTGGCGAGAGGACCGGCGGATACGGCGGCCTCTCCAACTGCTGTGGTGTCGGTAACGTATCGTTCCCGGAAGATGCCCCGACAGTGGATTCCGGAGCCGTTGCCGGCACCGGGGTTGGTGCTGATGTCGGGCCTAGCGTCGCGTTGTTCTCGCTCTTTGGCTTGGACAAGCCAAACCACGACGAAAAGTGGGAGAACATCTCGAGCGCTGAGGACGGTGCTGATAAAAATGCCACTCGTTTCTTTGCACGATTAAGTGCCTTGAGCGCCGCCTGGTCCACACCTGTCGCGTCGTGTCGCGTCCCTAGGTCCACAGGTACCTTACCTAGCGAGTTTTTTGGATCTTGAATTGATGATCTGTTGTTCTAAAAAACGCCTTCAGCGGACTGTCAGAAGGGTTTGCCAAGAAATCTGCCACTGCTATTCAACGTTAGCGCACGCCCCCTGTCTAGGCACTGCCCATAGCCCTGCACTGCACCCTGCCCCTGCACTTCCCCGATTTTCCAACTGCCAAGCCTGGGCTTCTAAGTTCTAACGTTAACTTCAGCGATGGTTGAATTAGCGATACTTCAACCCAAAAAGTAAGACTTGGATAAACGAGAATGCTCGCTTAAAGAAGTAGATTGACTTCAATCTGCATCGATTGTGACGATGGCCAAAGACAAGCGGTCCAAGACAGCAGCAACAACAGCTCCGCTTCCATCGTCGTCTGCGGTGGCCAACGCACCTTCGTGGCCGCCATTCAAGCCGCGGCTGCCCGTCGTCGACCTGAGCCTCGAGACGCTCGTGCAGGACAAAGTTGTCGTGCTGAGATCCTTTTTCCCAAGGTATCTATGCAGGGATTATGTTTCCTTTCTGCGAGACCTCCCTCTCGTCACAACTCCCGGCAAGCCCAAGCGCGGCGAGGCCGTGAGAGTAAACGACCGCTACCAGATCGACGATCCAGCCTTCGCCCGCCGCCTGTGGTTAGAAACCGGTCTCAAACAGGCTCTTTTAGACAGCGATGCTGCCCACCTATGGTTGGTCGCCTCCTCACTCTCATTGTGGCTCCAAGTAAGAAGGGAGGTGTTGTGCTGATGGAAAACGACACGCTCAGGGGTGGGGAGGTCGTTGGCCTGAATCCGAATATTAGAATATACCGCTACTCCCCGGGCCAATTCTTTGATGCCCACTGTAAGCGATGAGCAGCGGAACATCTTGTCCACTGTCGCGTTGAGCACCCCTTACCAGACCTTGCCCATCCGATGTGGATCCCCCTTGTTAACTAAACAAACAACACCCACACAGACGACGACTCAAACAACGTGACCGTCGAGGTCGAGGGCACTGGCCAGCCGGTGCCAGCCAGGACAACGTGGACCCTGCTTCTCTACCTAACCTCTTCAGCTGACGGTTGGTGCGTCTGAACAGCCCTACTCTCCCTTCCACCCCACTCCCGATCAAAACAACCGTCAAAGCTAACAGCAACAACCAAAGCGTCGGCGGCGAAACAGTCTTCTACCCGCACGACAGGCGCTGGGCCAGCGAGGAGATTGCCGTCAGCCTCGAGACAGGCATGCTCCTGCTGCACAAGCACGGCCACGATTGCATGTTGGTAAGTTCAAAATGCCTTTGTTCTCCTCGACTTGGACTCACTTTGATATTGCCCCCCTACCCCTCCCCCACCTCCCCTAGCTTTGCAAGTACTGACTGGCTGACCCGCGTGTTTGCTTCGGACTAGCATGAAGGAAGAGAGGTTACCGCTGGGGAAAAGTGGGTTATCCGGACGGATTTGTGCGTCAAGAGATGACATGATTCAAGTAGATGCTTGTTTATGGACCCTTTTCTGGTGCTGGTCTCTACAGTACTACCTGCGATACCATGCCACTGCTCTTCTTTTCGCGGTCCCAAAATGTCCGCTGTTCTTGGCCGATGGATTATCGTGTCCCAAAATAGACTAGATAGAGTAAAACAAGGAAGGAATTGAAGATGGAAGAGAGAAAATAAATTGGTTCACGCAAGTCCCAAAAGAGCATGCTCATAGGTCAACTAGCGAGTCTCCTATCAATGTTTCCATCATTCAGCTACGTCAGTCCGTCCGTTGAGGCCTCTTTCTTTCTCTTTCCCCCCGGGCGGTAGCAGTAGTATGAGTGGCAGTCAGCATCATCCGCCTGTCGTCCCAGAGCAAAACAGATTGTTTTTCCTTGCTTTTCGCACCACCCATTTCACCGATAAGAGATCTTACAGAGACAGTACAATCCCAAAAACATAATAAAAATAGAATAGAAACACTGTAGAGTAAAACGGCATAAAGCTCAGCCCGGGAGGCGATTTCTAGTTAGGTGGCTTAGGGGAAGCGCCCGCCTAATCCCCCTCGCCCACGGCGCTTCTCCCCCCATGGTGAGTCTAACTTGGCAGGTATCGAGTTGGAACAAAGTCATATCCCCCTTGGGCGTAAACATCAGGTCGAAACCCCTCCCTCCTGCCCATCATACTTCTACCTCCCATCCCACGGGTCCATCTCGCCGACTTAAGCTGTAGGGAAGACGGTAACCCCAGTGCGTGGCTCTCTTTTGTCACTTTACCTCTTGACATGTCCTCTGTCGCGAGCCGGAGCAGCCCGCTATGTCCTTTGTCATACTCTATCAACAACTACCTACATTGGTATTTACATATCGCTTTCGAAGGCTCGGCTATGGGATGTCAGGAGACTACCATGCCCTCCCCACCTTCCAGCCAATTGAAAACGTGAGAGGGACCGAGTGAAGTGCCTTGGAGAGCTATTTCTTGCCCTGCCATCCAGACGAATCGCTCGATGCAATCTTGCCTTCGTCTAATGTAGGATAAAACGAAGACCAAACTCCTGCCCATAACGCAGCCTCGAACGCTCATCATTCCCAACTGCCCTGTCCTCCCAGCAAACCAAACCAGCCGTACCTGCCCACGTCACTGCCGTCGGTGAATCAACCCCGCCCCTGTCCACACCTCAAGCAAATCTGGCAGCCCGCTCCATGGCCGTTTCGACTTCCACCTCGACAATCTCCTCCTCGTACTCAACTTCCGAGCCCGAACTCTCATCCTCCCGGCCAATTGTAAGTAAAGTGGAAGCGTTAACTTCTTGTCCTATCGGGTTCATTCCCCTCAAGACTGGTGTCTCAGGCCTAGGTGCGCCAGAAGATCCAAACCTCGCATCTTGCGAGCAGGCCTCGCTCGCCGGCAAGCTGATTACGCGCGATGGAGTGGACATCTCCCCATGCGACTGCGAGGATCCCGACGATGACGTTGGCGTAGCCACCCGTTCCGTAATGGTACCAGGTCTTCTTGCGCTCAATTGGACAACCCCCGTTGTTTGTTTCTGTTCCCGGGCGCCGGATCTGACAGGGCTTAGGCAGGTGGAGGAATAACACCCCGCGTCCACATCTTCGCCCGTTTTGGTTGTCTCACGCACCGGACTAAACGTCAACAAATCCGGGACGTCGCCTCCAGCCTCGACAGGGTGCGGGGATGAAGGGCCCTGGACTCCTCCGGATGTCTGGCCAAAGAGAGACGCAGCAAGAGAACCAGACGATTCGCCGCTTTTTTGCTCTTTGACAACCTCCAGGAAGAGCAGGTCTTCTTCCCGGTCAGCCGAATCTGTATTGATCGACACCGTTTCATCCGGTGGGCGCGATCCTTGATCAGACTCCAACGTGGGCCCCGCTTCCGGCTCAGGCTCAAGCTCTGAATCTCCAGAGAGGTCAGAGACGACCACTCCGGCGTTGAAATCAGCCCCCTCCGCGTCGTCATCGTCCTCGGCATGACGGAATAGTTGGAGAACTTCGCCACGATGGAAGATCTGCCCGTCACTAGTGCGGGTGTAGTCCATAGAGACCAGGCCGTCGTCCCCAAGCAAGCCCACCTGATCGCGGTTCGCTTTCGTCTGCGGGTCTGCCGTTGGAGGTCTAGGGCCAAGGTTGATTAGATGGAACTCGCTATCGGAGCCCGTCGCAATCTTTCCAAGTTCGTCCGGAAACAGCCAGGGGAAGGAAATCAGGGGCATCGAGCGGGCCGTGATTCTCCGCAAGCCCACCGTCCCGTCGGGGCGCACGTGTGGCTGGCGGGCCTCGTAGAGGGCGATACGGAGTTCCTCCCACGTCACCCTGTACATGGCCGCAATGAACGGGCCCAAGATCTCAATATCCCTGCCACCCGCGGCCTTGACGCACAGGTTCCGGAACTGTTGCCTGAGACCTGATGCCTCGCGCCCGACTTTCTCCTGGACCTTGTAGTCGGTCCCGACCCTGGGTTTGGACAAGACAAAAGTGGTCCAGACCTCAAACTCGGTTCTGATCTCAAACTGGCCCATGATTCGACGCATCGCGATATCGTACTGGCTCTTGATTTTCCTCGCATCTCGCAGCTTGTCGTTGCTTAGCTGGTACCGCTTTAAAATGCGGTCGTCAAAAGGCAGCCTATAGTTTTCATTGCAGTCGAACGCTTTCTTGTCGACCATATCATAGAGCTTGCCCAGGACACTGGTCGAATGATACGATTTGGCTTTAGGTTTCTCCATGAAATGGGGGAATCTCCGGGGATCCAAGTTCTTATCCCACCGGGCAGGAACACCCGTTTTGACGTAGTCCACAGCGGTGGAATGCAACTCGGCGAGTTGGAGACCTAAACCCGTAACACCATTAGCAATTTTCGCAGGCCAAAAAGACGGGACAGCCTAATTCACATTTCCGGTGCTTCGGGCCTTCGGCTTCATAGTCAGCCGTGGCCAAATGAGCGTGGGCGATCAGAGGCAACCTATCATTCTTCATGAACAGAACGAAGAACGAGGCTATACTGCTCATTATGGTGGCTTGCGACTCTCTGAGGGGCTCTGGTGCCGTATAGTTCATTGGAGGGTGTCCCCATTCCCGGGGAATCAACGCTGAGTCCCAGATGACGAAGAAGTCGTCCCCGTCTAGGTCCCCGCCTGAACACATACTCGGCACGTCCCTATCCCCGGTTAGAGGGAACAAAACAACGTTCTTGATGTGCCGTAGCTCTGGGACGTCCACCGCTTCTACTACACGGATGTCGCCGGGATGCAGCGAAGGATTGCGTCCCACAATGCAGACGCCCGTAACGACCTTGTAAGCATCTCTATCCTTCGGGTCAGGGACTTGGAGGAATATCTGCGGCAACTCATCCTGAGAGACTTCCTTCCGACCCGCGGTCATCTCAGAGTAGCCTCTCAGTGTGCCCGTCTCGTCAACGCCGCCAAGTACAAAAGCCCCATTGTCAACGATTAGTCTTGCTTTCTCCTTCAGGGCCTTGATCGACCAAGATCTCCAAAGTTGAAGAACAGTCCTGAAGAAAGGATCATTCGACTCCATAAAGCCGTTCTTGACCATCCTTGCAATCGTCGTCGTGGTCATGTTTTCGTCAACGTAGAGACTGAGGAGTTCGACGGCCTTGTTCTTGTCCGTCATGGCAGTGTCGTAACTGGCAAGTTGTTCTTGCATCATGCCAGTGAAAACATCATCCGGCACTCCCAGACACGAGAGTATGAGTATAGTTTGCCGGTTCAAGGCAGCACAGGCGAACTGGGAGCACCTGATAATCTCCAGGCCGTTGTATTCTGCAGGGAACTTCTCCTGAGACGGCCGGATGTGCACCTCAGTGCCTTTGACCTCTGGCCATGTTACTAAAACGCCCTTGCATCCACCCATCCGAAACTGGAATGCTGAGGGAGCAGAGGGTAGACCCCAGGCATCCGACACGAGGAGGCCAAGAACTGGCGAGATCTTCCCAACGCCGTCGGTAAAGCAGAACTGGTTCCTCTCCACGTCGGCAATCTTCACAATCTTTGGAGATGAAATGCAGGTCAGGAGGCGCGTCGTCGAAAAGCACTGCCCAAGTCGGGCAGCAAGTTTGGCAACCACAGAGATATGACTGAAATTTCCCATCCATTGGCGAATGGAGTCGCAGGTAACTGCTGAATTGTCGTGGGCCCCTTCAGGTTGGCAGAAAAAGAAAGCTCCATTCTCCCGAACTTGGGAGTTGCCAAAGGCGAGGAAGTTCCAGTGCCACTTTCCCATGCGGATTCCTTGCGCCAAGACTCGATAAACCCGTATGAAGACCTCATCATACCGCTCGGTGTCATGTGCTCTGACCCGCCCTTTCAGCAGCTCGTCGGTGAACTGAACTCGAAGGAAGAATTCCTGGACATGCTTATAATGGCGAACAACACGATTGGTGGTCTCCACGGTCGGGGTGTTGAAGTAAACCCTGGTAGGTGTGACTGTCACCTTACGGACCAGGGCACAGTAGTCCGGTATATGAAGAGTGCTTGGATAGTAAGTCAATGCTGCTTGATCTTCGAACAAAGCCATGGGGTTGTAAATATGCTCTCCCCTATCGGCAGCGTATTCAAGGACCAAGCGAGCGCGGCTGGAATTCGAGCTGTCGTGCGTCGCCAACTCTAGGAGCTTCTCGAGAAACTTACGCTCAATGTTGAACTCACTCAGGATTCCGCGTGAGATGCAAACCTCCAACTGATACCGAACATCAAAGGGCAGCGAAATGTATGTTGTTCGATCGAGCAAAGCCAAGTCCTCACTCCAAGAAGAGCTTGTCCCTGTCGACAGCGTGGTGGGCGGTTCGGCCAATATGGCCCAGAGTTCTGGATCCTTGTTTGCAATTTGCGTGAAGTTGACATCGAGCTTTGTCTTGATATTCCAATCCCGAAGGTGTGTCTCGATCACTGACCATTGTTCCTGGCTAGTTTTGTCCAGGTCGACCCAATAAGTAGTCCACCGCCCGAAGTTGATGACATTCTCTTGCTCTTGGATTGAGACCGGCTCGGTCCGAAGGGGAGCACTTGCTGCCCGGACCTCAACAGACCGATGCCACAGCTCCTCCTCGGCCCAGAAAAGTCTATCTGTCCAGCCCTCGCCCTCCACATCCAGCTGTTTATTCCAGACGAGAGGGGGGTCATGAACGACTATCACAAGAGCTGTGAGATCACCATCGATTCCTGCTCGGTGTATGGTTTTGATATTACCGAATCTGATCTCGATTCGGTATTGCTGCAGCTCGTACTCAACACGGAGAGGAAAGTAAATGGCCAGTTTTTTTCGTCTGAAGTCAGCTGTGAGCTTTAAGCCATGACCGAAATTGACTGGTTCGATGGCCTTTTTTGGCATGAATTCAGTGGGCTGGGTCAAGACCCCAAAGGTGAACTTCTTAGGGAGGAAGCTTAAGGAAGACGGGCAGGGGTTTCCTAGGGGTGTCTGAAGCGTGTCATCTTCCGAGGACGGCCCAGAGAACTCGATCGAGACTCTAAACATTGTGTTTCCGATTCTGAAGCTGCAAAAGCCTTGCTGGAAAAAGCTCGTGTCCCTTGGTGGCGGCTCGAAGCGGACCTTGGAGGTTCGAGCATTGCCTCTAGAACTGTCACTAAGCTCGACAAACACTACGTTGCCGTACTGTCCAAAGAATTGACGGATGTCCCATATTGTAGTCCTCGCCGGCAGGCCCTTGATCAGGATAGTAGTGCTTTTTAGGGAACTCCGCTCGGGGAGGATCATCGCTGCGGGTTGGATTCGGGTTGGTGGTCCAGATTGCCGAATTGGGAACGAGTTTAAGGTAGTGCCATTCCTCGGTCTCTGCCCAGAGCCTCTGACCATAGCCCTGGCTGCTCCTTGAGGCCGGGAAGCTTGCCGGCTTTCATTTCCACGAGGCGCGTTGCCACTAAGCGAACGATGAGCAGGTGGGTTGTTTTCGCGGTCAATGGGTTGCCTGCTTGCTCCCTCGCGTAATTGCCGCTGATGGCTTAGGATCCAAGTCGGCAGCATGGTCCCCGGCCTCGGACGCAAGCGTATCGCAAGGGAAAGCTCTCAGAGATGCAACCGTGAAATAAAGAACCGTGAGCGGGGGCGATTAGCCAGCTCAGGATAAGCTGGAGAATGGCAGGGCAACAAGGCCAAGGTAGTGGTGCAGAGTTTCGCTAGACGTTAGGGACGGGTCAGTTGTGCTTGATATGAACCTGTAAGAAAGAAGCAAATGTCAAAACAAATTGGTGCAAGGAAATCAGGGCAAGGAATCAGGGCGATCCATGCCTCAGATCAAGAATCACCAGATCGATTCAGGGCATCCAGTCGGCAGGGTCGGCAGAGGTGATGATCGGAATGAGACCAAAGACAAATAACTTGGGTTTGAACGGGCTCTTAATCGGCCTGAAGCGTCAAAAGAGGATTTTAAGGGCAATGAGAGAATCAAAGGGGATAAGTCGTTCCAGGATGACGCCTCGCTTGGTGAGCGAAACCGTAAGAGCAGCCAGTAAGAGCAGTAGCAGATGGAAAGGTTATCCCAGATGAGAGGATCAGACTGCCCAAAGTGACTTCCAGAGCATTGATTCTGAGGAGCAAGCGCGAGGTTGCCTTCTTTACCTGGCAGACACAGCCAGGGCTTGAAAATAACAAAGAGGAAAGGGAGTTGAGTGTTTCGGTGGCCGGGTGGAATGGAGTTCCAAGGCAATGACACCGCAAGATGATTGCTACGTTAACCGGTGATTGGGATTCCGAGAAATCAACATATATGAGAGTTCGAGAGGGAAACCGACGAAGGGATGAAGGTATCCCGAAAGGAGAAATGGTAAAAAGAAAATTGAACTTACGTTCGCTAAGTCGAAAACTGATATCGAAGCCTTGGGACGGGACTGCGATACGCGTCCTGAAATTGTCAGGTCAAGCGCTCCCGAGAAGAGAACGAGAAATTACCTGACCTTGACTCACTGATGGAGGCAGCCAGAGGTACTGGTATTCAGCAAGATTGCCATGGAAAGCCGCAGGTTTGCTGCCCGTTGTTCTTTCATTCCCCAGATCCGGTTGTTTGCATCTCCTGAGAGAGTGGTCGCTCCTTCCTACCTATCAATTTAGCCCCATGTCTCACGCTGAGCCATGAAAAATGACACCAGCCTGCGCAAATTGAGAAGGTACCTGAGCTAGCTGACTGCTAAGCATGGACCTGAGCAATGTGAATTTCCATTGCTTAGGAGGGAGAGATAGCTGAGTTGTCTTAGGCAACTCAAACTTTGGTGGTCAACCTTGCATATCAACATAAGGTAGTGCAGTGGTTTATCGCCTGTTCACAGCATACATTAGCGTGCTGCACCAGAATCTCTCTGGAAAAACTTCGAGATATGACAAGAGGCAGAGTTTGACAAGTCCCTGTTATGTGTTCGTGTAGTCACACCGTCACTTCTTATACATGGGGAGGGCGAATACCTGTAGAAGTTTTCACTTCATTTTCCCAGAGCCCACTTAGACACCTGAGGTGGGTAAATACCCCTTGCCGTGGACACGAGTTCCTTATCAAAGGCACTGTGGACATGAATGGGATAAGAATCTGCTTGAGAAACGCATGAATTTCTTGCGAGACTTTGGAGTCGCTCGAGACCGTTTTTAACCTCACCGCAGTTGATTGCTAATGCCGTATTTTTGCTGGAGCTGGGATTGCTCAACCGACTCATGCTCCACGCCCGAGTGCCGCCTCAAGCGCCATCTTCGGCTTTTCGTTCCCCTAATGATGCCCCATCTATGGCTGCCCAATGCAATGCTGTATAGATATCATGCTAATGTATCGCACTGTCCGGAAGATCCAGCCTTTTTTTGTTCGAACACCCCTTAGCCTTACCTGTCAAAGATCTTGCCCGGGTTCCTAGAGATGCTCCGTTAGCCAGAATTCTTTATCGGGTTGTCTTAGGCGCGAGTCTGTGAGACGAACATTATCCACTTCGGATCCAGTGCCAACTTGATAGCTCTCTGTCGAATGAGTTAGCCATGTACAACGAGCTTCAGGTTGTCCTGGGTGGCTGACCATGACTCCCAATGTGTCCTGTCCAACCTCCCAGAGCAAGGACTCCTTCTTGCCCCATCCAATGGAGTGCTCGCCGGTGCAGGTGCCCTCCATCTCCAGCGCTCTCTTGACCATGTTCTTAACGCACGTCTCAACCTTGTCTCTCTCGCTCTTGTCCTGGCGGTTGTAGATGATGCTCTCATGGAAGTTGCCGTCGCCGATGTGGCCAAGGATGCTCGCGAAAAGGCCCAGATCGTCCATCTCCTTTTTGCTGACCTCTATTATATCAGCAAGCCTGCTGAATGGCACTGCCACATCAGTGCTCCCTGCAACAACAGCTTAGTTCCGAGTTGCCTCACCCTGAAGCGGCCCGTTGACGTGACAACTTACAGACTTCCTCTCCTTCCTTGCGAAGTGCGAGCATGGACCACAGCGATTCTTTCCGCGCCGACCAGAGAAGTTTCTGCTCCCTCGCATCCTTGGCAAACTCAAAGTTGCTCCCGTTGTGCCCCCTGGTTATCTTCTGGACCAGGTCAATGTTCTCTTTCACGCTGGCTTTTGTTCCAGAAAACTTGAAGAAGAGGGTGGGCATTTCTTTCCAGACCCGAGGGGCGGTTGCCCCTCCCATATTGACAACTTTCATCTGGACCTCGTCCATGATCTCCATCGCAGCCACGGGGATCCCCGTCTGCATCACCTCGGCTGCCGCAGATGCGGCGTTTCGTATTGAGGGGAAAGTTACGACGGCCACTGAGAATTCTTCAGGGATTACGGTGAGCTTAAGGGTTGCCTCGGTCACCAAGCCTAGAGTGCCTTCGGAACCGACGAACAGGCCGTTAAGGTTGTATCCTGCTGACGATTTGCGGGGCCGTCGTCTTGTCTTGATGACAGTGCCGTCGGCGAGGACGACTGTCAGGTTGATGACCCAGTCCTTCATCGTGCCGTACTTGACGGCGTTAGTACCGGAGCAATTGGTCCCGATCATGCCGCCAATCTTTGCACTTGGGCCTACAACGCCACTGTCAGTCTCGTGCTTTACACAGGTTCGCACCTCTGCGAACAGAAAACAAAGACACGACGCACCGGGGTCGATGGGAAAGAAAAGACCGCTGCCCATTTTGGCCAGCTGATCATTGAGATCCTGCCAGCCAATGCTCGGTTGCACAACCACATCCATGTCGTCCTTGTTGAATTGGACAATCTTATCCATGAAGGCAAAGTCGACGCTGATGCCCCCATAGGGGGCCGAGAAATTACCCTCGAGACTGGAACCTCCCGAGTAGGGGATGATGGGCACGCGATACTTGTGGCAGATGCGGGCAATGATTGACACCTGCTCGGTTGACCGTGGATAGGCAACTGCGACCGGCAGCCCCTCGGGATTCGACGACGACCACTCAGAGTAGCCATGAGCGTGCAAGTCGTCGGGATCCGTGGAAATGATGTCGTCGTTTCCTATCTCTTGGCGGATTTCCTCCAAAGCCTGCGGCGCGCCACGCAGCGGATGCAGTTAGCCGCAGTTCGGGGGCTGTCTAGATCTGGGATGCCGCAGGGCGGGCTGTGCAGCATAACGTTACCTGCTCCATCTCTCGCATGCTTGCATATCTGGGTGTCGGGAATGCGCTATCAAGCAGCACGGCACCCGGGAACCCCCGGTGTCGGAGCTCAGATGCGCCCCAACCAAGCACGCTGGCAGCTACAGCAATCGCCAAGACTCCCGACAGCGACCATGTTGAGGCAATCCGAGGTTGTTGACCATTGCCGGCAGCGGCTGGCCGGGACGACGAGGCAGCGAAGCGTTGCTGGCCCGCTGTGCAGGGGCTCTTGTTCAGGACAGTCAGGGATCGGCTGAGGGGTCTCGCCGCCCTTGCAAAACGGTTGGCCGACATGCAGGCAAGTTTAAAAAAAAAGTGACCCTGAAATAACGAGCAAAAAAAAATGTCAGAATATCAAGAAAGAGTCCGGCTGGCTGCCGTTGGTCAACAAACAGATCCGAATATATGGTGTGCAGTTTGCTTTGCGACAGGAAATGCCTCTCTTCCTCTGTGCAAGTAGGCCCCGCCGGATTCGCAGTCTTTGCAAACCGGATGGAACTTCTGACCGAAGCCTAAAGGATTGTGGACTTTCTGTCTCTTCGCGCCTGGCACAGGCAGGATAAGGTAACCTTAGCTAAGAGTGTTAGCCTTTTCCTCAGCTCTCTTCCGTGGGATTGAACCGGCAATACCCACACTCACGCCGGGCCTAGGCCGACAACTGATAAACTATCGGCTGACGGAGGCGACTCTGTTCAACATAGGTCCGCCTTCGCGAGAGTTGCTGTAAGTTGACTGACTGACTTGAGACCCTGAAGCGGTGAACGAGGCCAAGGTAGTGATGGACAGCCTGAGACCGGGTTGAGCAACAACAAACAACAAGAGTTGTCTCGGAACCGCCAGTGTCCCTCGTGATGAGAGAAGGTATCGCCTCTTAATAACTAAGGTAATGCCTCCTCCCTCTCACGTCCGGGCCCCAATGCAGCGCAGGTGGAGCGGCGACGGGTCCAATCAAGAGGTGAATAGGATAAGCCATACTCAGCGGAGAATGGGGTTGATCTGCTTAGGCTCGGGTCTCAGGGGGTGCATCTGGTATGGCATGGTTGAGAGGTGGCAGAGGACCAGTGGCGGGAGAAGCAAGTTTGACCGGCACACATGCTGTAGTGTCGGTACAACGAGATTAGAAAGGCGTGCGCAAGCTAATTAGCGCAGTCTTTGCAGAAGCGGAGAGCGGTGGAGGGGAAGGGACTTGAACAGTTGCCAAGCAGCGACTCGAATTAACTAATAACACAAGAAGGAACGAGCTGACACCTTTGCTCCATGCATGTTAAACCGAAGTCAGTAAGGTAGGTATGGTACCTTAGGTACGGTACTGTGTAACTAAGGTACAGTACCTCTGAAAAGTACTACAGCCAGGATGGCAACCTGAAGACGGTTGGTTTGCTCCCGCCCACGCTCCACGCTCCGGTCAAGCGTCGCCTTGAGACGGGCCGTTTCTCGAGTCGGAAGCGGGCCCGGAGGGCACAGAATAGAAAAACAGGCAGGAATATCCATTTGCCTTTGCAGCCTTGTTTGGAGGCATATAGTACAGTACCAGTTTGATCGAAAGTTGCAGTGTCTGTTTCTCAAAGAGTTGAACAAGGTTGAACTCTGAGATTGGGAACAACAATCGTTCCAGTCGACCTGCAAGAGTCTCGCCAGGACTCTGGGACAATGGGAAACATGCAACCCGGCTAAGGTAATCTCTACTATAGATGATTCTGTTACCGGTAGTACCTACCGGTGGTGATCAACGTTACTACTTGTTTGGGTAAGTGTGCACGCACCCCCCGCATCTGGGCAAGCCTGCCCCATTCAGCTCCAATTCTGCGCGGTGCAGGACGGACGTCATTAGTTAAACACTAATTGAACTCGGACCACGCGACCATCTTAGGATCCGTAACCTATGTTACTTCCTGACACATCGAATCGGATACCATGACTACATCAACGCTCGAAGCGGACGGACCGTCTGCCTTTGAGCATGCTCCGGCCGTTTCCCGGACTCAATGGTGGTGCTCTTTAGATGGGGGATGGTACTCAACAGAGCATTCGAAGGATAAGCCTCAAGCGCCAAAAGTTACTCGCTTCCTTGTGAAGGACTCGTTCGGCAGGAAAGGCGGCTCGTAGCTCTACCACTGAGGATCGAAGTTCTCTTAACAAGGGTCTGGCTCTTTGTGACACTTGATGATCTTTGACCGAAGTCCTACATCCCATCCATCTTAGATGTACGACGAGGTAGGACAAGGTGGGTAGGAATGTTCGAGGCATATACGTTTGTCTGCCCATGCCCCTGGAAGGCTCTGCCCAGTGTCACACAACTTGATGCAGCTCGCAGGGGAACATTTTGTAAATACGGATACAGTCAGAGACGGCTCACCTCTACCCTCTGAATGCCATATAGCGTCAGACATGGAGTAAGTTGCACGGATATTAATCTCAGGGAAGGTCATGGGATCGTGAATTGTGGCTGCAGTGAGCTCTGGAGACGTTGGGTTGCACAGAATCTAGGCACTTTGTTAAGACATCCCAAGAGCGGCCCGGACGAAGCATTGAAGACGGTGACACGGTCAGGCCAAGGTCTTAACGTACCAGAACATGTATCCCCAGACCGCTCCAAATGGCGGGGAAAAGCGAACGGCATTGGGGATAAAATCCTGGACTTGTTGGTGTTTGGAAGCCCACTTTAAGTCCACATGACCCGACTTCGATGTGTAATGGCAAGGAGGAGATGTAGTCAGCAAAAGCCTCCGGTCTTGTGTCTGGTCTTCCAAGGTCGCGCTGAATGATGGCGCCGCCAAATCAGTTACCGAGCGGAAGGTTCTCAAGCCACCGACACTGTGCATCGTATAGTATTTATGCAATGATGCACTGTCTGTGTTGTGCCCTGGACCCACCAGACATTTGCCCGCAACAACGCTTGACCGGGTTCCTTCCCTCATAAGTTAACAAAACGTTCGGCATCGAGAAAGTATGGAAATCTGGATCTCGATTCTCGAATACTGTACTGTAAATTCATCACGGAAGCAAGTCGTTCGATCCAATTGAGGGAGCTCTCTTCCCCGCACTGGCCGGCTCGGAAGCCACATCATCAGAAGGATTCCTGTCTTCACAGGCCTTTACACTACGGATACGTTGACCTACACTGGACGGAGCCGAGCTTGCACCTACACACCCTCACTCACAGCCACTCCCCACGCTGCATTTCTGCCTGAAGGAAGCCGGGCACGAGGGCTTTGTGAGCCTCGATCATGGTGTTGCTTCAATTCTCGAATCACATCCTGATCCTTTTAATTTCCGCCTGACCCCCGCCCGCCACCTGCACTGCGGAGGTTTTCTATTGATGGAGCAAGGTATTTATGTATGTACAATACAGTACATACATCGTCCGCTGCCCGGCTTCCTAGGCATCTTGGTAAACTGTAATAGCTGCAAGGGACGCGAGCATGCAAGCCATGCATGAGGACTTGGCATCGTCCGTGGACAACCAAGGTTACATGACGAACATGTTGCTCCTCTGGACTTGGACACAATACGGAATCAACGTTCGCCGAAGGCATGGCGCAGCCAATCGCACAGTTGAGTCGTTAAAAACCCCATACGCTATCCTTGGTATAGCGCGATGACGCCGACTAACTCTTGGTCCAGTCGGGTTCGAGGTAAACACTCTGCGCCTGCCAGTCAGAGACAGGCACTCATCAATCCGCAACAGACGCCATCCAAGCTTCTTGACTCCAGCCCATGCTTCCTATGCAAGGGGTTTCCCCGACTTGCTTCTGCCAAATCTCCGAGCATCTCAACAGATCGCCAGTGTAGTCTGCTGGATGCTTGTGCGGGGGCTCTGTGCATAGCCGCGTTGACGACTCGGATTATCAGGTCCAGCGACTCGGGATCATTCTCGCCTCGCTGGTTAAAATCTACCCCCACGGCGAGCTGTCGAGCTCGATGTCTGACAGCATAGTTCCCTTGTGTGAACTTATGCTGCTCGTACCTCACTCAGCCGTGCTCAAACTTGGAGGGAGTACGGGCGAGAGGCGCAAAGTTCTGAGCAGAATGCCACAATTCAGCCCGTCATCAATAGGGGTAAGGGTCACGTGCCGTTCCCGAGACAACCGAGTGCTCCCCGGTCGCCGGTTGGCCTCGAGCATTACCAGGTGATGAACGGAGTACTAGACCCCAGAAAGGATGATGGTTTAGAGTGGCGTCGCTTAAGACACTCCCATGCGTGAAATCAAATTGTATGCCACTACAAGTACCTACATAGCTGGGAAAGTAGAAGTCAAAAGGGCAATACCAGTCCCTTCCCAATGTTCCCATATCCGTCCTGAACTTCCTGGACGCCAAGAACTCAATGTGACCATTGACTCTGGGGTGACCTGTCAAGGATTCTACACTCAGCTACTAGCTGAAATGCCTCTTGTATCTTTGATTTTATTTTCGTCTCTCAAGAGCACCCTTCCCTCTTCCCTTTCCCCATATCCACCAGGTTGACGTAGGATTGTGGACATTGTTGGACTACACTACAACCCCTCCTTCTCCTCCCGGACCTCACACGACTACGGCGACCTACATATAGCGCATAAGGCAACACTACCCTACCCGCACTACTCGAGGCGAACAACGTGGGGTTTCCCTTGTTTATGTCCCCCTTCATTCGATTTACAGTATCCCGCTACTCGAGACAACTTGGTTGCCTTTATAGTATTTATATCCCTCAAGGAGTAATCCCGTGATTACATACAGTACCTAAGATACATATCCTTTATAAGGCTATGTATGTACTATGACTATTGTATTACGTTGACAAGAACATCAGCACTCACCACTGTTGCGTCTGATGACTGTGGTTAACCAAGGTACGGAGGTAGTTGTCCCTGCTGTCACACACAGGCTGTGCCCAAGGCAGGGTGCCGCAACTTAATTCAGTATGCACTTACTGTACCCCCTTCCTCCACCGACCTTGCAAGCCTACAACGCAACACATCCCACAGAGCCAGCCACTTGCAAGCAAATATGTATAAAAGCGTAGGTACCCGTATGTAGTTCATAAAGTACAACACCCTGAGAGGTAATGTTGTTGTGTGGGATGTGCGCGTGAGCTTTCTGGCAGGAAGCAGCAGCAGCAGCAGGATCCCAATCAACCCATCGGTAAGTCGGGTGTTTTGAATTGCGGTCAGCTCGGTTCTGCAGCAGACGTCCTGCAAGACGCCTGATTTGGTTTCTGAGAGGAGAGAGCAAGGCAAATTCGAATGAAGAAAAAAATTAGCAGACGGAAAAATTTTCCTTTTAGAGATCGAGTTGAGAACGGGAGGTGGGGTGGTTGTGCTGTCGTCCGTGGCAGGAGGCTGGGCCTGGACGCGTCTGCGGGAGACCAGAGATGTGACAAAAGATGCTTCACCGCTTCCAAAAAGAGCCGCCTTAAACCCGCCGGTGGCGGGAAGTCAGACCCGTGGCGTGATACACTTACCAAGGGTAACGTACAGAGGACAGTGAAGCAAAGCAAAAATGTTAAGTCTCAGCGGAAGGGCAGTCCAGCATTTCGGGAGAGGTAAGGGGTCAAATCCTGACCCAGGTATACCAGTTAGCAATAGGCTCTCTACTGCCGAGCCTGAACTAAAGTGACATCCGGTACTCCATCCCAGCATGCTTTTGTAAGAAACAACCCAAACGTCCTGCCTGCCCAAGTCCGTGAAAATCCCATTTAGTGGCCAGCAAGAGCGTGGGCCCGTCTCCGGTCACGCTCCTCAGCGATGGTGAGCTTGACACCCTTGCCCTTGGGCAGGGAGACCCAGGGCTTCTCGCTACCAATGACGAAGACGTTGGTCTCACGGGTAGCAAAGGTGTTGTCAATGGCATCCTTGAGGTGGACGATGCCGAAGCCGCCGTCGTGGCGCTCACGGTGAGTGATGACACCGACACGGCCCATGTTACGACCGCCAGTGACCATGGCAATGGCACCTGTGTCGAACTTGATGAAGTCGGTGATCTTGCCCGTCTCGAGATCAATCTTGACCGTGTCGTTGACCTTGATCAGCGGGTCGGGGTAGCGGATGCTGCCGAGTGGGTTAGCAAACCAGGGGATTACTGTGGCATACCAACCGTAAAGATCCTGCTTTTGATCGTGGTCCCACAGGGTGCGGTTCCCAGCGATCCAACCAAAGCTTGGTCCAACGGCTGACAGATGGCAGAACTTACGTTCTCGCATCATGCGTAACCAAGAATGGGACACCACCGCGGCCGAGCTGGACGCGCTTGACCTTGCCCAGCTTGTACTTGGCCTCCTCGTCCTGGATGCGGTGAACGGTAAAGCGGCCCTTGGTGTCGTAGATGAGCCGGAAGTTCTCGCCAGTCTTCTCGATTGTGATGACGTCCATGAAGCCGGCCGGATAGGTCATGTCGGTGCGGACCTTGCCGTCAACCTTGACCAGGCGCTGCATCATGATGGCCTTGGTCTCGCGGTAGTTGAGCGCGTACTTGAGGCGATTGCGGACGAAGACGATCAGCGGCATGCAGTCGCGGAGCTTGTGAGGACCAGCCGACGGCCGAGGGGCATAGACACCCGACAGCTTGTCGAGGAGCCAGTGCGAAGGCGCGCTAAGGCGCTTCTGGTGCTTCTTCCTGTCGGCTGTAGGTTAGCATCGCGATCAACTTTGATGCTGTGCAAGCGGGGAGCCGCAATTGCAGACGCCGGAACGCTTTTTTCGAATTTCAACGCATATGGCCGGCCGCTCTTGAGGAAGAAGCTTGACTGGAGATTACTCACGGTCCTCTACCCATCTTGGCGAGATGTTGTTGTCGATGTGCTGGTCGATGGGAAAACTGAAAGGAATGTCACGAGAGTGGAAGCATGGGCAAATCTGCAAGAAAATGGTTTTGTGGATTGCTAGCCCTAGCAATTTCGGTGGGGCATGAAAGGCGGTCTGCAAGGGCAAAACAGTAAGTTACTTTACGGGTTAGGGTTAAAGCGCAGCTTCGACTCTTCCATGTCCCTTCTGATGACGACCTCATATCTGAGTTTCAACTGGATATATGGAAATGGTTATTTCTGCCTGCCCGACTGGTAAATTGGTAATAGATCAACAAATCGTCTAAACTGGCTAATCGCAATAACGACAATACCGATGAGTGAACCACAACTACTTAGTAACAAAACTGACGCGCGCCACTTGAAATGCTCCTCACCCGAAATAGAGATTGCTCCCTTTCTATCTTAATGTATAAAAATGTTCTTCTTACCGAACCGCGTGTACGTTGTTATGGTGCTGCAATGTGAGCTGAGCGCCCTCAACCCGAAAGAGAGAAATAAAAAGCTGGGTGGAATCCCAACCCGTGTCCAGGGTATTCCCAAGCAAGGTTTGACGGTCTCCCAATACCAAGCGTTTAAAGATGTACAGTCAAGAATGCTCAAATTGTAAATGCGCAGGGCATTGCAAGAACATCCCCAATTCCGATATTGCTGAAGAGATTTGGCGAAAGGAAACCAAATCATGTGGACTTCCTGTTTGGCGCCCTCCCCATCTTGGGCGGAAGGCCGGGGTCTGCATGCCCGCCAGCGGGAGACGTGCGATTCGAGGCTGCGTCTGGGCGGCCAAACTTTGGGTGCTCACTCGGGACATGAGAGTCATCGAGGAGAAGGTGGCTGAGATCCATCTCGTGTGGGCCTCCGATAAGAGACGTGCCTGGGCCCTCGTTCATGTCAAAAAGATCGGCCAAGCCTGGAAGTGACTCGGTCGACTCGTGGAAGCTGGGAGTAGTTGTCCGTCGCGATATGTCCTCCTTGGAACCTGACCGATTCAGATGCGGCTCCAGCGACATGGGCAGAGCAGAGTTACGGGCATTATCGACGGCCATGTTGACGGATGGCTCGAGGACATTTTTCCCGCGGGTAGCGTCTTTCACTTGGAGGTTTGCCTTTTCTATTTTGGCGTATATCTCGGGGTATTTGTTCCTCACCCGATCACGCAGGTCCGTAGGTTGTCGTGTAGATAGGTTGTATTTTGGATCCCGCTGGATCCTGGTCCAAGACGGCCCATACTTTTCCAGGCCGTCTAGAATCTCCCTGTCATCCTGCCTCGTGAAAGGCCGGCGTTTCCGGCGGTGTGATTTCTCAAAGGGCCCATGGATGCCCAGCTCGGCGAGGTCCTCCAGCCTCTTGCGGTGCGCCCGACTCTTTCTCCGCTTGGGTGCATCCGCGTCTGGAGGAGCAGATGGCGACATGGCCTCCTGTTCAGCCGTGCTACCCCCAGTCGGTATCAGGATATTTTCCAGCTGCCATCCGGTTTTTGGTGTAGTCTTCTCCTCGGCATGAGCGGCCGGACCGGCGTTCCTGTATGCGAGGCGCTCCTCGGTCGAGGAGACCCGCAGTTCCTCTGGGCAGCATGTCCTAAATCGATCCTTGAGGTCTCCGGCGGTCCGGCCGTTGAATTTGAAGTCGGGATCCTCCAGGATGGTCGTCCACCTCCCAACACCATGGCGGCTAACTCCGAGCAATAGATTGTTGGTTTCCTCTTCTGACCACTTTTTCCTCGGCTTCATAGCCCGCCTCTTGGCCTTCTGAGCGGGATTCCTTTCCACATCAACAGCGTCAACAGCGTCAACAGCGCGGATGGCAAGAGATCTCTCTTCGGGGCCGCTACTAAACTCCTTCCAGGCAGCTAGTCCGTAAGGTTGCTCGCCGTCGTCAAAAGACGCAGAGGTAATGGGCGGGAAGACTGCGGGGTCGGGCGGGGGTTCGTGGAGTCCAGCAATAATGGGCGGTACGACCTGCTGTGCCGACTTTTGCTTCTTGAGCGGCTGTGGCAACTGGACAAAGTCCTCCTTGGCAGGGAGCGTCCTGTGCCTCTTCTTGGTCGAGGGGTCCTCGGGTGTCTCGGGCGCATCGTCTACAATCATGCGCAGTGGAATCGTCGTCGCGGTCACCTCGGGTTCGGCGAGAAGTAGTTGGAGAGGACGGATCGACGCAGTGAGCAAGCCAGATTTGTCGTCCGGTCGAGGGACCGGCTTGGCAGGCAGGTCATCGCGGGCGGTACCGGTATAGCGTGTCTGGATCTGGCTCGGACCGGGCCTGTCGGCCAGCTGATCTCCTGTGAAGTCGGGCTTGAGAGGGGGTAGCGATAGTGACTGGCTCGCGGCGGGGGCCAAAGGTCGGAGCTGTATCGGAGGGAGATCAGGAGTTTGCGAACTGTTGAGGAGGTGTATAAGCCGTGGCTCGATAGTAGCCATCGTGAAGCAATGGCCTCGGAGAGGGGGGCATTTGGAAGCGGGCAGGGCACGGCCCGGAGACTGAAAAAGGTCGGGGTCTTGGGCGAGTTCGACGCGAGCGATGAGCAATGACGGACGCTGATGGGCTTCGGTGCCGGCAAGATACAAAAAGCTTAATTGCAAATTTGCGCTTCGGGAACGTAAAGTACACTGAATAATTCTTCTCAGGCCAGCCCCTTGACGGTGGGCTTTCTGCTTGAGGACGGACAGAAAGGGGAAGGTTCTTCTAACACTAAGGTAACGATATTTCGGACCTCAGCATCATCTCATCGTGAAGCAACGACCCGCAATACACTGTTAGAGTAGCTGTAACATGGCACGTTAGGTGCTGGAAACTTACAGTAGGTATTTTACGTACCTCCCGAAAAACGGCCAGGCTATTCTAACTTAAATCCACACCAGCAGCTATGTACGAATACTTATTAAGGTACCCTATGCATCTGTTGATTGCTTCTGCACACCGCCAGGTCCCATCAGTGGAGTGTATGTACGAAGTAGATGGCCCCTCTAAAGAATCAAGGTAGGTAGTTACCTAGACTGCTTCTAATCCAACTGACGGGGAATGTTACCTACGTTACGGGTCCAAGGACCCTGCTAACGGGCGTTAGCCATTCGAGCCATTCCAGCTTGCGCTGCACTCGAGCCCGGAAGCAGATCAATCCGCCCTCAATTACAACGATGGGCAGGTGCAAAGCCAGGACCGCTGTGATCACGAATAGCATTTGCCAACCCAAGTTTCAGCTCCAATAATATATCCCTAGTCTGGGAATTCGCGATCATTTAGTAAGCGAGCAGCAAATTTGCTCCAGCGAGGCAGCAGCTCTCTTTTCGGCTTCCCCGTGGAACCAGCTGCCAAAGATAGATGGCAACGACGGAATGAAGATGCTTCAGGCACTGTATCCGCCGTCACGTTGCGCGGAGCGTGCTGTCAATACGTATGTAAGCCATGGATGTAGAAACGTAATGACTTTATGACATTGATTCAATATCCCCCTGTCGTCAGGCATGAGCAGTTCGCATCTCGAATCCATATTCATCCCCTTACAACGTCATTGTGAATTTTCATGATTACTTTTTTGACTAAATTATCCAATATAACCGCGGATACCATTGAGTCCACAAACCCCATATACCCAAGACAGACACATAAGCATTGATGTACTGTACTGTACATACACAGGGATATCCGCCACAGAAGAAAAGAATAAGAACTTTAAACGGCAAAGAACAGGAGTGGCAGGCCGGCCCCAAGAAGCCCGAGGCCACCAACACCGGCCACGCGCCCGGCACCGGCGGTGACAGGCGCGGTGTACGTGGCGCTCGGCCTAACGACACCAACGCCAGTGCCTGTTCCCAAAGCCGGAGCGCCAGGGGGCGTGGACTTGGCCGTCTGTACCTTGGTCTCCTTGGTCTCGGACGAGGCACTGACGGTGGCAGTCACCTTGGGAACGGTGATGGTGGTGAATTTGGTCGTTGTGGCCTGCGAGGTCGTGGTTGAGTCGACCTCCTCCTCTTCACTGCCACCCACCGGGGAGCTGATAGTAGCCGCAGCGCCGGGGGCGGTAGAAGTAGGCTTTGACGCCGATGCGGACGGGGTGACAGTGGTGACGGGGCACACGGTTGTGGTGACGGCGACGAGTTCGGTCGTGACCTGGCCCAGCTTGCCAGGGCAGTCCGTTGCCGCGCTCGGTGGGCAGCTCGTGATGGTGTACGTCTTGGTCGAGTAGATGGTGGACGTGGTCCAGGTCTCGCCGCCCTCAGAAGTTTGCGGGGAGCTGGTCTCCGTCGCCGTCGCCGTTGCGGTCGCCGTGGGGGTGACGGGGCACACAGTCGTCGAGATAGCGATGGTCTCCGTCACGACGCGGCCAGGGCAGCTAGTCACCGAAGGGGCACACGAGGTAACGGTATATGTGCTTGTCGTGTAGATGGTTGACGTGGTGTAGCTCTGCGTGGCGATGCTGGTCGGGTCGGAGCTGCCCTCGGAAGTGGGCGAGGTGGTTGTGCTGGTGCCAGGCGATGTGGTGTTCTCCCCAGAGGATGCAGAGGCTGTAGTGCTGACGTCGGTCGGCGTAGCGCTGTCGCTGGGTGAGGACGTGGTTGTGGTGCTGACATCAGGCGACATTGTGGTCCCACTGGGAGATCCCGTGACAGACGGAAGGGAGGTGGTAGTCTCATCATCCTCGCAAGAGTCATCGTCATCGGTGGAGGTGCTGCTCGCCACATCGCTTGTGGTGGTCGAACTCACCTCAGGGGCCGAGGTGATGGTGCTGCTCACGTCGCTGGTTGTAGTGGAAGGCACCTCGGAGGTTGAGGTGGTGGCCGAGGTTTCAGAAGTGCTCGTGGCCGGCGATGTGCTAGTCTTGTCTTCCTCGGTGGAGGTAGGGCTGATCACATCGCTGGTTGTAGTGGAAGGCACTTCGGAGGTTGAGGTGGTGGTGGAGGTTTCAGAAGTGCTCGTAGCCGGCGATGTGCTAGTCTTATCTTCCTCGGTGGAGGTAGGGGTGATCACATCGCTGGTTGTAGTGGAAGGCACTTCAGAGGTCGAGGTGGTGGTGGAGGCCTCGGAAGTGCTCGACGGGGCGGTGGTTGTCGAGGATGCTGAGGTAGTCGTCGAGCTGGCCGAAGTGCTGGTTGACGTGGTTGTTGCTACCGTGGTGCTAGTGCTCTTAGGCAAGTTACCGAGCTTGACGCAAAGCTTCTGGCCTCCCAGTAAATTCGTGCATTCCGAATTAAGACTAGGGTTGTATTGCAACAGCTCGGAGAGATAGAGGCCGTACTCGTTCGCAATCAGGTAGCATAGGTCGTTAGGCTTAACCTCGTACGTCTTGACGCAATCAGTTGGCGCCGGCACGGGGGGGCTTGAGGTTGTCGGCGCCGGCGCACCAACGGCAACGTCGTGGACAAACTGATAGTAGTTCTTGCCGCCTGTACCTGTTGGCAGCTGGCTGCCAAAGAATGCATCCCAAACCATGACGCCTCCAAAGGATGCCTTGTTCTTGTGCTTGAGAAGCAGATTCCTTGCGGCGATGGGATCAAGATAGCCCGAACCTGCCGCTTGAGGAGAACCGGGAAGCCCAATGAAGATCTTTGCATCCCTGCTCTCGGTACCTTGGAGGTAGGCTGCCCAAGCATCGAAATTGTTGGCGGCACCCTCGCAGACTTCATTGTTGTAGAACTGGACAAACAGAGCATCGAAGGAACACTTCTGGATGATGTCCTTCATCTTGAAATACCGAGGGTCAAGAGGGCATTCCGGAGCTGCAGTGATGAGGTACTTCTTGCTGGTGTCCATATTGGTCAATTCACGGAGCTTGTTGACCATGGCGATATAGCCGCTTTGGTCGTCTGCAGGGCGGTATTAGCATCCATCGTGACTACTGTAGCTACCAGCTACGGTTGAGAGGCGGAAGGCTCACCGAACTTGGCCTCGATATCGAAGTCAAAGCCGTCGAATACAAAGTGTTCCTCTCCCTCGTCGGCGCCGCTGTAGAAGTCATCGAAGGGTCTTGCTAGTTCCCATGACGGGTCATAGGGGCCAAAGGCGCCCCATATGAAGTTGGCAAAGTATTCCCCGGCAGCCGGACTTGAGACGCTGTAGTCTGTCTTGGGAGGGTTGAATTCGCCGCCAATGGAAAGCAACACCTTCTTGCCCTTTTTCTGGCAGTACCTGATGTCGGCAGAGATGAGGCCACAGTGGCTAAGAAGAGACGACTTGCGCTTGCTCTTGTCCATGTAGTAGAGGTCCAAGCAGTGACGGGAGAAGTCAGTCCCCGGGTACCCCAGGCCAGAGGGATCATTCTCAGGAGACTTGTTGACAAAGCCGACCGTGACGTACTCAAACCCGGGAGCATCGCAGTAAGACCGGAGTCTGTCCGTTTCTAGCCCCTTCTGGCCCCAGTAGACATTGACGGCTGGGGTTGCCAACGCTGGGGCAGCAGCCATAGCCGCAAGGGCGAGCGTCTTGGTGAACATTACGGAATATTGGGATTAAGTAGTAGTGTATACAACAAGAAAGGAGTGACTGGCCCAAGGGGGGGGCCGTAAGGAGCGAAAGGAGCTGCGCGAGGGCAACAATGAGAGGACGCAAACAAGATGTTTGCACGGCCGGAGAGCACGCCGTCTGGTGTTGACTTTGGACGAGGCCAGGAAGCAGGGCAGAGCAGAGCAGGTGAGGCTGGACCGGTCGAGGGCACACCAGCTTTTTCATACCCACGAGGAAAAGACTCCAACCCTGGGCGCCCAGGCGGGTAGCCCTACCGCGGCACCGAGCCACCGTCGCCCCCAAGGATGCCACTTGACCTCACCCGGTCTTTCATCGTCGTAACCTGGATGGGAAGCGCAGGGGAGGAGGGGGGGGTTGCGGTAAAGGGGACGCGGGAAATTACCATCACGCATTTCCAACCGCCCGGTTCTTGTGTGTGGATGACAGTAGCGAATGTACATGCCAGGCAGTGCCTGCGGGCGGTGATTACCTGGTGCACACGGGCTGTCAGTCACCACGACTCAGTTTCTTCTGCTCGGACCCGACGCTAACGTTATTCGGCTTCTCAGCAACAACCTGCTGGAGCATCCTAGGTGATACCTTCCATACTAGTTTACGGTTTCGAGAGCCATGGAAGACCATACCTATATCGCGTACGATGCGGTTCACTTCACATCGTTGCTTTTTGCCGTGCGATTGATGGTTTCTCGAGCGAGAGCGGGAAAGGCTGACCGAGCCGAGCATCCGCCAACGCCCGAGCCTTGAGGAGGGTGCCCCTGCCAAGACGGTGACATGGCGCTCTTGCACAAGATCCCCGCGTCGCTTGCTGGTCCCATGAAGCAACAACCCGCGCGTCTGACTGGACGCCAGACCCAAAGCAGTCAAGTATCTGTCCACACTTCTGCCTGCCCGTGAGTGGCAATGGAACCTTGGGCTTGAGCACCCTCCCCATTCGGCTGACTCCACCCTTTCGCGCGATCGATAGCGTGCGTTTTTCTGGACTCATTTGACTAGAATCCTACGCCAATGCACAATGCGGCGGTAATTTTGGTTGATTTGATTCATTTGGTTGGCGGATTTCCGGGCCTGGTGATTGTACGAGTCATTGCAATATACTTGACCTATACACGTGTAGTGTCGTGGACGATGAAGATGGAGAGTCCCTGGATATCCCCTTTATTTTCTCCGGTCTTGTCGCTGATCCAGGTTCGTGCTGCCGCGGGGCTTTGATCACTTCTCTATTCGGCGATGAGGCTCTGCGCTGATCGATCGGATCAATCGGCTGAGGCTGCGTGGCCGAAGCCTCAACGCTCCACCGAGTCCACATCGCCGGGTGAATAGGTTAAATACACATAAATACTACGTACATGTAGGAACGAATTGGCATACTGGTCTCTTCGGTGGCTCTAACTTACATGCAGCAAACGTTTTGTTGGAAGACCCAGTTAACTGATGGATTCCAAGCTGCAGCAGTGCGACAGGAAATATGAGAAAATCACGGATAATTGGATGAGGCATTCAGGAAAGCCTCTTTACTGTGCTGTGCAGTGGATCGATCTCTTTTCCTCCCGGGTTCTAGACGTTCACGTGTTGGTCCCCTTGCCCATACGCTAGGGTACGTCTGCAGGATTGTGCACCCAGTTGCTCTCGCATTGATTCTTCCTCGCGGTTTCTACTTCCGAGTCTCCTTCCTGCTTCTCGCCTTTTCGGTTTTGTATACTCCGTATACGTCTATGTTATCCCTATGACGGAGAATATATAATCGCAGAGGAGTTGAACCGACTTTGCTTTTTGTACACTCAATGTGTCTGATGGCCATAGTACTTTCGGTTTAAAGTTCAATTGGAGAGTCGCGAATTATTCTTTGAAGTGAATCGCTCAGTCCATACAGACCTCTTCTCAACTCCGCATATTGAAATTTCAGACAACTCGTCTACCTGGCTCGCCTGGTCACACATCTCCTCGACATTTCCAACATTATTTTAATAAACGCACATTGGGTTCCTTTGGCGAATGCGAGTCGGGAATGCCTTTTGTCGGATACATTCTTAAGAATCAAGCAGCTGACATGCCGCTTTATTATGCATGACGAGTCGATTTTCACCTGCAGTATTATCAATCTATTATGCTACGTCAGCAGCGCGTCTCTGACCAGCTGGGCCATATCCATCGCACTACCACCGACATGCAGCTGGGAATTGCAGTTCAGCGCATCCTGCTAAGCAGGCGTACCGTCCAGACTTTGCGTTGGGCGGTTGATCCAGACGCCGTATGGTACACCTGGTTGCAGGGTGGGTTGCTGAGTTAGTATGGAGCTGTCGTCAAGTCGGTATGTTACTACCTAGGAGAACTTGTATAGGGGCCATCAACCATTCACGGAGGGTCCTGGGGTAGTTACATATTTAGGATCCTCCTTGGAGAGTTCTCACCGTAGGAACTACCCCCCAACTACCACAGCCAGATCCCAGGGATCCCTGGAGTCTCCCACAGTAACACCTGCAAATCGGCCGCGACTTCCACATGCGACAGCAATATCAATTGCTCTCTCGCTCTTACTCTACAAATTCATAGACAAGATAGCTTAGCGGTAGTTAATTGAACTCAATTACTTATGGTCTTCTTTTCGAATCGTGATCGTGCATGTCCTCTTTCGTAGTTGTAATCCTTGTTGTATAAGGTGTAGTCGCCTTGTAAGCTCAATCCAGTACATCGCATCGATCGGATGAAATCCCCGATCGGGTGCAGGTGCACTTTTTTTGCCCAGGATATGCGACAGCGCCATTGAGAATAGGTGCTCTATTTGAGAGGGTTGGATACCCTGGGATCTCTGGGATCCTTGGGATCCTTGGGATCTGTTGGGATATCTGTGAGCCTGAAGGCACTTGGTGGGCTCTCAAATACTGGGAACTACCACAAAGATCCCCGTACTCTCCCAGACCTGTTACCAGACCCAATAATATTCCACTAAGGTAGGTATGTTCTAACAAGCATAGCGCTATTGAGCATTCGTGAGCAAAGGCAAACAACAACACGCGAAGCAGAGGTACCTTAGTCACCGTGTGGGATGTACTACACTACAGTATATTGCACCCAGTACCTACGGAGTAGTACCGTTGGATTTATGGCAGAGGCAGAGCACCAAGCCTTGTTGTGGTTTCTATCGTGTGGCCGAGTTGAAAGGCTGGCACTTGCTTACCGGGATCGCCGGACACCCTCAAGCAGTAACAATGTCCGGTGAGCTTCCCAACTGCTTGAAAAGCAGAAAAGAGCAATTACTCTGCAGCATGTGATCCCCGCCCCTCTTATCACTGCTAATTGAGCTATTATACGTTTTCGTATGTCTGTTGGCACACATTGCTAATAGGAGCGGAGGGTTGATTACATTCAGTTGATTCAGATACACTTGAAGCTCGCGTGACCCAAGCTTCAGTTTCGAGGTTCCGGATAGGGGTGGCCCTGTAGGCCCCCACTACTATCCGAAGGTTCCGGTTTTGGGCCTTAGCTAAGTCCTGGGCCAGGCCTCAGGCCAGGGCCCCCAGTGGAGTAGGCTTGTGGTAGTTGGTGGCACCGAAGGCTATAGCACTCCGAATACACTTGGTATATACCTCCCGGGCCCGAAGAAGACTAGGGCCCCAAGTCTTGGCCGCAATCCTCGACAGGGCGAAATCCTGGGTCTTCAGCTTACTAGCTACCTTAGACCCGTGGGCTCTCCAGTTAAGCCTCCAATCAAGCCACACACCAAGAAATCTAGCAAAGGCTACCGGTTTGACCACTATATAGCGGTCGTCAGGGTCAAGGCCCGGGTCTGGCCTAGCCAGCCGAAGTGGGTTAGGCTAGTGATTCCGGCCTTTGTTGAAGTGGATTAACTCCGACTTGTAGGTAGAAAATATAAGGAATTACTTACTTTCTTATACCCTATTAGGCATTTAACTAGCTTAGTTGTGACGAATCTCGGTCCCCTACCACTGAAAGGGACTCCTCAGACTGAAGGTCGACTTGAACGGGGTGAGGTTCGGTAGAGCCAAAGGGTCTACAACAAGTGCACAAGCAAGTGTTCACACAGTAG